GGGGGGGGGGGTTTCTTGCCTCTCGATCATCACGGCTGAGAGATATTGACTTGGACGAAATCAATCCACCTAGACAAAATGAAGACCTTCGGCCGAGAAACCACGGGCGTCGAAGTCGTCAACGAGCTCAAAGACCAAGTTGAGGGAAGGACAAGTTAGCTTCCACCCCCTATGCCTTTGCTAGTGCTTGTTCATAACTAACGGTTCAGCAGTCGTCGTCACAGGCGCAAGTGAGAAAGGACTAGGAGGAGAAACAGCGGTGGCCCTCGCGCACGCGAACCCAGCACATCTCATTCTCCTAGCTCGTTCTCAATCTCGCGTTGAGTCCATCATGTCTCGAATCAAAGAACTCAACCCGGCCGTCAAAGTGACGTTCGTTCCCATCTCTCTGGATGATCTCGACTCAGTCCGCGCCGCAGCAAGCACCATCAACGCCGCCATCGAAAAGCTAGACATCCTCATCAACAACGCCGGCATCATGGCCATCGAAACCTACCAGACCAGCAAGCAAGGAATCGAGATCCAATTCGCCACCAACCACGTCGGCCACTTTCTGTTCACCAAGCTACTGTGGCCCAAGATCAAGGCTGCCGGCCCAGGATCTCGTATCATCAACCTGACCAGTCTCGGCCACAAGATCGGCCCCGTCCGCTTTGATGACTACAACTTCTCGGACGGTCAGGAATACGATCCGTGGTCCGCCTATGGACAGTCAAAGACCGCCAATGTGCTCTTCTCGCTCGCTCTTGCCCAGAAACTCCGCCCCCTCGGCATGCAAAGCTACGCCGTCCACCCCGGCGGCATCTTCGGAACATCTCTGGCCGATCACATTAAGGACGTTGTCGCCGCGCTGGCCAGCATCGAGCCAATCGCCCAGAGAAACACAGGGCGTCATTTCCCTCTGGATGCCGACCCACCCAAGAGCATAGAGCAGGGGATCGCGACGACGCTGGTTGCGGCGTTGGATCCGAGAATCGTGCCTCAGAGTGGTATGTACATGGCGGACGCCAAGTGTGAGCCCACGTATGAATATGCCGAGAGTCTCGAGAATGCTGAGAAATTGTGGAAATTGAGTGAGGAGCTCGTTGGGGAGAAGTTTGATATTTGAACACCAAAAAGTCCTTTGGGGGAGTAAAATGTTTGGACCAGAAGCCGCTCCAGAAGGCGCAGGAGAAACAATAGAAGGATTCAATCTCAAATGAGCTTGCCTTTTTGTTCCCACATCTCATTTTATGCTCGCATATTCCATGTCTAATAATGTCTCCTCCCCAAGTTCGCCGGACACAAATCTAAGCCCTCCTTATCTAAATCCTCCCATGGTAACGGCCTGGCTCGTGAACTTCTCACTTCCTCACTCTGTGTATCTCTCACTGATTCCCATCGATCCATGAACATCTTCCTTCGTCCTCCAAGCTTTTCCTCACGTGTAGTTATCATATCCACTTTTCCCATCTACACACCCAAATGCCCCGCCTCCCTTCCCAAACATCTCCCTTATATCTCCCACCAACAACTCCGGCACCTCCCATGCGGCAAAATGCCCACCCCTCTCATGCTCCTTTATCAACACCACCGGCCCCATCGTATAATGCCAAAGTTTCGGCTGCAGCAACAATTCCTTTGGAAACCTCGACACCCCCAACTTGACATCCACATAATCTCTCGCTTTCGCGAAACACGGTTCGGGCTCCCTGTGCGTATCGTCGTAGTAAATCCGCATGTCCGCCCAGGGCCCCGCGGTCGAGAATTCGTAAATACTGATCCAAGTCAAGATCTCGTCGTCGGTCCACGGGTACTCGTCGGTCCAGTCGTGGAGTTTATCGTAGATCCAAGCCAGAAGCCCCACGGGGTGAGCCGTTACTGCGTAGCCGATCGTTTGCGGTTTCGTGGCTTGGATATTGTGGTATGCCATGCCGGAGGTGGCGAATGCGGTGGTGCGTTCGACCCCGGCTTTTTCCCAGTCCGTTAGCGGTGTGGATTGGAGTTTGGCATAGAGGTCGGGGTGTGTGTCTGGTTTCGGTTCCGCGGGTGAGGCGAGGTTGATGTGGTGCGCTTTGCAGGATGATGAGTATTTCATGGCCATGAAGCGGGCGACGCCGTAGCCAAGGTCGCCGCCTTGGACGACTACAGAAGAAGTTTGCTCATGTCAGTCGGGGTATGTTCAGAAGCCGGTGGTCGAAGGGAGACGAAGACGCGAATAACAGGGGGTCTCACCGTATTCTTTATACCCGAGTTTCTGCATTAGCTTGTGGCAGACTTCGGCGTGTTGGTCGATGTTGAATTTTGCCTACAGAAAACAAAGCATTGTCCCCGTCAGTATTCATTTCTCTATTCAAGCTTCGTTGCTCCATGTTCGCATGCATATCTGCCATATTCACCTTTCGACTGGGACTGGAGAATCCAAAGTTGACGTGGCTCGGGGCCACCACGTGGAAGGCGGGGTAGTCCTTGCCCCCGTCAACTAGCAGCGGTAGAATTTTCGTTACTTCAAGGAAACAACCTGGCCAGCCGTGGGCGAAGAGTAACGGGATAGCGTTCTTGACTTGGCTCTGCTGATGGACGAAGTGAATGTCGTAGGTGCCGTAGCCGTCGACATCGATCTGTGTCATGAAATTGGGCAACTCGTTCAACGTGGCCTCGGCCTTGCGCCAATCAAAGCCATTGGCCCAGTACATGGCCAGACGTTGGATATCGGCGACAGGGGGACCGCAAGTCCATGGTTCAGTCTCGGGGAAGTCGTCTGGGAGATCGAAGATGGCGAGTTTCTGCTTCAACCGTTGGAGTTTGAAGTCGGGCACAGCAATGGTGTATGGTCGGATCGGGCTGGAAGCCATGTCGTGTTGGTTTAAGGCTGGCGAAAAAGGAGGCGAGAGAACAAGAGTGTCGGACACGGGGAACAAAGAAAAAGGAAGAGAAAGTCTCTGGAGGGATTTAAATACTTCGGAACAGCCATGGAGATGGTGGTCAAGCTATTCACCAGAGGGTGTTGGTGGCGGAAGAACTCTATTGGATTGACTCGGTATTTGGTGTTCGTACGATGATATCAAGACCGCATCGGAGAGAGTTCCCTCGCTCCATTCAACTGAAGGGCCTGTCACCTCGGCTGTGAGTGTGGGAAGTCGGAACTAATAAGTGGTGGAGATGCGAGGCCGTTGAAACAGGAAATACAAAGTGTGTGGGGGGGTTTTGATGGTCTGCATATCAGGCACCCCAGCCTCGTGCTTGACGGTCCGTAATAGTACCAATTCAGGAAATTTGTGCCTGATAGCGCCGGAGACTAAACGGCCAAGCGCCATCGGCCCAGACGTAGTGAGCACAAACGGGGGATCAATAAGGCTTGGATTGCTCGTTCATGTTGTAAAGCTGTACGGAGTTGCGGGTAATATCGTTGTATTTCATTCTTCAAGGTGTTTCTATTTTGGTCACCAACCTATTTATTATACGAAGGGATGGCCAATTACGTTGCCCCAGGAAGTATATGGTAACATATTCATGAGTCATCGTGAACTATCGTGTCTAACCATTCCCACACCTTGGCGACACCCGATCTAATTGTGTCTGCAATTCGCCAATCATTCGGTTCAACATGATACTGGCCCCTCGACTCAAAGGCTTGAGGAACACTTGAGTGTCGTTGTCCTTCCCACCTGTCGAATCCAAAAGTGATTCGTCTTGGCTCAGCCTTGCCTCCTCTGATTTCTGGATCAACTGTCTTCCTCGTTGGATGACCCTTCCTAGTAAGCTGTTCATCGGATCCGACGCATCATGTGGCAGATACAGCCAAGCAAGAACGTCTTCCAATCCTCCGGGTGGACGAAGGAGAGCATACTTCACAAATCCTCGGGCCATGACAAACGCCTTCTCACTGTATTGTTCTGACTCCTGCATGAATGCCTGATCTTGTTCATATCCTTCGAATCCGGCCTCGTTGTAGAATGGTCTCTTTACAAACACTAGCCCTTGCAACGACACCAGGACTTGTAGAATTGTCGCCTTTTCACTCCATCTCTCGGTTTCCTTCTTGCCAGTCCATGTCCCTAGCAAGCTCAGACAGATTTTGCCATCCTCGTAAAGATTCGGGTTGATTCGGCCTAATCCGCTTGTCCAACTGTGAAAATGTGCCGTGGGAGGTTCGTCCGGAAATCCCTCTGGTAAGGAGAGATCGACTAAAAACGGAGCATTCTCATAGGGCGTATCTTTGGGTCCGATGATAAGGCACCGTAACAAGTCGAGTCGACTTTCGTATGTCCGGACGTAAATTTCCCCCTCTGGCAGGGCTGTCGCTAATATGCGGTGCTCGCGAGAGATGCGTTTGAGAGATGCGCTGGGCGTCGAAGTTGAGTGCAATCCAAATTGATCCGCTGGGGGTTCGCGGTCGAGCACGAGGAATTGGGGTGGTTCTTCGGATCCTAGCATCGTTCGTAGCTGGACCAGAGAGCGCTGCGGTTGGGCGGCTGTCGATATTTGGTTCTCCTGTATAGCAACACCCGCCATCGGAGCATCATTGTTATCGTCTTGATCATCTTCATCGTCTTGGCCCCACTCTTCTTCAGCGTCTGCGAATTCCTGATCTTCGTCGGAAACCCAATTCTCGTCTCCGCTATCATCATCCAGGCGCTGTCCTCCTTCGTACTCGACGCTCTCAAAAACGGGTTCAGGACCATCATCATCGGACCAATTGGTCTCTTCATCGCTCCATGAATCCACATCCATCATATCGTCGCCGATATCTGCCAATTCGCGATCATCGATAATAGCAAGAATAGAATCCGAGTCGATGCATATATCCCGACAGGGTTGGGATCCACCCAAGCGTACGGTAACTGAGCCATCGAGTCCCATAGCTACAATCTCTCCGATCCAGTCCATCTGTCTTTCTGACCTTGCGCCTTGATCCGCAGATCTTTCGGAATACAATCGAGAACCCCGAGCCAGTGCCACACGGGGAGGTATACTCATACTAAGACCACCACCCCTAGTCGGGGTGGAGTCGGTCGATCGAGTAGAGTGGGAATGGTTCTGTGTCTTCGGAGCATTCAAAGGCTTCGGAAATTCTCCAGGAGGGGCGACAATGCACATATCTCTTCTTCGACGCATGAGGGAGGGAAAAGACATGATCTCGTACAAGGACACCTCCTCGACGACGTCTCCAATCGGGCCAAAGCGCGACTCTGGGTTGAGGATTTGACCCACTGCACGGATCTCGACCTTTGGTTCTTTGTACCAGCGCACACGAGCTACTCTCTCCTTCGGATCGACGGTCTGTACCACACCCACATTTTGGGGAAGAAGATCGTGGGGTCGTTCAAAGAATGCCATCTCGTCAAAATCTTTCACGGCAGAACTGCCGCCTTTCCTCGTTCCCGCAGAACGCTGGCGCATGCCCTCTCGCTTCAACACGATATCCGCTGGCGCGAGTTCCGCCTCGAAAAGAGCGTAGCCTTTTAATAAGGTCGATTTGGTAGTGGTCACCGTGCCGTCTTGCCACAAGACTGTCGCCTCTTGTTCAATGAAAACGATTTTGAATTCATTCAAGTCCCAGCCACCAAAATCTTCCGTGGCCAATCTCACAAATTGGCCATGCGAGGTTTCCTCACTCCCTTGATATTTCACGGCGGCGGCCGTTGGGTCTCGAAATTTGACATGCATTCCGATTGATAGGTCTTGTCCCGGGCAAATATCCTGGGTATTGTCCGCCTCCTTGTAAGCGCGCCGTCCGTTCCCGGCACCGTCTCGGTCCAGCGCCGAATTCTTGATGGGCATCTTTCCTAAATCATACACAATCACGTCTTTGTTCCGGCGCAGGCTTGCTGGGTCCCGAAAATCTCTGATGTTCTCATAAATGGGAAGGTCGTATGAGGGTAATAACGGTGAGGCTGGCTGTCCCTCTCCCGTTAGACTGCTTGACACCCAATCCACCGACACCTCCCGAGCTCGAACGTCTACCACGACACCTTGTGCGGGGGAATTAGGATCGTGAGAGCCACGGAGCCACCGTCCGTTTCGCAGACGATTGCGTTCCACGATGACAAAGTCGCCAGGACGTGGCTCCTGGACAGAGGTGGTGTTCGGCCATCCTTGAAGAGCTCCTACTCGGTCGGGTCGCTTGAAACCGTCGGACTCCGGTAGCCAAACAATTCGTTCCCGGTAATCTGGAAGAGGAATATACAAGCCATTGGTGTTCGTGACCACCACGACCGACTTGTTCTCCAGGGCAATGACGACATCGTATTCCACATCATCAACTAAGCCAACCCAATCCCTGTAAATGATGTAGTCATCCTTCAGCACATCCTGCGCTCTTTTGACCTCGCGAGAAGGAACGTTGTAGATGAGGGCATGTGGATTTGGATGAGAAAAATGAGGAGGAAGAGACGGAGAACATTCTGATGAGCACGGGGGAAATGTTGGAGCGTTGGTAGAAGATAAGTGGGCGATTTCTCGTTTGAGGCTAATCGGTTCGAGGATGTAAGACTCCGATACGTCGATAACTTCGCCTGTCATGGGGTTTGCGTCTTGTTTGACATTGTCACCTATCTGAAAGGAACGGCTTAGTAGAGTGAGGTCGTCTTCGCTCACTACTGCGCACCCAGCAGCCTCATCAGAAAATTGAACATAGACATAGCCCACGGGAGGGACGCCCGTCAAAAGAAACTCGTTGATTTCCTTCTGGGGGACTTCGGTATGAGCAATTATCAGCTCATCCTCGAGAGGGTCGAAGGCGTCACTATTCGTGCGCTGCACAGAGCCATATAGGCTGGGATCATTCTTGAGGCAGACATGATCGTAAAGTTGGAGAGTTCGCATCTGTCCAGCACGATGTAAGAGAGCGAACAGCTTTGCCGATCGCGAGAGGTTGGGGAAATAACGGAATGGATGGGCGAACAGCGCAGTCTTCAAAAGGCGTCGTCGAGATATCGCCCATTTAGGTAAGTCAGCCGGACTGATATTGTTCGGCCTTCTTGGTCCAAGCCACTGCTTTTCTCCGGCTAGCCCTCAAGGGCCTCCATTTCCTGTCTCTAGACAGCTCCGGCTAACGATGCGCGGGGAGGATTTATAATCCTGACCATGCCTGCCTGTTATGTCCACGAGGCTGAGGTATGGACCAAGCGTGTGACCGGGGAGCCCTTCGAATACCTATGGAGGAACACTGGAGATGAAAAGTCTTTTCGTTGCATCGTATGGGTGCCGATCCTACCAGCACCATCTGGTATCCCCAATATTCGTCAATATGGTCTTGTCGGACCATATCTTCTGCCATCTCCCTGTCCAAATCCGTAGCACATTGAACAACGCTTCAACCATAGCACCATAATCGAAGATGAAGGGCTTTTTGGACCCGGCTCAGACGGCAAGAGAACTACTCTTCCTCGCTGACCTCACTTTCATCATCCTGCACACCCATTCCAATGCCCAATCCAATACCTCGGGTAGCCTCTTCGTCCTCTTCCTCCAAGGCCGCCTCTAGCTCCGCGGCAAGTAAATCTTCGTCATCATCGTCATCGTTACTAGCCGGAGCCGGTGGCGTGGGCGCATGTCGTCGTCGACCACCGTCGTCTTCACCTTCATCATCCATCCTTGACACATCACCACTATTGGGTACACTGAGTCTCTTCTCCCGAGGACTGCCGAGTGCAAATTCCTCAACGTCTCCATCCTCGTCGGACGGACTGGAGCCGGCTTCAATGTCTTTCATCGTCACATCGTGGTCCCGATCTCTCCCACGTCCCCTCTGATCACCTACAGGCCTAGATTCTGGTCGAACATGTGGATTCGAGCTAATCCCACCAATCGGTGTCCCCGTATGGCTGCGGAACATTTCAGGATCGACTCTCCCACGCTTCGCACGACGGTCTTCTGGAGGCGGACTGCCCATATCAATCTCCAGACCGCCATCGTCGTTGATGATGATGTGTGGCGATCTGCCAATATTGGCCGAAACATTCCGCGTGTGGCCTTTTCCGGCTGCATGACTAGACTTCTGAGTGGTCGAATTGTTTGATGTCGTGGAAGATTTGGTAATGACTCGCGCCACGTCTATCGTTTCACTATCATCGCCGTCGGAGTCAGAAATACGAGCTTTGCTTAGAGGCTGGATGGAGGACGATTTTCCTGTCTCGTGCTTGGTTGTAGTCTTGGATTTTGTCGACGTTGGATGTGTACGACCGGCATTACGGGTCGTCTCTTCGTTTTTCTTTTTCCGCTCCGGGGTGGCTTTGGACATGGCCGGAGTGGGCTTGAATTGAGGTGTCGTGGCGAGGAATCGACTGGATCCCGGAAGAGGGGTGGAAATTCCGCTCAATGGCGTTCGGCTTCCTGGCAAAGGCGTGCGATTCCCCGGCTGTTGGGCGGACCTTTCGAAATTCTCACGTGCTTCATTTAAGAAATGTCGAAAGTCGTACGGATTGGAGGCATCAGGAGTCTCATCTTCAGCGGAAGGCGACGTATGGCCGTCTCCATTGGGACCCGAGGAGTCGACAAAGGAATGTTGCTCTGTAGGAAGTTGTGGCAGCTGGCGCGTATCTTTGGAGGACTGCCCCGGGCCAGATCTCAAGTTCATGTCCAGAGACGCGGAGATAGATTCGAGAACAAACGCCGATTTGGATTTGTCGAAGATGAGGGCTAAAGAGTTCGGTTCGTCGTCGGATTTTCCAGGCTGGAGTGAACTCAAAATTCCGGTGTATTCATAAGCCCCCCCATCATCAGAGCCCCCATCCTCAACGACGAGCTGACACGTGTCACCCGACTTCGTCAGCTTGCTTTCACGAGAACCAAAGCCCGACTTGGGCTGCCAGTTGTATCGAATGTTCACCAAAGAATCCTTGGATTTGCTGCTTTCTTTCAGGGTTTCCCCTAGAATGATGGGATATTCTCCCGGGCGCCGAGGATCGATAAACCCCAAGGATCGTATCGGATGGATGGCCGACGAGGCCATGCTGTCTGAACAGACGACTGGAGGTTTTTGAGTGAAATAGTTTGGGTGTAGAAAGGAGGCTTATATTTAGTGTATGAGTAAATGACCCAAGATCCAAGGGCGTTGAAATCTGGGGCTCCTTTCCTAGACAGCGGTGATGGCCACGTGTTGCTTGGCAGGGCGTCCTTGTACCTCTACGTAGGCCTTTCTGTCCATCTCTCTCATTCTCCCTCAGATAGACGAATTCATTGCATCATGCAAAGAGGGAGGAATGTCAAAGTGATGTCCTTGAGATCATCACAGCACGGTTCCTGGCAAATACTGGCGCCATGGCGAAAGCGGAGGGAGAATCAAGCCCCCCCCCCCCCCCTGGCCGGAAGAACAAAGGAAGGGTATGGTCCGAGACACTCCGAGGCACTCCAATGATGCTGTTCAACATCCGACAGGTTTTGTCCATTAAGAGCAGACCCAGGATTTAAGTCGTTACGTCATTTCGCCGCCTCGTCACCTCGGAAGTGCAAACATTGATAGATGATGGACTTCCCACCTGATTTCCCACCAACATTGCCCTCCTGATTGATTTTGCATAGTCAGAAACACAACCCTTTCCTTATCAAGACCTCCACCGGAGTCTAGCACAACCTCATTTCCGGGACTGAGACTGTTTATATTTACAATTGGCCCTACAATTCGAGTTGGGGGTGTTAGAAGACCTCATCGCCTGCAATGTTGTTGCTGGATGTTCGAACTCGAAGTGGAGTTCCAAATCATGAAAGTGGAGATTTCGACCCATGCCTGCTGAACGTGACATGCTCATCATGTCATATTTAGAAGGCAGGTCGTGGGTTCGACTTTCGTGATCTCTTATGGTATGGGCAGTCTGGTTCTGTTGACAATCGAGATCAATGAAAGATCGAACTTGCAGGAGGGGCTGCAGCTCAGATAAGTGACTTACAGACCCCTTATCGTCCCGGGTTGGACATAATGGGAATTGGCGAGATGTGGTCATGCTGGCTTCCTGCTTTGCACCTGAACTACTGTCGTCGTGGATCAGACGATCGACTCTCGTCTCGTCTTCAACTTCCAACGGAATCGCGGCTCTATCGAAGTGAGTTGACCCACTTAACTGACCGAGTCGTGGTTCTTGTTTGGCCTCTACAGCCAAGTCCGACTCTTTCCATTGATGGAGGGTTGCGAGACTTTCACTCGGATGCCGACGTTTGGTCCCGGGCTGTGTCAAATTCCTCCGAATCTCGTTCCGAAGGACGTGATCAAACTCGCGAATTAGCTTGTCCATGGCTTGCCTTCTGTCCTCCGGCAAGGATAAACGATTGATATCCGGTATGGTCCATTTGGGGTATAGTACACCATGTGTCCTTGCTGCAAAGAATTTCCCGTGAAGACGAATGAACACGTCACAAAGAAAACATGCACTTTTGCTCGAGCATACTACACGTGGACATTGTAAGTGTGGATTCATCTCATAGAAAAAGAGGAGTTGAATTTCGGCGTGGACTTTGGAGTTCGGGCGTTCCATTTCTTTCCGAAATCGCGCCGAAGCCTCCGACAGAGGGATGCCAAATCGTTGTTTCGTGTTCTTATCCCAGTCCAAGCCCATTCTCTTCAGACACGCCGAAAGGAGGTGTTCACTACCCGCTAGGAGTTGCGGCACATGCGGGTTGATTATAACCTCGGATACCGAAATGTTTCGGAAAACACTCAAGCATTTTGCGGCTCTAACCAGATAGCCACAGGCGGCACGATACTTACGAAGCTTTGTGATGGTCATGACCACCGTCTCTGGGGCTTGAGGGTGGTTTCCCGCTGACACAGTCAGGTTGGCGAGGATCTCCGTCAAGTCTCTTGCTGAAGGAAGGTTGTCAAGCAAATGCAGGAGCCCCAGTAGTATATCATCTGCCTTGCCGGTCGTGACTGAACCCGTGGGCATTGATTCCAGGTCAGCAAAGGCTCCAACAAGTTGAGTGGTCGTTGACTTGACGTGGTGAACTGCCAAGTTCGACCGATTTGCGGATTCCAGACCATTGATCATGTCCCTGAGGCGAAAGAGAATGGCACATCGGTCAGCCTTCTTGTAGGTTTTCGCGTGTACGGATCTCAGTCTTGAAAGTACGCGATTCCTGTGCATTGGGATAACAATGCTCAACAAATCATTCAGGTTGTCTGTGTCGCCTACGGAATCAAAGATCAGGGCTCTTTCATAACGGAGGAAGAACCCGATACGGGGCTCACTTTTGTGATCAGCTCTTTCTAGCACCCGCGCTATTTTCCCAAAGTCCGCCACAAGATGTGTTAACTTCCGAGTATTCATAGCAATACGAATGGTGCAAGAATCCGGTTGGAGACCCTCGTCAAGCCATATGGCAGTGACCTTTTCAGGATCGTCAGATATTGCCGAGAGAAAGGCCAAATTATCGACAATTTCATGCTCTTGTTGAAAAGAGATTACTCGTCCCGCGTTCGCAGGGAGATCCCGTTGCCGGCAGCTGACAATAGGATTACGAGTGGGTCTGGCCGGTTCAGCAGTCAGCATCCGTAATACAACGATGTCCTCGCGCAACTGCTGCATTTTGGTGATACCAGTGCATCCCAAAAGGATACGAGCTTTTCGATAATTGGCAGATTGAAGATATTGAAAATTTCGATCCAGAAATCGATAAATGGGGAGTAATAACACCCTCATATGAAGATTATATTAAGATCACGAAAGAACGAAGTATGAGGCAAGGAACGTTTACCAAGCAAATCAGCCAGCCATTGGGCGTTGAAGCTGGGAGCGCGGACGGACGAAGGTGGGGGTTTTCTTTTACCTGGGGCGCCCCGAGCTACTGTAGCATTCCGTCATTATAGGCTAGTGTCTGGAGACGTCTCAGGCTCCCGCTTCCGCCTCCAAAGTTAACCGGGACAACAGAAATGTATCACGTGACATCCAGACCCTTTTTTGACTTTCATTCTGTCATCCCTCCAGCGGCCACTTCTATGTATCAAAGGGATCATCTGGCCTTTTTGAACTATTCGTCTCCTCCACCACCAGACAACCCAGTCCCGCCAACTTGCTTCGCGCTCTTTGCGCCACAAATATCATCAACCCGAAGCAGAAGACATGCACTCTCCACCGCGGTCTTGATACTCTGCATCTTGACCGCTTGTGGCTCCCACACCCCGTACTCCTTCATATCCACCACATTACCTGTATCGCCATCGACGCCAAAACTGGACTTGCCTTCTGCCTGCTTCGCTCGCAACTGTGTCAGGATCCGAATGGGGCTGGCTCCAGCGTTCTGAATGAGAGTGCGTGGGACGACTTCCATGGCATCTGCCACAGCCCGGTAGGGCCATTGCATTACGCCTTCGACAGATTTGGATTTCTGCGCCAGGCGTACTGAGACAGCCATCTCCGTGGCGCCACCGCCCGGGGAAAGACGTGGGTGGAACATGACGTTTCGAGCAACCGACATGGCATCTTGAAGGTTTCGTTCGATTTCATTTAGGATGTCTTTTGACGGCCCGCGGAGAAGAATCGTGCAGGCCTTCGGATTTCGGCATTTCGTGATGAAGGAAAAGTATTCGTCCCCGATCTTTTCGATTTCAAACAGACCACATCCCGTGCCAACGTCGGATTCGACGAGATCATCTACTCGATTCACAATGGTGGCTCCGGTAGCGCGGGCAATGCGGTTATTGTCTGTTTTCCGTACACGACGGAGGGCGGTGACATTGGCCTTAACAAAATAGTGTTGCGCTAGATCCGAGACACCTTTTTCGGTGATGACCAGGTCCGGCTTGACCGCCAAAATGGCATCGCACATCTTCTTGACTTGCTCTTCCTCGATCTGTAGGATCTTGTTCCATGACTCCTCGTCCGTGATTTCGATGTTGGTCTGAGACTCGCCCTTTTTGTATTCGAGCGGGCAGTCGAGGAGAACAATTCTTGGATTTTCTATCCGTCTGCGCATGGAAGCGTGGGTAATATCTTTGTTCAGCATGACTCCATCCAACACTCTTGAGTCCTCGATCTCTCCGCCGGGAATCTTCTCTACTCGGGCGTATCGCTTAATGTCAATTTCTTGTGGTCTTGAGGGCGAGGCCGGTTTGGCGACTCCGTTGGTGGGGGGGGGGTTTGAAATAGAGGCTTGATCTTGTGTTACCACTCGGACCGCTTTCAGAGCCAGACCACACATTAGTTTCGAGTATCTCGAGATGGTCTTGGTGCCGATGGAGGACTCAATCAATGAGGTCATGGCTTGGTCATTCGACGTGTCGACCGGTATTGAAATCTCTTCCACAATGGCCAACGCGTCTGTAAGGGCTCTCTTGAAGGCTTGAATGATCACCACAGGGTGGATCTTTCGTTCGAGTTGTGGGAGGGCTTGAGCAAGTATTTCACCGGCTAAAAAATCCGTCAGTCTCGCACAAGGACCGGAGAGTGTCTAACGTACCTAATATTATGACAGTTGTCGTTCCATCTCCAACTTCTTCATCTTGTGTTCGGCTCAACTCAATCATGCTCTTTGCCGCTGGATGCGCAACTTCAATTTCTCGAAGGATAGCGTGACCGTCGTTGGTCAGGACAATGCCTCCCATGGGATCCAGAAGCATTTTCAACATAGCTTTTGGTCCGAGACATGATCTTATAATATCCGCCACACTGTGGTCATTAGTTCACGACAACTCGCGCGGTGTTCTAGTCTTGGGGCTCACGTTTTCGCGGCAGTAATATTGGATATTTGCGCTTTGAGACCGACTTGTCTCTCGCCACTCGCCGTATCTGTTGCACAAGTCAGGCTCTGGCGTCAGAAATGATGGTGTTTTTGGCTCACTCATGAACACCACAGGCGCCTGCATCTTTGCCCGCACTCTAGCCCTCTTTGCCTTAACGAAATATCGAGTCCGCGCGTTTCGCTTCAACAGTGATTTTGACTTCTAGTTCCAGAGAAGGTGAATCCTAAGAACTTCCGCACGGTATGGGAAATGTTTGGACCGTGCAGTCAATCTGTTGTTTTTGGCAGAGCGAACATCTCCAACTTTTTGTGCCAAGCCCGCATCTGCAGGGCTGAGCCTTACGCGCTCACGGCTCCAAAGCTTTTCATATCGTTTTATTCAATCATTGCTACCAAAATCTTAGGTGGTTAGATGGGTCATCCAAAGATGTCATTGTGTCGTTCAAAATTCATCATCCTTTCAAACATCTCTCTAGCCTTCGTCTTGATCCATATCATCACGACCTCGTTTTCCAGCCCCGCTTTTCGCAGTCCGCTTATGTCGCAATGTAGCGCCCTTCTTGCCTCTATTTTCATGCAATTCTTTCATTTCCATCGCAGCGGCCCTTTGAGCATCTCCGACTCTCTCCGCCAGAACCATGACTTCCTCCTTTACCGTCTCGTACTCCTTCAGCTTCTTCCCGAGGGCGCCCTCGATCCTCATCCAAAGCTCCACGTCATATTGAGTGACGAAAGATATCGCCTTGCCACTCTTTCCTGCTCTGGCTGTACGCCCGACTCGGTGGATGTAAGTTTTGCTGTCGTGAGGAAGGTCGAAATTCACCACCAGATCTACCGAGGGGATGTCCAGGCCTCTAGAAGCCACGTCCGAAGCCACCAATAAGTTGCGAGACTTTGCCCGGAATTTGTTCAAAGCCGCTAATCGAGCTTGTTGGGACAGTTGACCATGAATGGGAATAGCAGAGAAACCCAGCGTTCTCAGAAGGATAGAGATCCGTTGCGCTTCATTGACTGTCCGAGTGAATATTATACCCGTCTGTCCTGCCAGCTCGTTCAAGAGATGGATAAGGTAGAGATCCTTATGTTTGTGGGGGATGAAGAGGTAGGACTGGATGAGTGTAGACACGGTCTGGTATTTGTCCTGAGACACCGCCACTCGAAGAGGATTCGACAAGGACGCTCGCTGTAAGGACTCGACTTTGCTCGACATGGTCGCCGAGAATAGATATGTCTTTCGACCTTCCCTTGGGAGAATCTTCAATATTTTGTCCAGGATGGGACCAAAGTCCAGGTCGAGTAATCGATCAGCCTCGTCCATGACGAGATACTTCAGTTGCCGAAGAGAGAAACCTTTGGTATTTTCAAGGTGATCCAGTAATCTCCCTGGTGTGGCAACGACGACGTGGGGCTTCTTTCCGAGAGCAATCGCCTGCGGGATCATATCCATTCCACCCACCAACACGGTACATCGGACCGCAATTAGTGAGCCCAGAGCTTCCACGGCCTGTGAAATCTGATACGCCAATTCTCGTGTTGGTGCTAAAATTAACGAGTGTAGTTGTTGTGGCTTGTCCATCAGTGCTTGGAGGATGGGGAGCACAAAGGCTGCAGTCTTTCCACTTCCTGTCTCTGCCAAACCTATGAGGTCTCGGCCCTGTAACGCCAATGGTATTGCTTCGGCCTGAATTGGCGTTGGACTTTTGTATCCGAGCGATTCGCACGCCTCGCAGAGTGAATCAATTATTCCCAACTCCTTGAATGATGTAGGTTTCGTAGGTCTGTGTTCAGTGTTCTCCTCATCGTCTGAAGTCGTAGAAGCTGCGGTCTCGTTGGTAGGAGGTTCTTCGTCGGAAGGGCTTTCATCGTGTCGTATCTTTCTCTTTTTCAGAGGGAGCATACTCGCGGTAAGGAAATTTTGTACGCGGTGGCGGGAAAGAGTGTAGCCATATGCGCTGTTACAGTGCACTTTTTCAAAAATTATTTTCTTCGAAGCCTGTATTGCTTTGCCGAAGTTCTACCGGGCGCCTCGCTGCTATACCAAGGAAGTTAGATGATCATTGCAAATGGAACTCATCATTCGACCAGCTCCGTCTTATATTGTAACAGGCCAAAATAGCTCTTATAGTTTTCGATATCATTTTGTGCACGTGAGAACAGGTAGTCTGATATTCTAGCAATCAGATACATGAGTCTGCAGAGACCATCTTACTACTGGTCCCGAGACGAGAACGTAGTTATCACCAGAGCACTCGCCTCCCCGGCGAGGAAGAGACGGAAATTCATTCAAATCACCCACTTATCAAAAGGGTGGCTCCATTGGGTTATCATTCGGGGTTACATCCCTTACGAATGGGGGAAGACAGGTTTTGATATCCGTCTTTACATGGGACCAGTTTCGTTCCAATTATCCTGTAGACTATCATAAAGCATCAATTTCGTAAACTGATTCTTCATCAGAAATTCTCTGCCAGCCGCTTCCAAAAGGGCTTCTTCACCGCTCCTATATACTCTTCTCCACTGCTTTCTTCATCCACAGCCGCTGCTGCATCGACATCCCTCCTCCTCCCGACATCCAAGTCAATTTCATACAGATGCCAGTATTTTGTCTTGAACAGGAATTTGTAGCCGAAGTAGATAATTGGAAACAGAGGAAGGAGAATATATGCATCCACGAAATTGCCAGCATTGAAAGGGCTCAAGGTCGTCCAACCTTGAACTAAGCCCAGGAACAAGTTTGCTGCTAGACCGAAATATGCGTTCCAAGGGTACAAGAATGATTTGAAAGGAAGTTGGCGTTCACTTCGTCCTTGTGCAGACCAAGCTGAGCGGAATCGGATATGTATGAACGAGATGGCACCCCAGACAATGAAGGTACTGACGCCGGACAGGTTGACAATATATCCATATGCCTTCCCTGCACCCGTCGAGACATTCATCATGGACAACGCTCCGAAGAGGTTGGTGAAAATGATAGCAAAGACAGGCACTCCACGAGAGTCCGTGTAACCGAGGAACTTTGGGGCTTTCTTTTCCTGTGCCATGAATAGGACTGTCCGTGATCCGATGTAGATCGAGCTGTTGACGGCCGAGAGACACGTGATGAGAATGAACGCATTTATCAAATGAACCCCTCCTTCCCACCCAGCATTTTGGATCGCGATTGTCATGGGGCTTTTAAGTGCTCGAGACTCTCCATCGACCAGGGAATCGGCATTTGAAGGGCAGGTCAATCCAAAGAAGAACGCGGATCCCATGTAAATGAAAATGATGCGCCAGAAGACTTGTCGAATGGCTCGGGGGACCGCGACCTTTGGATTTTTGGTCTCAGTGGCCGCCACGGCAATGGATTCGCAACCAGCATAGAAGGTAGAGCAGAAGACGAAGACGGAAGCAACACCACGAAAACCGTGAGAGAATGCGCCCGGGTTGTGCCAATATCTGAAACCCAAAGCTCCCTTCTGACCAATGAGCCCGCCTGCGGCGTAGACAATGCTAAAGATGAAGTATGCAGTCAACCCGAGCAGCTTCGCGAGGGCTAACCAGAATTCCGCTTCACCAAAAGTCGTCACACCGAGGAGTTGGAATCCGAGGAAGGCGAACCAAAATATCAAGAAGTATCCCCAAAGCGGTACCTTGTCGCTCCAGAACACGAAGATGGAAGAGAGTACGTTATACTCGTTCGCTAGTACGGCGGCCCAAATGACGAAATAATTCCATCCCACAGCGGTTCCAAAGGCTGGGTCAACAAAGCGATCGGCCAAGGTAGTGAAAGCGCCGCCACTGGGGTAGAGAGTAGTCATTTCTCCCAGGGACTGCATGATGCTGAATGCGATGATGCCGATGACACCAAAGCCGATGAGGAGAGCCGCCGGTCCTCCATTGGCAAGAGCGCCTGAGTAGGCATGAGCAACTCGTCTTGACTGGGACATGAAAATGCTGTCTCACCTCCCGACCCAATAAGCAAACCAGGTCCGATGATACCTGCCAAAGCCATCATACTCAGATGACGAGTCTTGAGGCCTCGCTTGACACCACTATGGGGGTCAATCACCTGAAAGTCTTCGACATTCTGCGATGAATGTCGTGAAAGGGATTCTTCTTGAGCTATTTTGATATCGGCCATGTTGGGGTGTACGTATGAGGTTAACGGAGACAAATATTGGCTTCGAAAGTCAAAGATGCCAATCTCGATGTGGGAAATCACTATATGTTATATGGTCTTTTTACTTTTGGGTAGTTCGATAGGATTTGACCGCCACACATGTCGCAATCGGGCAAGAAAATTGGGCCATTGGCCCGCAAGACGAAACGTGCCGACCCGTCACGAAGGACACAGAAAATTGCAGTATCAGGTCCAAGCAGCTGCGGCCGACACCGTTGATGCAGTTGGCCTATTGCAATATGAGCGCTGAGAGTAGTCCGAATGTATAGTAAGACATATGATTGGCATGGCTGATAAGCCCAACATCGGTCCTTGTCTAACCGGTTGTTGTCTTGTCCTATTCGGGTAATGTTATTCTGTACACCACATTTTGTTATTCTGTACACCGCTTTTGATTGGTCCGGATTTTTATTTTTCCGGTTATCTGCGCAGTTCGAAGATACGTGATGTCACAACACCTAAGTCTGCCTATATAGAATGCAGAAATGATGGTTAACGATGGTATCCTCTGCACGGTCGATACCTCGTGCTGACTAAGGTAACAAACCAGCGCCCATAGGCTTGGGAGGACCGCTCATAAGCCGGAGGGGGAAACCGCCCATGAACCGGGGGGAAACCGCCCATAAGCCGGGGGGCAACTGCCCCGCTTATGGGCGGTTCCCACCCAAGCCTATGGGCGCTGGTTTGTTACCTTAGTCAGCACGAGGTATCGACCGTGCAGGGGATCTCTACACAAATCCGGCTGTGTAGGCCACAATAATTTACAAAGTATACAGAGAAGCTCAAAATGCACGGTACTTATCTACCAAGGAAAAGGGAATCAAATGTGTTTATTGCTTCGCAACCACCTATAACGGGGAGAGTTTAACGCGTCACCCCTCCACAGCTACGCCACTTACTAGTGTTTTCTCGCCATCGCCGGGCCAACGGCAACAAGCTCTGTTAGCGCGGTGTACAGAATAACAGGATGAGAGCGTTAAGTGTACAGAATAAGGCGAGAGAGAGGTGGTGGTGTACAGAATAAGGAGAGTTGAGGCATGGTGTACAGAATAAGCAGGTTTTCCGGTGTACAGAATAACAAAAGTTGGTGTACAGAATAATACCCCCCGTCCTATTCTATTCTAAGATCACGTGATGAAATCACAAAGCTAGGGGGTTGGTGGGAGGATAGAATCGGAAGTCCGCCTGAGCAGCATCAGGCCGGACAGGAGAGAGGGATGAATCGGAAATCTTCAGAGATATGATTCCATATTCGAAAGATATTTGCTTACGAACTCGACTGAAGAGAAGGCTTCGATTGCCAAAGGAACCGTACAGTGATGATATTTGAAACTCTCCGGCCTTCATCTCGTCCTTTGCAAGGTTCAATCTAGGGGTATAGCAGTGCTCAAGTTGAACAAAGCTATGCCTTTGATGTGCTCACTCACCCGGCCACTAGTTCGTTCACTGAACGCCAGCCTTGGATGAAACGTTCTCAACCTCGATTTGATGCTTCTTCTCATCCAAGGCATGGATGTGGCTAATAGTGCCCTGAAGACCTATTTCGGTTGCCATGTTCAAGCCCTTTTCTGTAGCGGCTCCTCCACCGACCAGAGCGTCGTCTCCATCGAAATGCTTTGCAATCTCTTCCAAAGGTGTGTTCCGTGTCTCCACGTAAAAGAAGTACACGACGGCGAGTTCGATTGCCAGCCAAACACAGTAGAATATATAATATTTCCAGTTAATATGGTCTAGGGCGATGGGGTTGACGTATTGGTTGAAAAAGAGGGCTGCATCGACCATGAGAAACATAACCGTGAGTCCTTTCGCTCGAATCTTGTAGGGCAGGATTTCAACGGTGTAGCCGACCAACATGCCGGACCAGGCAATGTTGTACCAGAAGTAATAGATGTAAATCATCCTCCCGAATTAGTCAATACTTTGTCGGTTGTTGCAAGAAAGCTGCGACTCACCCAATAACAGCATTGGCAGCGGACTTGGAGCCATCGATGGCATATCGTGCAGAGCAGATTGTCCAAACAATGAAAGTCCCCAGCATGCCGGCGGTGGAGGTGATGAATAATTTGCGACGTCCAACCTTGTCGACAAAGAAGCAGGCCAGTACGGCAATAAAAAGGTTGAAAATTTGGAGGACGCCATTGATCAAGTTTTGTGTCAAGGTATCCGTGTAACCGATACTGTTGAGAATCTGTTTACAATATGGGTTAGCCCATCGTTTCTCACGAGAGGGATTTTCACCGACTTTATTAATATAATATGACACCAAACCGTTGCCAGACCATTGGGAAAAGAGACCCGCCGACAACAAGATGATGAGTCGGCGCCGGTTGCCCCTGGTCTTGACCAGTTCAAGCCAGCCATTGCCTTCAATCTCTTTCTCAAGTCTGATGGTGTCTCGAATTTCCACGAATTCAAGCTGGACCAACTCATCATTCTCGTTGCCGTTGGCATGCACCTTTCCAAGGACCTCCAGTCCCCTTTCTTCTTTGCCGTGGGCAATATACCATCGGGGAGATTCCGGGACGAACCAAATGAAAATGATCTGGATCAGGGATGGAGCGGCCTGGGCGATGGTAGGAATACGCCAGGACCAGTTGTTCTCAATGTGATCGGTTCCGTAGGTGAGCCAGGCTGCAACGATAGCCCCAGCATACCAGGTGGTGTTGTAAATGGTGGTAAAGATTGCGCGATGTTGAGGGTGAACCAGTTCTGTGATGAGCAGAGGGGATGCTCCATGGGCAATGGCAACGCCGAAACCAATGAGGAATCTCGCCCCCAAAAACATGCCAAAACCCGCTGAGATGGATTGCAAAACCACTCCGACCATCATGATGATGCAGCCAATGAGGATACCCATTCGACGGCCCAGCCAATCCGCAGTATAAGGGACAAATGGAATGGCACAGAGGGAGCCGATAGACATGATCGCATTCAGAATGCCAATTTTGCCGCCCTTGGGATGGTTGAAATGGTCTTGCCACGCCGTGAGGGTCTGAAGACCGTTCATCATGGAGCCATCGTATCTGAAAAGAGGCTGATCAGTGGCGGCATCTTTGCAACCGTGAGCACTTCATAGGACGTACCCATTGGTGGCGCTGGTAAGCACCACAAACATAAGAACGATGTAGGTCTTTCTCAACGCCGGATCTTTGTACCACGTCACGGCGGGAAACTGTCGACCGGCCAGTTCAAAGTAGCCTTTCCCCATGGTGCCGACTTGCTACTGAAGATCAAAGATGTCCTTGCAGGAAGGGAAAAACAAAGATCGTCCAGGAAGGATCTATGCAGGATCTTGAAAAAGACAAGGAAAAGAGAAGGAGGAAGGAGGAAGAAACCTCCTTTATACTAGGTGGTATCCCCTCCGTGCAAGACTTCCCTTGCCCAGAGTACATATGAATGTTACGGTGTATTTCTCGTGACAGCGTTCTAGAAAGTCTGCTTCGATGCTGACAAGGATTGCGATAGGTCAGTAATGGACTGCACTAGGACTTAATATGGACCAAAGAGGTCTAGATGGAAGACTCCTTCCCAGGGCAAAAGGCTGGATAGGGTGTGCCCCCCCGCGGTGGGACTGCTGATGCTCGCGAGCTTAGGTCCAAGCTGAAGAGTGTGTTATCGACGATACAGCAAAGTCTGGGGACAAGAAATCGGCCGGGGGGTTTTGCCGAGGATATTCCTGAGGTGCTCACGGCAAAAAGAAAAATAACCCAAGGGGCTCGCTTAGAAATTTAGAGAGACGCATGCATGTGTCACCCTGGTCATGATTCAATTTTCCTGTTTGAATCAAATGCGGATTCATGGACAAGTCGCGACTACCGTGAAAGAGGGCTCCACCTTTGCTACCATAGTTGAGCCAAAGTGCAGGGCGTCTGATTCAGAAGTGTGGAGGAGGGGGGAAAATGTGGGAGAGAGAGTCGCGTTCCTTAGTGGTGTGGCAGGAGTAGACCCACTTCTTACTTAACAGAGGACGGATGGAGGGCCTTCATGGCTGTGCCAGGACCAACTTCAAACTCCCCGTAGATATATTATCCTATTACCCGGAAACCCGATCTTTTGCCACCAACCGGCTTGTTCAGTCCGCACCTTTTCAATACCTCCCGCAATTCGATCGTCAGGTGCTGGCAAAAGCCGTGGCTCCACAAGAATTGTTCGCTGGTGTGCGGCCAGGCTTTCTTTCACGCAGCTCTTGTCCCCCACAGAATCTTGGTCAGGTCAGGTGGACCAGAAAAGAAACGAGGACCACGCCGGCCGGATAGAGGGCATAGGGCACCACGGGGAAATGACTAAATTATCATCTTTTAGCCAGCGGGCAACAAGGCTCGATCAGAGAACGACGAGCCGCATGCATCTGGGTGCACCGCCTCCACATTTCATGAAGACCTTTAGCTAATCTCCTGTCACTTCTACCAGGTTCGCTAGGACCTGGATCCTCATCTCAAAACTGCCGAGAACGTCTACGTGCTTCTACCAACGTTGTCGCCAAACTGGGAAGGTGAATAGTGTTGGCAGTCCACATTGGGACTAGCCTAGTCACGTGCACCACAGCCTTCGTGGCCTTTTTCTAGCTTGCGCCTCGCTCAGATAGATTCAATCAATCAATCTTCTCTCGGCCCAACAAATAGATCGTCAACATTTTTCAGACCAAATCTCATGTTTTGCGGGGCCCAGTTGATATCTGAGATAGAATTACGTCGGCGCCGTTCATCCGTTGACGAGTTCCATAGAGCTATTTCGAGGGTCAACAACATGCAATTTTGGGATCCTAGTACGGTATAGTCCGCTCAGAATGCTCTTCAACTTGCTGTCGAGCAACCTATAGGGATCTCCATCAGCTCCGTTGTTTTTCTCGTCTTTTCGTATCCAACCATGTATTCCTTCCTTGGCCTTGCAACTGTCTTCACAGCCTTTGTGGCTCTTGGTCCCTCGAACCCGGTGAAACCCAGGTGCCCCCCGAGGAACAACATCCTCTGCCAGGTAAGACCACAGCGTCCACGTCAGTGGCCACTCCAGCTCCAACATCCTCGGTGCTACCTTCTCGTTCTGGATAATTTGAGCCCACGATTCCCCCATACCTCCATGACCTGGATCAGTCAGCAGTGCTACCGTTTCTAGGGGATGCATGCGGGCCTCATACCGTGTCACGTGATTAACCAACTATCCGTAGTCCGGAAAATCTATAGCCCGACAATTCCTAAATCCTTTGCCCTCATTGGCTGAAATCCCGTACGTCGCACTCAACCCCATCGGATCCAGTCTATGGACTATATGTAGACGACATTGATTACTGTGTCCTCTGCCCGTACGATATTCCCCATCGGATCTAGTCCATGTACCATGTGTAGACGATGTTGATCACTATATTCTGTGCCCGTACGATATCCTCCATCGGATCCAATCCGTGGCCCATGAGTAGACGATAGTATACCCAATTTGGAAAGCCGACAACCATATCGGCGATATATCTAGCGAATACCGATACATTGGGCTCAGATATCGGCGATGAGATCGGTATTTGCTTGTTCATAGCACTGCATGGAACAGTTGTCCGTTTCCTGTGGCTGACGGTGCGAACCAGGAACCGGAGAGGATGAGAACATTCTGTACCAGACCATTCTGAAGACCACACATATCTTTGGCCAAATCACTCTAGCAATTTACATGAAGTTCTTTGCCACTGAGCCAGAGCAAGGCGTCTTCACTGGTGTGCAGGTTGTTACGCCTTCCCAGTTAGGTCTAGCGCGATGTCGCACCAACGCCCTCGTGGCTTTTATTCTGCACTTCGCTCAGATAGACTCAATCAATCAATCTTCTCTCAGCCCAACACAGGTAGCAGTCGATATTGCCCAAAACCATGGGAAATACCTACGATGCCCACAATCTTGTACGGAACTCGCAGCTCAGCGACCAGGCCATCAACAGGACTTAGACTACAGAAACACTAACTACGGTCATGGAAAACCACATCAAGGCCCTAATCATCCACTGGCAAGACGTCTGCTATGCTTGGGATGTCGTGAATGAAGCACTTGCTTCGAATGGGAGCTTTTTGTCCGGCGCCTGGGTAAGTTCAGCTTGCTCATCCTTCTAACTCCGTCCGAGTGAAGACTACCATTGGCCCCGAGTACTTCTTCCTGGCATACCAATTTGCACAAGAGGCAGTTGAAGCCACTGGGAAAGACATTAAGTTGTACTACAATGACTATGGCATTGAAGACACCGGAAACAAAACTCAAGCCACATATAGTCTAGTCGAAGAGCTACAAGCTCGAGACATCCGTATCAACGACACGAGCCTCAAATCTCACTTCAAAGTCGGCGGGACGCCAAGAAGTGCTAAAGAATCCCTTGGCACGTGACTACAATCCATTACTGTTTGGCAACAGAATGATTTGTTGCCCAGGCAGCGGCAACTTCGGACGTCAATCAAACGCGCCACTGCCGATAATATGTCTCACTAGGTTGGCACCACACAAAGGACACACCACATCCCCAACTGCCGCTATAGGTAAGGTCCGAACTTGCGAATTGCAAAGGTGAAATGCTAAATATAGCGTTCAGACAGAATTACATCGAGATCTTGATACCTTATTCCAAACGCCACTGAAATCGCAATACCTTCCCTTGGAGCCTCTCCAAAGGGCCTCCATCGAAGAGTAGGGTTACCACCCGACGGGAATATGGCCTCGCCAAAGACGGAATCACGCGTCGTGCCTGTCTCCCAGACGCCCAAGAAGGCAGTAAATTCTGTACCCCATGACGATACCCAAACTTATCGCTTACACGCTTTCATCTATAACCTTGACTCCATGACACACGTGGAGGACACAGAAGTCTCCATTTTTGAGAAGCTTCATAATATGATGGCCAAGAACGCAAAGTTCACCGAAACCCAAATCAAGAGGGCAGAAGAAGCGCTCAAGACATCCGATGAATGGGTTGAATGGCGGTCGGATATGGTCTCAAAGAGCTCCGGAATGACTTCTCAGAATATATTTTTCCATATGCTTTAGAAAGCTCAAGAGGTCCTTCAAGCACAATCCGTGGCAAGGACACGACAAGCTCACAACGTCGTCATTAATATCGGAACAAAGGTACTCGGGTCCGGGATTGGCAATGAGGACTACGCAGAATGCTTGAAGGTTTCCAAACTGGACCTGGCCAGTATTGCCATTGATGTTGACAAGGAAAATGTGAGGTTTTGCGACATGAAGACAACCTGGCAACTCAAGAAATCGGCCGACCAGACATATGCGCAGTCCGAAATACAACTCTCTCTCTTGAGATGCAACCAAGCGTTCGGGAACGATCCATTTCGTCATTTCATATACTCTATCTACGTCGCCGGCACGACATTGCGTCTCTATCAACTGAACAGAGGGCAGGTACTGTGTTACGAAAGTGAGCTTGATATCGCGCAGAATACATTGGGTTTTCTGCGCTTCGTTAACTGGCTTATGCTGGCCAGGAACGACGCCCAGGGCCTTGCAAAGAGACCCTCTGCCATCGGTAGAAGAGTCATCAGCTTCACTCCTCCCGGATGTAAGATACCATCGCCACTCGTGCGTGTGGGTGTCGACGGGGTCACGACACGCGGCACTACAATATGGCCTATTGAAATGCAGAAACCGAAGCCAAAAAAGAAAAAATCAAGGAAGTTGACGGCCAAAAAGGACACAGAGAACTTACCTACAGAAGGTGACGATCTTGCAGAGTTGAAAATGGCCTGGATCGACGAGGTGCGTACGAATGAAGCTGACATCCTTTATGAACTTAGCGATGTCGAGGAACTACTAAAGCTTTTTGAGTGGGAAGACGGACCCTTAACAGCCGAGTTTGACGTCCTACCGGAGGCAAAACATTCAAGAGAACATCTCAAAATGGGACCGAATTATCGGTATATGAAGGTGACGCACAGCAAATCCTCCATCACGGCAAACAAAACCCAGAAGAAAGAGGCTGAGAAGGGCTTGTTTATGCCGGAAGTGAACGGGACCGCTATCGAGTCAGCCGATGAGCCTTCGTACGCGAGAAGACAGCGATGGTATCTGGAAGAGTACTGTGGCGTTTCTGTGGATACCTCACGGTATGACCTTTCGCAACATCAATACCCCAATCCTCGAGATGTCACTGAACTTGAGCGTATGGTGGCTTTACGTTCTGCTGTACGTGCCATCCAGAAAATGTGTTGCAGAGATCGGCCCGTTGTCCACCGAGATATTTCTCCAGCGAATATTATGGTGATGTCGCCCGATACGCTGAGCGAGGAGGGCGCCCCTCCGCCTGGAAGGTTGATTGACCTCGACATGGCTTGCGTATATGGAGACCCCCATTCCGGAGCTCCCTGGCGCACTGGCACTTACCTCTATATGGCAATCGACATTCTGATGGGGGAACACCCTAGGCACAACCCATGGCATGACATTGAGAGTGTCTTCTGGGCTCTGCTCTTTGGAGAGCGGAACCGAACTACTGAAGGTGCGAAGGAACTACAGGGCATTGTTTCCGCCGTGGAAGCCCAGCCCACAGAAGCCAAAACATGTGTACAATTAGGGTACAGAAAATTGGCTATCGTGGGTTATTTTTGGAATACGTGGATGGGCGGTGAACGATCACGTCTCTTTGGAAAGACTTCATTCCCAGTCATCCGGCTCATGCATCGACCAAAGGCTGAACTGTTTGAATTCGACGAACGAAAGGAACCAGATCGTCTAGCAACCTTTGAAGACGTCGCTGCCGCGGCGGATGAACATATAGCCACCTCTATAATACGCAAATCGCCCAAATTTGCGGTCCCTGAGGAAGGTGGGAAAGTAGAAATAGGCATCGAAGGGCTTAGTTTGGAGGAAAAGGCCGACAAAACTAATCAGGACAAAAGCAATAATCCTGCCAACGAAGAAGGCGTCGAGAAGGCGGAGAAAGACGTATCCATCGAGAGGATTAAGCGGGCAGTTGCCACGATCACAGAGCGCATTGATGAGTGGTTTGCTGAGTGTATTGATGACCCGGAAAAGGCTAAGCAGGCTTGCAAACAAATTAAAATCGAACCACGAATTTTGTCACGTGGAACGCTAGGCCTAGTTGGGACTAGCCCACTAGAGCACTCGTTTACTTCTTCTCCACACAATCCTCAGAAGAACAAGACACAGATAGACCATAACAACGACTACTTCAGTCAACCTTAACCCTCCCCTCCTGACCTTGGCTTCCGTTCACCTCGTCCACAACCTCGACCTGAGTGGACTCTAGTCAGTGATCTCGAAGACCTTAGTCCTCGCTTCTTCAACTTATCACTTCTACGTTCCCACAGCGTCCATACCTCTGTCAACGAAATGGATGATACCGCAGGACCTTCCGGTGGTGACTCTCGAGAGACAGGTCGAAGCCCTCCTCGAATTCCGAACCCTCCGTCATCTCCCCCTACTACATACTCCAAGAATGACTACTTTCGAGATGCTGAGTTCATACTGTTGTTACAAGAAGTTCCCATCGATGAGATTGGACCTTATCTATCTCAATTGGTCACTGATGTCATTCTCGGGATTGCTCGAGGTGCCGTGGCTGCTCTTGATTCACGCACTCGAGGAGAAAATCGTCTAAAAGCCGAGCAACGATATCAGGACGATGAACAAGTTTTCACTGAAGCCGGTGCTCGTGCTTTCATTGATCGCTTTGTTCAAGGCCCTGCTCTAAATGAAACTTCTGCTGTTGAGACTGCACAAGAACGAAGACGCCGACGTCGTTTCGATCACGGGCCTGTCGAGGATGCTTATGCTATTTCCCATCGAGACACTCGGTCATCTCCAGGTCAGCAACCTCGATATCAACCACCTAGAGAGTGGAGTGTCTTTCCCAGTGTGGCACCTTTTGGTACACCTTTCGGAATGAACCCTTACCTTGCTTCATCTCCTGCAATGGGTTTTCAGCAACCATATCAGTACGCACCTCCTCCAACAGCCCAATCTCAACCTCAAATGATGCAACCGTCAAACTTGACTTCTCGTTCCACAAGTGGACGTAGACTCAAAGCATCAGAAATGGGAAAATTCGATGGCGCTGGCCCCGAGACGAGGAAGAGAAAGCATGCGCCCGAGATGGCTCCTTCGCCAAAGAGAACCCGAGTTGACAATGGTGGCCTGATAATCAACGGCGAACTGAAATACTTCCGATCCGGAGCAAAGGATTTTCCTCATCTTCTACAGAGAGAGGGCCAGGCTTACTTCGATCGTACCGGCTACATCTCCACGGCCTTCAGCATGCAGATGAACATCGATGGCTGTACAAGGTACGCAACTGTATCCTTAATTACCTTGATGTGAGAACTTGTATCTTTTTCAATCATTCTAGGGTCTCGATGTGCAAAAAGATATCGATGAAAGAAAAGTGAACCCCGGAAAGTACTTCGTCTTGAAATTCGATTTTTCCAAAATCAACCCCCACCCAGACCTTACGGAGGCGAATGAGGCACTCATCAAGATGTTGAATTCTTCCATCGAGTGGTTCTACGAAGAATACACTGCCTATTTGGGCGGAAAATCTGAAGCTCTATCCCAAGACATTGATAGTAAAGAACCCAACATTAGTCTCAAGAAGTGTGTCAAATCAGTTCGACGTGCGATTAAGAACGACGAGCAACTTGCTGGTATTAAAGGGATCTACGTACTCGTTGACGAGTATGATGCTTTTCCTAATAACTACCTCGAACCACCCAAGACCGTCGGAAGACCCAAGATCGCTTGGGAGGATACAGCAGTCGGACGGACTTTCAAGTCTTTCTGGGCTACAATAAAGTCATTATGCGCAGACGGGATCATCCAAAGAATTTTTATCACGGGCATCTCACCGCTCTCCTTATCCGTTCTCGGCAGTGGGTTCAATGTGGCGAGAAATACGTCATTCGATAAGGACCTAGCCGGGCTTTGTGGTTTGACATACTCGGACTTGGAAGACGCCCTAAAGGGAATCTACGAAGACCCTGAAGTCTACAACGGTTTTCTTTCAGAAATGACTAAATTTTTCCACGGATATCATTTCTGTAATGATGAAACGGTCGAAACTGTTTACAACACGGAGACGTGCTTGGCATATCTTCAGCGTCGTATCGAGCGAAAGACGCCAGAGACTCGAGACCCGGAAAACTCTGAAGTATCTGAACAGTTTCTTAAGAGATTTGCTGCTTCGACGCCAGTGATAAGAGACTTCGAAAAAGCACTGGAATGTGACGGAAAGGGGAACTTTATGCCCGTCGAATACGACCGATTCAGACCTGAATTTACGCTTCGAGACTTGGTATGCTAATACCTTAGCCCCAGTTCCCGTTTCTGCTAACCTATATCTCTTTTAGAATGAGGATGAAGATTATTCTTCGTGGCGTTCACTAACTATCTACTTTGGCGGCCTTACGTTTCACCCAGAAAAGCCGACAACGCACCTTAAGATACCGAATAGGGTTGCGGCAGATCGTATCGCTCTCGCGGTCCTCCGAAAGTATGGTCTGTGTAACTCTCTCTCAGAAGCACTTCGGTATCCCGTGGACTACGGAGAGCTTGAACAAACGTTGGGTTGTTATCGAGAATTGATGATGCAACGAGACGTCACCACCCAAGATCTTACCCAAACGCATGAAGCAGCTCATCGGGATAGCTTCTATTTCAGCCTACTGCAAAACCATTTTCTTGCTCCACGCGCAGAATTTAAGGTGATAAAGCCAAATAAAACAAACGGCCGTATCGATCTTATCCTCCAGATTCCCGGACAACTGATAGTTACCGAATGGAAGTTCTATCGAATTAACTTCCTAAATATACAGGATGGCGACACATATGCGCATCTCGCTAAAGCAGACATCCTGCGCGACTACAACCTCTCTAAAATTCTTCAGCTTAGATTCGCCACTTGGGACAGCCACCATGAAGGAACAATTAGGTCATGGGTTATTGGAAATGAGGCCCGGCAGCTAAGAGATTATATCAAGAGCACTGAAATACAGCAAAAGGTGGAGAAAGACAGTCTTAAGCTGCAGGCACACTTTGTTATTGTTGTCGGGTCACGTCATATCTTGTTGTGGGATATGGATAAGGAGGGAAATTTGGCTGCAGAACCTCGTCTCGTACAGGTGCCAAGCAGATCTAAACAGACAGGATGATTCGTGGATTGAGCGAGACGAACTCCGTTCATAAGTGCTCGACCTCGTCGACGCATTCGATGCTCGGCATAAAAGATAAGGTTGATTGTGAGTCTCAACTTCTACTCCAACACCAACAGACAATTATATCATTTGATGGCATTATTCACCTATATATGGTTAGAATGTGTATGCTCGCATTCGCGTAGTCCATCAAAGCATCGAAGACTGTCGGAACTGGATTCGACCGGAGAGTCTCTAGATGGACCACAGACTGGATCCGATGGGGGTGTCCCACGGACAAAGGGCACAGTCAACAACACCATCCACTCATGGGCCATGGATCGGATCCGATGAAGTTGATGTATGTCATTTCATGACAGAAACTTGAACCCTTGGCTTATATACTTGTCAGAACCCGGTTCGTGACAGGAAGTATATCATCGACAATTGTTGTTTTTCTATACTATAAGGGCAGAGAGGGATATATATAATTCAATCAGAGCATTTCCTCTCAATGAAGAGAAGTTTGATACACGGAGCGCTTTTCAAAAATCACATGGACTAGATCCGATCAGGCTGGGGAGGCTGCGCCGTACAGTCCACTGCCCCCGGTCCCCGGATTGGATCCGATGAAATACTACGACCCATCGGATCTAATCCATGGATCATCTCGACCGTGATTGGTAGAGCCTCTCTAGGTGGTCCACAGACTGGATCCGATACGTGGCCCATCTCGATATCGAGGATATCGACTTCTATCGAGTAGGGGCCCCCACGGCTACATGGTCCCTGGATTGGATCCGATGACGGCGCGGCAAGAGGGAGTGCCGACGCCATCACGTGAGACAGCTCATGCCACGTGATCAAGTGAGGTGCCAAGGCCATTTACCAACGTGATGGGCCAACATGACGGTCTTGGCGTCTCCATACATTGCCAAGCCACGACCAGGCGATTCCTAAAAAAGGACCAAAAAATTCAGGATAATATTTTATTCCGCCAAAAGCTGCTTCAAAATTGACACCAAATCGCGGTTGACCTATCAAGGACGAAAACGAGTGGTCACACTCGGTTTTAGTCGAACCGATAGAATTGAGGGGCCTTACTAGTGTTCGATCATATGTAAGGTAAGAGGGTTGTCCGGCCTAGCTCCATTGAGTCTAGGTGCCCTACATGGGTAAAACGTAATGCTCCAGCCAGCGATTGTTGAGGTCGTCTAGTTCATAGTTGGGAGGTCGCTGATTCAAACTCTTCTACAGTTGAACTTGTCTGGCTGAAGCTTTCGTTGGTTGTGGCGCCCCATCTATCAGACAGTTATACACTGGCAATAGGAGGGGGCTTTTCTTTTTTTTTGAATTTTGAGCTACTAGTCCTAATGCTCTGCGGGGTTACTGGACGTTCAGCGACGCGGGTTTTCGATCCTCAAGCCGAGTATAAATGCTGTGTCGATGTATCTCGTCGCGCAGAGCAACCATCAGGAATACCGTTGTCTATGGAAACCTCTTACCAGTGTTTCAGTGGTGGAGCCTATGTATGATAACTCCCCTGTTTGACAGTCGACCTTTGACTTACCAAGTCACATCATTCTATCTATCTAGCAAGTTCTATTGTGTAAGGACATCCAATTTCCCACTTTGTCGGTACATTGGACAAGCACGAGTCGGAAAGGCACTGAGGCAAATAATGAAGCTCAATAATCTCCGGATGCTCTTGCATGACTGCTTCTTCTACAAATCTCGGCAAATGCCAATAGTGGGTGCGAATCTATACAACTGCTAGTTCGTGCACCAAAGAATTATCGTGGCCGCTCAAGCCCTACCACTTGGCGTTGACTCGGATCTTGGCTCGAAGAGGAGAAACCCTCGCGAGGCCCACGCCCGGAGTTAGGAGATAGTAATTTGATATAGACCGTCGTAGGGCTTTACCCTGCACGGCACGGTGATGTACGAGAGACATGGCACAGGAAGAAAGAAGTATAAATAAATGCTTTACTACAGCTGGATCAGACCAGGGAAGAGAGACCAGTCTCCAGCTCTTTCTTCATATTTGTAACTTGATTATACTGCATCAACCAAGATGACAACAACAACTCATCCAGAGTACAATGAGAATACTGAAGCCTTGGACGTTGCGAAAGCATTTCCGGAAGCCATTCGAGGCAAAGCGATCATCGTCACGGGGGTCAACCGGAAGGGCATTGGCTTCACTACCGCACAGGCTTTTGCCTCACAATCTCCTGTACATCTGATCGTGGCAGGCCGTGACATGTCCAAACTCCAAGAATGCATCGATGAGCTCAACCAGCAATGGCCGAACGTGGACTATCGCTCGCTAAAGCTGGATCTCTCTAGTCAGAAAGCCGTCCGCACTGCTGCTAATGAGGTTCTCTCGTGGAACGATGTGCCCTTCATCAACATCCTAGTGAACAATGCTGGCGTAGCGAATATCCCCAAACACACGATCAATGATGATGGGATTGAACTGCATCTCGCGACAAACCATATCGGACACTTTTTGTTCACCAACCTCGTCATGCCAAAACTCCTCAAGGCAGCGGAGACCAGCCCTAAAGGAGTAACGCGTGTGGTCAATGTCAGCTCTGGCGCGGCCGAAATAGGCGGTATCAGATGGAGTGACATCAACTTTGAAAAAATTTCCACGGATCTGCCTGAGGTGGAACGCCCGAACTACAAGGTGCTCGAAGCCTGGGGAATCCATGATGGGCCCAACATGGCATACATCCCATTGATGGGATATGCGCAAAGCAAGGCGGCGAATGTGCTTTTTGGCATCGGACTCACCAAACGATTGTATGACACCCACGGCATATTGAGTGTTGGCGTTCATCCGGGAGTAATCGCGACAGAGCTGTCGAGGTATGCAACGAAAGAAGAGATGGATGCAATCAAGGCGAGAGCCCAGAAGGGGGAGTTTAACTACAAAACGTCCGGTGCAGGAGCGTCGACGGGCTTGGTTGCTGCCACAGACCCCAAGCTAGGCGTTAGCGAGACCAAAGATGGGATCGAGGGATGGGGAGCGTACCTCAAGAATTGTCAGATCTCTCACGACGCCCATGCTCGAGCGAAATCGGCCGACGAGGCTGAAAAGCTCTGGAAACTATCAGAGGAGCTTGTAAAGGAGAAATTTTCTTGGTGATTGCAAGATCGACTGGACCCATTCGTTTCAGGAGAAATTGCGTGTCCGTCCGCATAGACTGATGAAAATTTCAATCCTTCCCATTCCTGTTTTCTTTTCGCTCCTCTTGACACTTCCTAAGTGTGCTTTCGTTTTGGCGCTATGATGTAAACGTGGGAAGGAGTGTGAGTGGTAAACAAGTGGCTTTTAAAGCGACCATTTGATTAATCCCCCTTCTTCGCGATTGCTTGCTGTTCACCGCTAGCCGTCGCATTAAAGGTCTTAACCAGAAGGACATAATGGCAGATAGATCTACTCACCTGGGAGATATCGCCAGACTGAGAGTTGAGGGTTGATGGAGTGGGCAGTTTCGTGTAAATCGATACGCTATGACTACTATAAGCGACAAACTAACGATCCATACATGTTGAAAGAGCAGAACATTAAGATGATAATGCACAGAGGCCCTGTCTTGGTCATGGTCTTCTGAGCCGTTCGTCGTTCGCACGATATCGGACAATAGTTGTACGCCAGATGATAATGGCATCTGACATTGTAGAGGAAGTGTTGACCCTCTTGATTCGTACGTAGCCAAGTTTGGTAACGATCTCTTGAATGATCTTGTAAGTGATGGGAGAGACACCACATACCCCCACAACCTAAGCATCCATCCAGCCGATGCGCCTTAGCTTTTTGCTTAAGCGAGCTTTGTTGTGCGAAGGTACTCGAATTTCGCTGAATGTGTCTTGGATGTGCTTGCCAGTCACGACCCGAGTGCAGCCTCCCGTGACAGGACAAAAGCGGTCTGCGATCAAGACGACGCATGCTATGAAATCCTTTTGAATCGCACTCCGATACCCCAATTAGATGTCGACTTCCCAGCAAGCTTCTGCCACGAGAGCTGTCATGACTCCTTATAGGAAAAACTTTCATTGCTGCCGCAGCGGTGATGGCGACTTTTCTCTGTACGGCCATGGATACACCGATTACATACTGTCAAACTTCCTGTGCAACTTGAATTGAAAGAGTGCTCTGGCTCCCGTAATGAGTGTAGGACAGAGCCCATTTGTATGTATATCTACGCAGTGTACGTCAACGCCGTTGCCTGCATTGTAGCCTGTCAATGGTGTCGCAGTCTAGGAGGCGAGTGTTGCCGAATGGGTCGGCCTGTCGCGAACGATAGGCCACCAATTGTTCAACATATCAATATCAGCGATGTCAACAGATGTCGAACGAGTCTTCTCTTCAGCTAAGAAGCTTCTGACGCCGGAGCGCAATGCCCTCTCTGTCGAGTCACTCGAAATCTATGAGGTCATGCGTAATTGGTGGTTTCATGACATTGTCCTAAATCGAGATGAAGACGAGGAGTATACTACCGCATCAGGAAAGGTCGATACCTTATTTGGGCAATGCTCTATGGCTTACATAAGGTGGGATTAAGGTTTTGCAACGTTTCGAACCGTCGAAACACTGCGAGGGGAGAGGTGACACCCTCAAGGAGCTTCTAAGCTAGAACATGATACAGTACAGCATATGCGCAGGGTTTGATTTTTGATATTGTGATAATTCACCCCGCCTCACGAGTCCGCACCCCGTTGATAGGTACAAGCTCAGTCACCTTGCCCCTCTTCCTGAGTAAGACTTGGAATTTTAATGTAGCACAACCCCCCACGCCATTTCCAAGCGGACAGCGGGTAAAAAAGAACGCCCCGCCCAGCAGCCAGCTACGTTGTCATCGTCGTCGTCATATCCAAAAAGATCCAAACTCACGTTAATTTGCTCCTTATATCAGGCGAGGATTCAACTCCTGAGGATATTTAGCCTGAATGGCTCATCAAAGTGGAGCCTCTCTAGTAGGTCAGAAGATCATTTGCATTGTCCAGGAAGTGGTTCTCATTGTCGGTGCTCTCGGGATTGATTGGGTGGAATAGTTTGGTTTGCCGCGTCGAAAAAGAGAATTTATAGCCACCGGCGCAACCTCTTATGAACCCATAACTTCTACTCTTTAAATCCATTGGCAAATACCCGGGAGCACAACCTCTCCTCTCTTCGACACTCCTCGGAAACTTCTCTTTCCTGCCTTCTTAGGTGAAATGATGGCAACGGGCTACCTCAAAGTCGATGGCGACAAGATTGTCGACGGCAATGGCCAGCAGGTGGTGCTTCGCGGAGCAGCTCTTGGCGGCTGGATGAAGTGAGTTCTCTCCTTCCAAGTCATATGGCTGGTCGTCTTGAGACGTTCTTGAAGCTGAAAAAGTGAAACCCCAAAACAGCATGGAGAATTTCATCACTGGATACCCCGGCCACGAATCGCAGCACCGAGCATCGATGCGGAAAGTGCTCGGCGAGGAGAAATACGAGTATTTCTTCGACAAGTGGCTAGAATACTACTTCACCGAGGCCGATGCACGGTTCTTTGCGGGTCTCAAGCTCAATTGCATCCGGCTGCCGTTTAATTATCGACATCTAGAAGACGATATGAATCCCCGAGTGCTGAAAGAGGAGGGGTTTAAGCACCTCGACAGGGTGATCGACGTGGTAAGAGTTATATGTTAACGGAATCAACGCTTTCGGCACACCTCGTTCTGACAGAACTTGTCGATACAGTGTGCACGGCATCACATATATACGATTCTCGACATGCATACAACACCTGGGGGTCAAAACCCGGATTGGCATTCAGACAACTCTACGAACTATGCTGCGTTTTGGGACTACAAGGACCACCAGGATAGGACGGTCTGGCTGTGGCAGGAGATTGCTAAGAGGTACAAGGACAACACTTGGGTCGCTGGGTACAATCCCATCAACGAACCCTGCGACCCGGAGCACGTCAGGCTTCCGGCGTTCTATAAGCGGATTGAGTCGACCATCCGCGCGATTGATCCTCATCACATACTTTGGCTCGATGGAAACACCTTCGCCATGGAGTGGAAGGGATTCGATAAAGTCTTACCGAATTGCGTCTATGCATTGCACGACTACTCGGTAAGTGAGAGCGGGCCCGAAGAGAGGTGGACTAACGCCACGGGTAGATGATGGGATTTCCCACCGGCGACCGGTACAAAGGTACAGTCGAGCAAAACGAGAAACTTGAAAGGCAGTTTCTTCGCAAGGCCGAATTCATGCTCGAGCACAAATGCCCTATCTGGAACGGCGAATTTGGGCCGGTCTACGCCGATCCAGCTTCGGAGACGGATGCCGAAGAGATCAACCAAGACCGCTACAACATGCTGGGGCAGCAGTTGAGGATCTACGACAAGTACAAGATCAGTTGGAGCATCTGGTTGTACAAGGATATCGGCGTCCAAGGGATGCTGCACACGAGCCGAGAGTCCAAATGGAACCGTACCATCCAACCTTTCCTGGATAAAAAGAAGCAATATCGACTCGATGCGTGGGGAGTACACAAATCGCCAGAGGCGGAAGCGGCGTTGAACCCGTTGGTCGGGTGGATCGATAGGATTTGTCCCACAGCGAAAGAGGCATATCCAGGCCCGTGGAATACCGAACGACATGTTATGCGAGCAGTGATTCAGACCTGGTTGAGTGCGCAGTTCTCAGACGAATTTGCGCACCAGTTCTCGGGCATGGACATGAAGGACTTGGACGAGTTGGCACACAGTTTCTATTTTGACGAGTGTGTTCAAAGAGAAGGATTGAACGAGATCTTGAGCCAGCATGCGGCGACATCATAAAGCAAGGACCACAGGACTGGAGAGAGATTGACGGCAAGATATGGATCGATATGGATCTTTGTAGATCAGCAACAGCGACCTCCACACCCGCTTAAGATCCGGCCAAATCAGGTCTTGACGAACCTCGACACCTGCTCGATTATGGTGACGATGACTCTGCTGATTCGTCGGTGGGATTCAACTTGGCGACGGTGGTCACTCCGATTACACCGAGGCCCGGTTCGATCAGAGTCCTGGGAGGAAATCCGAGACGTTTCAACGAGAAAGACGAGCTTGTCTTCAGTGTGCCACGCTGGCGTAAATTCGCAACCGGTCTGGAAAGCCACATCATCTGAATGCCGGCAGCAGAAGGATGCCGTAAGCCATTGGTTGCAGCATTCTCGGTGTTGATAACGAGGATGAAGCAGTGCGCTATTTTCAGATCCCCGAGTGGACGGCTACGATTAGGAGACTTAAGCCCCTGCAGACCTTTCTAAATTTTTCAAAAGGTAGGTCAAATTACCTGATGGGAATTAACAGACTCAAGCGAGGCCTCTAGACTTTGGCCAAGACTGATCGGGTGCGTCGTGGTGACTATTTACCGACAAGCCGTTGTTCGGAATGGAATTCGTGTCCTCGGTCTGGAGAGAAAAATTCGCTTGGAAGAGGGAATGGTCCTGTCACACAATCCTAAGAGCTGAATTTGGCAAATACCCGACTGGCGGGTGAGTTGGCAGAGACAACGGCGTAAACAACGGGGGAGTGGTCGTAAATAGAAACCAAATATCCCCCTTTTCTTCATCCCTTTTCTTGTGCCTTTTACTCATCCTCATGATCATCGTAGCTAAGTCGTATTCGTCGTTGCGGTCTCACTCTATGAGGGCTGGGGGGTGGGTGGATCGCCGGACAAGGGGATGTCCTGATTGATGGTGATGAGCTGGATTTGCCAGGCGGTCAGGAGTGCAGGCGCCGCCCCGCATCTCCGCAACCAGCAGGAGGGCAGGTATAGAAAGAGCAATCCCCCGGTGGACTAAGATAAGCCATCCATCGGCATCTGGGTGGATGCACCAGAATATTCTTTATGAGTTCGCCAGGTACTCTCGTGTCTGCATGTATAGCACAAACTAGGACCATGCTCCTGTCCGGCTATGTCCATTTTTACCGTCACCAGAATACAAATTACCAGGCCCTCAGTTGGTGCGCTGAACCAGAGTCTCTTCGAGTGATCCCTGCGGCACGAGCCCAGGCACTCCGCACATGGTGCCGTTCTGCGGGACTGGGGCCTGCGAGTCCCTTGATGGGTTGACTGCTACGACGAGCGTAGTTGCAACCACTCATCTTCGTCGGCTGACTAGGCCTATTTCTCTGCTGCAGCATCCCTCATACTCTCTTTCGTGGGGCCTAGGGGCCGCTGTGGTCTGTGTTTCCACTCCTGATATTTGGATTTTCCGCGTGCCCGTCTGGCACCTCATGTGAGCATTGAGCCAAAAATTCTCCACAGCCGCTTGTGCTTGGACCACCCACACCCATCACGCCGTCATTACTTCCACGATCACCTCGGATTTTCGACCACGTCTGAAGCTCTTTGACGACACCATCCGATCCATTCTTCGAGATATGACAGTGGCTCTTCGCTGCTGTCGACCTCCACCGGCGCCAGTATGCTTTCCCGCATTCCCGCACAACCTCACAGCACCTACTCGGAATACCACGACTATGGCCAAAGAGCCGACGTGATCACTTCTCAACCCCAGAAATTGTCTTCTCTCGTCCCAACAAATCCACAGCGATACCATGGCGATAATCTGCAGGCAGGGCGCAAGAGGAGGGAATCTGAACTGGACGGCAATGATCCTTCTGAAACCACTGGGGTGCGCCGCCGAATAAGTCGGGCTTGTGACCAGTGCAATCAATTGCGAACCAAATGCGACGGCAAACAGCCCTGTGCTCACTGCACCGAGAACTCCCTCGTCTGTGAATATGCCCGCGCTCACAAGAAACGGGGCAGAGCCCCCAAAAAAGACATGGAACAAGCCGACGAGCCCACCTATCTCACTTCTCAGACGATGTCCTCCAATCGTCCTGCTATGCCTCAAGCCGCCGGCTCCAGGAAATTTTCTACCACATCTTACCCTGGCCAGGACGGGTTGGTGGACGGGAATGCTGCTTTGCCTTCCAACAATACGCCTCCGAGTTCTACATTCGAGCCGAATCACCACCCGAGTACGTTCTACACCGGCTTCGATCCGACATCTGGAATGGGCATGGCCAATGCGAATCAGATTCATGAAATGGATCAATCCATGGTACCTCAGATGGGCCAACCTCGAACGATGGATTTTGCTGTTCCGAACCAGGCATATCCGAACTCCACGCTCGATTCCATGCACGTCCAAGGCGCATCACAGGGCTTTGGCTTCCCCCTGGGAGATGACTATTCCGTGGCATTTATGGGCAAGGCTCCCATGGTAGAGTCGCCAGATTGGCTGGCCCTCACATCCCCTCTGTTCATCAATGAACCTTTACCTGCTCAGCCTCGCGTTACGGACACGTTGAGGTATCCGGTGCTGCGTCCGTTACTGCCTCATATCGAATCAATCGTTCCTCAAGCGCTCGCGTGCGATCTTCTGGAACAATACTTCAATAGCACTACTTCTGCATATCTGAGACCGTCCAATCCGTATGTGCTAGGATATATCTTCCGCAAAAAGTCTTTTCTCCATCCCACCGATCCACGGCCTTGCACTCCAGCGCTGTTGGCGAGCATGCTCTGGATTGCTGCTCAGACAAGCGACGCTGCCTTCTTGACCACGCAGTTGGATGCTCGAGCTCGAATCTGTCAGCGATTGTTGGAACTGACCATCAACATGCTCAAGCCCCTGATTCATAGTCATCCCAACACTTCCGCGGTCACGCCCAATCCCAGTTATCCTCAAATGCCCCCCAACGATGCCGGCCTCGGGGCATTGGTGGTGCCGACTCATTCCGGTGGCCATGGAGTCGACCGTGCACAAATCGACAACTTAGCCACCTACATCCATTTAGCCACCGTGGTATCGGCGAGTGAACGAAAGGCGGCCAGTCTGAGATGGTGGAATGCCGCGTGGTCACTAGCTCGGGAGATCAGGCTCGGTCGTGAGCTTCCTCCCAATCGGCCGGAGCAGGATGGGGACGAAAATGCCAGCAGCAATCTCGCGGATACCCATTCCGGTGACGGCCGCAAAAGCTGCGTGGACGACAATCGTCGCAAGCCGGCGGGCTACGTCTCAGAAGAAGAAAGAGAAGAACGGCGGAGAACATGGTGGCTCCTATATATGCAGGATCGGCACCTCGCCCTGTGCTACAACCGACCCATGTTCTTCCTCAACAAGGAGTGTGAAAACTTGCTGCAACCGCTGGATGACGATGTGTTCCAGGCCGGACGCTTTGACAAAGCATCAGACCCGGCGCACCGGCGACGGGGCTTGAACATTGAATGCACGTCACACAGCGTTTTCGGGTATTTCTTGCCCCTGATGGTCATCCTGGGCGAAATCCTCGATCTCAACCACGCCCGTAACCGCCCTCGGTTCGGCCCGAGGGCGAACCAGACGAAAAATTGGGATGACCATACCGAGGAGATCACTCAACAGCTCGAGACATACGGACAGAGCTTGAAGGATTTTGAAGCTGCGGGTGGTCATGGCCCTGACGCCAACCACAGCGACGTTGTCACGCCATCGGTCGTCTCGGCAGGGACCACCGAGTCGCACAGTGTTTCGGAGCTGGCGCTGCAAACCAAAACCGTGGTGGCCTATGGGACGCACATTATGCACGTGTTGCACATCCTCTTGACCGGAAAATGGGATCCCATTGCTCTGCTCGATGATAATGACCTCTGGATATCCTCCCAGTCATTTGTCACAGCCACCGGGCACGCCGTGAGCGCCGCCGAGGCGGTGGCTGAGATCATTGAGGACGACCCGGATCTGAGTTTCATGCCATTCTTCTTTGGTGTATATCTGCTTCAGGGCAGTTTCCTCCTGCTGTTGTTCGCGGACAAACTTCAAGGTGACGTGAGCCCGGACGTGGTCAAGGCCTGCGAGACGATTGTGCGAGCACATGAGGCGTGTGTAGCAACTTTGGACACTCAATATCAGGTAAGTGTCTACGACATTTCCTCCCCCCTTGGCGATTTCTCAGAGCTGACACGGAGGACAGCGAAATTTTCGAAAGGTGATGCGGTCGGCTCTCCAACAAGTTCGTGGGCGGGTTCCGGAGGATTTGGCCGAGCAGCAACACTGGAGACGTGAGGTGCTTGCCTTGTATAGATGGACAGGGGATGGAACGGGCCTTGCTTTGTAAAGCGGCAGGGTCCATATCATATATGAGGGAGCTAGGGTACTGAGGTACTACATATTGGGAGCATAATTCGAAAGCTGCTCCTCCCTCAAGGATCTTTTTTTCATGTATATATCTAGCGAGATACCCAAGTCGTGCACTCATGACAGCAACTTACGAATATTTATTGATTATGACTGGATACAAGACGGAGCAAATACGAGGAGCTTTTGTGGCGGGAGATTGGAAACAAACAGGACGCACACGTGGACTGTCAAGAATAAATAATATCGCATTTGCCGTATCAGCATGGCGATGATTTGAAACATGGAGGAGTGGAGGCGAGATTGGTTTCGGAGCAAAAAAAGACTTCGAAGTGGGTTGGTGACAGCGTCGGGATCAAATCAGGCCACGAAAGCCCAAGGGCGGTGATTGATGAGATAGCTAGAATCTGGTTGAGGTGAGGCAAGGATATTGATATCGCACCCGTCATCGGTCAGACGCGGCTCTGCTCTGAATGTGATATGAGAAATGAACAACAACAGGGGGGCTTCGCAGGACTGGCGGAGAATGGCCGAATCACACGGGTAGTGGTTGTATGACAGCGACTCTCTGCTCTGTTCGCACATAATGTGACATAAAATCGATACCGACTTGGTCAGCCGCGTTGATGTATCTTCTTTGTTCTGGAACCTGGGCTATCTCAGCCGGGCCGATAAGTATCGAGCGGTATGGGCGACCAGATACAGTAGAAAGGTCGTAGGCTGGGGACTCTTTTAGGCAGTCCGGTTGGCCGCTCCTCTAGCTAAGATTAGTTAAAAATTCTCGACAAACTGTGGGCGCCTGGCGTGCGGCTAGCTTGGTGGCTCTCAATTGGAACCACTTTTATTGGCGACAAACCGCTCTCAAGGTCTGAAACCTAAACACCAGCCAAAACCCAGCCAACAGTCTTGGGAGTAACAGACAACACGACGTCTCCGCCGACGACTCCTCTATCCTCCCTTGGATTAACTCTGCAGAGATGGCGCCCAAAGATGGAAGACCGAGGTACACCGTTGAAGACAAGAAGAGCCATCAATCAATAAAGTGCATCGGCAAGACATCGAAACGACATGCCCACCGCCCACACGACGCAGAGTTGCTCCTCCTTCATTGTTACAAGCCCCCGACACACTGGACAGACTCGCCAGACTTCTTGACCTTCAAAAACACCAGGCCAGCGGAGCTCCTCCTATCGCTGCCCCTCCATCCTCTTCGCTCTTCCTGGTCCCTCACCCACGAGCATTGAACTATCACCGCGTTGCCTTTCGCACCTCCTTCGCTTTCTTTTCTTTTCTCTCTTGATCCATTGTATACTCACCTTGAGCGCCATGCGTCGTACATAATGCGCCCGATTCGACTCACCTCCACTGTCCGCACCGTCCTCGTTCGGCCACGTTTTTTCCTCTTAGCTGCGGCGGGACGCAGATAATACTATGGCCTGCTGATCAGATCGCTAAACCCACGCCGCCCTCGCCGCCCTCATTGAAACCTCACCAAGTTCTAAAGATCGTCTTTCACTTTTTCCATCTTCATCATCGTTATCGTCGTCGCAGCTGCAAGTCAGAGAACAGTCAAAAGTCCTCCTTTTGGGGGCTGGACCTGATCGGCTTGACCGTACTACTCTGTGACCATCCCCGATTGACTGGATCTCCCGGACGGATTCTTACGGCACCAACCTCCTCCCGAAAGGACTAGGGAAAATTCTTCCTCGTCTGACTCGATTCTCATCAGCCATGCCTGCGGTGGTTCCAGTCCGTGCGACAGGTTAGTATTTGTCTCAGTCGGAAAGCTTGCCTTGCAGGCGTCAAAAGCCGCTTGAAGGGCAAAACCCCCCTTCGGCGGACTACTGCCACTGACGTCTACACACCCAATTCCCCATCCTCCACCCCCCCGGTCGTACCATCTCCACAACCCTACCCTTGGAATTTCTGGTCGTTGAATTTCATATGTGTTTCCTCATCTCTGTCCCACGTTACTGACCTGAGTATGTTTCTTCCGTCCAGACGATTTCGATATGGCGAAGTTGCAAAAGTCTTTGAAGCAACGGCAACATCATTCCATGCGTCATAGTCGTCACGTCGCCAAATTGACCCCATCTGAGATTCGATCGCTTAATAATAATATTGCTCTTGTCTCAAAGACTGGAAGTCAATCTAGTTCCAAAGGAACTTCTTCACCGGCAAGATCAAGACGTTCAACCAATGCTACTCCACCAGCGACTCCCGATGACCCTTCTGCCTCTCCAGCACAGGCTCATAGAAACCCCGGTTCGAGAAATAACAGTGTCAACCTCCAGACTCCCCCCCATACCCCGAATGAGCATCGAAGATCATCCCAATCGAGTACCCACGGCCATCATCATGGCCACCCTGTTCAGAGCCATGCGAATGGAATCATTCACGCTCCACGACCTCGAGGATCTGCCCAAGCCGCCTTCATGGTCGCCAATGGAATATCTTCTCGTCCATCAAGCTCTGGTTCGTCTAACTATCGTGGATTTCCCACCTATCGAGGACCGGAAGTCACTCGTACTGGTTCGATCAATATGCTTCAACGTCCTTCACCCACCATCGTGACGAATCCATTGTCCAATTTCTCCAGGCCCCGGCAGAGTATGGTTAGCTCGTCACCAGAGCGATGTCGGCAGGAATCGCAAGATATTGGTATTTTGGGGCCTCAAAGTTTGCGTAATGGACGCGCCAATTCTTTGCCCAGTGTCAGTGCACCTTCATCCAGACAACCGAGCCCCCCGAGGGTTACCGATTCTCCGGTGTCGATGATCGTCGACGGCACCGAGAAATTCCCGGTCTTGGATCCTGTCGATGATCCACACAATCAACCCAAGATCCAGGACGACGATGAAGATGCTCAAAATGAATCCAAACCACGGGGCGATGATCAGACCCAAGAGATATCCACGACTCCTGTCGACAGGTCAAAGGAGGTGGCGGAGCCAAAGTCGCCGGGTAAGAAGGACAAACCCAAAAGGTTTACGATCAGCACCGCTTTGTTTGGTGGAGATAAGAGCCATCAAGATGGCGCAGAGAACGCCAGCAAACTTAAGAAAGCCCGAAGACGGACCCTCTCTTTCACCAAGAGTGACGGGATTGAAAAATCATCTCCCGAAGTGCCGACCACTGCACCCCCTGAGGAGGTCCAGGTGGATGGAGCGACCATCGAAAACGGTGATTTTGCTGCACATCCATCAGTTCGGCCTCTATCTTTGATTATCCCCGGCGAATTCAAAGGCAAAGAGAAGGAAATTTACTCCGGCCCGGTCTACGCTCGATGCGCTTGCTGTGGTAAATTGAAACGTCCGCCGGGGTATACGAACGGACTCACCCCAGTGGTGGAAAATGAGAATTTGAGGACCAATTTCAGTTTCGAAATCGAACGAACGTCAGACACTACGGCAAGACGAAGTTCGGATGCCAGTCGAGGCAAATTTACACCAATCATTCCGATGGAGGTCGGCGAAAGTGAGACACGTCAAGCAACAATTGAACCGCCCATAAGTTCGTCTAGTCCCATGAAGCAGCAGAATCAGTACACGAGCATGCCTCCTCCGACTAGGCAGCAAAATCAATATACAAGCCCGGCGAGGAGACCGAAGAGACATTCTGATCCTCCGAGATTCGTCAGATTCGGCAGCTTACATGGTCGACGAAATGCTGATCCAACAGTGATCACTGAAGAGGATGAAGATGAAGTGGATGAAAATCAACCTCTAATGACTGAGCAAGCTAATCCGGATCAAACGGGTGTGACAGCCCACGATTTCGCCGTAATGGATGAAGTGGTGACAAGTCAACCGGTGTTCGACAGCGAAACGGACCGAGCAGTAGTCGAGGCAAAGTTGAATGAACAGCTTCTCACAACCGAGGTGCCGGAGCCCATTTCCCGACGACCATCAAATACGGGATCTGAATCCGACAATTTCTTCACACCTGTTCCTGGTACGACGCCCGTGGTTGAGGATCAATCCAACGAGAAGCAAGATGCCGAGCAAACAATGCTGTTGAACCGAGAGAACTCTTTCCTCGGGCTCCCTGAGCCGCAACTTGGACCCGATTTTGCACCGAGCAACGCGACACTTGGAGAATTGGTTCTCGCCCCCAGTACGAACACGGTGAAAATTAACAGCCTGACGGATTTGGGGGCGAGTGGTGCAGCCGTGGATAATGGTGAGAAGAATATCTTGGAAGGGCTGGAAAAGTCGCGGGAGGTCGATGCAGAGAGACACAAAGGTCAAAAATGGGTTGCTGAAGTCATGGCTGTGTAAGAGTGAGGATAGATGGGGCGCAGATGAGGGATGGGATTTGCGTAGATCTAGGTGGTGGCGGGGAGTCGTCATATTATACCAGCGTCCAATGTATGCACTGACTGACTGATATATCTTGAACATGTTAGCGATTGTTTGAAATATGAGCCTGAGCATTGTATATATTTGAGAACTTGTATTATCATGTCGAGCTGGAACCCGGCTAGGCGAATTTCTCTAGTAAACTGATTTTAAGGTGATAGAACCAAGTCATGCAAAGTCATTCAAATACTTGCTATTGCCCAACTACAATTGGCTCCAAGTCACCGTCTCCCTGCCCAAAGTAGATATATACAATAATAAGACTCCGTGCATCAGCGTCGGTGCCGATTTGTAGTTCGTTAACGTCACTGCCCTTCTCAACTCGGTCTGAGTCCACTGTATGTCTGGATTATTTTCTTTCGGTGTTGTTTTCTTGGAGATTTGTATTTGTGGGTTGGACCTGGGCTCAAGCCCGCCAATTAATCATGTCCACCCACAGATTCCTCGCTTGTTTGCCGTTGTGTAGTAGTGCTTATGTACCACCGAGATACGCCCAAAAGCGTGGAAGACGAGCTACAGTATGCCTGTCACATCGCTGCGTGCGGCAATCTTGGCGTCTAGTCCGGCCGGGCCATGCTAGACGCTTGACCCAAACCTTGATGGCTGATTTATCCTCTGATGAGAAAGTTATGTTCGACCGTCCCCCCCATTCGATGATGGACGATGGGCCCTCTCTCGATTACGGCCAACATCATTGCGATCCTCGAGCTGACCGCGACGCTCACGGGCTATATCCATAACATCAGACATGCGACAAGAGAGCAAGCGAAGGTGGCGGTAGAGGCCAGCAATCTTTACGGTCTCTTGACCAGCCTACGCTTTCGGGTGGAGGAAGCACGGTCCTACGATCCATGATTCAACCAAGTGAAGCTCCTAGGAAGGGAGAACGGGCCACTCGACCAGCTCAAAGATGTTCTTGAGAAGATGGTGGAACAGGCATCATGGTCAAGAAAGAGAGATCAGATCAAGCCGGCCCTGATATGGAAGTTCACCAAGCCGGAGGTAGACCACGCCCTGGAAAGGATCGAGCGATTAAAGTCGCTGATCCAATGTGCCTTAACTGAAGACGTATTGTGAGTACAATGCCAAGCTGAGATTGAGGTGTCGCTGACAAGACAAGCACGTTGTTTCAGGCCATTCACGGTGATATCGTGGCTTTGGGAAACCAGATGGAGCGACTTCATATTCGTACTGAGCGGCTGCAAAGCCATACTGATCGTGAGCGAGGCCCATCATCTCACCCTGTGGTGAGAGAAACGATTAGGCGCTGATGGAAGAATAGAGGACTTGCAACATCGACTGGCGCAATGGTTGGGTATTCCAGACCCGTCGACGAATTACCACGCAGCTCTCCAGAAGCGACACCCCAAGACTGGATTGTGGTTGGTAAACGGGATACATTTCGCTGGTTGGAAAAGCTCCGAATCTTCTTTGATGTGGCTGTACGGCAATGGTAGTGAGAAACTATTACACATGACCTGTGGGACTAACGGATCTTGTCAGCGGGTTGTGGCAAGACGGTACTAAGGTGAGTCAAACTCGCAAGGAACGTGCTCTTACGGGAGTATGAAGCTGACCGATCCATCAGCGCTGCGGCGTTGCAAAGCATAATCCAGCACCGAGACTCTCGACCGGACACGGCCGTCGGCTACTTCTATTTTGACTTTAACGACGCCGAGAAGCTGTGGTCAGGAAAGGCGATTCGATCAATATTGTTCCAGTTTGCTCAACAAGCGAATCACGATCTCCAGAACCTGAAGCAGATGTACCAAAGTTGTGGGAATGAGCAGCAGCAGCCGGCCGAGGATGCGATCCGATCACTGCTTCGCGACACGACGGACCGGATAGGATCCAAGTTCGTCGTCTTGGATGCGCTGGATGAATGTACTGATCGGGAAGATCTCTTGACGTTTCTCCGCAATTTGGTCGACCTAAAGCTGACAGGTCTCCGTGTGATGGCGACGAGTCGTCGAGAGAAAGGCATCGAAGAGCGATTGACACCGATGGCGAACTACAGCATCGACATCCAGAGTGCTGTTGTGGACGCGGATATCCAGGTCTAACTACGGACCCCAAGCTGAAGAAATGGCCAGAATCGGTCCGAGATGAAATCACAAGTGTGATGATGGAGAAGGCTCATGGCATGTGTGTGACACTTTGAGGTACTAACCACAGACCAGGTTCCGATGGGTGTACTGTCAGCTGGAATCGATTCGACACTGTGCTAAGCTGCGAGCGCTCCAAGAGGCATTATCGAGCTTGCCCAAGACGCTGGACGAGACGTATGATCGGATATTGCAAGGTCTGGAGTCGAGAGGCCAGCTCCGTGATGCGGTCACGACATTGCGGTGGTGGTGCTATTCAATACGTCCTTTACACATGGCCGAAATAGTGGAAGTCCTTGCCATTGAGGGCGGAGACGATGGAGGCTTTTTCCCGGAGGAGCGCCTTCCAGACCCGGCGGATATTATGGTGGTATGCTCCAGCTTGATCAGCTGTAGTGCTGCCGCAGATGACGACGATGACAACTACAACGAATACGGCAACGACGACGACAATGACGATCGTGATGGAGGCGATAGTAGCCATCCAGAAGGCCACATCAAGCAGATTCGACTGGCCCACTTTTCTGTGAAAGAATATCTCTCAAATCGATGTGCTCTTCACTCAGATTTCCAGACCCCGGCGTGTCACCAATAGGTCGCTGAAGGGTGTTTGCGATTGAGCAGACACCTCTGACGAGGGAAGTGGTGCTTCGGTATCCACTGGTTCGGTATGCTGCGGAACATTGGTGGCGGCACGCACAGAAGGTCGATGAAGCTGATGCCCGTACAATGATCGATCTCGCGTCGAGACTGTTGAGCGTCGAAGATGGGGCCCTGTTGTCATGGATACGGCTCTACAACCTTGATGCCCTGCGGAGAGGCTTGTACCTGTCCCTCACATCTGCTGATGTGGCCCCGCCATTGTATTACGCAGCTTCTGTCGGGTTGTTGAGAGTCACTGAGAATGTATTGCTACATACAACGAATGTCAATGCTCAAGGAGGCAGGTATGGTAATGCCCTGCAAGCAGCTTCATATTGGGGCTACGAGAAGGTGGTACAGCTACTGCTGGACGCGGGAGCAGAGCACGATGAGTGGAGCGGTTAAAGTAGTTACGTCTCTTCTTGAAAGTGGAATGCGTTATCTTTCGCGGATCTTATAGCAACACACTGAGAGCTGAGATCTTGGTAAAGTAGATCATGCTCCTTGCTTCGCACATATGAATAGAAGAAGTAGGAAGGCCAAAAGAGCAGAAGTAAGGATTCAGCATGAATTCATCAACTTGGCGTGCGTTTTATAGCACCCGTCAGTTCTGCTCTTGCGTTCACTTTGTCATTCAGCTGGGATGTGACTGACAATATACCGTGCTGTGACGTAATATATGCTGCCTTATGGACGGTGAGGACCCATGCTCATCCGTAGACGGTAAAGCGCAATGTAGGGGTATCTTGGTTATTGACTTTAAAAAGGTCGTGCGACATGTACTTTTGCGATGTGTACGCAGGGCGAAGTTGGTTTTGCATGCAACTGCATTGGGCTGAAGCAAGCACAAGCTGGTGCTCGAGAAAGCAGGATTTTTGGCTTGAAGGAGCAGATGAGGAAAGATATTGAATCAATTCAGATTACATTGTCATCAAATTGGATCTACCCAAATCAAAACTCTACCCGAGGTCCAAACATCTCTCACATTCACCCCCTGATAGTTTGTACAGTTTTCCAAAAAGGCGACATCAAAGTCATTTTCATCCACACACGCATTAATGAGGGGGACCAGAAATGTCCAGCTTGTCTGAAATCGGTAATCCCCAAAACACCGTACCGGATAACAGTATAATTAAATTCAACTTCCTCCTCACAAGCCCGCAGTAATCTTGCCAGCAACCTCGTCAGCCACACTCTCCTCATACCAGGCCTTGATGCGGACAGCCTTCTCGGGACTTCGGACCTTGACATCCATTTGGAATGGAAGCGGTCCGCCGATCAAGTTGGGAGTGAATGCATTGGAGTCAGGCCACTGGGGTTGACCATTGGCATCCATGCATGGTTTGAGCTCGAAGCAGCCAATAATGCTGCCGCAAGCGACAAGCGTTTCAGCTTCCGTGAGTTCAACACCGGGGCACATGCGACGACCCATTCCGAAACCGTGGTGACCCATCAGTCTGGGATACTCGGTGAGAGGCTCCTTATATGTTGGGTAGTCCTTCTCGAGCCAACGGTTGGGTTTGTAGGTCTCTGGGTCGGGGTATAGCTCTGGGTTACGGGCCAGGGCGAGATCGACCGCGTGGATGACCGCACCTTTGGGGAGGTAGTAGCCGTTCCATTCGTCATCCTCCTCAAGAAGACGTGGGACACCCAATGGAACTGGCGGTCGCCATCTGACGCACTCCTTGATGCACGCACGCAGGATTGGCAAGTCGGGAAAGTCCGAAACTTCAATGACACGGTCGCCAATGACCTCATCGTATTCCTTGCGAACCTTTTCTTGCCATTCGGGGTGGAGGACCATGGCGAGGAAGAAGCAATAGAGTGGACCACCAATGGTGAAGATGGCGACCGTGACCAACATACCAACCGCGTAGGCGGCCTCGTGGTCATCGAAACCGAAGGATCGGGAGCCACTTTCTGCTTCCTTGCGCTCAAAGTAAGTTCGGGCGTAGCTGATGGGAGCAGTTCCTTGATCCATTTCGGCACGGACCTGCTTCATGAGACCCTTCCAGAGCTTCTCCTCCTTCTCGCGTCGTTCACGGACCCGGGCAATGGAGGGGTTGAGCCATTCAGGGAGACCACCCAGGAAAGGCAAAAGGTTGGTAATGGGGCCGGAAGGAGAAATCTGAGGAATGAATTCACCCGCGTTCTTACAGTGAGCGGCCGCCGATGCTGGGCTACCATAACCAAGGCGAGCGCTGATACGGCCACAGAAACGATCCGTCAGGGCAAAGTGATCCTTGGGATCCGCGAGGAGCTTATAGAGGAATCGCTTGCACTCGTGACTGACATAACCGTAGTACTTTTGGTTGAAGCCCTGGGTCAAGACGGTGTGGGCGAACTTTCGCTGGTTGCGCCAGTGGTCTAGACACATACAATTAGCCTTCAGGATTCCAGCACGGGTTAGATATCAATTGTACCGTCATGGGCGAGAAGCGGGAGGTATTGGCCCTGGGAGTCACTGCCCGGAACAGCAGGCACCATCGGTCGAGAGGAGTAGATTCTGGCCTTCTTGCACAGCAAATCGTAGGCAATCTTCGCGTCACCGACCCAGATGTGCATCTCACCGCAGATGGTGGAACGGAAGATACCATTGTATTGGTCACAGAACTTCTTCATGGCGAACCAGGGGGCATTTGGGTCGACATCGTGGACACGGCCGATGTAGGGGATAGTGCTCATCGGACCAGGGATGAGCTTGAGGCCCGGGGGAGGGCGATCCCTCAACATGTATCGGATGATCTGGATGGTGGTCACCAGGACGAAGATGCCGGTGCCAATGAACCATTTGTAAGTGCCCATGGCATTGACGGCCGCTTGGGATTGGTAAAGAGCGTCGGAGGTTTCGTTGTTGGCACCGAGATAGCTGGAGATTTGGGTCATGATGACCGACGGCGAGATGGAGGCCGCCATGGTGAAGGAAAAATGCTTTGGCTTGCAACGATAATGGCAAGAGAGCAGGAAAACAAAACGAAGGGAAGGGGGAACCTAATAAGATGGACGGACAAACGAAAAAGAAAGGAGAGGGGAGAGGAGTCCAGGGCGCAGAACAAATATTAAGGCCAAATGCGTTGATCCTAGCGGGGGAGCCAAGTTGGCTGGGCAGTGGTGCCGTGGGAATTACCTGAGTCGGAGGCTCGTGCTGATAGGTGCAGGGATGAGGGCGCAGTTGGCATCAGGGCCCGGAGTCTGGGAGGACCAGAAGTAAGATTTGTCCGTGGCTAACGTCGCACAGGAAGTTGGGCTCTCAGCCCCCTTCAGCCTTTACAGCATCTGCTGAATTGGGATGAAATTGATACATCGGGAGCCGCTAGCTTGGTGTCAATCATAATACAAACTAGGCTGTTTGGGGCCTTAGGGGGCCTAGCCCGGGGCCTCCATGCTGCAGCGATTGTACCTAATTTTGGAACGACGGCGAGCCATCGCACACAGCCACTTGTCCACCACTCGCTCTCCGCAGCGTTTTCCCCTGATACCGGCAATACCGCCTCCTGGGCCACTTTCCTAAAATTGGTATGTCCGTAGCGTGGATCTGGGTCGAATCGAGCATGGCCCAACACGAGCGACCTGCAATTAGCCTCCTGCTACTGGCCATCCTGAGAGTAATTTTTCGCCTGGTAAACCCGATACTATTGGAGGAGCTAGTAAACGGCACGAGTTTGAAACACCATCTCGCGATCGCGCGGTCCGAGGCCTTGGGCTTTGGTCTATTACGCAAAAGAGACGTGATGCATCGCGTGGTTTTCATCAATCTGATCGCCCCCATTTTCTGCTTCGGACTTCCATTGTGTCATGCCATCATATCGTTCATATAACTGATGTCTGCTTCCATCATATTGTATGATGTGTGGACTGATGGTCGCGGCCTCCATCGCGGTCAGGTCCCTTTTCTGCGCGAGAATCAGACATCCCCACTCAACTGTGAAGATGAAGATAGTTTCATTCTCGGGATGACAGGCCCCTCAACCGAAAGTAACGGCCGTGTGATCAACACGAAAGGCTATTCTCCACCATCGACTATACCCTATGGCGTAGCTGGTCGACTTACCGAGTTTCGAACTCAGCCTTGTGAAGTCACGTGTATTTTAGTCAGGTTGAGCATCAAATCTTGGCGCGAACTCTGCCATCAAAGAAATTTTTGTGAACGACCTCATCACCGGCAAAACACTCCATCTCACGGCTGGACTGATCGATTGGTGGGATGATTGCTAAGATTGTCCCGGACATCTTCCAATCCCGAATCCCCCAACATTCCGGGTTCTATTTTGGCCAAGGAAAGGATGACTGCAGGTGGGTATCACCTCACCACCATCGAACACAAATTGACAACCGTACGGCCACCTCTTCTCACCCCTTAAACCCACTCCGTTCCGTGGAAATTGCCAAACTTGATGATGGCTGCTTCCCAACTGCTGTTGGATCCGGTCACCTTACCTTACTGGCCAACCTGTAAAAACGCAGTGTCCTGGTCGGGCGAAGGTTTGGCTGTGGCTGCAGGCGAGGTTGTGCATATCCTGACGCCCCGTGATACTTCGCATTCCCTCGAGGCTCCCGGCCACAAGCGGTGGCACACGTTTACCCTTCGCGTGAACCAATTCGATCCCTCAGAATGGCCTTTTCTACCGATGGCTCCCCTCGGCCACTTTTCGATTGGCGAGGAACTCTCCGAATCTCCCGTCGTCTCGCTGGCCTGGTCTCCGTCCGGATTGGGCCTCTACCGAAGAAGCGTTTTGGCCATCTTAACTTCAAATCTTGTCCTTTCCTTTTGGGAAACGAATGGAAGACTGGGCGTGTGGCAGAGGACTGGCATAGTCAATCAACACTTGCCCGTTGAAACAGGCTCCGAGAAGGCGGATGAGTCCAGACGCAAACGCCGTATTCGAGCCTTCCATTGGCTCCCCGGAATGGAACCGCTGGCCAATTCAAAATGGGGGCCTCAATTCCTTGCGGTGGCCGATGACAACAATACGATATTGGTGTTTCACGTATGGAAAATTAAGACGGCCTCGTATGGACAATGGTCCTTCGAGCGCATAGGTCAGCATAGAGCAGCGAAATCGGATCCAATGACATCGCCCATGCACCGAAGGATTAGTCTCCGTGCTATTCTTTCACAGACGTCGCCAATATCGATGCTGGAGACGACAGAATGGCATCTCCATGAGGATCCCGATGAAAATACCAGAGTGGAAAATGTGATTGTCAAGGTGAGCTTCGGTCCATGCGGTCAGGCGAAGTATCTTTCCATACACGTTAAGAGACCGGTCCGAAATGATACCGATGACGATTCTCCCGCTCGAGAGTGGGAACTTTCGATAGAGGAGTCTCAGATGCCCGCCGATCTCCCCCTCGCTGAGCCGCCTGCGGAACGCTTGTTTGAACCCGCCATCCAGAAACCTTGGTCAGACTTCAATGAAAAGTTTGCTCTCGGAGGAAGAGTTCGCATCCGGCACTGGGGCAGCGCTTGTTCTCCCGACCAAACTCAGGCTGCAGCTTGCGTTTCACTCCATCCCTCTGACATGATTGAATCCGGGATCCCCTCGAATCAGCATTCAATTATCGTGTTTATTCAGTTGCAGGAGCCCCTGGCAACAGAAACAGCGATCAAGGATGATTATACCGTATATGAGGAGATTCTTGCCCTGGTGGTCAATTCTCCGACAGAATGGATCCGGACAGAGTTGGACAAGAATATCGTCCGAAATGCTACGGCTCTCATTTTCAGGAGTTTCTCTTCTTCTCCGAGGTTAATCAGATGGACAACTACCTTACCAGAGCCACTTTCTCATTTGGGAGACCAACCCAGTGAAGGGGTCGATCGAGACGCCACGATCCGGCGGCACCACGACCCCACAGACGCTGAGCAAGATGCGCGCTCCCACTCTGAACCCAGACATCAAAACGTCCCTTCCTCGACCTCACACCAAGAGACTTGCGAGATATGTCGTTCACCCATACAATTCTCATCACCTTCAACGCCAGCCAGGTGCGCAAGAGGTCACCAATTCAGCCGATGCAGTCTCTCCTTCGTTGCTATTCAAGAGCCTGGTGTGTCGAAATATTGTTCCAAATGCAGCAGGCAGTCCCTCGATCCTGGCAAGTTGGAATTGCCAGATGGCCCGAGCTTGAGTCACGAGCTATTCCGTAGATTCGACGTTTGTCCATATTGCCAAGGCAAGTTTCGGGGGTAGATTGGAATGCGTCCTCGACATGGACCTTTGGTGTCACCAACGCAGACCCATCCGCGAACAGAATGAAATCACGCCGGCTCTGAAGCGCGACATTTATGATAATCGCCATCTCTTTGTTCCTGTCCGAAAAGGTCAACAAATCCACCCTGTGGCTTTCGAGTCAATTGTCAGAGTGCTCCGGCAAGTAGTATTGCCGCAAACGGCTCTCTTCTTTCAACATCAACTCACCGCCAGCAATCGCCCCAGATGGTGACACACTTGAAATATCCTTCGATAATGATACTAAATTCGAAACCTTTCATATACCTCCTGGTCTTTGGCGTCAAGGGGGTTCATCCCTACGAGTCCGATGCGTGTCTTGGGCCGTAGACCAGTTATTGTTTCTCCGACCCGGACTCCTCGTAACGAAGTCGCCTCGGTTGAAAAGGACTTCACAATGCCACCTGCAGAAATCCCACGACCTTCGTCGCCTCTCGTAGGTTGGCGAGGTGATATGTCGTGTTTGACAAGATCGTCACAAGATCAACATCATCCTCAAGAGATCAGCCGCTGGTCTAAGACGACGACAGAATCAGAGTCCTCCGAGAATCTACGAGAGACGTCGCCCCAGAAGTCACGTGTGCAGAAGAAAAATTCAAAACGCAACAGGCAATCAAAGGACATGACGAATTCTAGTCCTGTGGACCCATCCTCCGATCGAGTTACCAGCCCGTGTCAACCAATTGACAACCTTGGCATGCCTCCAATCGCCGTGGCAGGTCCGGATGAACCTCGATCTTTCTATGACTCCGGTTCAGATGATTCGGATGACGATGAGCCTGTTATTCACCGAGCAAGCAGCGTTCGTGTCAGCAAACCCCATATCGTCCAGCAAGGCAATGCATCTGGCGGCTCTGTTCCAAAGCTATTCGGCCCCCATTCAGCGCCAACAAATGAAGAAATCCCGACACCAAAAGGGCAACAAACATTAAGCTATGGAACTAAGAACTCAACCCATGGAACTCCCTCTGCCGAGAAGACGGAGAAGGATCTAGTCCGAGGCGGACCACAAGACGCTTTGAAAGTCTTGGAAGGTCAAGATTCTGAGAAAGACTCCTTGACTGCTCGTTCGCCAAACCCAGCCGAAGAGACCACCGGGCAAAAGGATGCCATGACACGAACGATTCTCGAATATCCCGATGCTCCCGGTAGAAATGAGGCGCTTGAGACCCTACCGGCGCCCATGGGTGGCTTTGAATCAGTTCACATATCGAGGACTAACACCGAGACAGCATACTCAAGCAGCACATATATCTCTCCATCCTCCATTGACGGCCTGCGCTCCAATCCCACCACTGAAAACGACAAGAGACTCTCACGAGCCATCTCAGCTCCAGTCCGCAACTCTGGTCGTCGTGTCATGATCCGGCCGGCGGACTTGGTAACGGATCGGGCCAATCATGACCACAAGCTCTTCCGAGAATCCATAGTCAGCACACCCTACCCTGCTCGCCAAAGCAGCATCAGGGAGATCGATGAAGTGCCAGCAGCACCAGAAGCGAAAACAGCTCAACAGCCGCGACGTGCCAAACGTCTCTCCAACCACAAGGAAGACGAATCCGAAGAGGAGGACAAATACTCCGATGCGAAAGAGCAAAATGAGAAGAATAGTGGCAAGGCAGACCAACCACCGGAGATCCCTCTGTCCACCAAACCTGTGTCCTCTTCTGCTCCGACGACGTCCAAATCCGACCGCTTCCCGTCTCCGGTTGCTCCAGAGATCTTGTTCCTCGACCTCCGTCTCACGCGCCACCCAGATGCCGGCGTCACGGTCGAAATCGAAATCACGGACAAGACCACCTTTGACGACGAGCAGCTCTTCGCCATCGTCCGCAACGCCTACACCAATAAGTTATTGGGCATGTCGAGGCGATTTTTCTGCGCCAGGATCCTGTCATACGCGAGCGTGGCTGACCATCTCAGTCCAAACCTCGGAGTTATTCCTTCTCCACGAAGGGACCGCGGCTATTGGCGCGGGGGCCAAGCAGCGGCCATGGCAGCGGACATCGATGGCGGCGATTTCGTCAAGCACCTGCTCCAGCCACGGCATGGACGGAGGAGAAAAATATGGCTCCTTTGGCTCCGCAACCATCAACGTCATGAATCATCGACCACCTCCTCGTTCGCTCGCCGGTCGCGCATGGTGCCTCCTGGCAGCCCCCGACATGCTCCCGCGAGCCCGGTGTTCTCGTTCGCCCACTCTCGAAATTGCAGCAGTGGAAACCACAACGACTCGTCCCCGAGTATGGAAACTGCTCCTAACTCAGCGCTCGGCATCGGAAGTAGGAGCAACCTCAGCGTCAAACCCAGCGTCGCTCTCCGCACCGAGTCGCTGGCAGCCGTGTCGTCGCGGCACTCGCACGTGCCCGTGCAAACGGGTCCGCCGACATTGTACCTGCACCACACATTTTCGGTACGTAAAATCTTAGCTGGCTTGTTGACGACATTCTTCCTCGCTGTCTCTGTTGCTGTCATGTGGATCGTCTTCGGCCCCCCGGGTCGTCGCGCCGACCAGGGCAACGGCACCACGACGTCCGAAGGGAAGGAGTATACGCTCAGTTGGAAGCGGGATGCGCAGGGCAGAGTGCTGGTGGGTTTGGTGCTGGGGATTCTTGTCCTTGATCTGGGTTTGGTTACAGAGGCGGTCTGGGCGTGGGCGAGCTGGGTTCTGATGTAGAAGTTGAAGAGCAGAGTTTCAAAAGATGGGGAAGGGAAAGAGGTGGAAATATGATATGAGACAGATGCAGGAGAGATAAAGATGTCGGTCTTGTCTTCGATTTCGTTGCATTGTTCTACTTATAATAATTCCGTCTCGACTCGTGAATTCAAGTCCAAAGGATGAAACACAAATACACCTTCATATGGATTGTGAAGCTGGACAGATGTGCGATAAACAAGTATGCAGAGTATATTGCACCGTTGTTCACAACGTCATCTTAGTTCGTCGTATCTTATACAGAGTGTATCACCCCATGTATGATCCCGAACAACACCCGAAAAATGCCAATCCCAAACCCAGCCCCAAACCAAGCAGGAGACCAGTCCAGAACTGGACTTGACGGCTGACTCGACCCAGGTAGGTTCTCTTTCATCATCACGAGCATCCCACATCTATATCGACCAGGTAATCCATTCAACCAGCCATCGTCTTTTGTCCGCCTCTACACCAACACCGATTCTCGCCTTCACGTTCCATCTGGATCACGACGTCCATCTTGCGTGAGCGTAAATACATTCCGACTCTCTCCCTGACGTCCTCAAGGTCGGCAGTGAATGAGGCAATGACATGGATGACACCGAGGACGGTAGGGTCTTCATTTTCGCCGTCACATTTCTTCCCTTCGCTGTTCTTGTGGGAGTGGCTGTGATGATGATGGTGATGATCATGACCGTGTGAATGTCCATGATGGTGACCGGGTTCCTTCTTGATATCCTCGAGCCAGAACTTTGGAACCGTGTAGCCTGCCACACCTCGAATTTCGGCAACGCCGCTGAGAATGCCCCGGAGATTGTATTCGACGTCCGAGTTCAGGGACAAGAGGAGAATTTTAGTCGTATTTGCGACTAGAGGAATGGTGGATGCAAAGATGAGAATGGCGATGATGCATGAGGCCACGGGATCGAAGCCGCTCCAACCGGTCCACCGGACGAGGAGGGTAGATCCTACGACGGCCAGGGAACCCAGGGCATCCGCCATGATGTGGAGATAAATTCCCTGCATGTTTTCGCCACCGTGGTGATGGTCGCTTGCTGCCTTCTTGCCTTTCATGGGCGAGGCAGAGGCGGTTAATGGGGTTTCTGATTCGTCATGAATATGGTCATGCTTGTGATCATGGTCGTGGTCATGGTCATCGGGAGAGTGGCCTTCATGTCCATGTCCATGATCATGGGCGCCATGAAAAGCGAAGATGCCCACGAGATTGACAACCAAGCCGATAGTACTGACCACAAGGAGCTCTGTTGTTCGACTAATGTCAGCACCGGAAAACAGTCGTTCCATGGCTTCGTAAACGATCTCAATGCTGATGAGCATCAAGAAAATTCCATTTCCCAGGCCTGCCAGTGTGTCGATTTTGCCATAGCCATATGGAAACTTCAGGCTAGGGGGCCATTTGCTCATGACAGCAGCACAAACACCAACCAGTAACGCAACACAGTCGAAGAACATGTGTATACTGTCACTGATCAACCCCAAAGACCCGGTAAGAATACCATAGGTTGATTGGACCACCATAAAGCACAGATTCAAGATCATGAAATAAAAGATCCGCCGTGACTCGTCATCCTCGAGAATGCCGTGAAGTAGGGCATAGTTCTCGGTCGATTGTAACAAGAGTTCGGTCGGTTTAGAGAAGTTCCTGCGGAACTGGGGACGCAGTGTTCCTCCCGGAGATGAATATGCCGTTTGTTCTGTATCCCTCCTCTTGGGTATAAATCGAGCATCCGAGATATCGAAGGCGGGAGTCAGGCTAATGTGGTTATGCTGGTGGAAATGGGTGTCGACTGGAGGGAGACGACTCGTTTCACTTTGTTGGACGGCCGGCTCAGATGAGATTCGTGCCAAAGGAAAGGGCGCGGTGAGACGACCTCCCGTCCGATGTCGTTGATGGGAGCGTGAGTGTGAATGTGAGTGAGAGGGAGAATGCGAATGAGGTGGCGATTGATCGTGCCCCTGCTGGCAGTTGTCTGTGGCAGCAACAGGCAAAGTAAAGGTTGCGCTCATCGTCTTCTCTGGAGGCTGTGAAGACTGAGCCAGTTTGCGGTTTGGGTCAACATCCAGCTCTGCGGTCCAGCTCTGCGGTCAAGCACTGCGTTGGAAGCGAGGTGAGGTGAAAATTGAAGGATCGACTGTCGTAAAGAATCTCGGCACAATGGGATGAAGTTGGTCAGTGCGAAAGAGGGTGCGTATACGAATGAGAGTGCGACAGGCACACGCAGCGATGATTCGCGGATTGGATGATCGTCCACCAGCTCCCTTTTGGGCAGACGGTGTTCGGTCCAATTAACCAGATTGCATGCGCAGACAGCTCTCCATTGGGCGATGCTTCAACTTGGGACTGTCATCATTTCATACTCCCTTATCATTGTCTGGTCATTTGGAATGCCGGTGTTGGATCCCGGCCATGTTGTTGACATCGCTGGTGATCATTTCTACTCTCATTACTATCTTGTTACTGATTTTACCTTCCCAGCGCAATCCAAATGATCAACGATGCACCGTCCAAGTCGTTGTCCTCGGTGACCTGGGTCGAAGCCCACGCATGCAGTATCATGCCTTGAGTATTGCCAATCATGGTGGTCTCGTCCAGCTTATTGGTTATCGGGGTATATCTTCAAGAACACTCGTGGTCGCGAGAGATCTAATGTTGCTGGCCCAGAAACCGATCCTCTGCCGGAGCTGGTAACGCACTCAAATGTCACTATCATACCGCTTCGTCCGGCTCCTCGGCCACTTCAAACGAGTAACAGACTGTTGTTCCTCCTGTTTGGCCCGTTGAAGGCTCTTCTGCAGACGTGGACTTTGTGGCGCACCTTGAGCTACTCAGCGAAACCCTCGAAATGGATGCTTGTCCAAGTAATGTGGTCGTCCAGACGCTGCCATCTTCTTTCACTGACGTTTGTTCGTGCAGAATCCACCTTCGATTCCCACCCTGTTAGTTGCCTCGATTGTGTGTTTCGTCCGAGCTACCAGGCTAGTGATCGACTGGCATAATTTTGGCTATTCCATCCTCGCACTGAAATTGGGTGACGATCATCCGATGGTGACCATGTCAAAGCTGTACGAGACGACGTTGGCAAAGACCGCAAATGCCAACTTCACCGTCACACATGCCATGGCCAGAATTGTGAGATCTGAGTTCGTGACTGATGCCTCCGTCTTGACGTTACCTGACCGTCCCGCAAACTTGTACCATCCCTTGACAGAATCGGAACGCTTTGCTTTCTTACGGAGATACTCGCCTTTGGCAGGCCACTTCAAAGCTCTAGTGGACGGAAAGACCAGATTGATCGTGTCATCGACGTCTTGGACTGCTGATGAGGATTTTGGGCTCTTTTTGGACGCTCTCTGCAGTTACTCCGCCAGTGCCACTTCTTCTCACCCTCAGCTTCCCGAGCTCGCCGTGGTCATCACCGGTCAGGGTCCGCTAAAACAACAATACCTCGGCAAGATCCGGGATCTGCGTCGTGGTGATGCTCTCGAAATGGTGGACATTCATACCGACTGGCTCAGCTTCGAGGACTACGCTCTCCTCTTAGGATCCGCGGATCTCGGAGTGTCCCTGCACACCAGCAGTAGCGGTGTTGACCTGCCCATGAAAGTGGTCGATATGTTTGGTGCGGCACTTCCAGTGGTGGGCTGGAGCAAGTTTGCCGCCTGGTCTGAGCTGGTAACTGAACATGTCAATGGACGAGGTTTCAGCAGCGCAGAAGGCATGGCTGATATTCTCCGCGAGCTTTTCGACCCACAGTCACAACAGCTGGCAACTTTGAAAGAAGGTGCAAGAATTGAAAGTCAACGTCGGTGGAACACTGAGTGGGATCCTGTTGCAGGCAAACTCTTCGAACTAGTGGCCTGAACGGTGAATCTCCTTCGAACGAGGCTGAATCATATACCATGCGCTGGGCTGATGGGACAAGTTAGGCAAAACGAATCTTGGAGCTTGCCGGGCCCTCACATCATTCTGAGGAGGTCAGGCCTTGCTTGTCCAGAACTACACACCAGCCCAACCCACCAGAGATACCCAGGTGGACCAAGGACGGGTTCATTGAGTCGGTGGTCGGCCCCAGACTGGGTTGACGCTCATCCTCTTTGAACCAAAACATTCCAGTTACTTCCGCCTCAGCTACTGGACATATCGACCTCGTCAGATGCGAAATGTCAAATGCATGGTTCGGCGTACTCCTGCATGGATCATTAAACTCTACGACCGAGGTACCATTTCACAAACTTGGAGCCACATGGTTATCAACCTCACCTTCATGTCATGGTCGAGGAGCAGGAGGTATGCCGTGGATTCTCGTATAGTTTTGGTGGTGTCCTCCGATGATTAGGTCACCGGTCCTGTACAGTAGCGTATCGGGCATCTTTGGAATTGGGCCTGTCACGGAGGTCCCCGCTTTGCTCCGTACGCTGACAGCTTCCTCAAGAGTTTTCTTTGCGATGCTATTTCAAGCCCACATATTCTAGCGATCCTCTTGAAAAGGCAATATTCATCCGATTTAGCCGACCGACAGCATTCGCCAAGACAGCCAAGCGGGATGGTAAAGTCAAAGAAATAGTGATCTAACCCTGACTTTCGTCCAAGCAAGATCAAGAAGTCGGAGGGAAAGACCGTTGAGATTCAAGTTTGCATCGCCAAGTGGGACGAATGAGGGCGCCAGACTCAAATCTGATTAACGTCGTCGTCAGCCCTTACAAAATATATGGTCCTGAATGCTCGATTACTCTCAATCACATCGAGATACCCTTTCGTCAAGAGAAAACCGGCATATTGGTTCAGTGATTCAGTGAGCTGGTGTCTGGGGGACTCAGAGAGGGAGTAGTTTTGACGCCACAGGACTGCGGACATGGGGGAATTCGTTGCTGTAAGTACTTGGAGAAATGATTTGGCGCATGCTTGGGATGGCTTCTCTGACATTTTTAATCTCGGACACCGACCGCTCATAACCCTTGACCCTTCACTCAGTCCTGAATCATAGTTTGAGGGCGCAGTACAAAAGAGCATCTCGCTGATGGCAGTCTTTCTCCAGCAGGCAAGACGAGTTGCATACCATCCTGATAAAGCGGATGACAACACCTCGACACGTCATATCAAGAGGTTACCACGATCAGCTCCCTTCTCGTTGTTTGTAGAAACCTTGGAACGAGATGGCTGTGTAATTGTCAAAGATTTCACGGATATAACGACTTTATCACAAGCGGATCAGGAAGTCAGGCCGTGGTTGGATAACCAGGATGGAGGTCCAGCCGTGGGCGGTAAGAGACATACATATATATATATCACTTCTGGGCCGTCCTACAAGATCTGACTGGCGTTCAGCACTTCAGGGCCAGACGAGAACGGTGACCCGACTCATTGGAAGAAGTGCGACTGTGCGTGAGAAATTTTTCGCCGATCCCTTATATCAAGATCTCTGTGAGCACTTCTTAGCATTGGAGACGACACACTATTATGGAAACAAGCCTGTAACGACCACCAGCCACCCGTTACTCTCGATATCTATCACCTTCGACATCCCTCCTGGAACCCCGGCGCAAGATCTACACCGCGATGATAAAAATCATCACGCGCGCCATACCCGTTCCGATTCCTATGAGAAGGGTCGTGACATGCTGCTCGGTTTGTTTGTTCCAGCTTGTGACACAACCAAAGCAAATGGAGCCACGCGAGTTGTTCCCGGGAGCCACCTCTGGGACGATAGCAAGCCCGATTTTGGCCCTGATGGAAATCACGGGGTTATGGATGCAGAGATGCAGATGGGTGAAGCGTTCATCATGCTGGGAAGTCTCTATCACGGTGGTGGCGCATATGAGAAGCCTCTGGGCACCATCAAGGAGGGTGTCAGAGAGAGTAGGACGGTTCATGCTATGTTTTCATGCACCGGGGTGCATCGTCAGGAAGAAATCTCGTTTCTTTCCTATCCTATCGAGGAAGTCAGGACCTACTCTAAAGTGGTTCAAGAACGGTTGGGTTGGAAGCAGAGCGAACCTAATCTGGGTTGGGTCGACCTCAAAAGCCCAGAATTCCTGCTCGAATCTTGAATGAGAGAAGACTGTCGAGCAACGAACAGGGTCAGATGTCCATGCTCGGACCGAGAACGGTGCAGCTGAATCGCAACACCCCATTTCCAGCTACCTCTTCACGCTTCAAGAATGGTAGCGGTCCCATATTCAGCGCCTTCTCGCTCAAAACATCCTCATCGTCACTGAGCTGCCCTCGATCCACTGGCCCCTTCCTGCTCCCTTCCAGTTCCCACAGACGGCCATCTTTACCTTTGACGAACGCGATGAAGGCGTGATTGGGATCTTCTCCCAATGGTGGAGCGGTGGTGTCCCCGGTTTGAGCTGCTGCTGCGTGGGCCTCCTCCAACAGATCGGAGTCATGAAGAAATTGAGCCCTCTCGGTCGGTTTAAGGGGCGTAATGTCTTGGACCAGTTTGTCGAGATCACTACCTTCCTGAATAAAATCGGCCGCAGCACCATTTGTGATGCAGTGAAGGAGACCGATCAGACCGCAAGCATGCTGGATGATTTGGCGGTAGAACATGACGGGCTCTTCAGGGCCCGATCCATCATAGTCTGGCTCCACCTCATTCTGCTTGGCTTGAAATGCCTTTGACGTTTCAGTTTCAGGATAGATGAACAAGAGAGCGCTGGCAGGACGGGGAAGAAGAGCAACGAGGTCAGGATCCGTCAGACTGTAGGCATCTTGGAAGGAGAGAGCGGGAGACAATCCCAATTTATGGGCCAACTGGGTCATGACCTCGGGATTGTTCTCTGAAACGGTGTTAGTGGAGGGGTGTGGATAACTTGTCGCAGAACATGCTTGTTACCTAGTGGAATAAATGTCTTCCTGGCCATGTTTGGAGATCTTTGCTCGCATCGACGGTAATCTGAAGAAGATAGAGATGACGGTGTGGGCGAAGGATAACTGTGTGTTCCGGTGTCAGTGCCAGGCAGAGGCAGCCTTGCGTATCAGGACTCTTCGGCGCGGAGAATTTCGATCGCGTTATTTTGCCGTCACGCAACCATGTGATTTACAGTTTTGCCCGTCTTCAGAAATTCTCTCATATATACCGAAGATCTTTGTCCTACCACAACCCTGAAGGAGATCCACATTCGTACATGTCGATTGACAAAGTTTCTCTCACTTTGAGCATGTCGACCTAGGGCTGATCATTGATTCTTGCCGCTCCTATGCGAGCCATCTTGCCTGGCCGGCCCCAATCAAAGCGGCAGGCTCTCAGCACTGCACAATGGGATGGCCTTCGTCTAGTGGTAAGACTGTGGCTCTCCTATCTTCGCCCTGGCCGTAACGACACATCTAACCAGTGTGTGTAGGCATACATCTCCGGAAATGCGGCCGTCGTACTCAGCGGTCCTCAGACCATCCTCCAAACCATCTACGTCGACACGGTTGATTCCTTAACCGCGATCACTCTCGAGGAAACGACTGGTCGGATAGCTTTATGCGATACTACACATGTCTACATTTACAGGCCGGTTGGTCGGGAAGAGGGTGTTCTCAGATGGGTCCAAATCCACGAGCTCAGAAACACGGCTGGACTTGATGTGGCCTCGTTGTCCTGGGGTTCTCCGGAGGAGCTCCTGTTGGGCGGGTCCAGATTGGTGCTTTGGTTTATTCCCGAGACCAGTTCACCGACAATCATTTGGGATCAGACCCTGGCGTATCCGACGGCACTCGCCTACCTATCCCGAGACAGCAGCCTAATCGCCTCTGTTGGACCACATGACCGGCTAGTCAAGATCTGGAGGAGGCTCTCGTACGAAGTCGATGGTACCAGATTCGACGTCTCATATTTACCACACCCGGCGGCAGTCACCAACCTTCATTGGCGAAAGCCATGGCATCTCGAACAGAATCTGGACAACTTGCTGTATACGTTTGGTTCCGACAACTATGTCCGAGCATGGACCACGTTCGACCCCCGTTCGCCATCGGTTCTGCAACAGGTCGGGGCCATCGACATGAATGCGTCGATCCAACCTCGAAGGTTGAGCGTTAGTTCAATGAGCACCAGACGATTCGCCTTCATTGTCGACAGTCGCGACTTTTCCATTGCTACCGAAAATGCCGTTCACGGATCAAGTACCAGGACTGCCGATCATGCATTGGAACATCTCATCGAGATTGCAAATCGGAGTCCTGAAATATGCATTGTTCTTGATGGACTTGGTCATATGTCGGTATGGGGGTTGGAGAATGCTGGATACCGGAATAGGATTCCTCCATCCGTGTTTCACATCTCCCATGTTGATGGCATGAATATCCATGTCCCGCAATTGAGCGACCCATTGGAAGACTACGTCCAATTTTGCGTCTTCGCTGGGGGTGTCACCCGTTCGTCCTTGTCTCTCCTTCTACACTCGTTCGCCGGCGACATTGATTGGTACGACAGCCAGATCGCACATCTCTTTGATACCGCCATAAGACACGATCGGACACAACTGGTATCTTCGCTGGCCGGCCACGGCGCTCCTATCCAGAGAATCGTACGGAATGTCCTGGGCACCATCATATTGTCCACAACCGATGAAGGCCAGGCTAGTCTATGGCAACATGAAGGGAGCCACTCCACCGCACCGCTACTTCGGCGGAGTTCTCTTATAGTGGGAGCCGACATCAAGGATGCGGTCATTCTATCTCGCGGAAGATATGCATCCATTCTGACTTCGAACGCCCTGGAGCTTTGGGATGTTCGTGAAGCTAAGGCCCAAAAACTCGGCGTGCGACAGTTCGAAGCAAATCGAATACCGGAGCGCATTACCCAAAGTCGGATTGCCAGTGAACGAGCATTGACGAGTCGTGTGATCGTGGGCTACTATCCAGACCATACCACAGAAGCGTGGGAATTGCTTCTCCCCGCCAAGGACGACGGCCGCCCCAGGAGAAGGGATGGATATCCTGAAATCATACGATCCTTAGGATATGTGCGATTGCATGTACAGAATCGTCTCAACTCTTTGGTGGCGATCTGTGACAATATGAGCACAAATGATCGACCGGCTGATCCTCGCGAAATCAATGCACTGGGTTTCACCGCCGCGTTGGCAAAGAACGGCACGATTGAGATGGTCAAGTCACAGGAAGAGCCGGACTCGAACAAGCCACATCTGACGTCAGGTGCGCTCCTCGAGACCAATCTTCGAAATCCAAAGGCGATCGGTGCCAGCGGATATGGCAAGATTGTTCTTGTTAACGACGATAGCAGTAGTCTCAGTATCTGGGATGCCAAAACTGGTGCTTTCGAATACGAGCATGATCTGGACGGAACCGACACCATCAAAACATTTGCCTGGGCGGTCTCGCCGCAAGGGTCTGCCTTGGTTGCCATATGCTTCGACTACCACGTCGTGGTTCTTTCTCACGTGAGATATAACTACCCCAATCTCGAGAATTCCTGGGTCGACCTCCGTCATATCCGAATAAGAGATTTCACCACCCACTCTATCGGAGATTTATGTTGGCTTAGAAGCGGAGATCTTGTGGTGGGATCCGGTATTCAATTTTTCGTCTTCAAAGGCTATGCCGAGAGTCATCACAACCAAGATGCGAGACCATTGCGAGACGTTCGAAAGAAAATTCAAAACGACTCCACTTTCGCTGTGATGTCGATGCTCAATTCTCTGCTGCCGATCTTCCATCCGACATTTCTGTGCTTGCTGACATACTTGGGAGGCCTGAAGGCCAATAAAGACATTATTCATCGTTTACACCATAATTTGAAATTCTTCAGTGAGGGAGACAACCTTTCGAGCTTCCTGGATATGCGCATTGAATCAATCATGCGAAGCGGGATATCGGATCAAAGGAAGACGAATCCATATTATGACACCAACGGTACAGTCAACGGCGAGATCGAGCAGGGGTCTATTTCCAATATCGCCGAAAGCCTGGTTGAAAACTTGAAAAGGCACGAATTATGGCAACTTAACGGCGAGGAGCAATCGGACTTGATTAAGCAGGTCGAAGTCACGTCAGAACTGGAGAAACAAGAACGATCAATTGATGCCAATGCTCAACGCTATCTTCAGGCGTTGTATACTAGTAGTGAGAAAGAGGTCCCATGGCGCGCCATTGCTTTTGCGTCATTGAGCACGTCTCAGGATATTCTTGTCGATCTTGTCACGCGGTTTTATGGCGGCAAACTTACTTGGGAAGCGGCGCGAAAGTCCGGATTATTCTGTTGGTTGTCTGACCTGGAGTCTCTTCGACTGCAAATGGAGAACGTTGGTCGTACTGAGTTTACAAAGCACGAGGAACGCAATCCTGTCGATTGCTCCTTGTACTATCTTGCACTCGGGAAGAAAACCATTCTCCAAGGTCTATGGAGGATGACTATGGGGGTTCGTGAGAAAGAAAACACCATGAAACTGTTGGCAAACAATTTCAATGAACCAAGATGGAAGTCGGCCGCCCTCAAGAATGCCTACGCACTTATCAGCAAGCGACGTTTTCAATATGCTGCCGCTTTCTTCTTGCTGGGGGACTGTATATGGGATGCGGTCAACGTCTGCGTTCACCAACTGGAAGACCTGCAACTTGCAATCGCCATTGCTCGAGTATATGAATCTGAACAATGCCCATCAGCACTAACGTGTCTGATCGAAAAGATAATTCTGCCTCGTTCAGTGGAAAGCGAACAAGGGCGATGGATGGCTAGTTGGGCTTATTCTCTGCTCGGCCAAAAAGAAATGGCCATCCAGGTCCTGGTACAACCTGTTCACAGGGTAATAGGGAGGTCATTGGACGACATGGAAGGAATGGTCAGATCACTCAGCTACACGGCTAACGACCCCATTCTTACCATGCTTTACACTCAGCTACGGGCTTCACTGGTAAAACAGAACAAATGGCGACAAATCGTCAGCAGCAAAGAGGAGTGGAATTTTGTTATGCGATGCGTGCGACAATATCTTCGAATGGGTTGCGATGTTCTCGCGTTATCCTTAGTTAGGGACTGGGAATTTGTTTCTGAAAGCGCAGATCTTGCCCAGCGACATGAACCTAACCCGGGCATCCAGAGGCGTAAGACATTTTTCGATCTCGAAAAGGAAGAGGACGAAGAGATGATACTTAAGATTCAGCCGGAGGACAAGAAACCTCTACCCACGCAGTTTGTGGAGCCAAGTGCGAATAGTCTGTTGGACAGCTTCGGCTTTTGAGACGGAAAGTATTACTTGTGTTAATACCAATTTTATTTCTGCGAACGAGCAAATATGCGGCAAAAACTTTATCCTCGGCGGAGTACCGCGGTATTCTCTTTCGTGTCAGGGGTGCCAGCCTTGCGGATTTCCGTTCACGTTGTGGAGAGTCAACCCCATTCATAAATCCTATGGTAGAAGTAGCTAAAACAGAAGACAAGGCTGACGATTCAATATCTGAAAGTATCGAATTTGAGTGAGGAATGAGAAAGTCAACACACCGCAGGTTAAGAGTCGGTTGTCGAATCATCGATGCGTAAGTACGCAATGATATTTGGATACCGACTTTCCGTCTCGAACATTTCGACCTACGGCTTTGAGAATCTCGTTCGTGTCCTGCACATCGGGTATCTCATCAACGCTGAAAGCATCGTATTCACGCGGGATCGTGCTGACCACCTGTAGAAATTCATGTGGTCATGGACCACAAGCGAAGTGCTGGGTCCCTGGCTGTAAGAACTCAAACCTGGTGTTTTGGAGATGAAGTTGACCACCTCCATTCGGAATCCATCGACACCCCGGTGGAGCCAGAAGCGCATGAGTGCGTGCACGGCGTCCACGACGGCAGAGTTCTTCCAGCCAGATCCGGATGCGCTGAGGCAAAGAGATGTAGGTAGTACTCCTCCGTCGTCTCGTCACGGAAGGGGTTGAACGTTGAAGAGTGGGATTCCATGTCTGCTTGAGGTGCCCGGAGGATTGGCCTGACCTAGACAATATCCACGCCAAGAGTAGATAGGTAGTCGAGTTTAGAAATAATACCATGAAAGTCGCCTTGGACGGCCCTTGTTTTTGGGTCTAATTATTGCGGACGCAGATCCGAAGGATGCTGGGTAGATCTGGTAGACGGTGCTTTCTTTCCTCCAGGCATGGCTTGTGAGGTGCCTTTCCATTTTTACAATAGAACCGGTCATCGGAGAATATTTACTTCTTTGAAGGCTCAGATATTGATCGATGCCGAGTTTCTGATTAAGCTTTTAACATGAACTGACGAGCCTTGATGGGACAGCATGTGTGTTGCTCGAGTTTTTCACGCTCTCATGGTGAGAGAAACCTCTCTACAGGGCGGGCTAGTCTCCTACAAGAGTGGTATGGTACATCCTCCACTCCAGTAGTGGAAACTGCGAATCCGAGAGACTGTAGACGGGACCAATGAATCCGTGGGAACTCACCAGTCAACAGCGAAACTTTTCACGTTCGATGCCATGCCATGGGATCACAAGCGAGTACTCCTCAAAGATCGAATGATAGACGAAGCGAATGTGGTTGAAGTGTTGTCAAGGAATGTCCAAGGATCATCAAAGGATCATAGGCTGAAGAGTTCTGTAGATTGCGAGGCTGAGCAAGAGAATATATGAGATCTATCTCCTCTTGGTAGTTAAAATGGTCCAGAGACACTGATTACGATCTGACGTAACAAGTGTCATGGTCATGATCATCAAAGATCAAAAACACAGACAATCAAAAGCTCTAGCCAAACCTAGGAATCTCGTCGTCTCAGCGGCCGTCATTGTTGGACGCAAACGCCTTGCCCATAACCATTTCGGACAAAAGTACAATTGATACATCCACGCCAAATTGATTTCTTCAACTTGGACGCAGCATCTTCTTCGCCGCTTCCCTCGTCCTGCCCAAATCTTCCAAGCACTGGAGGTGTTTCTCGTGAGCATGATCCCACCATTCTCTGCATTGTGTATCGTCCTTCAGCCACTGCATATACGCTGCATATCCCGCCTTTTGCGAGCGATTCTCATCTAAGACGTCGGCATCTGGACCATCCCCACGCATGTTGATCCAATTCTGTGACATGGTTCCACAAACTCGATCTTGTCGGCTCCGGAAATGTTCAATCATTCTGGCGTTGAAATAATTCCATTCTTTCATATAAGCGTTCATGTTGTCCACGTACTGTTGAAAATTGGCTTGATCCAGCCGATCTTCGGCCGGTGGTGTGACGGGTTTGGGCGGTTTCGGCAGATTCAGTACACGAAGTCTTGCCGTGGACTTGGCACTGGGGTCAACATGGTTTTCTGCACGTGATGGGAAAGGCAGATGAGTGGCAAGATCGTCCATATCTTTCAATCCGGTGGAAGAGGGAGCAAAGGGTGCCTGTCGGGTGAATTCTCTCAAGTCAACCCCATTCACAGATTGTCCCTTGGATGATTGGCGCGAAGCATCTGCGTTCGAATGGTGAACGCCATTTGAGGTAGGAACACTTGCCCCGCTCGTTGGTGGAGTCTCATCCACATCCATTACATCCTCCTCGACCACGACATATCGATCTCGAGAACCGTCCGTGGAGTCAGAATCATGACCATGCCTCTTTCCTGTTGTCTTCGGTGGTGCTTGGGTTGTGGAAGCCTTCACTTTCGACGCCCAGTCATCAGATAATTTACCCTGTTGAAAGGCTGCTGATCTGCCATCGGCCACTTTTTCACCACGCTGATTTGTAGTGTGACCATTGGAAGATTCGGATGAGCTGGTTTCTTGGTCTCTTCCTCTAGACAATCCTCTGCCTCGTGTAGCAGGTTTGCTCCCAGTTCGATTTAACTTGGAAGGAGACTTTCGCATTGGAGAGTCTGTCGGGCGAAAGATGTCGTCGGCGGTTACCTTGTCATTCCAATCGGCAGCTGAGAATTTCGTCTGCGTGTTGGATTGATTAGGATCATGACTATCACTTAAGTTAGCCCCAATGTCAGACAAATGGATGTCATCGGATGAATTAGATGTCAAAAGAGAACTGTCTCTGGCATGAAGATTGTCACTTTCCCGCTTTCCACGCCGCGGAGGCGTCGCTGGCGGAAAGACACTCGACGGAACTGCCCATGAAGGGAGACCGTTTAAATAAAACCCTTTGGGGGAACTTCGATCGAATCTCAATTTTGGTGACCATGAATGAGAAACTGGGACAAAGGGAGCAGCATACTTGGGCCTGTCCGAACGTCCACCACTGCGACCAAATCCGCGCAAATCATTGGGCCTCGGCGCCTCAATGTCCGGGGAAGTCAAATCCGGGAAAGGTTTGCGAGTTGGTTCCCTCGAATCGGGAGGAGGATACTCGTACCGGCTCTCATCAACAATCTTCGTGTAGTTGGTGCTGGGGAATTGACCAGTCAGAGCTGGATCGTTGTCAGCAAAAGCATGAAAACACGGTCCGGTTCTGGTGTTGGGCCGGCGTGGTTGAGCTTTGGGCCTAGACTTCATGTTCAGTGTTTCGTCTTCGCCGGAGGATGACGACTCGGAAAATTCGGCATTGACTCCGGTCTTCCTCATTCCCGGACTGGCACTTCGATGTCGGGGAAGATGTTCGTGCCGAGATGATGGCCTACCGAATGGTCCTCGATCGTCCCAGTGAGGATCGACTGGCGAGTTGCGTACGCTAGCAGATCGATGGAGTCCTTCTCCGTGAATGTCAGTTCTCTCACCACTGGCGGCAGCATATCTCGATGATGGCCGAGACCCTCCGCCCAGATCGCTTCTCATGTCGTGATCCGAAGACCTCGTGTGTCGCAGAGGACTCACTGCAGGTCTTGCCCTTGGAACCGGAGGTGATTTCACATTGTGACCCTCGGGAACATAAATACGAGGGTTCGGTGGTCCCCGATTTCCTGGAACATAAGAGTATGCGGAATGCGGGGCTGGTGATTCCTCAGTTCCATGAGACCCGGAGGAATAGCCTTGCTTCCTCGTGGTCGCAGCTCTAGACAATCCCGGAAAGCTTGTGGGCGGGACGTTCGGAACATGGGGCATTTCTGACGAGGGTGATAGCTTCGGAGCGGTTGGAACTTGACGGGTGGTTCGTGGGGGCATTTGTTGAGAAGGTTGTGCAGGTCTCATGCTCGGAAAGACTCGTGCTGCTTCTGCTCGAGCCTCATCAAATCTGGCCCTATCCCACGACTGTGGCGCTGCGCGTGTGAATGCATTGAATTTATCGGCTCCTGATGATGCCTGTGGTTTCTGGTTTGGCGCGGTGAAAGGCGTTCGCTTGTCCTTTGCCTTTGGCGGTGGTGGGAATGCGAATGGTGGTGCTGCGGCTGGGGGTTTCGAAGCGGCAGACCTCGCAAAGGTATACGGATCAGGTGGATGGCCTGCAGCGGTATTCGTAGGGTTTTTAGCTGTCAGCTTTGCACGACCGGCATCATATTTGGCTTTCTCAACCGGGTCGCTGAGAATCTCATGTGCGGCTTGGACGGCTTGAAACTTGGGAACGACATCGACTTCATGACCGGGATTTCGATCCGGATGATATTGTTTTGCTGCCACTGTAAGTACACATGTTCAACCTACAGCCCTGCGTGTTGTCTTACCCAGTTGTCTGAACTGCTTCTTGATCTCTTCAGCATCTGCGGTCGGAGGGAGATCCAAGTCCGCATAGTAGTCCCGCTTGACATCCGCCTTGACCATTTTCAAAATTGGGCGTGGGAAGAGCAACGAAGGCGCCGATCCTAGAGTAGAGTGGCGACGATCAATGTCCTTCTCTTTCCTCCATCCAACATGATTCCACCGGCAACAGTCGAGAGGTGTTGGTGGCCTCAGGAAACGGGCTGGAAGTGAGGTCGTTATGAGAGGGTCTTCTTTTCAGACCAGCAATTTGACTGGACGCGTTCACAACTCGACCAATGTCGTTGCAGCGCCGATCGACGAACGTGGAACAGGGTGTTCGGAGTGGGAGGGACAGTGAAATGGGAGTGAACGTTGGTCGAAGGAACGAGAAGCGCGGTGCGATAAGGCAGAAGACGAGATCAAGAGATTGGGTGGCACAGCTATTCGCTCGATCGCTCGTTCGTGATAGTCAAGTGGTGCAGACGACGGATTGGCAATGTGTAGCGACCTGTCGCAAAGCGTACAAACGATGGAAATTTTGGGCGGAGTTTTGAGGAGATTCTGGCTCTTCCGCGTCTTGTTCCTGCGCAATATTTCTAGGCTGCAAGGCAACTAGAGGCAGATCTTCCAGGGTTCACAAGAGTGCAGTTTCATTTGGAGGGGAGGACACTGGTGTTGCGTGAATGAGAATAAAAGTGGCTCCTCAGCGAGATGCGATGTGCTGGCATCCTCCGACAGGGTTGTTTTCTTTACTTCTGTCGGTTTTGGGAATAACGCGAAGGCTGGGCTAAAAAAGGTCCAGTCAAAGATCTGGAGGCGCTACGCAAAAGCATAAAAGGCAGCACCCGCCTGACCCATCTGGCATCGACGGTGGGTAGTTTGAGGGTAGTCGGTGATCTCTCAGCGCTCACTCAGAAAGTCTATTTGGTCTCTATGGCTCACTGGCACTGCAGAGGCAGGATACCTCCCAAATTCCAAAATGCATTATGATATCACGCGGTTGGCTCTTGCCTCGCGCTGCTCCTCCCCGTGACCAACCTCTCCCGTTTCCTTGACTCCATTGACTTGTGAACCTTGTGAAAAAATCTGCTGTAGCACTGACTTGAGTTCACCCAGAAATCGATCCACCTCGCTCTCGGTACCTACCGTAATCCGGAGACAGCCCCGGCAACCGTATTCCTTACCTCGAAATCTCACGACGACTCCCCGCTGCCCCGCCATCGTCTCGTATACCGTGAGGGCTGTGGTGTTATCAGGTCGTCCACCTTTCTCCCGTGGGTTGTCCAGAATTTCAACGAGTAAGAAATTCGAATCTGTTCCTCCACGGAACCGTCCAACTCCCGGTACTCGTGGAAGTTCTCGAAGAAGCCTGTCCCGTTGCTGCAGGATCTTTGCTTTGTTTTGTCGCATAACCGCGAGATTTTCGTCCTGTAATGCTGCTGTGGCAATGACACTGGTAGGACTGGAGATATTGTATGGTGCTTTCATATTGTTGAGCAGAGCCGCGATCTCAGGGCTGCTAAAAGCGACCCCCAGCCGTATGCCCGCCAGACCAAATGCCTTACTCAGCGTTTGCATGACGACCAGGTTCGGCCATTCGAGGACCCATTCGGCAAGACTCGATCCTTCCTGGGAGAAATCAATATATGCCTCATCTACCACGACTATGCCATTCCATGTCGGATGTTCAAGGATTTGCTGGATATCGTCCTTGCGAATCAGACTCGCGGTAGGATTTCCTGGTGAACAGATATACACCATTTTTATCGACGCGTCTGAGGAGAGTTTGTTCAAGATCTCTTGAGGTTGCAGCGAGAAGCCGTCATCGGGGTTGAGTGGGACATGGACAATTTCAATGTCATTCACATCCGCACTGACAGCGTACATCCCATATGTGGGAGGACAGGTTAAAATCTTCTCTTTGGCAGGTGCGCAGAAACATCGCAGGAGGGCATCAATGACTTCATCGGAGCCTACACCGCAAAATAAGTTTTCCGGCCGCAGATCCTTGTCTGAATGTGTGTGTGTGTTTCTCAATCGACAAAATCGTTCTTTCAATGCGATCTGGTGAGGGTCTGGGTATCTGTTCAACCCGAGAAAGTCGACCTGGGTTTGGGTAACGGACTCATTCCCGTGAATTCCATTCGGAGGAAGAACCAATCCGGGGCCGTAGGCATTCTCGTTTGCGTCAAGGAGGATATTCTTGCCGTCGTCTTTGTAGTCGCTGGACTCGTGAGTTAGGACCGAATTGATAGTCCGCCGGGGGGTGGGGTCTTCTTACTCTCGAGCACATCTGTAGGGACGCAACTTCAGTATATTCGGCCGGGTGCATTTGGCGAGGTCGAAGGCTGAAGTTTTTCTAGCCATGTTCTTCTGTTATCATGGGCGAAAAGAGTTCTGAGCTCATGAAAAAGTTTCTCCGCATCGCAAGGATCTGCAGGGACCGCAGCTGCGATAAAAACTCCTAAGCTCCGCAGAAAGAGTCGCCGACTGCCACGCAGGCTCACATCTCGTCACGACAAACACGCTCTCAACCTCGTCACAAGACACCGCCATAGTGTCCTTAAAGGCGAGACCTCCCCTATCGATGTTGCCAATATGGCCGAACGTAAATCAGCTTACGGTGCCCCTGCCTCCGATACAGACTTCCGCAGGACGTGGGACAGAGCAGAATATGCCGCTAAAGCCAAAAAGGAGGACGAGGCACGCAGAGAAGAGGCCAAAGCTCGGTATGAAGCAAAGCTAGAAGGAAGGAAATGGCACAAACCAGTCGATTTGTCGTCGCTCGATGCGACTTCCGCGAGAGGCTCGAGGCTGGACGTGGCGAGCATGGTTGGCAAGTCCACCCTCGTCCCAGCCGGGTCGTCTGTAGGAAAACGAGGGAAAGGTGCTGGCTTCTACTGTGAGGCTTGTGATCTGACCTACAAGGACAACGTGCAATATATTGAGCATCTCAACTCCAAGCAACATCTCATTAATACAGGTCAATCTGGAGAGGTCAAACGAGCTACGCTACAAGATGTGAAAGAGAGACTAGAAATGCTCAAAGCTCGAAAACGACAGCAGGAGGAAGAGGATAGAAGACTCGGAGAAGTTGACATCCAAACTCGAATCAAAAAGGCCGAAGAAGCCGAAGCCGCGGAAAGAGAGGAAAAGAGGCGTAAACGAAACGAGAAACGCAGGAAAGGTGGAGAAAATGGTATCAAGAAGGAGGATGAGTGGGAAGGTCGGTTGGGGATCATCAGTTGAGGCGACACAATGCGATGACGATAGGTCTGGAAAAGTCTACTACTACAACCGGCGAGCAATCCGGACCGGAGACATCTCGAAACCATCCAACAGGCGAAACGGCCGTGTGCTAGGTCCTGATCACACCGAGCAGTATTTCAGGCTCAGTTATTTGTTTCAATGGTGAGCTGGTTCAAGAATCCGAGGTCAAAGGCATTCGAATGCCAAGTTGGCCCATGCCGGATACATCGGACATGACCTCTTCTCCTGAACTGCCTTTCAAGCCACAAGAGTAGCAGATTTCTCGACGGCTCAAAGCATGGGCAAGGGTCAACCGACCTTGTCGTACGCCGGGTCATTGTAAACACCTTGAATTCATCAAATTCCAGCCGCTTGATGTGCAACCAAGCCATTTCAAAGAACCTGCCAACCGTCGTCTTAGGTCTCAATGGTCTCCATCAAACCTCTTTTTTCAGGCCCAGTCCTTTGCATTAAGGCACTCATCATTCCCTCACAAATCTCAATTGCCGGCAGCCTACTCGCACGAGGACGTGATCTGTCCTAAAGAATGAAAGCCATAAAAAGGCGCACACGATTCTGCAGCACCGAAATATTGATAGACAGCGAGTCTGATCCGGATACTACCAGCCCAACATGGACGTATAGCAACGGTGCAAGAAAGACCTGTCTGAACCTATCCATGGCCCCACTATGATGATTGGTACGGCTTGGAGAGGGACGAAAATTCTGAGGCGTAGAAACCAAAAGGGAATTTGTGTCGAGGAGCCTGAATGTTGGGTTGCCGCTGCTTGCCCGCCTGCATGACTACGGATCGAAAATCAAAAGACAAAGTCATATACGAGCGCCCCAATTGTGCAGAGGAGATTCTTTTCATTCTTCTATCTTAGTTCCTTTTCTTTCCGCCCTGTTTTCCCCCAATCCGCCGCCTTCATTTCAATGCAAATTCATCTCCCAATGTAACCATGACCGATCATCCCCATTCTCCTGGGCGCGAAAAATTTGAATTAAGCTGTTGATTGTACACAAGAAAAGGAAAGGCACCTCAAAAGCCCCCCTATCGATGTAAATGTACAAAAATTCACAGATGGCACAAAAGTCGGGAAGTATGTGTGGGCCGTCAAGAAGCTCAAGTGATCAAATCTGAGAAACGCCTTCCACTATGCTTCTGTTCCAATCATATGCCGTAGGCGATGGAGACAGGATTTCTAGATCCAGTAGAAAAAAGAGATGGAGGAAGGAAGTATACGCTAGTTCTTCGGAGGGGAATTGAACGTGATGTATGTTGTGGTAGTTGACAAAATTCCCGGTACATTCATTGAAGCTTCGTGGTTTGGTCTGGGCAGGAAACGCTGTGCGAAAACCAAAAAAAGCCATATCTGCTTCTGGAACGATGAAGGAATCCCCAAGGAGTTTGCGGTCACCGAAATTGGAAGAAACAAAGAGGAGGAGCTGAAGCTCACCCTTGTCGACGGCAAGTGTTGTTGAAAGTGTAACTCCTCTTTTCGATATCGGCCGACGTTCGAGCCATTTCCGGGTCGCAATTCGCTGTTCAAAAGTTCTTGTTCCGTCACGGTGACTCGTCTCGTGGTGGACGAAAAGCGAGTTTACCATTCCGATGGTCGCTCTCTACTAAAATCATCGCGACGGATAGATCTCGAAGTCTGGAATGTACCTTTGCCACCGGAGAAACCTTGGCCAAAGGGGTCGCGTTCACTGTATCCTCCCAATGAATTGGCCCTGCGTCTATCACGCGAGAAATTTGAGACTGGTGCATCTCTAACTTCTAGACCTTCCACGTTTTGTAATCCGAGCTTGGAGACAAAGGATGCAGGCACCGAGGGTGGGCGCTCGAGTCCCCAACCATATTTGGATAGATCATTCACCATATCAACATTATCCTGTTTTGACCTCATGCCGCGACCCTGGCCGGCCATATAACTGATTATCGTCATGTAAGCTGCTGCCTTGTCTTGTATACTGACAGATCTGACGCCCGACTCAACCATCTGCATGATCTTTCCCGTTTCTGGCGTCAGTGTACAGGGTTGAGTCATGTCAAGACGCCCCGTTTCCAGGGTGTTATCCTCGGAGATATTATGGGCGTGGATGCTTCTAATCAATTTCCTCCATTCGGACCTATCTTCGTTTGGAAGAAGGAGCCAGCCTTGTCCGGATTTGCCCGCACGGCCGGTTCGTCCAAGCCGATGGACGTAGTCTTCTATTGATTTGGGCATACCAACTTGAATGACATGTGTGACGTTAGGGAAATCCATTCCTCGGGCGGCGACATCGGAGGAGACCAGCATGGCACTTTCGGCGTTTCGGAAAGCTTGCGAGTTCGATGTCCTCGACCTCTGAGACAGTTGGGAGGACATTTCGAGGATTTTGCACGGTGCTAATGGATGAGGGCCGAAAAACCTTCCTCGGCTAGCACCTCGATCGCGCAGATTTTGTAAGACTTGGTACGCCAGCTTGACCTCATTCAGACAACTGAAAAAGACGATGGCTTTGAAAGGCGGGTTGTTTGCCGGGTCGCGCTTATGCGCTTCAATGGCCTTGACTGCAATTTCAGTGATGACAGGGAGCTGATTCTGGAGGCCCGGTAGGAACACCACTCGCTGTGGCACCGACTCATGTGTGGCAGCGTCGTCAGGATCTACAGTCCTGACGAATTTGAAATCCGGTTTCATGGTCTGCCGTACGAGTCCGACCACGCTTCGGGGCATTGTCGCTGAGAACATAAGCGTTTGGCGATCTCTAGATTTAAGAGGTGGCATGTAACTCTGGATTTCGGCAATATCGGGAGCAAAGCCAATGTCGAGGAGTCGATCGGCCTCGTCCAAGACAAAGGTGTCGATGTTGTGGAGGCGAACGCCACTGTATTGGTCGGACAACAGATCCTTGACTCTACCAGGTGTACCAACAAGGATGTGACAACCTGCTCGTTGCATCAATTTCAGATGGTACCCTTTTTGTGTCCCGCCGACGGCAGTCTGCACTTGAACGTTAGTCCCGTAGGTGATTTTCTTTGCCTCGGCGGCAATCTGCTCAGCCAGTTCTCGGGTGGGGGAAATGATAAGAGCTCTGATATCGTCGATAGTGGCCGGCCTTTTTCGCAGATCGTCATGCTTTAGAAGGCGTTGCACGATGGGCATTAAAAAGGCCAGAGTCTTGCCCGTTCCGGTGCGCGCTTGAGCAATCACATCTGAGCCGTCGAGGCATTCGTTGATGGTCATGCGCTGGACCTCTGTCATGGTATGTATGTTCATCTTATTGACTAGCGTATCAACGATCTTCCGATCAATAACACCCGTCTCTCCCAGTTCTGAAAATTTGGTAAATTCGCGATTCACTTCAGAAATATCTTCTGCACCCAAATCTTCGGCAAGTGCATTTTGGCGATATCGGGAGGACGATGAGAAGTAATGGACCATGACAGGTTTGGAAAAGACATCTCGACGAATTGAGGGGATCCGGAATTGTGTGAGAGCAGCGGATGTAGAGGAGGCTGATGGGATGGAGCGAAAGGCTCTCCATGAGAGAAACCCCTGCCGGGTTGCGGCATACATACTAAAAAGCTTTGAAGTCAATCGAGCAAATGAAAACGAGAAGCTGCGCAAAATGAAAGACGGCAGGGAGAGGAGTTGATAAAGGAATGAAAATCTGCTTGATTGAGAGAGTCCACAATTTCTGGAACCTTTGCTGTACCACACGCAGGGAACATACGCTGCAACAAAGTCTTGGCCGCGCTAGCCTTTCTCGATCATTAGGGGCTCGAGTTTAGCAGCCAAGCACATTTGAAGTGCCTTTCACTCTCAAGCTACGGCTCAGCTCTTCAAGGTCTGCTCTTGTTGCTAGCCATGTGATATCTTCAGCTGCTCTCATGCAAGACAGCACGGTGAAGTCATCGAATCAAAATACCCTCAAGAGAAACTTTGTGGCCAACGGAGTCAACGCGTCGACTCCCTCAAGTACCAATTCACACGAACCCTTCTCTCCCACAACGGTTATGTGTTGACCTCATCTGATTCATGTTCTCACCTGCGTAAATTAGCTGATGCTGTCGAGTTGACCGGCATCTACAGAGCTTCAATCCGCTGAAAGTTAACCATGACCACCGTTCGAGGACCACTTGACAGGGGAACACATTCGAGCAATAAAATGATGGTCTTACCTTGTGCAATTGAACGTCACAACCGGTTGGTTTACATATGATTCGATGATCTTTGGCATTAGGAGCTTTTTCCTGGTCAGCTTTACTGCTGACATCCCAAGGATTCGCCGAAATGGGGCTTGATCTACTATTTCTTCGAATCTTCCGCAGAGCTTCCTCCGCATTACATTAAAGTCGCAATCGAGACAACGAACAAACAAAGAAAGTATTCCAGACCTGAGGAAAGTTATATAATCGGAATCGAAGGGGCAGATGCAGATTGATGAATTAGCTGCTGCTAGGGTAGGAAAACCACAGGAAAACCACATGGTGAGTTCCCTAGGGGAAGCATTTGGTATTTCGAAGAATCTCTCCAAGCATCGGCTACCTGCGGAAAGCGATACTGGCAATGACCCTTTTTGGACGGCAGGCAAACGACCGCTGGAGTTGGCTCTCCATGTTCAGGACCTCGCCCGTGAACGTGATGGTAGCCCTCATGCACGAGCGGCGTGGAGAGTGATATCCGAGGTTATTTGACGGGCCGAATGGGGTGGGCTCCACCCGATTCAAAGTTTCAAAGCGATGAAGTTGCTCGTTTGGGCGGATACAAGCCGGCCCAGATACACGACATAAGAACGGAATATTGCTGGTGACTCTGCATGGAAGGCTTTTTCAAAAAGATAATGCCCCCGTCGATGAGTTTGAGCATTGATTGCGATCACGTGGAGCCACGACTATCAAGGGCCATCCATTTGAGATATCCAACATGTTCTTGCTCTCCCCGATTTCAACCTTCAGTGGTCGGTGATTGGCTGAGGACACTAACATTTTCTTGTCTTTTGCTATTTGTCCATCATCCAGCGGCACCGTCGGCAGACTGTCGGAACACCCAATAAAGCCGCCCGATAAAGCAGGATCAGTTGGGTCCATACAGAGGCTAGCTTCGGCGAAGGGCGTCGCTGATGATTTGAGACTTGAAAAGCTAACATTGCAACTCGGCTAGTAGAGCCACTGTGGGGGGGGGGAGAAGGCTACCAAGTCCGAGGCCCCATAACTTGATCGTTGACATTTCCAATCCCATATCTTTGCCGCCGCCCGCACATCCCCACATCTCACAACATCTTCCATGTAACAACATTGACTTTTGCTCAGGCTCACCGTTCTTTCCTCTCTCTAACCATTTCTGCACTCTAGGATCACACGCACTTGAATACCATTCCCACATACTATCAACATGGCACCACCCACGGCAACCTACACAGAGACCACCACTCCCTCCAAGGGATCTCAACCCGAAGGCACGGCGCCAGACGAGCCCAAACTAACTCAAGGGGGCACGGAAATCAAACTCCAGAAGTTCCCCTCCCCTCCCAGATTCACTGACAAGTACGAAGAGCGAGAATACCTAAAAGGCCGCCTAGCTCTCGCATTTCGTCTCTTTGGCAAATATGGCTTCGACGAAGGTGTGGCAGGACACATCACTCTGCGTGACCCTGTCGACCCGCACAAGTTCTGGGTGAATCCATTCGGTCTTGCTTTCAGCCAGATCAAGCGCTCGGATCTGATCTTGGTTGATCACGAGGGCAACGTGGTCGATGGCGGGCCAAATCGTCTCCTCAACACCGCAGCATACATGATCCACGCAGCCGTTCACAAGGCCCGCCCCGATGTCGTTTGCGCCGCCCACTCGCACAGCATCTATGGACGCTCATTCTGCGCCTTGGGCCGCCCGATCGACATCATCACGCAGGACAGCTGTGCATTCTACAACGACCTGGCCGTGTACAAGCAATTCAAGGGTGTTGTGTTGGCGAAGGAGGAGGGTGAGAACATTGCCCGAGCTATCGGAAACAAGAAGGCCTGTCTGCTCCAGAACCATGGTCTTCTCACCTGCGGCCAGACTATCGAGGCCGCAATCTTCTGGTTCTGCAGTCTTGAGAAGTGCTGCCACGCCCAACTCATGGCTGACGCGGCTGCGGCTGGACGTGGCGGTGCGACTATTACGATCGACGATGAGGATGCTGCTTTCACATACAAGAGCGTCGGTACTCCCCGTGCAGGCTGGTTCAGCGCGAAGCCCATGTTTGATGTCATGGCCCAAGAAGTTGGTGACGAATACTTGCAATAAGGGATAGGAGTGGTGACATGACCAGACAAGGGGTTTTCATGCAGTACCTTGTCCCGGAAAAGATTGCGAATGTGTCTTCAGTTTAAAATACCATATAAATTGAATATACATACCGTCTGCCATTCCGTCCATCGCCTTCCTTCCTTATTCTCGGCTAACCTGTACTTGTCAGCAATGGTGTATGAAGGGTCACGAAGAGACTAGTATCAGATCCCTACCGGGATTTAGGGACGTCATCACATTGTGCGCAAAGTCTGCGAATCTCACGCTCAAGTTGAGCGTACCGAGGACAAATGATGCTCAATCCGGGAAAATGTTGGAGATTGCGTGGCAGGAGGCCTCGTAGGGGTGTTCTAAGTTTCTCCGTACACCATACATGCCCGGATTGCATAAGAACCACAGCTTATGCCCGGTATCGTTGAATGGATCCAACTTGTAGTCTGAGTGCGCGAGAACTCACCGGGGAACAAACCCCCCAAGTGTCGATCCTATAAATCGGATTCGTTGGACTTTGGGATGCCCCGCTCCAAGCAAGGCATTCCACATCGAAACCTGAACTTGGGTACGGCTTTTTGACCACGTCGGCAGCAGCAACTCTACGGTTTTCACTCCTCCTCACGAAGACAGAGAGTCCAAACAAACCAACACGATGTCTTCCTCATCCAAACTTCAAATCATCTCGATCCTCCTCGCCGTTGGGGCGGTGTTGTATCAATTTGTGCTGCGTGATATCCTCTTCATCGTGATTGGGGTCGGCCGCAATGTTCTCCCCGTGTCAGAGTTTCCGTATAGATGTTATCGTATCAGCGGCGACCCCAATGTCCAGGCCTGCGAGGACATGTGGCTGGACCAGAAATCCAGAACGTTGTTTCTGGCGTGCTCGGACCCGTTGGCACGGAGAGATTGGATGCCCAAGTAAGTTCCGCCACGATCTCTATAATCAACATGCAATTTGTGTTCCGGTCGTTTTGACCGGGGGAGCAGTATTCATCGCCTGAATGCCACAGGCAGGGCATTGAACGATCACGTTGTGGCCATGAATATAGACAACCCCTCGAGTTCAGGAGGCTACACTTATCGTGTGCTCAATACCCCAGGCTTCTCGGGCGTTAACGGTGATGGCCGGATTCATGTTGTGGGAATGACGGGTGTCACCTCCCCAGACGGCTCAGATATCCAGTTATGGTTGATTAACGCCAGACCGTCTGTTGATGCCAAAACGGGAGAATTACTTGATAATTCCGTCACGGGAGGGAACGCGACAATTGACGTCTTCGCAACGGAGCCGGGCGCTGATAGTATGCGACATGTGAAGACATTTGCCAACGAGCAAATTGCGACACCGAACAATGTCGCCGTAGCCAAAGATGGCAGCTTTTGGTTCACGAACGACCATGGGCGCCACAAGGTTGGCTGGGTAAGTCCTCTCCTGGAAGAATTTTGCAAATGACAAATGCCACTGACCTATCCAAGCAACACCATTTTTCCCCGTATTTGGCAACCGGTGATGTCTCCTATTGCTCGGCCAGCGGCTCATGCAAGCAAGTGGCTTCAGGATTCAAATTCCCTAATGGCTTGCATCTCGGCAGTGATGGGCTGCTCTACGTACCCAGCATTGGGGTGGGAGGAATCACTGTCTTCAAACCATCTCCCGACGGATCATTGGTCAGGGTCCACTATATCGATCTCGACTACCCCATTGATAATTTATCCGAGGATGCCAATGGTGATATCTTTGCTGCCGCGCTGCCGAAGGCTCTGGCATCGCTGGCTCCGTTCGATGATCCGCTGAACGCAACTCCTCCGCCATCAACTGTGTGGCGGGTCAGGCGGAAGAACAGAGAAATCGCAGACAAATATCAATATGAGCTGTTCAAAGTGATCGAGGATGGCGCGGGTGAAGTATTGCCTGGCGTGACAACTGCGATTCACGATGCTTCGACCGGAACGTTGTTTATGAGCGGTATGTGGAATGGTTACCGTTCATCAACTGCATTTTGAGATTGAAGGTGGTCGCTGACTTGATGATGTAGGCGTTGTGTCACAGTTTATAACTGTGTGCGAGAAGGTCTGAGGAATCTACTCTATTGGAACCGACTCGAAACGAGACATCGTGAAGGCGGGGCGTCCTGCAAAGAGGTCTTGTGACGAAATGGCCCACGGATATGCGTTCTTGAGGTACAGAGCCTCCAAGGTTGAGGTTGGATCGTTCCTGTTAGGTCGCGATGCCATCCATGTCAGACTGCGAGTAGAGTCTGGAGTAGGTTGATCTAAACTAAGCGTATAAAACGTGGGAATCTTGATGCGTAGAATACAAGTCCAACGGCCAGTCGGAGCACCAGGCTCGCCGATATTCCGGCCATATAAGCTTTTTGGGGCGCCTTCCAGGTATCACTATCGAGGTACCTGACAGCTTATAATAAACGTCGAGGTACCTGGCGCAGGCCCAGGTACCCTCCTGCAACTGCCTGCGCTCTTCTTCTTTCTATTTCCGATCGCGCCAACAATAGCCTAGATAATCCATCTTCAAACATCCCATGTCCTTTCCTTCACTCCTCGGGCTCCGAAGATCTTACCGTATTAGCCGCACACACTCTGAGAACTCCCCTTCGTCGACGTAACGGCCCCCCTTTCGCTATGGGAAAGCCTGACCCCTTGGCAAGCCACACCCGTAACAGGCCAGCCAGCATTCAGGGCTTCACATGCATGTCTGCGCTCTGTCTCACGAAGCTGAATGCCTGGGGCGAGACGCTTGATGTATCTTGCCCAGTCCGTGGACAATAAAAGAGAGCAACAGACCCTTAGTCTCCCGTCATCTTTGTACCATTTGTCCTATCCATCGAGGTTACAGAGTACGGTATTGCAACTTGATAGTTTGCAAGCCCAGATTGGGATATTACTTCAAGGCCGTCCATTGATCTCGTACTTCCATACAACCTCATTTCTCTCGCATCCACATATCCTCTCCCACGGAACCGAGAGCCTTGCATAAAGAAAAACTTCTTCTACCTGATCTATCTCACTACCGTTGCACAGAACTATCTCAATATGGCCTCCCCTCCGACTATCGTCATCAACACCCCTGATTCAGCGACATCAACCGTCTCCGCTCCCCACCCTGCGCCTTCGGCCTCCACAGAAACAAAGAGCCCCGAGAAACCACAGAAACCTGCCCTGGTAAAATCTTGTTACCTCTGTGACGAGCAGAATCCCGGCGACTTCTCTCCCACCACCAAATACCTCGAGACCTGTCTCCTCTGCTCCCGGCATTTCTGCCCCATTCACAAGTCTGTGAGCTGGGACCAAGTCTGCAACATCAATCACTCCAAATATTACCATGAGTGTCTAGAGAAAGCACGGAAGGAGTTGGCTATCATGGGCAAAGGCTCAGATGTTAACAAGCGAGAAGTGGCTGAAATGCTCATCAATGAGGGCATTTATCCTAGTTTGGGAGAGCGGGAGAAGGCAATTTTCACAACCAGCCCAGTCAGCCATTGTAAGTCCGCCTAGGATGGGATGGCATGGCATGTCCCTCTCCTGGTGCTCAGCAAAAAGCTGAATGAGAGTCTCGACTAATCAAAAGACAGCCAAAATGCAAGAACTCGAGAACTACCGCAGTCTCGATGCGGCCCTCGCCGGCACCAGCGCGAGACCGAAAAGCCAACTGATTGAAGAGCGGGATGTTGTTGGCGCCGATATCGCCATCTAAAAAGGCCGAAGACATGCTCCAATGCTGTGCTGGAGGTGCAATGTGTGTTGCCCAAACGATGTGCACTTGATTGCCGTGAAGAGAAGTGAATGGGAGAGGTGAAGACGCGCGATCTCGACAATGAATTGAATCGAATTGCTGAAAGGCTTGCGCTTCTCGTTTCAGTGATGTCCAGCTAGCATGACCATTTCGGGCATCGTTTTGAGCTGAATGACAAGAAAGATGGCCTATGGCCGATGTTGCATCACGAGAGGGAGTGAGACACTGCGCCAACAAGCATGAGTGAATGAAAAGATATTTGAAAGTCAGCACATCAGTTTTCTCCATACGCTCGAACGTGTCGAGAACACCATCTACTCTGAACCGTGGCTGTAAACATCTTGGTCCAAGTCCAGTCCGTAGTCCGGTGGTAACCCCCTGAATCAATCGCTCTGGAGGCGGAGCTTGAACATCCTCCATTCGCCCACACATATTCGTTGCCTTTACAAAGCAATGGAAATATCCCATGGGAAACGTCTCTCGTCATATGCATCCCGGCTCAACTGTCGGTGAACTCTTTCCACCAGTAATACCGGGGGGTCTCCTTAAAGTTCAAACACAAACAATCTCTTCAAGAACACCCATTGCTCTCTGTCCCTCGCGCTCAAAAATGCCCACGACACGCTCAGCCTCAGCCCGCAAACTCACCTCCGCCTGTTCTGCCACGAACTTGATCCACTCCGGCACCGTCATGGATTTCTCCTCTGTACTTAGCGTTCCGCCTGTGAGGGCGAGGAGGTCTGCTGGTTGTGGCGTTGTGGGTCGGAAGATCAATTCGACCTCGCTAGGGGTCCACAAAGGGATGGGATCCCCAGGTGAGAACGCGTCAGATACAGCTTGTTTATGTGGTGGCGGGCGGGCGGAGGCGGGACGAGTGCTGGGAGGAGCATTTTCGATGTCTGACGAGGGTGAAGAACTTGTTGGAGCGGGAGAGCGATGGTCCTGTGATTTGCTGGATGGCTGAGGTGTTGCTGTCGACTGAGTTGCAAATGCGGGTGGGTTTGTTTTCACCGGTGTGGGTGACGACTGTGGAGGAGCCCCTAGGGGGCTTAAACGTCCAATCACATTTGACACGCCTGGGCTGTTGGATATAGTTGGGTATGCTACTTCAGCATTTGGACTGAGTTCCGGGCTCGGTAATGCTCGATGTTCTGAACGGACTGCTTGTTCAGTCTGTGCTGGTAATTGCTCGGCCGAGATCTCTGCCGAGATCTCCTCTTCCTCCGCTGTCTTGGGCTCAGGTTCACCTTTCTTCGCCCTAGTTGATCTTGTCGTCCTAGCTCGTTTGGACTTTGTCGTCTGCTTTTTGCCTCCAGTTCCCTTCCGCTTGCCCTTTGTAGTTGTCGTGGAAGTTGTTGACACGGTTGACATTACTGATGTAGCGCTTGTGTCTATGGATTCGTCAAGGTCTGGAATGTCATTGACGCTGGGAGCTTCAGAAAGCGTCGTCGTATGGGATTGAGAAGACAATCGGGTCGAGGCTTTTGAGGCGCGAGACACTTTCGACGCCCGACCCTTCTTTGCTTTGGGCCGCTTTGACGGCGGGGTTGTACCTGCGAAGTGGAAAAAGGGACAATTAGGTGATCTGCGATAGTGCTCATCGAAAGGATTATCCTTGGGTTCCCAGCCATCGAGAGACAGCTTGCAATGAACACAACTAACAAAATCGTCGCTCTCCTGGGTTGGCGCATAATGCCAGCCAGCCTCCACCATCTTCTCGGTCTTGCATGTCCAGCCACGCTTCGATTCATGTGGCCATCCTATTGAAAATGTAGCTCGTCGGGCGTCTGCGAATTGTGGCCCAGTGGGGTCTTCCATGGTGTTTGTGTCCAAATTTCCATCTTGTTCAGCGCTCATCAATATAGCCCAACCACAGTCACTTGAGTGTTTCAGATGCTCTTCCACCGGATCATCGTCGGTCTCCCATCCATCGAGGCTTCGGCCGCACAAGTAGCAGATGGTGTTATCATTGCTTGTACTCGAGGGTTTATAGTAAAATCCGGCTTTGGCAAGATCTTGGGGTGTGGGTGTTTTGTGTGGCCATCCTAATTTTGAGCGTTTGGAGGGAGGCCCGAAGGTTGCAAGACGCGCTTCGAGAGTAGAGAATTCCATTATTCTTCTTGTTCCGGATGCAATGTTCTCTCCTCGAGAGTTGTCAAGGCCAGGACATTTGTTTGTTGATGCTTCGCGTCTGATTTGGTGGATGACATAATAAGCTTCTCGGCTTACCTTCTCTCTCTGTTCTCGCCCTTTTCACCCAGATGTTGAGCTCTTCAACTGAGGGACAGCGTCAGCTACGTAACTGATTGATCCTCAATTCGGACTGTTTAATGAGACCACTCTTCCCCAGCATGCTCTTCAAGTATTTGGATCTCGACCGTCCTTCGAATGGATCCAAACAGGCTTCTTCCGTCTTGCGTTTTGCCGCCTCAAGCAATGGTGACACCCTGACGTTGATGAGCAGTTGGTGCCTCCGGCTCCGTCAAGCTTGTCTCAATTGACCATTGATTATTGACAAAAATTTTCTGCCGTCGAGAAGATCGTTATCCGCCGGTTACAAGGCTTACCGCTCTGTTCCTCGGCTTTCTATTAGAGCCAAAATCAAACACCCGATACTCTTTCCGGGCTTCAAAGCCGCCTTGCCTGCACTGCTTCTGAACTGATTACGTGCACAGAGTCTATTATTCACCAACATCACGGCCAATTGGTTTAACGATCTTAGCTGGGACGCGATTTCTGACTCAGTCCGAAGGCGGTAAGTAGTATCACACTCTTTCGCTCTCAGATGTCGCACATTCCAACATTGGGGCCATCCACGGACCTACGGGGTACACGTCTGGTCGCCTTGTCTGTGGTATGGCTTTGGGACTGCCTTGCCGCCTCACGCAACGGTGCCTTTCGACCTCCCAATATAGAGGTGATTCCAGAGTCTGTGAGTTCCCGGGTCCCTGCGTCCCCGCGTCCTCGCGTCAAATCCAACGATCGGTTCAAGTAATATCTCTTTTCACCTCCTTCGTCATTGTCCAGCACCCTTTCATCTTTACTATTGGGTTTCACACTTGACTTGGCAAACCGTAGATGTGCTGATCTTCTCCTTATACACAATCGTTCTGTCAATCCTTCTGCGCTAGAGGCTACTTGCGACTTCGCTGTGAAGCCATGCTATACACCAGCTGGCGTGATTCGCAACCCAAAATTGAATTACGCAGACCGTGTTGTTTATGCAGTATGCGATATCGTGGCCAATTTCATAGCATGTGTTGCGTCATCGCCTTATAGTAAAAGACGTCTCCGATGCTAACATATTTGGCAAATGGACCCTGCCATAATCCTGGTGTGAAATTATATTGGGGAGAGAATGGCACCGATCCTAACCTGGCACGATCCAGCCTGTATCAAACTCTTTATTCAATGACACTGGATACAGCCCAGGAGACACCAAGACGGAGGATACACGTCATCGTCGTCGTCGTCGTCGTCATGGCTGCCTCCCAATGATAGCCTCTTCTGAGCCTTAACAGGGAGTTGGATACTCAGCTGGGATGGAGGCTTCCGCTACGTCAACGGTGTTAATGAAACTCAATGCTATGAGATCGGAAACGGGGTTTTCATCTTCAATGGCGTCGCTGATGGCATCGTAGCTGTCCTATGTCTTTGGCCTTACGTATTTTTGGGCTCCACCGGTGAGAAAGAAACGACCCTCATCAACGGTTCATGTCATCACCAAGGAGCTGAGTCAGGTCACGTAAGACTCGAAACCTGCGGTAATTACAGAACGACTGGAATCGGCTCACTCGTGCCGCAGTGTGAGCTGGCTTGATCATTACCATAACTAATTGTGCCGTCAAATCGATTGATGACCTTTTTGGCTGAGAGCCCAAGCAGTGACCAAGCCTTGTCAAGAAAGCGGAGTCATGCCGCTTTTAAATAATTCGGATATTAATGTCGATCTGACCCTGAAAGCGGCAACGTATTCTTTCCTGATCGGGACACCCTTCCCAATGACGCAGTAAGATAAGTTCGTGGCTCAACGTATGCCTGGACCAGGTGGAGCAGCGCACACGACTCAAACAACAAAACATGCGGCTCCATAGTGAGCGGTAGCGTCGACCATGATCACTCTCCTCCAACAAAGTACACCACTACTTGAAGGATGACGATGCGAGTTGTGCCCAGCGTATTGGGCAAGAGAGGATTTCAGGAGCCCTATGGCACCGCAGCTCGACTTCCTCTCCTCGTGGCCTCTCGACGCCTCTGTCTTGCTTATGGTGCTCGCCATTACGCTACTGTTGAAGAAGATGCCAGGCGTGATGCTGGTCCACCGCCGGGATTCGACGCGTCCACAGCGAAACAAGTCCCAAACTCGCTCTCGTATACGAAATCGCCGTCCTCCTCGAACACTGGCAACCTCTCTGAGAAAAGACAGACCTCCGTCGATGGATCTACCAAATCCGATTCTTCTACACTGAACCCCTCCGACTGGGAAGAGAATCCAGACCTCAGTATATCGAAATTCTCCGAGCTTCCTGGAAAGGATTTTGGGGTCAATCAACATATAATCATCAATGAAGAATTCAAGGAAGCGTTAAGACAGATACTTTGGAAATTCCGGGCACCTATCCGTTATGCCTTTGCATATGGCTCGGGTGTGTTTTCCCAAAGTGCAGGGACCGACGTTGGGATCGCAAATCTTCACCCTTCACCACCTGCTGCCATATCGAAAGTGCAGAATGGAAATCAGAAGATGATTGATTTTATATTTGGGGTCTCCTACACTCAGCATTGGCATTCGCTAAATTTGTCCGAGCACCGCGACCACTACTCGGCTGTTGGGTCACTTGGATCGTATGCCGTGTCCAAAATCCAAGATTCATTTGGAGCAGGTGTATATTTCAACCCTTATGTCACCATCAACGGTACGTTGATCAAATACGGTGTAGTCAACTTGGATACCTTGTGTAAAGACCTCTCAGAGTGGAACACCCTCTACCTGGCCGGTCGATTGCAGAAGCCTGTCAAGATTCTGCGGGATAATCCGGCCGTGCGATTGGCGAACCAAGTCAATCTTATCGCCGCAGTTCGCACAGCCCTTCTTCTCCTTCCAGCCGAATTCACCGAAAAAGACCTTTATTCCACCATCGCTGGCATTTCGTACATGGGAGATCCACGAATGACCGTGGGCGGAGACGATCCCCGCAAAGTTGAAAACATTGTGACGCATCAACTCTCCAACTTCCGTCGTCTATACGCGCCATTGATCGATAATTTGCCCAATATCTCGTTCAATGATTCGGTTTGTTCACGCCACAACTGGCTGGATGATGCTACTGTGAACGCCAAGTTGGCTCAGAATATGGATCCCGTCACACGTGGACACATGGTTCGACGCCTTCCCAATGCCTTCCGACAGAAGTTATACTTTGAATATCAGTCCAAGTTCAAGATCCCACGAGGAGAGTTTATGAAGATGCTCGAAAAGACGAAAGATGAGGATCCCGAGCGCATTCGGAAACGCGAGGGTGGACCTTTCGAGCAACGAATCGCTCGAGATACTGAGGGTGGCGGATTGCGAGAAGAAGTCCGTCAGGTCATCGAGTCGACTATCCGCTGGCCGAGCTTCATACAAAGCCTCAAAGGTCCCATCACGGCTGGTATTTCCAGGAGTTGGCGGTATGCAATGGAAAAAAGGCAGAAAGCGAAGAAAGGAGCTCTGGCCATGAAAGAAGAGAACAAGAAAATGTAGCAACGCGCTGGATTCGACGTCTCAATGGATTGAGATCAGCGTGTCTGCACACCAGTCGTTGAGAAAGAAAGAACTTTTCCTTTTTGGGGGGGGTATGTGTGTGTATTCTCCATCAATTGAATGAGGAGCCCGAAATTCCTGCCCTCCAAATAAGTGAAAGTATGTAACGATACAGGGAGCCCATTGAGACAAAGATGACAAGTATAAACAAATACGCATCTGACCGAAAAGGCCGAATCTATCGGACCGCCAATTCCGCCTCGGTATCACGCATCAAGATCTATCCGCCCCAATTCTACAACGTCTCCTTGGTTTCTTTGAGCCATCTTGCATCCAGCCTTCCAGAAAATGTAGAAAGGAATCCCTACTGTCCACAAATACACGGCCGATCTAAGATAACTGGCCTTCTCGCTCCGCACAGTCATGTACAGCACGCTATACAGCGCTCTTGCAGCGAGGTATTCCGCCGCGCAGAAATTGAGTTCTTTGGTGTCAACCTTGGTGTATGTCCCTGCAAGCTATTTCACAGAGTTAGCACCCGGAGCAGCCATAATGTATGGAGCCCGCACTAGTACCAAGTGCAAATCAGAGAAGGCGCATACCATGGCAGCAGCGAAGAGCGGAAATCCTTCCAGCGCGTTGAGATGGCAGCCTCTCGCTCGCCAGAGCATATCTGTCGTTGCTTTTGGAAGAGTGGGGCCCAGCAGTTCGAGATTTGCGCGCGGCGTAATGTTCGAGGCGGCGTAGTGGGACGCTTTCATGATACGGCTGAATAGGTAGATGTGAGGCGGCCAGGACATGGCGTAGGATATCGGTACGGCATGCAGGGCGAATGCGGGGGTCGACCAATACGACGGCTTTAGTGGGGAAGCAGGCAAGGTGGTATGTGAATCTTTTGCGGAAGACATGTGTGTGGGTATTTCAAAACTTGGTGATTAATCACGGGTGGCATAGAACGGAGATGGGAGATGTGGAAGATGAAAATAACAGACAGGAGACCCGGTATCTACGTTGCACTTGACCTTGATATATCATCTTTCGCTCAGAGCTCGTTGCGTTATGCGAAGGCTTGATGTGAGGTTTCACGAAAGGCGTAGCATAACGTAAGGCAAAGCCGCTGGACATATCAATACACCTTCCATCAACGGTGAATCTCCATATGGAAAGTTGAGTGTAATAGTCCGAGTTTCATCACATTCTTATCGATCGAATATGTTGTAACGAGAGTTTGGAAAGAGACGTTCAATCAAGAGACATAATGAAAAAGAAGAGAGAAAGTCCACGGCAAATCTTCTGTCTGACAGAAATCTGGCGATACCAAGGGTGTCGTGGTCATGGGAATAAGCCCCGGTCAGACAATTGATTTAAAAATTTCGAAAACAACTCTCTCTCTCGCACCTTCGCGACCACCGCTACCTCCCGGAGGGAAGAAACCTGAAATGCTGCCAATACCATGAGATAGGTCCAATGTACCTGTTGTCAATTATGGTTCTCATGCGGTACATATATTACCTCTTGCCACCCCATAGCCTCCCCACTATCCATTCTGCCTGCAGAAGCGTCAGTGGCACCAATGACCGTGAGCCTACCTGTCTCGTATACGCAGCCCAGCAAGCCGCAACGACCAAGGGAATACCCAAGTATATGGCCATATTGGTCAAGGCATCGGCTCCAGTCTTTTTCTGAAACGAACCGAGCGTTTCGAGATAGTCACGGCTCCCATTGACATGAGGAAATGGCTTCGGCGGAACTTCCTTGCCCAAAAACCGGCACAGAGGCTCCCATCCCTGCTTCACATTGAACTCGAGCAGATTTTCCTTCGGGACGAGGCTCCGGATCCAGTTATTGTGTTCTTCGTACATGCGAACACCGCGGCTGGGCACGTCCAAAAGTCGAGTATACTTGATCACCATCCCGAACATTGGCTGATAGTAAGTCTTGGGGGCAAAAGCCATCAAAATTCTGCCCACCACGCCTATCTCTTCATGGGCCAGGGCGGTGGGGATCACAGTGGACATCATGGATTTCCTCCATGCCTCAGGACTGTCTCGGACAGTCAGGATAACCTTGGCTTCGGGATATGCCTTGATCAGGTCATCGGCGAATGCATAACTTGGTGCGTCGGAGATGGCCTTTTGGAGGGGTCAGCTAACTGTTGAGGCGCGTTCTCTTGAAGCCAGATTCCCCGGGACACGGGATCGGGAGTACCATGCAGTGCCCAAACAATTGGTCCCAATCACTCCGTTCAAATCGTTTGCCGCCTTCGAATCTCCCTCTCAGCGCTTCCGTCCACATCTCGCAGTCTCGTGGGTTCTCATTACAAAACGATGAACCATGATAGACGTCGAAATAATCGAGTTCAAAAAGAGCATGTCTGAGAGAAACGGTTCCAGTCCGGCTGAGACCTAGATCAAAAGAGCAGACGTCCAGTCACTATTGTCTCTCCAAAAAGAGAGGGAGGGAGGGAGGAGGGCGCTCATTCAACTCACCTAGGACGAGGACTTTCATGGGAACGACTCGTCGACACTTTCTCCGGTCCACGTCCAACGCATGTTGGATAATTTTCGGGTCAAAGGGACAGCCGGTACCCTTCTTCGATATTGGTAACGTCAGACCGGTGAGGTCATAGGTCTGCTGTTCCGGTCCTGTCATGTTGGTGATCGCGCTGCCTCACAGACACAGGGGTTTCCAAATAATCGAGAATGAAAAAGCGAGGACGAAACTCTGGCATCTCGATATGTATCCATGTGGGATACAGAACGACTGATAAGGGCCGCACACGCTCAAGCTGGCGTAACAGAAGAAAAACTGCCGAAGAGACGTTCAAGAACACGTCTGGATGACCGAAGAGCAGCCAATAACCTGGAGCTCAACGGGATGTGCATTCCATATTTCTGGTGAGAAAAGACTAGCCGCCAATCGGTTCATGAGGACTGAACATCGGGATACGAGAATGGTGGACGTTCCCAGTGAAAGAATCGGAATGGCTTGCGATTTTTGGAGTCTTTTCGTCCTGTCGTCTCCTATCGCCAAGCAAGATGATAGCTCGAGGTTGAAGTTGAGTTGCATCAGCTACCCGAACCAAATAACTTGGATGACACCCTTCTTGCTGAATGGGTTGAGCTGAGCACGATGGCATTGAGTCGGGACAACTTGATCGAGGATACTCCGGTCATCGTCCTGCATGACACGTGATATGCCACTGACATGGAGCACCATATCATTCAAGAGGTGGTCGTCACATTGGATCAGGATGAGCTTTCTCGATGCAGTCTCGGACGCGTACAACGTCTGATCTTCATCTCTTTCCCAATTTTCTGCCCATGGACAATCTCACAGGTGGTCAGGTTCATTCCACATTCCACAACAGCCTGAGAGTGCTAAAACCTTGTAGCATTGCAAGCTCGCCTTTCCGTGCTCAACGCGCTGAAGCAATTGGAATGGGAGAGGTCCCGGAAACACCGCCCCGTCCCCTTTTTCTTTTTTGGAAATGGCTAACACAATGTGGGCCAAAACCCATTCCCGGGGTGTCGTGACGCGGACGAGTTTACATAATAACATTGACAAGTCTGTGGACTGCATCCCAGAGGTCCAGAACAGGAGGATCCCAGCGGGAGGCGTTTCGCCCACCGTCGTCTACCGGTGCCTGTACCAGCTTCCGCCAGCCGTGTCTTACCGGTCGAGAGAAAAAGGGGATAAGCTTTTGACTTTTTGTGGATTCAATGTCTGAGCTTGTTTGTCAAGCCACGCAAGCCAAGGCGCCACATTCGCTTCTCATTGGCTGCCCGTGATTAAGTATGTGCCTCCTTATATTGAGGAAAAACAAGTTCATTTGGCAACTTTTGAATTTTTTTCTTTCTTTTCAACATTCTTCTACATCCACTCGACATTTGGCCAGATTGTCTTGCCAGTGTTTTTCTTTCCTTCTTTCATTGCTTCATTCATTTATTCATTCATTCATTCACCTGGATAGTTTGACCTCCAGTTCACTCGTTGATCAATTTTTCCTTGCCGTCCCCACTCTTTGCGAATTCAGTCCAAGTTCAACATGAAGTCCTCCGTCCTCGCTCTTCTCGGGGGGGCGTCTACAGCTCTCGCCGCCGTCCGTGGATTCAACTATGGCTCCCAAGGTCAGGATTACAACGGCTTCGCCGGCCAATTCAAGACGGCTGCCAGCTTGGCTGGTGCCAACGACTTCACCTCGGCCCGATTGTACACCATGATTCAGGAGGGCACAACCGACACTCCTATTGACGCCATCCAAGCTGCTATTGACACCAAGACGACTCTCTTGCTGGGTCTTTGGGCATCGGTGGACCAGTCCGCGTTCGACCACGAAATCACGGCGCTCAAGAGTGCCATCGAACAATACGGCTCTGACTTCGCCGACTTGGTCGTCGGCATCTCTGTGGGAAGCGAAGATCTCTACCGAATCTCGCCCATTGGCGTCGCCGCCGACAGCGGCGTAGGTCAAACTCCCGACGTCCTCGTCGACTACATCGGTCAAGTCCGTGACGCAATCAAAGGCACCTCTCTCAGCACCAAACCCGTGGGGCACGTCGACACCTGGAACGTCTACGTCGACGACACCAACGCCGACGTCATCTCGGCCTGCGACTTCCTGGGTCTTGACGAATACCCCTACTACCAAACCACCGATGAGAACGACATCGACAACGCGTCCTTCCTCTTCTTCCAGGCCTATGACAAAGTCGCCGCCGTCGCCGGTGGCATCCCCATCTGGATCACCGAGGCTGGCTGGCCCGTTTCAGGGCCCACCTCCCACTTGGCCGTTGCCAGCACTGAAAACGCCGAGATCTTCTGGCAAGACGTCGCATGCGAGCTCCAGCACCGTGGCATCGACTTTTGGTGGTACATTCTGGCCGACGCAGGGGCTTCGCCCTCTTTCGGGGTCAGTGACAACGGCAAACCTCTCTACAATCTTGCTTGCAACGCTACCTCGGGCTCCTCGGGAAGCTCAACTTCGTCGTCCACGGCCTCCTCCAACTTCACCAACCCACACGGTGGTTCGTGGAACTCATCTACTGCCTCGACTTCCAAGACCTCGGCTTCAGCATCCAGCAGCACCCAAACCGTCACGGCCAATGCCACCGGAGCCGGTGCTACTGTTCACGCCACAGCTGGTCCTGAAGCTTCCGCTACCGGTGCCGCCACCGGTGGCTCTCCCGCAACCGCGGGCGAAACCCCTGTAGCCGGCTCGGCAACCGCCTCTTCGCCCGAATCGACCTTCACCGGTGCCGCGGTTAAGATTCAAGGTTCGATTGCCGGTCTTGCAATGGGCGCCGCTGTCGCCGCCTTTGCTCTGTGAATGTGTATCTAGCTGATGGGTTCTGGTCATTCATGGATGCATACGGACGATGGGATAAACGTTTCTCGTTGGTGCCGGGTAAGTTATTCAATAGACAATAAGCATATGTTATATATATATATGTATGCCGAAAAATAATTCTATATACCGACGGACAATAGTCGGTCATTTATTGTCATCCACAGAATCCGTCTCATGAAAGATGTCCGCTGCCACACCACGGGAGCAATATTGATTGATCATGGCTGGATAGGAAATATTGATGGATGGTTCAACGCCGAAATGCCACGATGTTCTCAGTGATAGGCTATCGTCTTATATTATATCTTCATTAAAACATGAGAGAATCATATCATCAATCAGAAGGGAAACTCGCCAACGCTTTGAGTCCAGAGGCTCGAAACATCCATCCACCCCAGCCCATTCATTGGACCACTGGCAGAGCAAACCCTCTCTCTTTTTTTCCCTTGGGAATTTATCTCCCGGATCTTGCTTATTGAGAATCCCCCTGACCTGTATTCCCCACGTCTTTCGCAGTCTGTTTGAAAAAGGCGGTTTCTCAAATATATTCGCCCTTCTCATTCTTTCCGTTTCGTTCCGAGCGAGTAAAGACTTCCTTGGACGTCAAATTGCCCACGCCCTCAAGAACACCACCTTTGCCGAATTGACCGCCCACACCTTCGTTGACGCCGTCCTGGATCGCATCCACGTTCTTATCGCCCGTGACCTTGGTTTTGGCTAAGTTGTCTATACAGATATCACGTCAGGAGCTAGGAGCAGATATGATTGGATGAAAGGAGGAATTGGTCGCTACCTTTGGCGACATAGCTGGTTTTATTCTCACCCCACCAGCCTAGGACATTGTCTTCGATCCATGGCACCCAAGATTCATATTGCTTGTTGTACCAGCTCTTTACACCCTCCATGATGAATGTTTGGTTTCACGCACAAGGCAAAGGAGAGAAAGAATGCTTCACGGTGGAATAAACGGTGAGGTCGTCAAGCTTGCAAACGCGTATGAGAGATAGGAACGATGATCAACAGAGGAAAGTAAACAGATTCGGAGGGAAGAGTCCTTTTTCAGGGTCTCAGTATACATCTGAATAGATGGAAGGGTATGATGCCATCACACTGCATGCCGCACGGCACGAGGGTGCGAGCATGGTTGCACTGTGGTAGAAGCATAGGCAGCCAGGTGTGGCTAGTACGTCACTCACGCCTAGAAAGTTTGACTCAAGGGGCTTGTTGTGGCAGATGAAGTGGTCAGAAAGTTCATCTGGTCTAACGAATCAAGTGTGCCATCGCAACTCTTGTCCAGGATGGTCGAGGTAGGAAAAACGAAACGAGAGGAAAAGATGAATGTTGACGTGTTGAGATATGACGTAGCGCTGGGGAGCCGCCATCCAGGGAAGTGACAGGGGGGTTCGAGATCGGGGATCAGGCTGGAAAAAACGCAATGAATTCTGAAAGGGACGAATTGGAGAGCAGGACAGCGTTGTAGAAAGGAAAAGGATTTCTTTGAAACCTAGGGGCTTGCGAAATCATAACTGAAAGCACCAAACATCTATCTTATTTCCCACAAGAAAATCCAAAACCTCCTTTTTTTTTTTTCCCCCTTTCATACCGGTGCCGTGGTCCTCGGCATTAACTTGGTTGCTGAGACAGAGAAAGATCGTAACACAATCAGCAAATTGATCTTCTTTGGCGATACGCCAGGGATCCAAACGGATGGGTCTGAGTGTCAAATTGACAAAATCAATGAGGGATCCTCGTAGCATCATGCAACACCCTGTTTGTTTCGTTGGAAACGATGCATGAAGAGGATCAGGCCGAGTGGTACTACACCCTGATGTCGCCATAACTTGTTCCTCTCCATTTGCCATCAGTTCGGTCATCAAAAGGCTCATACCTTCCCCCATGGTGTAGTTTATGGGTTTGTTTCATGTGTTGTTCATGGAAGGTTCGACATGTAAAGCTCTTTTGGCAGGGCTGGCATACATTGCGTATGGGAGTGCAATGGTCTTCCCTGTCTCGTGGAGACATGAATGCTTCTGAGCAGGCATCGCATTTGGAGTAGGGCGAGGGTTGCTCGCGAATCAGAGGGTGGAATTCAACTTCGCCTCCGCTGCTAAGAACGAAGGCTAGGGCTTGATCGAGGAGTTGGATTTCTCGGGTCGTTGGGTTGTACACGTCGGGGTGGAAGTGGTCAGTGGTGGTCATGGGAGGTCTGCATGTTGGACTTCTCACGTTCGATCCTCGCGAGGTGGACGATCCGAACTTCACTGAAGCACCATGCCGTCGAAGGACTAGGCAATGCTCATAGACCGGCGCGAATGGCCCTTGTGGAAAGTGCATCGAAGCATCGAAGCGATCTGCCAGATCATCGGACTCCCGCTGTTGGTGGACGCTTTCCGTTCGACTTCCTCTCAGTGGCGTGTCTCCAGCGCCTCTAGACATGTCCCGCTTGTCTGGATCGTGGTGAGTATGGTTCGGGATGTGCGAGAAAGTGAACTCCGTGTCGGCTTGCGAGTCGACGTCTTCGTAGTCCCGGTCGTCTACCGCTATCTTTTTCGCCCTTTCAGCTTTGCTCTGGACTTTGGGTGCGTCGAGGGTTCTCTGACCAGAATTCCTACTTCTTGGAACCCTTCTATCACCCGGCAAAAATGGGGGCATTGGGTATCAACGCGAGCTTGAAGGAATCGATGAATGGCTAGAGCAACGAGCAAGTAAGAAGAGTTTTATGTCTGGGGCCATTGGGGAGCAGAGGACACATGAAGCAAACGCGACAGATAGGCTTAAAGGAATTTGTTAGGCTCAGCGATGGATGCCTCCAGCCTTGGAACCTTTGGTCGTCTGTGCATTTGCGCCCCGTTGTAGCTCATGATGGAAGAGGAATTTGCACGTCCAGAAAGGCAAAAACGCCATTCTACGGGGGTGCCTAAGGCCATGCGGGTGATCGGGCAAACAGGGCGGTGTTGGCAGTGTCTGGGCAGAACGGGACATTACCGGACGAGAATTGGATGGTCCTGAAGAGGAGGGTTGCATAGGACCCGGGAGAGCCTCATTTTGCGTTGTCTCCCTCGGGTTGTGGCGGTGGCTTCGTGGAACGCAGCCTCATTGTCTACAGTCTGCAGAGGGGTATGCAGTTCGTGTAGGGGATTTGGGCAGTGGAATGGGACGATGAGGAATAGTATCAAGTCGGTGAAAGAGGGAGGATTGATGGATAAGGTTCGGGTCTCAACATCACGTTCTATCACGTGATGTACGATTCACGTGATGTCGGCTGCTCCTCCGACCGTGGCCGCTGCCCGGCAGTTGACCCTTCCGCTTGTCTCCGCATCGCTTTCCGCCTTCGCCCTCCCTTCTCGTGTCAGCCTTCCCTCCACCTCCACATTTCCTTTTTACCCTGCATCGGGATGTTGACCGATCAACACCGGACTGTGGCCATTTACCCGTGGATCAAAGAAGATAATATATCGGCTATGAATTTGTTCTCGCCATCTTGTTCCTATCTTCTATCATTCCTGTGTAATTGTCTCTTTCCTTCTGTCTTCTCTGAACATTAAACCCTGATAGCCTTTCTCAAACCCTTGCAGATCTCCATCATCACCTTACCATCATCCGGGTCCCCCAAAACCGGCAGTGACATTTCTTCCAGGGTTCCAACAACGATGGCCGTGATGTCTTCTCAGAACACTTCTCCCCATGTGAGTTTTATTGGGCTCGGTGCCATGGGTTTTGCCATGTCCACTCACCTCGTCCGAACCGGGTTTCCCGTCACTGGATATGATATTTATGGGCCAACGCTAGAACGCTGGCGGTCTACTTGCCATGAAATCCCCCATGCCAAATTCAGAACGGCCGGATCACCCGCCGAAGCAGTCCAGAATGCTTCCGTTGTGTGTCTGATGGTTGCCAATCACCACCACGTGCATTCTGCTCTTTTTGACGAAAAGGTTGGGGCGGTGCGTGCCTTGCCCAAGGACTGCACTGTTATAATCCATGCCACCATTCCTCCTACCCAGCCATTAGCCGTTCGAGCAAGGTTGACAGACGAGTTTCACCGTCCTGACGTTAAATTGATTGATGCACCTGTATCTGGAGGAGCAGCCAGATCCATCAACGGCACGTTGACTATCATGACATCCTCCGACGACCCAGCCAACCTCGAGCAACCAGACACAAAGATGGTTCTCGAGAACTTGGCCAGCAAAGGAAAGACGCTGTACACCATTCCCGGCACTCTCGGGGGAGGTCAATCGGCCAAGGCATTGAACCAAGTCATGTGCGGCATTCACATTCCCTCAGCCTCCGAAATCATGGGTCTCGCCGCGACCAGCGGTCTTGATACACAGAAATTCTATGACTATCTTGTATCGAAGGACTCGACGGGAAAGCCACCTGTGGGATGGAGCTGGATGTTCGAGAATCGTGGCCCAAGAATGTTGACTGCCACTCCACCAATGGCGTCGGCGATATCGATCATCAACAAAGACGTCGGTATTATTCGCGACGAAGAAGTACGACTGGGAGTCGAATTACCCCTGCTCAACAAGGCCAGCGACGTTCTGACCGCGGTGATGAAAACCCATGCAAGCGCCGACGACAGTTGCATCGCCCAATACTACCTAGGCTTCGACTCGGACCGGGTAAACCTGGTCGTTGAAATGGCTGGCCAATCCACCCTTTCTGCCAGCGAGCAAGAGAGTATGATCCGACACGTGGCCAATGCACATGCCATCATCCATTTGATCTCTGCTCATGAAACGACCAAATTCGCTCGAGCACTTGATCTCATGCGTCCGGAGCAGAGGAAGCAGTGGTTTAATATTATCTCCGGTGCGGCTGGCGGCAGCACCATCTTCTCCGAAGTGATTCCTCGTGCATTCGAAGACGCGGATGGAGTTGATGCCGCATTTAAGAAGTACGCTGCGGAGAAGTTCAACGGAGGTATCGTGGAAAAGACGGTGAGCTCTGTTGGAACCGTCCCGCTTTTGGCCTCTTTTACTAACGACGTTGTCATGTAGATCTCTCTAATCAACCACGCAAAGAGCCAAGGCTACGAGCCAAAGCTCCTCGAAGCCGCCGTTGGTGATCTGAAGGCTCTGCTGGGCCAGTAGTGGGCGGTATTCAATTTCTCTCACGTCAAGACGACCACCCTGAAGTGCCGTCGGTTTCCCAACCCCCAACCGCCATCGTCAGAATACACCAATACTTCATCTTTCCTCTATCTCTATCATGACCTTCTACTTTCACCGTTTCCGGCCTTTTCATACAGATTCCAATCGCCTTTCACGATCCTCGCGCTCAAGGAGTTCAGAGCTCAGGACCAAGGTTGTCCTGACCTTCCCGATTCCAGCTCTTTCAGCAACATAACCGACCACACGGTACAAAGTCTCATGCTTCTCATAGAAGCGGCGAGATAAAGGCGCATGTATTTTACGATTGTTATTGAACTTGTGGACTGGATTTTTCCAATCGATCTATCCCTACTTGATCGAGAGATGTGATGAGAAATTATCCTAATACCATTGAGAATTATGACACTAAATAAAGTGTGCTTTCATGCTTCGTCCACCACCACCTGGAAAGCCGCACCGCACGATCCCTGAGCGGCCGAAGTACTCCTCCTCAGATGCAGTGTAGCACGTCATCTAACAATATAGAATTCGGGTAGACTCAAGATAGAAGAACTTCCATGACTTTCATTCCCACTTCGGTTCCGGCCCTGGACCTTTCCCCCCTGTCCAATGGGTTCGAAAACGTCAATTTCCAATCAATGCACCTCTATAGCTCACGAGCCCCGTCCTATAGGATTACCCCCATGAACATCTACTTTGAACGTATTCCATGGCCTTGCGAAAAATTTCATTGTAAAACTCTTCAGCACTTGTCATTCCGAGCCATCGAACCCGGATGTACCCGATATGGCGAATACCTGGTATGTTGTCGCAGCCTCAGAAGTATGCCAAATGCTCTCTCATCGACTAGTGGGCACTCAGCAATGCATTTAAGACTGGAAGCTGTTAGTGATGTTTGGCTAGGTTCATGGTGAGTTGTGAGATACATCACAGCACGTTGAGAAGTGACTGATGAAACTAGATGCGATAATTTGACTCGTCGAAGATGACAAGGTTGTGTATGAATGAGCCATGAGAGAAGAGGAGATTCCTCATATGAGTTTGTCTCCTTTCAATATGTTGCTGCATGTATGATGGAGAATTGGATGGACAGGGATCTGAAGAAAAAGACGAAACCACCTCCAGAATAATGCCGGGAATAAAAGGAGTATTCCTAGTAAGTGCTGGTTGGACGGTGATGTATCTATCGCCTTCTTGATTTCCTTACGCGATGAATGTCGATGGAATGGGGATCGTATTTATTCAGGCTCCAGAATAGGCGCCTTGCGGCAGGCCCTGCGACGGTGACAGCCGGTTATTGGTTGTGCTTAATGACAAAATGTCCTTTGGAGGGTCTTGCCCTATTGACACGTTTGAAGTACTCGCCCAAAGGAGCGATAAAGGAAGAGCATTGTATTATAATTGCACGACTTTGTAACATAGTTCTCATGTTTGGTTCCTCGACTTCAGCCGTGCGCGTCATTTTGTCGTATAAAACCACTCTACCCACTGCTTTGCAGAGACGTCTTCGGCGGTGTTTCATAGATATGGGCCGCCAGTACATCGACCAGCATTGCTAGGACGCGTTGTCATTTAGGTTTTCCATCTCTTCCGGGGGCAATTCGCGATTGTCAAGGAATGTAGAGGTGAGGTAGATTCTTGGGGAAGAGGTGAACATCAGCATTGATTGTGGACTAGTAAAGATCATATCGTGAGTCTGCGCGGCCTCAATTAGCTGTCAGCATTGACGTCAGAAATTCTGTGCCGAAATCCCATGTATGACCCATCGTGGAGATACTAGCGTTTCCTCTCGATCTTAACGCATGATGGCGGCCACAAAGCTCCTTCAAGCCCGTGAACTTGAGAAGACGTACATCTTGCGTTGGCGGTTGCGAAAGCATCTGTAGTTATCAGCCGGATAGCGAGGCTCCGCAAATGTGGAGCCGAGGACTCAGCTGACCTTGGTCTTCGATCTAGTTGGTTTGGCCTGCGCTTCGTCAGCAGTGACTAGGAGATGTCAGCCTTACGGGGTCTTGCTCCACAGCCTTGAAAAGCCACAGAAATCGAAAAATTGAAGGACATCCTGACTGTGCTGTGTCTGGAAAGCCTCGATGACGTCTGCTCATTTTGCTTCGTCCATTGGGAAAGCATGCTGGGGTAAGGGATCGGACTGGTTATAGTTGCCCACCTAAAGAGGTAAAGGAATAACCGAGTCCTGCGGCACCCTAGTCCAACAATGTTGCTTTTAGCCTTACACTTTAGTGGTAGGTAGTCCGTTTTCCAGTTTCCCGGGCATGCTCACGACGTCCGCGGTAGCGACCATGATTGATTCCTTTGGTGGCAGTTTCCTTGAGCAAGAGAATTCACCATCTTCACACCCTACTGCGGAGTTATCTGGTACGGTTCGAGTTGCTGTTCGTTTGTATTAAACAAGCCATGGGAGGCTCCGCTTTCATCGATCGATCACGTAAAGCTCCAACCAATCGAATTTTTCAACGCGCATGGAGAGGAGAGCCTGGAGGTCCGTGCACCAACAGTCTTGCCTTTCTTTTACCCTTGAAATTCGAGGACTGGACTGACGACATAACCGGTGGTGGGCACGGGGCTATTGATTTTACCTCTGTTCAGCCAGCCAGCCGTAACGGCCCCAAGTGGCTCTCCAGGGAGAAAACTTTGATCTTTCAAAGAAGCAGATGACGTTCAGTTGGTCCTTTGGGGCCAAGGCGCGAGATCGTAGCCCCCTATCCCCCTCGGGGGTTTTCCGTGAGATCTTTCTGGAAGGTGGGCCTGACAGCGCTTGCGGGAAGGGTGAGATTCTTATTCGTTGGGAGGATGGAGAGGTTTGATTCGTTAGAACTTGACGACAGCCAAGGGGTTTATCAGCTCAAATCCTCCCCCTTGGGGATCTCGCTGCTCGGGATTCAAATGTTTCCTAAGCGTCAGCTGTCTCTGTACGCACTCGAAATCCTTTCCCCGCAACTCCTCGGAAGGATAATGCTGGAGAATCTGGCATTGGCTAGAAGAAACGTTTATGCTGTCCATCCATGCCAAAAGAGTTGAGTTGATTGGATCTGAATGTACGAGGAGAGCAGTCTTGGTTCTCCAGAGGGCCCCTGTGCGAAGAGCCTCTCCAAAAAGTGACCAGTCCTGGAGGCGGCGTGATGAGTCCTGCCAGTCGGAGTTGACCGACAGCATGTCAACAGGAGTCCAAGTGTTGACTGCATAGATGAAAGATGGATGGCTGAAACTCGTCCAGTTCGCGATCCTGAATTTTCCTTAGATATGCGGTTTGACATGACGACCATATCTACCTGTTAGCATTAGCCAGCTTTGACGGCTTTCGGGGAAAGATGTCTCCGGCTTGCATGATGGACGTCAATCATAGGACGCCTCGCATCTTTTCGCATCCTTTCGCAATCCTCTTGCTAGGCGCCAAATGTCTGGAAACCTCATGGACGATCCACCTGCCTCCCCAGATCCGAATTCGAAGTATGCATCAATTTTGGTCAATTATTCCCATGTGAAAACTTCAGCATCATACCCTGGATTCTTAGAGCACAAAATGGCGTTGTGCTGTGCTTGGAGGTGGGGACGTTGTGGAGATGTCGGATGAGCAAGGGCGATGATATGCAACTGTGACCGAGGGAGGCTTTCTGTTTTAGCCCAACTCTGATACTGGACCTAAATCCGTATACGAAAGATCTAGGATTGGAAAGACAAGATCATGGAGTGACTCAGAATTAAGGAGTTCAAGAGCGCTGGAATACATGTGAAGCTCTGGCCGGTGTTTGATTGCCGCAACTCATAGCTAGCGTAGAACAATTATTCGCTGGAGTGTGTGATGAGCAAAGTGTCTGTAGGGCTGGAGAAGTTGGGAATTCCGCTTTCATTCGTCCTCGAAATTTTCCGGCCTCGGATTCTCGAAGATATGGGAGAATAGGCATTCTATATCTGGATGGCCGGATCGTAAAGAGATGAAGCAGCGGAAAGTCCTTGAGCTAACCTAGCAGATGTGGAAAATCTTTTAGTTGAATAATCACCAATTCGTATTCGGGTAGCAGAAAGAGTAGGAGATGTGTTAGTCGATCTCAAATGAGCAGTCGTCTCTGCAATATGGGAATGAAGATTTGGCTCGAATGATTTCAGCTGACGGGACTGCTCGGTCCGGAGTTCAGCTCGGAGTCGCCGACCGGTCGAGATTTCCGTTTTGAGAATCGCAGCCAGGTCTTCATATCGGGAGCCATGCAAAAGACTGTCGAAGAACTATGACTGGGAGACAAGGACACATGAAGCATCCATAGGAGGGATGAAACAGAATGGACGAGGTATGGAATAGCAGGCAGGGCGGGAGCTGTGATTGGCAGACAATGGACGCCGTCCATTAAGCGGCAGCAAATGGCGACCATTTGATCCGATTTGGGTGCCAGGCGAAACATTTCTCCGACATCCGAAGTTGGACTTGGCGTCTTGGCATCAAAAGGACCAGCCGCGTCATCACGTGATTGGGAGAGTGCTTGCGCGGCCAATCACAATTCCTGGTTCTTTAGATGCTGAAACAAGCATGGAGAATGTTTCATGCGCAAAAAGCGCTCATACCTCAGCCTACTGCACATCGGTTTCATGGGCCCAATCTGGACGACGTTGTTAGCTAGTTACCACTCTAGTGTTGTTGCCATCCAAACAAACAGCTTTTAATACCGAGATGCGAAACTCTACCGTCGAGTGTCGAGCATCCTTGTTCCAGGCCACCAAAACTCTGTTCCGTGCTTGGGGTCCACCTTGAATCCTTGACAAAATGAACGCGGGCCGTTGCGCAATCACCGACAGCACGCCTTTGAACTCTTTGCGGCGACGACGTTTGAAAACTGCGCGGCATGACTGGAATTCCTCATTGGGAAATTGGGACCGCTGATCGCCATCAAGCCCCAACGCTCGCGTCATGTTTCAGGTGGCTGGATCTCATAAGCTCTGGTGTCTGTGCGTCGTCGGTGGACCGGGGTTTTTGTGCCCATTTAAAAGAAAACATGGCGGATCCAATTTCCACCACGACATACGAGTTACGCTGCTCAAGTTTCAGGTTTCCTATTGTCACCCGGCGCAACTCCCGAAAAGGAATCGCCAGTCATCTCGAAACAAAATGCCCACGGCCATCTCATCCAGATCCCACCGCACGTCGCCTACTCTCGCTTGTGCTCGACGCAACATTGCATCGAAAGTCTAACATCTGGCCATGCCTGGCGCGAAATCACGAGCCTCAAATGCCGTGCTGCTGCCGCGCCCCACCTCTGGACGTCCACACCAGGGTGGGCAATGTTTCCCAATGTGGTCCTCGTGAATCTCACTCATACTTCCCCGCCAAAATATTTTTTTGACTTTTGGTCCAGCGCGGCACCAAAGTGCCGTAAGCGACATTAAAAGGCGATCTAAGCCAAATCGTTTCAAAAAGGATCAAAATAAGAAATCCCAACGTGAAATTTTGGGAGCATAGAATGGAATTCGTGACATGGCGTGACGTGACCTGTGTTGACCAGCAAAACTCCGTTCCTGTGGTCTGATGGTCGGCCGTGGTAGAAGTTTTTTTCCCGCCCCGTGGTTCCCACATCCCAATACAAATGGATAACGGTCGAGAGCAAAGCTCGTATTAACATCGTCTCTGCCAGCCGAGACCTGGGAATAATCTCACTCAGACGACGTGTGTTTGTGTGATGGTCGGCAACCCTCCGAAAAGAATTCCATCCACCACAAACCCCCCCCCCCCCCCCCTCTTTGGTGCTCTCTTGTCCTGTTGCCGAATCGGTCGTGCTTCATCTCCGGACCAGCCAGGTGGCACGCCCTACCGCGTTTCAGATTTTAACCCCTCATACCGAACCGGATTGTCCTCGCTCGATCCACTGACGGATGAGTCGGTTAATTGCCTTCTTGGGCCAGACTCTCCGCCACTGAGCTCATCCCGGTGCTGTTGACGACTCCGAGAGCGAGCAATGTTGCGACCGCCGGTGTCCTGTTCGCGAGATGATGCATCACTGTTTTGACGTGAATGCCGTAGAGGTCGGTTTCGATGCCCTGGGGACATTTCTCGCTCTCGAGACGACCGAGATGACATGGGCCGTGATGGGTCAGGTGGCTGCGACGTCGGCGGGACAGGGACCGCGTGTCCCCCGGTTGTCTTACGCTTCTTTGGCGAATTGTGATATTCAGACCGTAAGTGTGATCCGGTGTGCTGTGAGAATGGTGACCCGTGATTGCTCTTGCCTGATGGAGTGGGGGGTTGAACCCCCCCCGAAGATGAGGTGTTCGGTGGTGTCCAGTGGTGGAAGAACAACCCTACACCCGAGGATTGCTCCGATGAGGCTGTTTGTGTTTGCTGTAGAGGGTGTAATGATTGTCGATTTGCCTGATTCGTCGTAGAACTCGGAATAAACTCGCTGGTGTTCAGGCGGGAGAGTGCGGTCGACGCCGGCTGCGGGCCAGATATGGAATTCCGTCCTTGACTGGACGATGAAGCTGATGGTTGATGCCCGCCGTATGGATTAGGAGGAATCATTCGACTATCTCGGAGCGGGTCTGGAGACGTTTGCTGCTGCTGCTGAAGTTGTTGCTGCTGGATCTGCTGTTGTTGGGCTTGAATTTGCTGGTGCTGTTGTTGATTCTGAAGAGTGAGACTGGCCAGGTACTGCTGCGCCCATTCCAGAGTGTGACCGGGAAGGTTTCCTCCGCCGATGCCGGCAAAAATCAGAGGCACCATGGGAGGAGGAATGCCGCCTTGAAGGGACTCTCGTAACATGTTCTGCTCAATGCGTCTTTGATCGAGGCGCAAACCCTCCTGGCGGGTCCTTTCCTCCTCTTGCTTTCGGCGGTCTTCTTCGGCCTTTGCGTGAAGCCAACTCCGCATCGACTCATCTTGTCCCGCCCATTGCGACGGAGGAGCAGGTAAATGACCAAGAGGAGGAGGTGCAGTAGATGGACCACGATCTGGCGGGGGCAGACTCAGGCCAGCGGGGAGAGGCAACCCTCGGTGAGGGTTGTTCATCCTCGAGTCCTCGAAGACCGAAGGCAAGTTGCGAGGGGACTCGGGAGGAGAGTATCTGGAAAGGGTCGGCTTATTATATGCTGGATAGTCATGGGGGGTCTTGATGTCGCTCTGCATAGGGTTAGGAGGAGCCAATGCTAATAACATGGGTGCGGTTGTCGTTCGAGCGGTCGGTTAGAGCAACGATGAGGTATGTTGTAGAACATACAGAAGGTCGAAGGGCCGACGCTTTCTTCCTTCTGCTCGTGACGCTTGCTTGGGCTCGGGCTCGGACTGGGTTTATTCTCCCGGTCCAGGCGTGAGTTTGAGTCTTTGTATATCACCGGTTGGGCCGAGTGGATGGCAGGAGTGTGTCAATGACGTGCAGTCGAGGATGGCGGACTAGCTGTGACAGTTCCAAGGTCAAAAGATAGTCCAAGTGTTACACGATGGGGAAGAGTCAGGTAGTTATTGATTTGAAGTGAGGACCGAGCGTTTACCAGGGTCTGGACTTGTGTGGCTTTTTCTGACAGATCTCCAGCGTGAGATGAGCCCTGTCCGGTTGATCAGCAGGGGGCCACAGCCCGCGATCCAAGACGTCCAGATCGGGAGACCTTGTGATGGAGCCCGGTTGCGTTGATGCTGGGGAAGAGGGTTTGAACCGGATCTTGAACGATGGAAGCAGGCACGGGAGAGTGTGGTCAGGGACGTCGAGAAACCAGGCTGGGAATGTACCTGAGCCGAGTTGGCAGGATGGAGCTAAGTGGCTTTATCCAATATGTACACCCTGTAGGAGAGTTTGAGTGGATCGGGACAGGCCTTGGGTAGGGAATGGGTGGTAAGGTCGGACAGGCCAGAAGAGTTCAAGGGTCGTTTATGAGGGAATTGGAATGGGGGGATTTTTGGACGTCTTTTTGGGGGGGGTTGATAGGGTGGGCTGTTTGGTACGAGGTAACGAGAGTCGGGACGAGGAGGCGGAGAGCAACAGGACTGGGGCCACAGAGGACCGGGGGGGGAAGAGAGGAAGCGTATCAAAGAAGAGGAAGAGGAGGAGGAAGCGGAACAGAAGCCGATATGTCAAACTTGGGTTGATGGGAGGAGAGGCGAAGAGGGCAGACCAACTGAGGCGGAGGGGGAATAGTAGAACTCTGGTAGGAAACTGGAATGGTCAAGTTAACCTAGTTGGGCACTGAATTGACAGAAGAAAGACTGTGACAAGACATTCTCGACTTGTTTTCCTGACTAAAATATAGTAGGGTTACGAAAGGCGAGAAGAGCACCAGAGGATGGAGATAGCAGTCCTGCTAACAGACGGCTAGCATATTTAGCATCCCGACATCCCAGCATCTAAGCAGCAGGATTCTTATGGTAACGGGTCATGGAGACCGAAAAGTGGCTCAGCAAAGTGAACTTTTCGAACTGGGACTGTCTAAAGAGAGCGCTGGAAATGGACCTGCTCCTCAATATCCGAAAGCGTACTGGTCGGGGTATATTTTACTCCATAGCACTCCGTACGGTGGCTGTATTTACCAGCGACAAGAGCACTCAGCTTGTCAGCTCTGGACCCAAAAACTTTAAATTGCTGCTTCGCATTGAAATGTTTACCTCGCATAAAAGAGTCGACGCGGTCAAGGAGGGTCAGGTCAAGGTTAAGGGGAGGAGGAGAGTGTGAACTAGTACCGTCCACAGCATCAACTGCCAGCAAGGAACAGGGAACCAGGGAAGAACAGGACGCTGATACGAAATATATGGTACCCACGGTACATACTCTCGATCCGTGACAAAAGTAGCCATGTTGTTCACCTCCATCAAGTAGTATTTCTCACCTAGTGTCACTTGCCTTTGTGCTCTTGTGTCGCCTAAGTTGCGGCCCCTGTCCGTTAACCAACAGCAGTCCATCCAAGTTTTCCCACTCCTTCCTGCATCGACCTACAGGAGTAGTACGTAGAATCACCATCTTCCTCCTCCGGCGGCCCTTCGAGAACACTTCTGTTGACTCCTTCAATCGAGATCCATTTCGGTTCACGGCAAGCCCCCATCCACTCCGATCCAACCTCCATCCATCCAGCCTCCCTTTCTGCCGCACACGATGAACGAGAGGTGGACTAAAGAGGAGGATCAGAAAAAAGGAGAGGCCAAATTCGGCCATCATTCCCTCGTATTTATCCATCCCAACAATGCTTCCAAACGTGCTCTGGACACAGACAGTCTCATGTGTGCCAAAACGACCAACAAGTACTGAAAAGCGCATTCGGTGTTGACCACGGGCTCAAACCCTTGATGGCCTCCAGTAACCGCCAATGGTGCTCGCACTTGTGGCGCTGACGGGGTTTCTGATCATCGGTTGCATCGAATCGTTTGGTCGGCACTCGAGCCCGACGGGGAAAATGCCACCCCACAAGGATGGTTGGGAGGCAGCCGTAGCCCGCCAAACTCAACCATCGTTCGGACCACCGTTCGGACCACCGCCTGGAGCTACGCACGGGAACTGTCATGCCTATCTTATGCCTATCATGCCTACAAAAAGGACAAGCCGCGCCATGCCCATCACTCATCGTCATTGCCGGACCGCGGGTCCATAATGCGCATCCTTCCTCCTTCGTTCATACATAAACCTCCCCCCGGTTCCTGCGCCATCCACGTTGTGGCCGTCCCCTCACATGGCATCCATCTGGCAAACTCATGGCACCCCTGATGCCACGAGCCTGTTCTCTCACACAAATCGTCGATCTTTCCTCTTCCGAGTCAGCCATACCGCTGCCCCCCATTTGTGTTTGAACCCGTCGGCCATCGGTGGACAAAGCTCCCCCGAACTGCCTGTTTGAAAGAGCTTCGTTACCAACATTGCGTCCTTGCCGTTCCAAGATTGCTTTAACATGCTGCTTGGGGGACCTAAAAGCACCCTAGGCCAATCACCAATGCTGACGCTGGGCGAGCGTAATGTTTCCGTATTAGGTTCCGGATGCGAGTTCCTCGCCTCGCCTTGCCTCGTCCTCTTTTGGAGGACGCACAGGAAACATAATAGGGACTTGCGCTCTTTGCTGGCCAGGGGATCATCCCTCGACAACGTTATACGAACGCTCGCCATTCCTCGGCTTTCTCCTGGCCTTCCCGCAGGCTCTCCCAAACTGCCCAAGGCAGCGTAATACAATGACACAGGCTTGTCGTTCCGGCTGCATCTGGATGCATCGAGAGTCCTCCTAAATGAAAACCCCATCCGTGCACCTGGGCCGGGCTCGATGTCGAAGCTATCATCTCATTGCTCGCCTCGCATGAATCGATGCGCTCTGACGTGCCACCAATGCCGAAAGACTTGGCGGCGAGAGCCTTGGTCATCAAACACGTATTCCTCCTCAAAACATGAACGATCGTCGAACTCGTCGAACACAAGACCTGCCATTCAACTACTACGAGGCAGATTGATCATCGCTCGCAAAAGGAAAGTTCCCTAGCGGAACAAAAACCATGCGGCCGGCCGCGCCGACAGAAGCCAGGAAACTAACTGGCTCACCACAGCACCGTTGTTAAGGTACATCCCCCGGAAGACCCGGTTGGGGAAGAAGCAAAAGCACCTGATGTAAGGCTTGCCTTGAAATGACACTCTGAACGTTTTGACGGCGTTTTGGAACGGACACCAAGCATCCATCATAAGCGGCAATGCCTCGATGCATGATGCAGGATCCTTGCATTCCCGTCCCGCTTCGGCGAAAAATCCCGGTCTCGCTCGCCCATTCGAATGAACACACCCAACGAGAAATTCTCCGAAGGCTCTCTGCCAATTGCCTGATGGGGTGATTTGTGCAAGCAAAATGTCGAAGGAACATTTCTTGGGTGCCACAGCAACGAAAGAGTCCTGGACTCATGGCTTCTGCGGAGCTTCAGTCTGTCCTAGATCCCGGTATCTTTCTTAGAGCACTGAGTAAGCATGACAGACCAGTATTTTCCACAACGGGTTTCGCATTCGGTTGACACAAGTTTGAGGTCGTTTGCCCAATCTGGGTGAGGGCCAAGTGCACTTGACTTTTTCGGGGACCAGGGCCCTCTGCTGTGACAGGACAGGAGATAAAACGACGTCAGGATGCATGCACTATGGGCTTTGTCTAACTCTCTGTAGGCTACAAACACCTTTTCCTTTGAGACCGAGATCGCTTTTGGCCAGCTGGCTGGTAGGTCAAATCCCTCCGGTGATGTCATCATCCATCACTAAGAGGTCCGATTTTGGCCAGTTTTGGGCCCTTCCCCAAACGAGGGACGATCGCCCTATCGCCCAATTTCTGTAAGCGAGGAGAAGCCACTTCGGGACTCCTGGGCCTAAAGAAGGTGGGAAACTTGCTGCAACCACGATCTCAGGCATCCCGCTGCTGGTAAGCGAAAGATATCGTTTGTCCCCCGTCAGTGGTGGTGCAACAGTGCTTGTAACGAAAATGAAAGAAACTGTGCACCCGGGGCTTTTCTGTCTGGCGATGACATTTTCGGCGGCCCTCCGTCCTCTAGTGCCTCGGATTCTGACAGAATGGGGGATGTTCAGAGTTCTGCCGCGGCATCCAGCAGCGCTCAAAATGCGAGAACGGACAGGCCACAAAACATTTGTCGCTGCAGATACCCCTTGTCAAGCCAGCCCGCCAAAAGTGGCTGACAATCAGCCATCGGCACGTTCTGAGGTTAACATTTTCAACAACCACATTTGGGGCAGAGGATCTGCACCTCAGACGTAGGCCGGACTGTTGCACGACATCATACGTCGCCATGTGCCAGAAGTTTGTTCTTCACCTCTAGCACAAGGCTTTGTTGTTCAGAGGCTGATGACGATCATGCTCAGTGTTTCAAAATCGGCGACGCATAGAATACTATGGTAGACTTCATCTTGACCAAGACGCACGCCCGTAGTCCGCCCGGTACAACCGGGCAGCCAACCGAACCGACGTCTGTCGCCCGCCTTCGCTTCCACGATGGCGATCACAATTACCACAAACTTTTGCCGCTAAGGTCTGGCCCAACGAAATACTGTGCCGTATGTTGTACTACCTGTTATCTACGGGGGGAGGATTTACTTTTTCAGCCATGCAATCAAAACATGACCGGGTCTCTTCGTATAATTTCTCACAGAGAAAGAGACGAGTTGAAATTACAGCGGTCGAAGAATATATGAACGTTTCTTCGTTCAATCCAATAGGCCCTCAATTGCTCATCTGCAAGGCGCCTCCCAACCCCATATCGCTTCCTTTTCGGTATTCGATAGCGAAGTGCCACGAGCAGGAAGTGCCAACTCAAGCCACAAATCAAAATGGTTCAGGTTGCTGCCCGATTGATCCTCCGATACGTAAGCGGTCGTCACTGACTTTGCTCCTTCCGGAAGGGCCCAAAGGGCCTAAGACCCTGGCGTGGCTTACGCGCTTCCAGGACACGTTTGAATTTTGATCTTCCCAGATCTGGACATGTGTCCGGATCGCTGTCATGTCCTCCAATCACCGTCGAGTGTGCCAATGTCCCATACCAATACTGGGAGAGGCGGGAGGCGGGAAGCGAAACGTCCGTTGGGAGCCCTCCAATGGTCCTCCACGATTTCTTTGGCCCTATGAATGATATGTTGGCACCAAAGTTCCCCTCTGATGTGACCTGAACGGATCCTGAAATTGTCTCCGCTTACGGGCTTTTTTCCCTGCATAAGGCGCAGAAGACTCTGGCCAAGGTTGGAACAGCCAGGCTTCTAAGATCCGCACACAACCAGATTCTCGCTTATGAGTTTGATAGCTTGGTTGATCCGAAGCACGTTTTTCAACCGGGGATTTGACTTGTGGACTCACTGATCTTACTCGATCGAGAAGATTGAGTACGTAAAATACCAGCACATGGCTCCATGCGAAAGTGGAGGGTTAGATCCAGACCACGGATCTTGTTCCCAAGCGACCAGGTCAAGCGAAAGTGCTGAAAAGTGAGAAAATCCAACGTGGAATCTGGAAATCAGTTCTAAGACTTCTCCTTGGAAAGTATCGAGAATTGACTCGCGAAGGTCCCCTCCGTTGGCGCCCTGAGATGCACCGTCAGTACCAGTCCTACCCTTACTATCCAATATCAGTTCTAGTCTCGGGCCAAGTCTGCAATCTAAAAGATTCAATGGTAGTGACTAGATGAGCTGTGGTAAGTCAATTTCAAAGGGAAACTGATTTTCGGTGTGGTTGATCTTGGAGAGAGTGCGTCTTGTTCCCGACCGGAGAATCTGACAGGGCCCATCTAACGGGATCCTCGACAATATCATCTCTGCAAAAGAAACTTGATGATGGAAATCCAGGCGACACCTACGACTCATTCTCCATTATTGGGCCGGGCCTTGTTTCGTTCTCTCTCTCATTCCCTCTTGACAAGAGCATGTCTTGCTGGTGCCGGACGAGCCCATGTTCAGCCTTGCAATTCCTTGCTCTCTCTTTCGATAGACTTATGTTCCACCATTTCCTGAAAGTCATCTGCGCAAGTTGTTCTCATTCTTTGGTGCCAATAGTGATAGCGGATTACGCACCACACAATGCAAAAGGTTCCTTGTGATGATTGCACAAAACCTCCAATCCATCCCTGGCTGGGAACTTACACAGAGAGGGTCCTCAACTTGTATTAAGGGAATATCCTCTTATTATCACAGGTCCTACCTCTAGTTCTATCGCCCTAACTGCCAGCTTCGATGGGGGAGAACTCCAGAGTGTGAGATGAAGAAACTATCATTATTGTTGGCACCCACCCTCGGGCTAACCTTGCCTGATTTTCTACATTACATTCAATTGAATTAGGTGATTAGTTATATATTTTCCCTATGATTTTTCCGGGGACCCGTCCACTCAGACACGGACATGGCACTTTCGAATCGAATTTCACAAAGCTAGATTGGGACCCAGCCAAGTTCGGTATCGAGAAGCCTATTTCCATCCATTCAGTCATTAGAATGAAGCCAGGTCTGTGGGTGCGAAGCGATGAGATAACCCAGCATCATCAAGCAACGCATCAAGTTCTCATTCCATCATCGAGCATCACATCTCTTTCCTCATCTCCCTCGCCTCCTTGGGAAATTGTTTGCCCAATTCAGCCTGTCTTCTTTGCCGTCTTGCTGACATCTTGCTTCAGATGCATTTTCCACTCGGCTCTCGCAATACGCATGAATAGATCTTCGTCCTGAATCGGGATCCAGCTCGTGAGAACTTTCATTGCGTTCTCAAAGTCCGATTCGAGGATGATGTCGCGCATCCCGTCAATTAAGGCCGCGGAACTGGCGTGAAGTATGTCAAGTGTTGAGCCGAAGGAGGGTTCTTTGGGTGTGTCCGCGTGCGCGGATTGGGGTTGAGTGGAGATAGGCGAGCGGGCGTCGTCGCCCAAAAGCATAAAGACGTCCCAGACACGCAGTTGTGCTGGAAACGGGATCGTATAATTGAAAAGAGTGAGGTACCAGCGAGTGCCATAGGCGGTTGGACCGATGTTGAGTGATTCCTGTGAGATGACGGCAATAGGTCAGTGGCTATTCACACGAGGTGATTGAAATGATGGCTAACATCGTGCAAAAAGGAAACTTGACAACGAAAGGTATTATCCCTAGACACCAATGTCTTGACGGCTCGGGTCACCGAGTTCCTCTCTTTCGTCCAGAGTTGGGATCAAGAAGGGGGAAAGAGCTATGAGAAAGAAAGGCCATCCGTACCAACTTCCGGGCAACCTCGCCCTGCCCCAACCAGGAGCGTTCAAAATCATCCAGAGCCGTCATCAGACCGCCAAAACCTGCCTTGTATAATTCCCCCAATCCTCTCAATTCCCACATGCGGACCAACATGACAAAGGCTTTCTCCTCGTCATAGTACGCTAGCAGCGTCACAGCGAGCGCCGCCATACCCTGGACGTATCCTGTGGCTGAGAAGTGCAAGGACATGGCGTGGAGAACACGAAAGAGCAGACGCTGTCCACCTCTGTACCGTCTCCGGAACATAATATGCGAGGAGATTGTACGGGGAACGTCAATATCAATTTGGACGTCGTCGGGGGAGGACTGGCCCTGGTATTCGTGAAAGAGACGGATCAGCTCGGTGTCGCTAAGACAATCCTTCCGTCGCAATGCCGACGTGCTTAGGAAACTGTGCCACGCGGTGGCCCGCCATTTGTCTGGGATACCTTTCCACGTCCGCTCGATCACTTTGGGAGATGATGTGTCAAATGTATATCCTGCCTCTGAGCCACCTCCCACAATGGGCAAGCCAGTCGTTGGGTCTGTAGCCGGTGGTAATGCCCGTGCCATTTTCCGCCATTTCTCTTCGCGTTCAATTTCTTTCCGGCGAGCTCTCGCATTGTCAATGTGTACGTGCCCATTTTCAACCACAGACTGTGCGGAGCGGGGAAGCGTTAGCATGTCCATTGCGGAGTCCATCAAGCGGCGGTTTTTGGTCCCAGGAACAGGAATCCGTGTCAATGCGCTCCGGCGATTTGTAGGAGTGCCGCCATACCCACTTTGCGAACTTGACGGGCGAGGCGGAGTCTGGTCAGTGGCGCTATGTCTACTTTGCGCCGAGCGCGTTGACCCGTGAGCACTGCTTGGGATACGACGAAGAGTATGCTTTCGCCTGGGTGTTTCTGATGCGAGTTGTAAGCTGGTCGAGACGCGGGTCAGACGTTGGGGTTTTGATTCATCGGCCCCGTCGACGTTCGTTGTTGGGGCTCTGGTCAAAATGAACCCGTACCGGTCGACATCTGCACTGTCGATGTCTTTCCAGTCCTCCAGACCGCCGGCCAATTCATCTTCCTCACGCTCAGGAATGTATGTCTGAGACGCTGGAGCTGTCATGCTAAGCTGCCGCGAGCTGTTCTCTTCGTTGATATCTGTTGTCGAGGTGGCACGCGAGGGAGATGATATGCTGACGCTGTGTGAATCGGTGACCAATGTTGATTGCCATCGCGCCCCTATTCGAGCGGCAAGGTTGGTGGAGGACTCTGTTTCATGCCGATCATCTGTACCTGCGGCATAGAAAGCCCGGACATGTTCAGACAGCATCTCTTCGTCTGCCGAAAGGACTTTGGCTGGCGGTCGATCTTTTGCATTCTTTGCCACAGGTGTAGCGGTAGAAGCCTTCGTGGGAGTTGAATCAACATTGATATTGGCATTTGCGGCGTCTTGCTCCCCATTTTCTCGTTTCTCGTCGTCCATGATCGGAGCCAGAATGGGTGAAGTTTTCCGAGTCGACTGATTCACCTTCCTCCCATCTATCAGCATACTCCCTCTTTTCGAGAACTCAATGCTGCCGGTAGAAAGTTCGTCGCCAAATCCGCCCGTGGGGATGTTTATGTCCAAAGATAGCTCATGGAAGTTCGACGATGTTGTCTGTGTGGTTCTCTCCACCTCTCCCCCCGATGTTGTTGAACCGGACCTTGATTTTTTCAAAGATAACCATCTCCCGTGCGCTCCGAAACCGAGGTTGCTGTGCCGATCTTGATATGAATCCCTGGAGTCTGTCTCATTCACGCGAATCTGAGGAATGCTGACGGCGGCGGAAGCCAGACTACTTGTTGTAGGGGATTTGGTATTCAGGCTCGTCTGACTTTCTCGTGGAGAGATTGAACCTGCAGCCGCGCTTCGAAACCAGTCTCCATCGTGCGGCAACGCGTCGACATCGTTTTTCTTATTGGACGAGGTGGACGCGTTATCCCCTGCAGTCGCGCAATTTTGAGGCTCGTATTTGTCAAAATCAGGGATCCGATGTAACGATGTTGCACCGGTCACTCGTATAGGAGGATTCGATGCTTTCGTCGCGCTGTAGGGTAATCCTTGAAGGCCGGAGTGGAAGATGTTGGAGGTGGCCGACTTGGAGGAGGCAATGGATTCGCCCATTATCTTCCTACCTGGGCATCCAGGTCTAGGCAAAGGTACCTTGCTCGCCGAAGGAATATGGTGCCGTGAGATTGCGCGTGTGCGAAGAGCGGCATGGGCATGAACAGAGCCGGATGATTGGAGGATAATTTGCCTCAACAATCTGACCTCGAAGGGTTTCTTTTTCTAATCATGTCTTTTGTCCTCCTTTTGTGCGTCTCGAAAGCAACTCGTGGTCGAATGGTCATTCTCTTCTTAGAAGCACGGCCGCAGTTCCAGTCTCAAGGGGAAAAGGAGAAATCGACGTCATGGCTCGAAGGGAAGCGAAGCGAACTTGACACATCCCCTATCCAACGACCACTTTGTTTGGTCGACTGTCGGAGATTTTGCTGGAACAAGCTCCAGTCTCTGATTTCGCAAAAGGCAAAGAGGTTAAGGGATCAAATTCCAGTCGGACCGCAACCGAGGTTATTGCAGAAAATGGAATCCATGAGCGGCGCTACACCTGGATCTTATAGCAGGCATTGCATCGTTCCGCCAATACCCACAAGGACATATAGGGAGTATCATGAACTAGACTGTTAAATGACTATGCTGTGACACCGTTCATAGTGGGCGTTTGACATTGAAATGGTCTTTCGACAGGCAAACTGAACGCCAGCTCCGCACAAACTCGTTATGTTCCCCATTCGTCAGGTTTCGATATTGAAAATTTCACCCATACAGCTTTTGTTATCCCCCTTGCTGATGTTCCTTGTCTTTCTCGCCTGTCTACCTTTTTGCCTTCCGGGTCTCCCTTTTTCATCTGATGCATGACCCTCGAGCCGCTAGTTCACTGGACACCGCCGCTTCTTTTGCTGACTTCTCTCAGCCGCTTCCTAGCCATTTTTGAGACCGTCAAGGACTCTATTGCAACCATCGCGGTCGGCATAGATGACATGAAGGGGTGCTTCTTCAAATTGGACCCTTGTGTGCAGAAGTTCCGAACACAAAACGGGGGTTTCTGAACCTGGTGACGCTCGCTCCATCATTTGCCCTAGGATGAAATTGTACTCACCTGAAATTGACGATTAGCACTACCCAGAAAGGGGAATTTTCTTGGAATACCCCCCAAATCACGGAAATGTGCTTCGCGGCGATTTCCTTCTTGTAGACTACTATGCGATGGGTCAATTTTCCCGAATCCTCGCAAACTGCGAGGTGAAAATGCCCTGCACACCGTCATTGTGTTCCTCCAAATTCGACCACGAACCTCACACCTCACCCCCTAATCCCTATGGGTAGAGACACGCCTCATGTCAGTTTCTTTTCGTATTCCTCAAGAGGCCAATCTCCCTTCGTGCGTTCAACCGACAATCACAACAACGGCCAGAACCAAATTCTAGCCTATCTTGCCTCACCCTCTCCGACAGCGCTGTTCAGGGCCCTCGAAAATGGATTGAAGAACCTCATCCTTTGGTCGACACCAGCTCCAAGGTTATCCCTGGTAGTCTCGTCGTTAAAATGCCTGCGTACCCATTTTGAGTCTGTTCTCCGAAGCGGGATAGCACCCAACGCCGTTCAGCTCCTCCATGCTGCAATAAAATGGGAAGTCTTGTCAAAAGAGACGGATTCCAGTTGGTCAACAAGCTTTGAGACATAATCGAGAGTGCATGGAAGGGGCCAATCACATCACAGTATCAAAATTTCCCAAGGAGAAGACGCTGTTCATGATTTTATGGAACAAAGGACTTGAATCAGATATGGGATAATCCGCCATCAACCCTGAGCTACATGGAGCAGGAGATTCCATTCAGAGAAGCCTCCTTTTGGCTAGGAATTATCAATTTTGAAGAGGATATACATCAAGAACGGAGGCCTCCTGATCAGAATATAGATGAATGACTGCAGAGGCGTTTGTGCCAAAGCTCGAATCAAATTTGCAATCTCTTTCGATGTCCTCTCAGCAATCTTCTACCTTGGGGTTTCCAATGCCACGAAGTAGAGGCCTGGAAAAAAATTCGAGGTTTAAACAAATCTGGTCTGACAGTAACATTTTCAACCCTGCCTCTGGATTAGTGCCAATCTTCCTGTCAGACAGGCCTAAATTATTTCCAGCTTATCGATAAGACTTTCTCGGTGAAACCGCCGAGTTCTTCAAAAGGTTTTTTGAGTATCACAGATTGGACTTCACTCCTCAGAGCATACAACTTCACCCCCAATGACTGTCGAAGATTCTATCGGTAGCCTCCTTGCTACCTTAGGCTCAGCTCTGGAATCGGCTACCACCGCGTTCCCTGATGGCGAAGAACAATTCCTGCCACCGGCAGAGGGAGTTTCCTTGCTCGACATTAAAAACGACTTACTTCTGTCCTATCTTCAAAACCTCGTGTTCCTTGTGATAATCAAGCTTCGGAATGCAGACAGCCGTGCCGAGACTTCTTGCGACATCAAAGCGGATGTGGTCAAAAAACTAGTCGAGTTGCGCGTCTATTTGGAAAGAGGGGTACGGCCGCTAGAAAGCAAATTGAAATACCAGATTGACAAAGTCGTGAGGGCTGCTGAGGAGGATGATCGGCGCAATACCCAGAAATCGCGGGGAGACAAGGACTCAAAAAAGAAGGCTGCAACGAAAACGCTAAATCAAGATGGGGATGTTTGGGGCGAGTCCGATTCTGATCCCCGGGGGGCTGGGGAGGAATACTTGAACGGGCCTGTCGAAGGAGATATGTCCGTTGGGCCAAGACCGGCTGCCCTTCTGCGCAATACAGATACAACAACATTAAAGAAAGATTCTTCAACAAAATCCCGGTCCACCGCAACGACCAGTGGCGCATACAAGCCTCCGCGAATAACGCCGACGGCAATGCCCGAACCTCCTTCCACCAAAGACCGCGAGGTCCCAGCACGAAAACGCCGATCCCAGCTTCTCGACGAATATGTCGACGAAGAACTCTCCACGGCGCCCCGGGCCCAGCCATCAATCGGTTCAAATAGCACCATCATCAAACATGGCCGAGGCGCAATGTCCTCACGCGATCGTGAAAAGGAGCGTGAGCGCATCGAATACGAAGAACGAAACTTCACGCGCCTTCCAGCCGAGAGCAAAGCGGAGAGAAGAAAGGCGCGATTACGTGGAGAGCGTGAGCGGAGAGATATGTTCGGCGGAGAAGATTGGACTGGGCTCGGTGGACTTGGCGATCGGATTAATCGCAGTGTCACGGGCAAGTCGAGAGGAGAGAAAGCAAATGTGCTAGAGAGGCGGGAGAAGAGACGGAGAGAAACGCAGGATGGACCGAGAGATGATGGATCTGGTGGGATCAATATTAGGATCGGTGAGAGCTTTGAGAAGAGGAGAAGGATTATGCAGCAGAAGGCAGAGAAAAAGGCGAGGAGGAAAGGGTGAATGATTCCCTTCACCTTTGATTCTCTCCGCTGCTAGATTGTGGTCGATATTCCTGGATATGCAGACATGCTCACCATGCTCCTGTTTGGCAGTTAATCAGTGAGGGGAGAGCTATCGGTCCCATTGACAAATCATCCCACCTGTTTGGGTCATCAGCATCCTCATTAAGACGGATTCTACTTTACGGTGACGGCGACGAGGGAACTGACGATGATTCATCCAATATCAATCCAGTCGCGCATCCAGAGAACCAACAACAGCCAGCCAGCCAAACTTTATCCGTTTCCCCACCACTCTGCTAAGACATCGATTTCATCTCACCATGTCATATTCACTATCAACCAACCAACTCCGTGAAAATTAGAAGGCGGGCCGCTTTGACATGTATACTGATCAACGTGGGGCCGCCGGTATAGCGATGCGGCCGTATGAAGATCGAATCCATGAATCTAGATGTCCATTCTCTTCACGATTAGTATCTCCAAGTTCAACGTCCGAGCAGTAAAGTATTGTGCACCAAGGGAGGACCTGACCGTATACTCGATGGAGTCATTTTCCGAGGTTACAATCCAGAGTCGTACATGCCTGTACGCGGAAGAAAGAAAAAGGAGGACCACGTCTGTATCGAAAATTCGCCTGACTTCCGTACTCGACTGTAGGTTAGAGAGTAACACCGCTTGACAAGAGGGCTAAACCTGGGGAATGATTGTTGTTGGCTGACACACGGCCCTCGTCTGATTCGATAGCCTTGCGCGGACTTGTTGAGTAATCTGCACTTGGCGTGGTTCGGTGCGACAGCTTCTCTGACTGTGTGAGGTAGCACAGTTCGTCAAATCGATCGATGTCTCGGGCCGTAATGTGGTGGAGATAATGGAGCAAGCCGTGGAGGAATACTAGCATTGTTTCAGATAGTATTGAGTTGATGAGTTCCATATTTAGTGTGAGAGGGAGAGGGAAAATATAAGGGGGGGGGGGGAATGCCGTGGTGTATAAAATATCCCCTTTGATCCTCCTAATACGAACCAAAAGAACCCTCCTACCCGACGACTTATACCCCGGCCAAACAAGAAAATTCCAACCCGATTCAATAGAATCTTGTCAAAATGCCTCTCTGGCGTATCTTTACCCACCCGGAAACCTTCAATCACTCTCAACGTGCGGGGATCGCCAAAGCTGTCACGGACCTTTACGTCTCATATAGCCTGCCCGCATTCTATGTTAACGTCATCTTCGTGAATGTCGACGAGGAGGATGTCTGGGTCGGAGGCGAGTCAAAGTCCAACTTCGTCAGAATTGTCATCGAGCAAATTGCCAGAAGTATGAGTCCACCAGATACTGAAGAAGGACGGAAGGCTCGAAGGAGTTGGATGGACAGAATTAATGGAGTAGGAAGACCATGCTCCTTTGCTTCTCGACAGCCGGAGTTCCATGAGGTAAACTTTCCACTGACGTATGTTTTGTCCTAGGTGTTGCGACCTTACATCCTTGGCCGAAAAGAGCTGGACTGGGAGTTGCACATATATGAGACTCCGCGCGATCTCTGGCGAATTCAGGGTTTGGATCCTCCTCCATCATTCTCGGACGAGGAAAAGTTGTGGTTTGAACAGAACAAACCTATTCCGTATTATTGAGTTGGTCGTCTTCGCAGAGAAATCCGCCCCGTGGAAGAGACAGACGACAGTGCAGGAAGTCCAAATCGTCAGTTACGCAAGTTTGGGTGCAAAATACCATAATGCGGCGAGGCCAGTGAGAACTGTAGCACCTCCGACTTGACGAGCCCATTGTGTGCTTTCCGACAATGTCATTTTTCCAACAGTGTTTTGTCGTTTCAATGGAATTTGGCCGGCTCGACTGATTTTTTCGGTTCTCCGTTGTATGATATCCGACATCTCCGTTCGGTTGTTTTCTTGGGCCAGGGCAAACGCCTCATATTCCTGAACAAGCCGCTTTAAGCCTGCAACGTCGGCTTTCAGAAGCTCGGCATCCGAATTGTTTCCTTGAATTTCCACACTCTGGACATTCCCAAAGAAATCGACCACTCTTCGACTTCGCCCAGCTTGTTCTCCGCCAGGGAACAAATCCCATCTGACACCAGGGTTGGAGTGGATTTTCCCGACATCGTAGCTGTCAAAAAGATCGCCAAGTGTCTTGTCTGAGGTCGGACCAGTTACTTGCGTCTCTAAGAATTCGAGAACATAGTATGTCCACCGATCAATAACCGCAACGCCTACGTCGTTGTCGGCATGGTGTGAGTATGAGCTCTCGTCCTCTTCGGAAGACCCCGTAGCAATGACTCCTGGCGCATAGAATTGCCGGTAGAGAGTATTGGCCTGACATGTATCGATCATGAATAGCATCTCATTGTATCTCTTCTTCTCCCTCATCTGCGAAAACGCGTCCGCTAGATCCCAGCTCGAGATTTCTTCGCTGTCCTGAAACTTGAGAAATTCACTACCCCCGTGACCCGTCATGTAGATGAGGATATTGCTTCCTTCATCGGTCTGTAGTCTTTTGCTGGCTGGAACACCCTCTTCCCACCGGTCGGTCAAGAGACGGATGAAGTTCTCGACGGTCACTTCGTAACCACGATAGTCCACCTCGACATTCTCGCCATACAAGTCCATGCGTCTGTCTGCATTTGAATAGACGGTTCCGGAGAAGGCGTTCCGTGGGTTGCAAGCCATATCGTCAGGCAGAAGCAGGAGGATTTGGGAGTCAGGGATACCGAGTCGCTTGACGGTGCGGTACAAGGATAGAGTGTTGGCTAGGTGTCGATAATTGAACCAGAATCGAGAGGTTGATACGAGCACAGCCCAGTTAGATGTGTGAGCAGCGCAGACGACCGTCACCAAGGCAATGAAAGCCCATAGGAATTGCAAAGACATCATGGTGGATAAGAGGCACGAATACGAATGGATGGATATCGATCGTTCCCACGGTTCGGGACGGCTTGATGTGAGCCCGAGCAAACGGCGAAGATCACCTTCTTGGAACTATTCTCACAGCCAATCCTCAAGAATCAGTGAAGCAGTATGAACAAAGTCCTCCGCCCACAAACGGATTGGAAATAAGTTGGTAAGCATGTGGCAGAGCACTGACCCAACTTCGGAAAATCTTTATTCCGGGGAACCCCTACAAGGTATGACAGCATTCCTCGAATCACTTACTACCGCCGTCTCAGAAGATAGATTGTTTCGAAGGTGCAAGGTGGGAATCCTAAAATGGACAAAAAAGGTCTCAGATTGTTGCTAGTATCTGCACAAGTTTGTTCTCCAGACTGCCCACCCAACCCCTGGGCCGACTCAATGTACATAATCCCAATGTCATACCACCCCATGGAGTTCATTGATCATTGGATGCATTTCGTGTACAGGTACTCATGCAGCCGAACAATTTTGACAAGGTTTTGCCTCCCTCTCCCTAACGTTGCACATCGCTCATCGACTTCTCAATGGACGTTGGGAGTGCATTGACGGGGTCCAAGGCCAACTTGAAGTTGTCAACGACCGGCTGTCACCTTAACGGCTGCCACAGAATAGCAAATGACGGGCTCGTAGAGCTCGAAACCGAAAGTTTGTTGAGCCGCGATCATTCCGATTCTGGCTTTTTCTTCTGGGCTCATGGTGCTGAGAGAATCGGGCAATTCCGTCAAAGTAGAGCCAACAACCTCTTGGAAAACCCGACGCAAATGCAGTTCATACACTTTGTCCCTGTCGCTTTCCTCCTGGAGAATAGGCTGGGAAGTGCTACCAAGGGAGGGATGGCATTCTTCACGTCAATAGTGGTCCTCACTCGTGCTGCAACTGGTATTCCTGACGGTCAGAGTCTCGCATTCTCAGGTGGCCGGACCCAGAGAGCGTCGTCCTGGTCTCGCAATTCGAGCTGGGAGGCAATCGTCACAACGCTTCGAAAACTGCTTCGGCCCAATCAACATTGAACTTGTCTCCTCATCTTTTTCTCATGTGAATGAATTTCAGCCACCGGGGCATTCCTTTCCGGCATGGTTGCCTTGGCCCTTATAAAATCCTTCCTTGGTTGTAATTTCTGACTGATGGCTCCTTGCGTTTCCATGCAAAGCACTTTGCTCATCGCGACACGTGAGGCTAGCTTTGTCTCAGTTGGTATAACATCGCTGTGATCATTCATGGTACGGGACGCCTGGTACTCTCAACCATCGACCATTGGCCAAGGACGAAAAGGCCTTTTGAACAATAAATGTAGATGCTGCTGATTTGCTTCTTAATTCGCTTCGTCCCGCCGTTGCCGCCGAAGGGATAGAGCATTTATCAGACCACGCCACGATCGAACTCTCACGGAGCGTTGCAGACCATGAATGGACAGGCGAAGGGGTTGAGAGGGAGAAAAGGGAACAGGATGTCAAACTGAATCGCAGCGAATCATAAATCATAATGCGTGAAAGTTCTATGGCAGAACATGTGAGCCCCAAAAAGCAATGTGACCCAGGGATTTAATCGTCCAGAACTATATCCGTGCACCCTCTGACAGAATATCCATCATTATATGTTAGTATTCGTCAAGTGAAAGCGTTGAAAGAATAAGCAGAAGATAAAGGCTCTTCATATCTTGAGATAAAATTCTACCTCAAAATTTCTGTCGACAACATGCCCAAAGAAGAGGTATCTCCGCTGCATACTGATACCAACCACGTATTCGTACAGGTACAGGGGTCCGGTCCCCTGATCCCACACCAAACAAAGAGATGCGGAGGATTTGAGAATGGTCAGTGGATGATCTCCACCTTCTATTTTCCCACACTTCTCAAGCTCACCAGGAGTTTGTGTTCATTGATTTCAAGCTTTAGTAGCGAGCCTGGAATCCCAAGTGGCGGGGAGGACTGCCTTCAATGGTGATGCTGATTCGACTCCTCTCGGTGCCGTCGATCTCGAGTGGAGAAGGTGGTTTGGGAGAGTGATGAATTTCATAGACACGAGTCGTCGGAACATTGCCTGTTGCCGCTCCTCCGGCGATGGATTTCGTATCCAATTCATAAGTCGGCGGTGGTTCGTTAGGATCAGAGCGATATGCCACACGCTCGTGGGACTCGCCGTCGAGTCTCTGGCCGCCGGGCATGCTTGCTCGTCGGCGTTTGGTGCGGATGTACAGGGCGACAATAAGGGCGCCGCCCAGTACCAGGGCGCCGATCACGATACCGATTCCTGCGCCAGCAGCGGCGCTGAGCCCATTTGATCCTTTGCTTGAGGATGCAGGTGAGGACTGGACTGGTCGTGCACCAGTCGTGTTGGGATTCAGAGGGCTAAGAGCGAAAAGTGAGCGGTGGAATTCTAAATGGAGACGAAAAATCATGGCTCACCTATCCAGAATTTGTAACACGCCATTCGAGGTAAGAAAGTCTCTTGTGGTAATGAGTGAAGCATCAACGTAGAAACCGCCATTGAGCTCAGTCATTGTCGCGGTTTTATTCTCCAATGTCGGGATTTTGGAGTTGTTTTTGAATTCGGATGAATATAGCACTGGTCCCTGCGAGATGCTATACCGAAAGATTGAGAGCAAATCTGTCTCGGAGAGGCCGTCAAATCCGGTGAATGTGGCGCCGAAATTCGGATTATTTGGGCCAAAGACTGTGAGATCCTGCAAATTGTTGACAATAGCTGCCGCGGGAGAGCTTGGAGTCAGCCATCCTCCCTTACTTAACAAGGCGACAAGGTCGGTCAGCCCTGCCTTCGTGATGGTGGCGGGAAATGATATTGGGATGGTCAGCACAGTGTCGATAATATGAATGAGACCACCAATATAAAAGATGTCCTAAACCCCAGTCAGTGTCTCTGTGGTAAAACATCAATGCAACGACGAACAGCCTCGACCACATGTGACACCGCCTTCACCCCAGATACAACTGTGGGCTTGTTATCTTGAGAGGCGATTTCCACCACTTGTCCTCCGGTCACATTGGTATAGCTCGAGTTCGTCAGGAGAGTCGGGACGAATAGTGGCTGCAGGCCAAATGTGGCAGAAGGATGGGTTCCATTTGTGATATGGTACAGAACGATTGCTCTGAGGTTGTCTTCGTCTTGTTCTAGTTGGGGATTGTCTGCGTTGTACAGGGCGATTGCCTGGTCATTGGGAACCAACACTTGGAGAGGAACATTAGCATTTCTTCGTGAGCGCGCGTCCGTGCGAAAATTCCATACGGCTGAAAGTGCCTTGGTTCAAGATGTCGACCAAGTCTGGAAACTTCTCCAAGATGCCCGTAAAGGTAGCGATGTCGGTTTGCTGACTCAAGATGGTGAGAATGTCTTGATCTGCCGCCAAACAATGAACAATAAGTAATGCAAAAACCGTAACAGCTATCCTGCAGAGCAACATTGTGAATGCTCATGGAGCATTGACAGGTCGAGCACCATGGCCGTGCTATGGAGTATACGAGAGTGGGCTCAAATGAGGAAGGAAGCCTTTGTTATTTGATGGGCCCGTTGAGAGACGCCCGTCGTGGAACTGCACACCATGCTTCTGATGAGACGCAGTTTTCAGGAGGCTCGTTTTTTTCGGAACAGGTTTACCGTGCAATGCATGCAGGTTTGATAAGTCCAAACATGGGTATAGTGCCTCGCTTGCAGACAGGGGAGAAGGCGGCAGAGGTTCTGAGGTGCATTCCGTATCCGGAGAGGGAATCTGGCCAGATGCATGCCAGAGAATTCGGGCCAGCAACAAGGGTCGAAGCGTTGAAAGTTAATGACCTGGGGTGCCCACGGACGGATTTCTGGTAAAATTGTCAAGAATCGAGACTCAGAAGCCCCCGGGTAATGTGATACTGAAGAATCAAGCATGCTAGTCGAAGGTTTAGCGGTGTTTCAAATGCCGGCTTCACATCGGTAGGTGTCGATTCTGCAAGGCACGGTCCATGGAGGAGTCGACATTTCTCGGCCTGCGGCGCCAGTCAAGTTAGTGGCATTCCTAAGTTTTGGGAGGCCTGACCAGAACCCTCGCAAAAGAGGAAGCAAGCTCAACCCAAAAATTTCGTGTCCTAAGTCTGTTGAAGATGGCTTGGGTCCTTCGGCCGGATTGGGCGACGGCTTGCTCAACGCACGGTGATGAGGGATGAGATTGCAGGAAATGAATGATGACGGGACAGGCTTGAAGAATGAAGACGAGGTGCGTAACTCGACAACCGGTATCATTTCGGGCCGCATTATTAATTCTCCGCAGTCAAATCACAACTCCGTCTCCTACCAACAATAATCTCGCTATGGACAGATGAGCAACCGTTAACACTCCGGGCCCTGCCTCGCAGCCACATATGCCGCCTTGTTGAGGACCACCAGAGGTACTCCATTTTTCTAGAAGGCTACGCCTTTTTGATCCTTTTCTATATCACGCGAAAGCAGCCAACAGCTCTTGTCAATGTGACGGACTCCACGGAGATTGTTTCCTCGGCAGAGTCAGCCTCGTCCCTTTGAACCCAGAGTGTATACCCTTCGCAACCGTGCATTAGGGAGTACTCTTTTCGACAGAGGCCATAGAGTCCTCAATCTGCACTTTATTCGCTCTATCTCAGCCTGACACACTTCATCAGCCTCGTCAGGAATGTGTCAGCGGTGCCTTCTGGGTTAAAACTCTTTGTCGCGCGGCAGCAGCGAGCCTCCAAATAGGGACCGGGCCACCTAATGTCAATCCTCTTCCTCTTCCTCATCGTCTTCTCCTTCATCATCTTTCCCCTCCTCTACATCATCTACAAACCACCGGCATGTCTGATCCAGCTCCTGACACGCCGTTGGCCCGACGTCCTATTCCAACTATCGATAAAGCAGAGGATCGTCGCCCTGACCATTGACGACGGTCCATCTCCTTATACTTCAGCGATCCAACACATTCTCGACACCAGTGGCGCAAAGGCCACATTCTTCGTTATCGGGTCTCACATCCCTGGCCACGAAAACATTCTCACAAACCTAATCCTCAATAACCACGAACTAGCTAACCATGCCGTGCGCGATGAGCCGTCCCGCTCTCTCCCAACGGCAGAGTTGATTTCGCAGATCAAATGCGTCGAGTCACAAGTCGGCGCAATCTATGCTTCCCTGCACCGGCAGGCGGCGCAACCAAGGTATTTTCGTCCCGGCAGTGGATTCTTCAGCACCTCGATGCGTCAAGTTCTCCGTGATCTCGACTATCGCCTCGTATTGGGAAATATCTACCCCCACGATGCACAGATTTCTTTCTGGAGACTCAACGCCTGGCATATACTCTCCATGGTGCGGCCCGGCGGCATCATTGTTTGCCATGACAGGAAGTGGACGCCGTCGATGTTGAGGACCGTCCTGCCTGAGCTGAAAAGGAGGGGATACGAGGTCGTCACCGTGACTGAACTGCTAAATGCAGCGGAGTCGTGACCTTGACTAAGAAAAGTCCATTTGTCCAACCAAGCCGCCGAAGTTGCAGAAATGAAGCTAACTCGGCCGTCATCCCAGTTTGCTTGCGAAATCCTTGAAAAATTTACAAGCAGTCGCAGAAGGCGAACACAGGACCAAACCTGAGTGAAGGCCGTTTCCCCAATGACATATATGCCGTATTTAAAGCGACTTACCACACTAGCATGAAGATAACATGACAGGAGGATGAATCATTCCATTTGCAATTCAAAAACCTAGATCTAGAGACGACACTTGCTAATGCTTCAACTTCGCCGAGTCTTGTAGGCCAAATCAACGAATGCCATGCATTTATCCCCGACGCCCATTTCTTGCTCGCGTTTTGATGTGCTCATTGCTTCTCGCGTACGCAACTTTACTAGACAAGCTGGGCAAATCAAGCCATCCATCCATACAAACATCAATCAGTCAGTCGTCGTCGAAACTCTTACCCATGCCCCCAATTATCATCTTCATCCTTGATCCTTCCCGGAGATTTGCGTTGCAACACAGCACTTCTCTGGTGCCGTCACTCGCCCCGGAGTAGAACAAAGGCATCGATGAAAGAGCGGGGAGGGAAAAAAAAAAAAAAAAAAAAAGGTCAGATCCTGACAGCATCTTCGTCTTCCCGCTTTCCCTCCTCTACCGACCCACAACAGCCTTCAAGCTCAACCCCTCCAGAAATCCAGCGAGATCTTCCTTTTTGACCTCAACAATGCAGTGGTCGAAACTGTCGATCTTGACCCGTGCATTCGTCTCCTCAACCACTTCCTGGAACGCAATACCGAATCGATTGTGGCCGTAGCCGCGTTTCTTCTTTTGCGAGGCTTCCGCATCATCTTCCCCGTCGGATGAGGAGTCAGAGTCTGCCTCGGACTCTGATTCGGTTTCGTCCTCGACGTCATCGTCGTCGCCATTGAGTTCGCGTTGGGCGGCCCTTGCCGCCCGCTTCTCCTCACGGATCTTCTGCTTCTGCTCTTGTTCTGCGTCTTTCTTGGCTCTGCGCTCCGCTTTCTCTTTCCTTGCCTCGAGATCTTCTCCGCCACCGATCCCTCCGCCCGTGCCTACGACGACATATGTTCCTCTCGCTTCATCCAGAGCGGCTAGGACCAGAGGCGTCGCGCCCTCTGAACCCTTCTTCTCACGCTCATTTACGGCTATCGCTTCGCCCACCCACAGAGCTAGCTTAACCAGCGCGCCTGGACTATTGGCAAACAAGGGCAGGTCAGGCCCGTCTTTGACGACACCCATGCGGAAGGCGCGTAGGTGCCGGATCTGGTGTTTCACAAGGAGAGAGGAGCCTGTACGATGGATCGAACGGAGCAGATGTTGAGCGGCCGGGATTAAGGAGATGAGTCGTGTCGGATTGTGTGGTGCAAGCGCATCATACGCAGCAAAGAAGCGCGGAAGAAGGGCCTCCGAGCGATCGGCGATTTCATCGGCTGTGTTTGTCCTCTGGGACGACCCTGTATAGGTTGTGGAGGAAGTAGAAGTCGAGATTTGAGACGTCCCAACGTCCAGAATAGCGCCTAGAATGACGCCGACGTCTACGGCAGAGAGTTGTGCTTTCCACCCCCATGAGCGAATGAAGCCCCAGCCCTCTTGCTCGTAGGAAACCCGTCCAGAGCCGGTGGGAACGAGACCATCTAAGCCGTAAACGCCGGCGTATTTCAGGAGACGTTCTCGTAGAGTCTTTTTCAGATCCATGTCCATATGGGTGTATGTCTGTTTGCATTGACTCAAGGACACGCCCATTTTGGCCAGAAGTTTGTGCAGCCGTTTTACTCCCGATTCATTCCAGACATGTAATCGCGATGCGAGATAAGGGGAGTGAAGCATACTGTCGTACAAAGACCAGTGTCTCAGCAGGAGAAACCGAGGGTCCGGAGAGAGGCGGATAGAAGTGTCGCTGGGCGAGCTTGTGCCACCTGTACCCGGGGATATCGAGGGCGATTGATCGGCGGGTGGAGGATTCAATCGTCGAACCTCGTCACGAAGGATGGCATAAATCCTGGACGACCGAGTTGATCGCCATGATTTATGGTATTCGTGTGGAAGTGTCGAAGACGTAGATACTGAAGTCCCTAAGCCAGTTGACGTATGGCCAGATAGTTCAAGCGACGTTACACCAATGATGGTCAGCCAGAGAATATCGTTGTCTTCTCGACCCAGGTCCGCTGCCAGGGAATATACGAGGGAGGAGACTGGTTCGGAATATGAGGTTCCTAGATTATGGTATTTTTGCAGGACTGATTCGTGTTCCTTTCGTAACTTTCGTAGTCGTTTGCGCAACCGCTTTACTGTTGGCGGTTTCGGGGATTGTGTTTCCGAGGCTGGTGAGGTCGGATGAGAAGAGGAAGGAGTCATGCTCTGGAATGTTGAGGCAATTGAGGATCCCGAATTACTTCTCCGCCTTTGGCGAGGCCTTTCCTCGTCGTCGTCGCTTTCTGGGTCTTCATCATCTCTGTCCGACCAAGATTTCCGTTTTCTTGGTGACGAGACATTTGGGGTTTCCTCATCTACTTCGTCTTCCTCGTCACTGTCTTCGTCATCTTCCACTTCAGGCATTTCAGCTAACGCATAGTACGCATTTCTCTCGTCGCCCAGATCGCTGGCTATGTCTCCATCGTCGAAAACGATTATACCACCCTTGCCGGACTTGTAGGACTTTTGTATACAGCCTTTCTCCACGCCGGGAGCTCGAGGTCTCGTGTTGACGTCAGTCATCCCATCGACTGGCGCTTCCATTGGCAGGCCACCAAAGACATTAGATAAAGAGTACGGCCTTCTCGCATCCAGGACCCATACTTCCACACCGCACATTGTCTCGGCCAAGTCTTCATCATCAAGGCCCAGTATGGACCCCAGGTCAACGAGCCCTCCCACTCCTAAACATATGACAACGCCACCACTTCCACCTTCTGTGGTTTTCATGGGCCGGACCAAGTCCTCACCCGCCTTGGACAGGTCTGCATAACCAGAGACAGGTTGTATCTTGTGAGGAATGTAGTCGCGTTTGAGTAGCGAGGTGACGATTCGGCACGCGCATATCGAGTCAGGTTCGAGAGCGACGAGAAGAAGAACTGGCGGGGAGAGAGGATGATGCGAGCGAATGAGGTTGGTGTAGAGGTTCGAGATCAATGGGCGAGGGACGTACATCTCGGGATGGGGACCGTGAAGACTGATGTTGGAATCGAAGTCGAATTGGCCGACATCGCGCCAGGAACCTAGCAGCACATGTTGGCGACGTATCACATATGACGGTCAAGCCGAAAGCGGGCGACTTGGGATGTCGTTATAAAGGTGCAGAGTCGTGTGCTGGAGTCTCGGTGACTTTGGGTAGGCACTGCGGGTCCGATCGCGTTGACCAGAGACGCGTCGTGGGCATTGGCCAATCAGCAGCCGTCCCACTCCGACGTCATTGGATAGCTTCACGGTCTCGATGCTTTTTGCTGAGCTGTTTCTCCCTGACATTTCCAATCTACCACTGGATCTAGCTGGCGAGCGATATGTGCAGTATTTGTAAGACCCTGCTAGAAATTCATATCAGGAGATCAAGCGCGAAACTCCATATCCCAGTTCATCGAGCGGATCCTGATCGATCCAACACCTCCCTCACAATTTGCTCCGAGATACCTTTGTGCCCCAGACTCGTTGGATGAAATGTCCTCCACTTCTTTATTGGGAGAATATCGCTGGTCCCTACCTCCAACTCATCCACTTCCAACCCCCCCGCTTGTATCTGTAAGCTGCGTTCTATCTCAGTCGTACCTGTGTCCGGAGGGGACAGGTTGAAGAACCAAGTCTCACTCCTTTCAATGTCTGGCTCTTTGACTCCTTCCTCGCAGAAACGATGCCCCTCAAACGCTTTGTCGAGATCAACGTAAACAGCGCCGTGGACTTCCGCCATCGCCTGAATCACATCGTTCAACATGCTCACAAGCTGATTCAGCGCTTTCCTCTTGGACTTGGTCAAGTAGTCCAATGGTTTCGTCTGACTGAATGTGGCGTGATCACAAAAGGCAGTTTCCTCGTTGAAAAACCTCGCGTATCCCGTTATGAGCAACAATGCATTGGGCTTCAGTTGTTTGATAGCCCCGGAAATGACTCCGTCAAGATTATTCCACAGCACAGCGGATTCAATCAGCATTCTCGCCTTCACCAGTTCAGCATCGCAAGTGGAAGTCGGGTTCCAGTGGTAGATGCATTCATTGAGAATCACGGAAAAGTCGACCTCGTTTCCACCAACCGTAATGGTGACCAAATCCGACCCGCGAATGTAGGGAACTTGGTTGCGCAAAACAGCTGAGCTGGCAGTGCCACCACATGCGAGGTTCTTGAAGTTCGATTCTTCCACCTTCAAGCAAGAGTGGTTGGCTACTTGTCTTGGATAGGAGTCTGAATAGCGCCCACATCCAAAGTCGGGATGAGGGGGCCATCGAATCGTGCCTGCTCCAACTCCGGCAGCATAGGAGTCCCCGAGGGCTGCATACGAATTGATCTCAGGGCGTCGAAGAGAGGTATCTGGAGGGATTGAATTTACGGCGAGGAAGAACAAGAAGACGGTGAACAGGGAGGACGGCCGCATATCTGCGATGAAGAATGACTCCACACCGAGTTGATCCTGATCCCAATGATGAATTACATCCTCTGCGTTTTCATTTGTAGGTTGTCAGGTCACAATAGAGGCAGTAGGTTGAATAAATAGGTGCCTCATGTCGCTGGCCACGGAGCCGGAATAATCTATCCCCGAGAACCAGGGGAAATCCATGTCTGACGGCCAATCTGACGCGATACATCACGAGGTGCTTATATGCAAGGAGCCCTCGCTTAAAGCTCTACGCTCGAAAGTACCATCGTCCTTTACTAACTCACAACACTTTGACTGACCTTGCCACCATATAAATGGCCTTCGAGGCATGAAGCGGTTGACTAATGCCAAACCTCGTCCTAAGCTCCCAGACTATTGTGATGTCGAGCCACGACGCGATGATGCTGGGAGGATTATATGGCCTGCCCCGCAGCCCGCCATGGACAAGGCCAGAGAATTCATTAAGGAATGGTATGTTGATCTGGTATTCCAGCCGCCGTTCTAGGACTATGAGGCTGATGAAAGCAGTGCTGCCAGTGGCAAGAAGACCTTGATTGTGCCAGACAAAGATGCTGATGGCCTCTCATCAGGCGTCACGTTATATCGAACGCTAACAACCCTGGGCCTGGACCTCTCGTTAATCGACGTCCATCTGGTTCAAAAGGGCTCCAATATCCATGTTCAGTCCGAACGTGAAGCTATGGCTGCAAAGAATCCAGCTTATATCTTCGTCCTGGATCAAGGCTCTATGGCCGCACCACCGGTCACTGATTCACCGAGCACCAAATCTCTAATCATCGATCACCACTTGAGCGATCACTTTCCAGAAGGTGCCCAAGTAGTTTCCGCTTGTCATTATCCACCCGTAGCAACGACGTCCTTACTCACGTATGAGATTTGCACACCACTTGCCCCCGAGATTACTTCGTCTTGCGCCTATCTTGCCTGCATTGGCACTCATGGCGATTTGGGCAACACCTTGAAATGGTCTCCTCCGTTTCCGGACATGACGGAGACGTTCAAGATCCACACGAAGAAGTCCATCAATGATGCTGTGTCTCTCGTCAATGCTCCTCGTCGAACAACGAAATACGATGTCATGACGGCATGGACTGCCCTGCTTCACTCCAAGGACCCAAGAGATCTTCTGAACAATGGCCGACTCCAAAGTGCGCGAGCAGAAATCAATACAGAAGTCGAGTTAAATACCCATACTCCTCCCAAATTCAGTTCCGATGGAAGAATTGCAGTTCTGCGGATTAGCACCCCCGCACAAGTTCATCCGGTCATAGCAACCCGTTGGGCAGGATACCTCAATTCAAAAGCTTTAGAGATAGTCATCTGCGCCAACTCTGGCTATCTTCCTGGTATGGTAAATTTCTCTTGTCGAATTGCTCGCTGCGCAAGAACAAGAGACCCTCCCGTCAATATAATCGAGAGTCTGAAAGCCGCAGCAGATCTTTCGGCTGATGGGCTCAAGGATAGATTAGGAGAGAGCTTCGCAAGAGGACACAAGGAAGCAAGCGGTGGGGTTGTGCCCATGGAAGCTTTCGAGGAATTGATGCAATTGCTAAAAATTGGCGAGAGGCCAGAAAAGAAAGAAGATGGCGGGGAGCCGAAACCGAAAAAGCCCAAGACGATCGAGAAGAGTCCTCAGAAGAATACCATTGGGAATTACTTTCAGAAAACTTGAACGGCTATCTTTTCATGAGGATGGAATCAAATAGCTGCATCCTTGTATAATACGATACCACTAGTATTGAGAGAGAGGCGGAACAAAAGATTTCTATCCCCGCTCGGCAATTTCAATTTTACTGTCGATACAAACAACGGAAATAAAAGTAACCATGCCGTTGATAGACCACCACTCCTTGGGATTCTAGAAACGCTGTCCCTTGATGCGTCAACCATGGAGCCTCTCGTCCTCGCACCTCTCAACTCGCTTGAATCCAACCTCAACTCCCTCATAACCTCCCTGACTCAAACCAACACCTTCACCAATGCGCCTCAAATAGCAAAAGACCTTCTCACCTCCGACGACAATCTCACGTCATCTCTGCGCCTCCTACAACGACACCAACAAAATTACGCGCGAATTTTGAACCTGCGCGCCGAAGTGGCGGATCTACAAGAACAGCTCAAGGAGACGATCCGGCGCTGCGTCGCCCTCAGGCAGGAGCTCGGTCAGATACACCCATCGATACTTGATACGTCGGATTCAGACGAAGATAACGATAGAAACACCAAGGTCGCAGAAGTCGATTACCACACGCTCCTAGCCTTCGCGGCGCGAATAGGCAAACATAACGCCGACGCCGCAAGGGAAGCAGAAGCCGAATCTGTGCGGAGGAGGATCGAAGCGTCACAGGCGAAGAACAATGCGTCCACGACGGCAAACAGAGTGCCAGGTTCCACAGGGCAAGGCGCTGAAGCGCAGGATAATGCGACGGCCGAGACAGAAGCAGAGCTCGATCGCATCAACAGCACGATCGCCCTGAACCGGGCACAGATGGGCATGGCTTTTCCTGAGGCCAACATGTTGCGCGTTGGACAGCTGGGCCAGCTCCAACTGTTCCGGGAGCGTCAGGTACAAAGCGGCGGCGGGGACGAGATCGTGCAGGCAGCTGTCGAGCGGGAAGTGGAAAGGATGGTGCGGGAGACCGAGGACATTGCGGACGCGAAGATGGAGGAGATCGAAGAAGCGGGTTCCAGCTCCGGCTCCGGCTCAGGAGGTGCCCGGCTAAGTCCAGAGGCGACTCGATGGTCTACAGCAGGAACCACCGGCGCAAAACAGCCCTCCTCTGGGGGGCGGCTGTCGCAGAAACGACCTAGCGCATCTACTGAGCAGAAGCCTAAGAAGAAAGTCGACCTTGATCTCCCCAGTAGTGACGATGAGGACGAGGACTAGTTTCGGTCCAGCTAGGTTTGGAAATCAGGTCTCTTCTCGACCAACACTGGGATTGCGAGTCTGAACGTCGAATGAGAATCTCTCATCAATTCAAGTGATGTTTCGCACAACCCCATTGCCCGATCCGATTCAGTTCATCTTTTCGTGGATTGTTAAACCTACCATTTCGTTCCATCGCCCAACTTTGCCAAGCTCATTGATCCAATATTTGGCATTCAATGACTCTCTGCTATCCCATGCTCGTTCATGCTCGTTCAGTAGTGTTCATACCCACTCTCCGCCGCTGGCAAGTGGTACTGGTGTTGGCGTTGGCGCTTGTGTCCATGTCCGTATCAGTTGCCTGTTCTTGTGCTCCCTCGGGCCCTACTCGAACGTGTTGAAGCGTTTCGCTGGAAGAGCTGGTACTGGGAGTACTTCGAAAGCTTCTTCAGCAGTCAACTGGATATTTTCAAGGCCCGCGAATCTTGAATATAGTGTTTCAAGGTCAATTGGTTTGTAAATTGTAATCTACATCACTAACGTAGTCCCAAAGCGCCTTTCTTCGGCGGTTTTGATTAGTGAGGGGAGGGCCAGCCTTACAGTACCTACAGTTCCAGAAGTGCCTGATTACGAGGACTAACCGGGTGTAGCAGCAGGAGGAACAATTGGAATGGCATCAGGAGCAGCAACAGGAGACGTCACAGCAGGAGAAGAGCGACAGGTGATGCCGCAGGAAGAAGCAAGAGGAGGCAACACACCAGCCTTCTCTGATATCATAGAGAAGCTTGGTTCGTTGCAGCCTCGTTGCCGCTGAGAGTTGTTCTCCACTTCTCGGACCGTCTTCACCCATCCATCCATACATCATTTCCGCCGGCCAACACTTTGTATCCGGAGTAAGCGCGGTGAGGAAGGAAGAGTAGAGATCCCATTTTGGACAGATGGTGCATGCAGCCATCAAGTCTCGCCTGAACATGCTGCCAGCCTTTCCCTTCTAGAATGCAGTGCTACTACGTATTGGATGAATACTGGCTTTGAAAAGTGTCGCTAGAATTGTATTCCATAAAGTCTGCCCAGGTTATCAATACCTAAATTGCTATCTAGATCATCAATTAAAATGATTATGAATAAAGGAGAAATCGCTCTCATCAAGAACCGCGTTTCCCCCACCCGCTGAAAAATCCTCCTGTACTTGCAGATGCGACATGAGCTGGTTTGGGAGGGTCCTTGGTCCCGGGGCTAGGGGTAGTTGTCGTCGATGCTGTTGGCGATTCAGATATGCCACTTCGTGGAGTACTAGTCGGCGATGATGTCGACCCACTCAAAATCTTTCGTAGCGCATCTAGTTTTCCCCTGGTCTCTTCCAACTCTTGTCGTGCCACTGCCTCGGCTGTTTTTGCGTTGACCAGCTCGAGGAGCAGAGCATCGTTGGATACCGGTTCATGATTTTCTGTCGCGAGGATGGCCTGAGTGTTGAGGCTGCTCGATCGCTTAGAATACGGAACCGCACTTGATGACGGGGCCGGATCTGGTCTTCCTAGCCTCAGCTCTCGAAGTCCAGACTTTGGAGCCGGCAACTTCAGTTCGGGCGTTTCAGTGACAGGAGTGTACAGGTCGGACGGTGAGTCAGGTATGGAATTGTTCCGGGACCGCAACTCGGCAACTGTTCGCTCCAGACGCTGTTTCTCGCAGTGTGCATCCTGAATTCTTGCTCGGGCATCCCGTAGGTGTTCCTTGAGAGAATTTTGTTCGGCTTCTCGTTCGTCCAGCTGCTTCATAAGTTCCCGGCATTTCAAGGCTTCGGCTTCGTGCTTCTCCTTCCACTCTGAAACCGCATCACGAAGCTGGTGTTTCGATTGCAGAATTGACAGACGTTTCGAACCGTCTTGACAGATCTGACGGTCAGCTTGGTCCATGAGGGTGTCCAGCTCGAGATCCTCTTCCGTGGCCTCCTCATCTCCCGCCAGTTCCCTGATATCCGTTGTTTGTTGTCGTAGTCGCTCAAGCAATGTTCGCGCTATCTGACGATCTTCTTGCCTCTCTTCACGCTCTCTTTGAAGTTCTCGAACAAGTTCGACGTGCTGTCGTTGAACCTTAGATAACTCTGTGAGTAGCTCTTCGATTTGGTGATGAAGATCTCGGTCGCTTGAATTTGGTGCTGGAGTTATGCTGGGCTCCACAATGAGGCCGTTGGATGCGACAACCTTCGATGCTCCTTCATCAGACAACTCTGTTGCCAGGGTGCTGGTTTCGGAATTGGTAGTCTCGATTGAGTTAACGGTCGACGTCAGACTGTGCCCGGAAGACGACTTTCGGACTGACTTGTTGTTTCCAGGGATAAGAAGACTCAAGTTGGCCGACCGTGACGGGCCATGGGACGAACCTGCCCAGAACCTGCCCAGAAAAGATGACGCAGCGCTCTTCAGAGAAGAGGCGGCAGTCAGATTCTGTGAGTGCCGGAAGTTGGCCTCTAGTGATTGAAGAGATTCCTGGCTAACCAGGCCTGTAAGGGACACAAAATCGGCGACGAGGTCGTCCGCGTGCTGAGCATAGGTGTCCCACAAGCTTCTCGAGAGCAGAAATTGCATGGCATCCTCAAATTCGGTACACGCCAGTAGTTTCTTCTGGTTGCGCTGCATCAGCGACAGAGCCACTCGCATGAGCGTTTCTGTTGCTCCTTCTGATAGGATGACGTCGTAGATTCGAAGTAACATAGGAAGCGGGCATGTCACAGCAAAGAAGGACAAAAACCACTGAGACACATAAAGAGGTTCAATCTTGAGTTCGTCGAGATGGGCGGCCAGTTCTGGGAGGTGGCGGATCAAGAGCTGTTGAAACTGATAAATTCGGAGATGCAGACCCGACAAATCCGGCAAATAACAAGATCGGAGATCGTAATGATCCATAAGTCTATACTTTGGTCAGTATGGCCACGCGTCAAAAAGTGGATGTCGTACCTAACGAGAATGCAAAATGCTTCGGGCTCAGTCATATGCATCAAAAGGGGTCCAACGACAAACCCGAGGCCCTGACAGTATCCAATCTTTTCATCATAGAGACTAAATGCTTTCAATACCTTTCCCAGCATTCGTTGGCCCTCTCCGTCCTTCTCACGAAACATGTCCACGTTAGGGAAACTCCTTCCCACGTCTTTGCCGATAAGGCCATCATATGGACTAGGTTCGGTGGAGAGTCGCTGGTATTCTGAATGCAGAAATCCATCATGGGCACGAGCAATGCTGGGCCATACGACACCTCGCAAAGGTGGTGGTACACCTCCACGGATTTTGTTGGATGTGAGAGTTGGAAGTCGCTGTGCAGTCTGGGTGTAGTCCTGAACCAATGCCGCCCAAAACTCCAGTTCGGTCATCGGTGGAGCCGGTAACAGGGAGTACCTTAAGGACTGTCGTTGAGGTCCATCCACCATTCTTCTCAATTGTTGTATGGAGGGCGGTCGCGTGTTCTTGCGAGGTCGAGTAGTTGTGGCAATACCCGCTTTGGGATCAGTAGCTAATGCTGCATTTTCTTTCTCGAGACGAGCCAGTAAAAGAGCGGTCGACTGCAACCATTAGCAGTTGGTTCCTTCCGATTACCTCGTCGGGCAAACTCACCTCGTCAGTTGCGTCGTCCTTTGGTTCTTGTTCTTCCGTCTTTTCCAATCCCTCCCAATCGACGGTGTTCACAGACGTGGAACTCACGGAAGTCTGTGACGATGACCGACTAGACCGTGTAGATGGAGAACTGCTGTGTGGTATGGAGGCTTCTTGAGAAGCATCTGGTTCGGGTTCCTCATCGAAATCGGCCTGGACCTGAATATCGGAAAGCCGTACCGTGATCATCGAGCTCGTGGGAAGAGGGACATTCTCGGGGACAACGTCACAGTCTAAATCAGAAGAGGTTTCTGAGGCGACGTTTTGGGTGACTTCAGCCATGACGGATATATGCTTAATCGAGGGCGGCCGTGCGCCTTTGAGGAGATCGCTGGGAGAAGCGGCCGGGGGAAGGGGAGGTTAGGTAAGGAGTGGCTAGGGCGCAGGGCAAAAAGAGTGAGCCCTCGCGGTGGTTGGGAAGTCGACGCAAAGATCAAAAGAGAGACTGCTCGCAAGGTTCGCCAGCGACTGTGCGAGGTGACACTGAATGGCACAGCACGATAAGAAAAGGAAGGGACGTCGTCGAGGACGGCGAGAGGGATGAGCACCTGGTGCACGGGCAGGGGACGGTTTGAGTATAGAGGCGTGGTCAAGAGGCAAGAGATGGTGGGCCAGGGGGGTTTGAAACTACTCGTTGGCACTAGGCAGTTGAATTCCCCATCCAATAATTGATTCAAGCAATTTCGGTTCATCGCAGAGCTTGGGCTAACCACGCCGGGAATGATTGCTGAACACTTTTCTATCAAATGAGCAGTCATTGACCTCGTTGCACACAGGTCGTGTGTGCACACTGAATTAGGTTTCTCTGGATAGAGGTGGCTGTCACGGGGCAAGGCGCGTCAAACATGAGACGAACCATCCTGGCTCACCCAGAAAATTCTGAAGCAGTGTGTGCTGCAGCACACACCGCCTGAATGTCGAGTGTCTTCGCACGATGCGATAAAACAACAGCTCAGATCACACCCGAGAGCAATTGCGGTAGCCAGGACACGTGATACCCTCATATGATTCCACGTGACTTGCCCGCCCTGCGAGGAGATAGACATTCTATTCTCTACCGCTCCATAGCACCTCACCAGCAACCCCTTGGCCCTCTCCAGCACCCCGTAAATCCCGATTGCTTGTTGTCCAATCCAGAAGACTCTGTCAAAACGGCTAGCCCCCAACTTCGCTTCCGAAAGGGGAAGTTACGCGACTTCTTGGCACCAAAGGCTTGGCGCGAATGGTCGAGTTTTGTTGACAATGCGGCTGATGTTGGGCGCAACCTGTGTTTACGTTGCTGGTACAGAATTCAACTCTGCCTTAAACCCCTCCTTGCCACTCACATAACATCGTACACAGTCTGAGTCGTTTTGACTCGTGCTGGATGCTAGCGACCGTCTCATCTTCTGGCCCTGCTGACGGGCACTGGTAAATTTTCGCATCCCTCGATCTTCCCTCGAACCGTCCCCAAAGACCAAAACATGGACGATTCAGTGTTTGACGTCGACGACGGCATCTCCGACTTTGAGCCTGCCACTGTGAGTCTCTCCAAAAAGGCTATCTACGCCTGAATGCATCTATTGACGTTGGAACCCAGAAGTCGAAGACCAAAGCCGTCACCAAGAAACCTGCTGCCTCAAAACCGGCCCCTAAAAAGACCACTGCTCCCAAGGCAAAACCTGGACCCAAACCTAAGACCACTGTCCCCAAGAAGCGCTCGAAGAAGGACTCTGAAGATGAGATCTCAGACGAGGAGTCCATCAACGTGTTCGAGGATGAGTCGCTCCTGGAAGACACACCACCTCAGGCGAAGAAAGCCAAGACAATCCCCGTGAAGGAGAGCCACAAGAAACCTCTTGGAGATCTCGTCAACGAAGCCATGGGTGTAGACGGGACCCACGACGCGCCGCAACCTCAGAGAAAGAAACGTGTCTCGGAACAATACCAGAAACTCACACAACTGGAACACATCATCAAACGTCCTGATACCTACATCGGCTCGGTAGAGCGCACGGAAAAACAAATGTGGGTCTACAATACCGAACAAGATAGTATGGAGTATCGGGAAGTTTCCTTTGTGCCTGGTATCTTCAAGATCTTTGACGAGATTTTGGTCAATGCCGCCGACAACAAACAAAATGACAAGAACATGGACGAGCTCCGCGTCACGATCGACCGCGAAAAGGGCGAGATTAGTGTCTGGAACAACGGTCGAGGTATTCCGATTGAGATACATTCAAAGGAGAAAATCTATATTCCGGAAATGATCTTCGGCCACCTTCTGACCGGTTCAAATTATGACGACAACGAGCAAAAGATCACCGGTGGCAGAAATGGTTACGGTGCGAAGCTTTGCAATATCTTCAGCACCGAATTCACCGTCGAGACCGTGGACTCCAGACAGAAAAAGAAATACAAACAGACGTGGACCAACAACATGTCTCAAATGGGAAAGGCAAAGATCACAGACTGCAAAGGGGAGGACTATACCAAAGTCACCTTTTTGCCCGACTTTGTGAAGTTCGGCATGACCGCCATGGACGGTGACCTCGAAGCCCTCTTCAAGCGTCGAGTCTATGATCTCGCTGGGACCTGCAAAGGTGTAGCGGTGAAGCTCAACGGGTCACGTGTGCCAATCCGCAGCTTCAAGAAATATATCGAGATGTACACCAAAGCCATCAAGAGGGAGCGTGGCGAAGAGGCTGCGAATGATACCTCTGAGATCATTACCGAATCTCCAGATCCGCGCTGGGAAGTTGGCTTCACAGTCTCTGATGGCTCGTTCCAGCAAGTGTCATTTGTCAATTCCATCGCAACAACTTCGGGGGGCAGCCATGTCAACTACGTCGCGGACCAGATTGTCACCCGGCTGATGGAGGTTGTCAAGAAGAAGAACAAAGGCGGTCCCACGTTGAAGCCAAATCAAATCCGGAACCATATCTTCATCTTCGTCAACGCCTCGATCGTCAATCCAGCCTTCACATCGCAAACCAAAGAGCAACTGACCACCAAGTCCAGTCAGTTCGGAAGCAAATGCCAGGTGTCGGAAGAATTCATGAAGAAAATCGCAAAGACCGAGGTGATTAACAATATCCTCCACTTTGCTCAGCAAAAAGCCGATCAAATCCTCAAGAAGTCCGACGGCAGCAAGCGAAGTCGTATGAACAACCCCAAGCTCACCGATGCCAACAAGGCAGGGACACGGGAAGGCTACAAATGCACCTTGATACTGACTGAGGGAGATTCAGCCAAAGGTCTTGCAATGGCCGGACGATCGGTCGTTGGTCCCGATTTGTTTGGCGTCTTTCCCCTGCGCGGTAAACTTTTGAATGTCCGAGACGCATCAGTTGATCAGATCTCAAAGAACGCCGAGATTCAGAACATCAAAAACTTCCTCGGTCTCCAGCACAAGAAAGTCTACACCGATACCCACGGCCTTCGCTATGGACACTTGATGATCATGACAGATCAGGATCATGATGGAAGTCACATTAAAGGCTTGTTGATTAATTTCTTGCAAGTTCAATTTCCCAGTCTGCTCCAAATTCCAAAGTTCTTGGTGGAATTTATCACCCCGATCGTCAAGGTGTACAAAGGGGACCCCAAGAATCCCTCACAGTCCCGCTCATTCTACACGATGCCAGAATATGAAGCCTGGAAGGAGGCACATAAGCGTGAACGGGGATGGGAGCACAAGTACTACAAGGGGTTGGGGACAAGCACGACTGAAGATGCCCAGCAGTATTTCAATGACATTGATAAGCATCACAAAGAGTTCGACACCATGAAAGATGACGAAGCCGCCTTGATCGAACTCGCCTTCTCCAAGAAGAAGGCTGATGAGCGAAAGGAATGGTTGCGTCAATTCAAACCGGGCACGTACTTGGACCATACAACCAAGAATATCTCGTACACCGACTTTGTCAACAAGGAGTTGATTCTCTTCAGCATGGCTGACAACATACGATCGATCCCCTCTGTTGTCGATGGGTTGAAGCCTGGTCAGCGAAAGGTTATGTTCGCTTGCTTCAAACGAAACTTGAAGAAAGATATGAAAGTCGCCGAACTCGCCGGTCTTGTCGGTGGAATGACGGCTTATCATCACGGCGAGGCGTCGCTCCAGCAGACCATCGTTGGTCTGGCTCAAAATTTTGTCGGATCCAACAATGTCAACTTGCTCGAGCCATCCGGCCAGTTCGGCACGCGAAATCAAGGAGGTAGCGACTCTGCTAGCGCTCGATATATTTTCACCCGTCTGTCTCCCTTCGCCCGGAAGCTCTTCCACCAGGCTGATGAACCTCTCTTGACTTACAACACTGATGACGACAAGAAGATCGAACCGGAGTTATATGTGCCAGTCGTTCCCATGATTCTGGTCAATGGTGCCGACGGTATCGGAACAGGCTGGAGTTCTTCTATCCCCAATTACAATCCCGAGGATATCGTGGAGAATCTCAAGCGCAAAATGGCGGGTGAAGAGTGGAAGCCCATGCAACCATGGTTTCGTGGATTCAAGGGTGAAGTTAAGGCCACAGGACCCGACAGATTTCAATTCAGTGGCATCATTCACCAGACCGGCGACACTGAAGTTGAAATTACAGAGCTGCCGATTCGAACTTGGACCCAGGATTTCAAGGACAAACTTGAAGAGATCATCAAAGCCGAGAAAGTGCCGTCATTCATCAAGGACTACAAGGACTACAATACCCATGACACGGTCCATTTCATCATCCAGATGGACGAGAAACACATGAAAAATGCGGTCGAAGAAGGCCTGGTGGAAAAGTTCAAGCTCACCAAATCCGTGGCGACATCCAACCTTGTGGCCTTTGACCCCGAGGGCCGTATCACCAAGTACGCGAATGTCGAAGCCATCATGGATGAGTTCTACAGCTATCGTCTCCAACTGTATGCTAAGCGCAAGGAGTGGCTTTTGCAAGACATGCAAAAGGATTTGAGACGCCTTACGAACCAAGCCCGATTTGTCCAAATGATCATCGACAACAAACTCAGCATTTCCAAGAAGAAGAAAGCTGTTCTTATTGCGGAGCTAAAGCACCTCGGATTTGATGCGTTCCCGAAAACTCCGGACGCCGCGAACCCGGGTGAGACCATGGCAGGAACGGAAGAAGAAGAAGGTGAAGATGATGTTACAGAAGCAAGCGCTTATGACTACCTGCTTGGCATGCCTTTGTGGTCGCTCACCCAAGAACGCGTTGAGAAGCTTCAGAAACAGATTGGTGATAAAGAGTTGGAGATCGACACGTTGATGAAGAAGTCGAAGGAAGATCTCTGGCGACGAGATCTGGACGAATTCATTAGTGAATGGAAATTCCAGCTGGAAGACGAGCACAACCGCAAGCGCAATATTCGGAAGGGACGACGTGTCTCAAAGAAATTTGCGACATCGGCTACGACTAAACCAGCTATCAAGAAACGAAAGGGGCTGGGAGATGCGTCGGATGACTCCGACTTTGAGGACTTTGCTCCCAAGGTCAAGAAGAGCGCACCGGGTCCCAAGCCGGTACAGAAGCATCGGTCTATTACAGCGTATGTGGCCCCTAAGGTTAATGCGTTGAAAAACGCCGTGGAATATCGAAGGTTGTATACTGATAGTTCCAGTGATCCCCTTGATACGCCAGAAGAAGCAGGCGCAAGTGGCAGTGGGCGCAATGTTCCCGTCAAAGAGAGCACAGGTTCGAGCGAGCCCCGGCCCAAGGCCACATCCAATCGTCAAGCCCGTGCGGTAACCAAGAAACCGACGAATTACGCTTTAATTAGCGACTCGGAAAGTGACAATGGAGACGGTTTACTCGCCGACCTTGGTGACATGGTTAAGGGACTCCCGAGCAAGACCACTCCTGACAGCGGGAGCGAGTCGAGAGCACTTTTCTCAACTTCGGTCTCTCGTCCGAGCAGCAGCCATGGCTACAAAGTTCCCACGAAATCAGCTCCAAAGTCCGCTTTGAATCTATCAGAAGAAGATGATACCGACTATAAGATGCTAGCTCCACAACAATCTCCAAGACGATCCATCATTGTCACAAACAAAGATGATACAAATGTTCTCGAGCTTTCAGATGATGACATTGTCCCAGCAAAGGTTCCCAAAAAGACTTCCTCGAAGGGGAAGGAGACCACACATGACCACAATGATGTCGATGCTGTTCCTTCCAAAGGCCGCAAGAAAGCACCGGTGAAGAAAGCGGCGAAGGATACACAGCCAAAAGTCAAGAAGCCAGCACCAAAGAAGGCAACTGAAGCTCCAAAGAAAGTTGAACAATCTCCTGTGGCGAAAGCCTATGCAAAGAGATTGGCAAAGAAGGTGATAAACTCCGATGACGAAATGGATGCTTTAGCCGATGATATTCTAAAATCCCCTTCTGGTTCCGAGTCTGATGAACCTATTGCTCGCAAAGCCCCAGCGAGGCCGGCGAGACGTGCCGTTACGACAAAGAAAGCAACAACATACACATTTGATGATGATGAAGAGGCGGGCTTCCAGGATGAAGGTTCTTCGGCGGCTTTTTCGGATAGCGAGTGAGGGAGTGATCATGAAATTAGAAATAACTCATTGTTAGCTGGCTTGGGGGTTTTTGTTGCTGCTTGAGATCGTATGAGGGCGTCAGCGTGGTGGTCAAGCTGGTAAGGACAGTGGAATTTGCTTTGAGCTCCGGCACTCGATTTCCTCGCATTGATATGAGCACTTCCCTACGTCATAAATATGATACCTTTTGTCATGAAACCGTAATTGTATGACTGTTGAACTATGGCAAGCTGAATTCAGTCTTCACAGGGCCACCTCCTCTTGGATGATGACGGCGTTCAAGGTAGCACGAAAGTCAGACACATCCCATCTCCTGGCCAGGTCTGATCAACCTCTCTGCCTTGGTTCTGAACAGGTCATGCCATGCTAGGACTTAGGACGACCCCGATGGAAGTCTCAGCAGACCGGTGAAGTATCTTATCTGATTGTGCTCCCCTAGTGCATATGCTGATACCGAAGTTTCTTTGTCTGTTCGTGATGCATGGCAAGGCTAGTCAATCAGAGCTCATCTTTTGTGCCACTCACGGATGCAGTGTGCCGTTCCAGGTGCAGGAAAGATGTCTGGACAGCCTCAATGCAACCTAAATACAGCCGAATGGCCGATTTCTTCCCGGAAGAACAAACTTGAATCGGCTTGAAGACCGCAGGGTGCCGTCTTTGTGGCTGATTCGCCTGTGTTGAACCATATGCGTGAGGAACGCTGCCGGGGAGACATGCATGTCACAGCAACCCGATGTGAGCTTTCTGAGGTCTGCTTCCTCGAGGGCCATGTTCGGTCGAAGGCTTTTCAGATATCGCCTTCGCCGTTGTACGCAATGAATATAAGGTGCCAATATCAGGCTTTCAAACCAGAACAATAGCAGAGGCTAGTCACCAGGGTCTAATTCGGCTTCAACCAGACCTCGAATCCAGAGAATACTCCCACCTGTGTCGTTCCGAATTTTTCAAGACGAACTTTCTCACCGCTCATCTGGGATGTCAGCCAAATCCAATATCATATGCTCTCCGATTCGCCACAAATGGTCAATCAGAATGCCAGCGACCTTGCCTGCTTTTTCTGATCAGGCTGGCTACCTGCCTTAGCAGTAGTCCTTTTTGCGCGAGATCAAAGAACATGCATCGCTTTTACCCTTGTCTCGGTGAACCTGGATACCCGAGCGGAACCTTTACAATCAGTCTATGGAATTCTGTTGTGGTTTGTGAAGCCGCCAGCTTTGTTCCTCTCTTTTGTTGATTGATGGTTGCCAAACGAATCAAGCAGTGGCTTGTCCCAACGGGATACATTAGAATTGCCCCTGCCGACGGGAAGATTGATCAACTTTTGTCTTCAATTCGAAATTTCCCCATTTTCCCGATGGCGGCAATCCGGTCCCTTCTTAATCCAGTGCTGGATGATAGCAGACTCGATAGCAACGATGACAACAAACACGACCTCTCCACCCATGACGGTCAAGCCTCTGCAGCGTCTGAAGAGCAACCAAGCCGCAAGGAGAAGCCACTGCGAAAGAAACCAAGAATGTGTAAGGATGCGGCAGTCTTTCAACCTGGCAAAATCCGAGGTGAATGTCGATATCCTCCCCATGAAGATCAGGATACCTACCTTGCCACCAAACACCAAATGTTCGAGGTACATCCGATCGGTGAAATAGCTACATATCCAAGGCATATCCCATATAACAGTGAGAAGAAGCTATTTCTCGAAAAAACTGGCAGAGAATGCTTTGAAGGTATGGATGCAAGAGAAAGGAGATTCGTGGTATACCTAACATCGAATAGTATTCCAATACCAATTTAAGATCCCTGGAGATTCCACCACATACACGATGTTGTGGGACTACAATATTGGTCTCGTGCGTACGACACCTCTATTCAAGTGTGGCAATTACTCCAAGGTACAGAGAAGAACAAACGTGTCCGACTAAACCTCAAGGCGGATAATCTGACCTTCAGCAGACAACCCCGGCAAAGATGCTGGCCCGGAACGTGGGATTGAAGGAGATCTGCCACAGCATTACCGGAGGAGCTTTGGTCGCACAAGGCCAGTAGCGTTGACGAAGCCTTATCTTTCCAATGGCTGACCGCTATGTTCAGGATACTGGATCCCTTATGAGGCGGCAAAGGCTGTGGCGGCCACATTCTGTTGGAATATTCGCTTTGCTCTGACCCCAGTTTTTGGCAAAGACTTTCCGGACGTGTGTCTCCCTCCGGGATCAGAAAATTTCGGTTCCATGCAAATCGACCCAGAGATCGTCAGAAGATGTGCCGCGCAAGCTCAGATGTATCGAGCAATCGAAAACCAAGAAGCATCCGGTCCATCATCGGACATACCAAGCCCTCGAACTCCTCAGACCCCAATGTGTCACTCTCGAGTCAAGAATATCTTGCCCAAGCCATGCAAAACGACCGAATCCACCAGCGAGTATACAACTGATACAAGCCGAGAAGACAAACATGACTTGTCGTCCCCTTCCCCCCAGATTGCCTTCACCAATCCTTGGTCTGCGGTCAACTCTCCTCGCTCCCCCTCGCCAAAGATATTCTTTACCCATCCAAGATCGCCTGCTAGTACCATTCGCTCAGAATCTCCGCAGGGTACCTCTCGCCGAGGTCGACGAGCGGCCGGCATTCCTCGTTCCTACACTCCGCTTGATCTCTTGCCACCTCCACGAAGGCCGTTGTACCCTCAATTCACCACCATTTCAGCAGAACAACAGACCGCTGAGCGCCGTTACCCTGAGATAGGTCCGATGCCGGAAGTCTCTCCGAAATCAGTTGTTCGTCCCATGGACATTGATCAAGGCTACGATGCAAGTTCGGATGAGTCTGAAGATACTAGAGCAGATGGTAGTATGGCTTCTCGGGAGAAGTCATCCCGCGGGTTTACAGAGACCAACGCGGCTCGTGTTTTGATGAAGTTGAGGACTCAGGCAGATAATGTTACGGTGGGATTGAAGTCATTGAAGCGTCGAGCATCTGCATAGATGGTTTGTGGTTGATAGAAGAAGGCGCAATCCAAAATGTTGTCGGAAGGCACGGACCTCTGTCAAGATCTTGACATCAAGAAGCATTCATGGGCTTGCAGTATTCACGAATTAACGTATTGGTATTGATGGTAGAATGAAGATCAAGTTCGCAGTATCTGCCTTCTTCTAAGTCCGCTTCCTGTTACTCTCACCCTCCCACACGTGGTCCTCCACCTCCTCTTCACACACTTCTCCTTCACCGCACGATCGGCCGTCTTCGTCATTATGCAGGCCAGCCTTGTCAACAAACTCCTTACATGTCGATATTGCGCTCTCGACCCCTATTGTCCTAATATCGATGCATTTGGCACCCCCATCTACGCCTACCCTCATTGGGGTACAGGTCGACTGGCCGGACACTTCCATCAACGTGGAACTTGCTTCTTCTGGGGCTGGAGTGTACCAAGGAAGTATGATCATGGCTCCCGCGACTCCTGCCTCCGGTGCTGACCAGGTTTAGCAATTGAAGCTTACAGGCTGGAACTTCAAATCGCGGACGCAGCCACAAAATCTGGCTTCAACACTTGGAATCATGAAACACTGTGCGATCTCATCTGGGCTGTTGAAAGAATTGGTCTCCAGGCAGGTGTAACTCCATTCAGTCGCATGTCTATCCCTCGAGATCCCATCTACCCTGATACATGTAGCCCCGGCGGAACTGGAAATTAATATAACGAGGAAGAAGAAGGCCCTTCCAACCAGACATCCTCCAAACCAATTGATCGAAGGAAGGACGGTGCAGTGGAAATTGACCAAGTCATCGAGTGGCTGAATGAGAAGGAAAATGATATATTCTTTGAGAGTGCAAGAGGCTCAGCAGATCATAGGAGCACATAAGGGTGTGGGGATATCAAGTTTATTGTAGCAATAAAAATGTGTCGTTGAATGCTGCAGACTTTAGGTTGTGCCAAGTTTGTTCTGACAAGGCTGAAACTCATCCAGGGGTAAGGCTCTGCCCCGGAAAAGAGATGCCGGCATTACCAGGGGTGATGGGGTCTCCAAGCGATCATGGAAAAGGCCAAAGATTTACCAGAGCAAATTGCAGAATTGTTTCAGGAGGCAGAAAGACCTTGGCAACGTTTAAGCCTGAGGATCTGAATGTCAAAGCATGCGATGTTACGGCTGATCGGGATGACAATGCAGCCTCGCTGCACAAGACGCTCTCATTGGATCTATTCAAGCTGACGACGTTGTTGAAGAAGGCCAATGGCCTAATCGAGCTTCTTGAATTCCTACCCCCTGTACGACCTGAATTCCATGTCCAAAGGCCCAAGATGGCAGATACGACACGGCATATCGATGGAGAAATGGACATGTGCAATGCCATGTGCAAAAATGCTTGAGCAAAAGTTCCGTCATGTGCTCGAGAGAAGGAATATCTGAATTTTGCAGGACTGTGGCAGACATGGTGTTGCGTCTCTTGACAGCTTCACCTCTTCACTGCGTCAATTCCCCTTCATCTGTTCATCTTACTTTCTACTTCGGCTTGGACGGCGGACGGTCATTTCGATTTCATCTCGGCTCGACGACTCTTCATGAGGCAGATCAACAGTTCCTGCGCATGAATCCGCCCTGACCGCCGCAACATGGCCGTGAAAACTGCACCGGTAATTCAAGATTTTGTCCCTGTCGTACTTCTAAAACTGACAATGCCAAGTTTCAAATCATGGTAGTCCAGCAGACCGATCAGAACAGCCGGCCAACTCCGGCAATCTCGCCCACCATCATCGTTGGAATAGTCATCGTCGCTGCTTTCGCTGCCATTGTCATCGCTGCCAGTATGTTTCGATACTGTTGCAAAAACGCATCCTCTGCAATCGAAACGGAGAGCGACGCAAGTGGTAGTGACATTTTCAACCCATACCGTCCACGTTCCGCAGAGCAGAATGCACGGATGAAAGAAGTCAGATGGATCAACAACATGTATGCTTGGGGAAGAAGCAGACAGGCGAGAATCGAGAATGGCGAAATCAGACCACCGATCATGATTCTGGGGAGGGCTGGACAATGTGGAAATTGGGATGAATGGAGTGTTGCCGACAAGAGCCCGAACCGGGCCGTAGGTGGTCCCCCTTTTCCTTCGCTGGTGTGTCTTTCTTGAGGCTAACTGAATCTCGGTCTAGAGCTGGGTCAGGGTGGGCGATGAACACAGCTGCGGAACTTACCTGTACAATGTCGGAGATCCCTACATTGCAGCTTCACAGCAACGACCCAACAGTCACCTTGCCTCACCGACTTCAGTTCGAAGTCCACTCCAGACCACCAGTACCGGTGATTACCATCTGTGCCATCAATCTGTCTTGCTCCCTCAACCTAATCAACCTGAAGGTATGCAGCGAAGTCCTCTTCGATACGAATATCGGGCAAACGAGGTGGGACTTGCGCCGGGCCCTAACCCGGTCCAAACGTATGCACGGAATCACAAAATTACTCACAGCGACGATACCGAGGACATAGTCGATTCACGCTCACCAACTACCTATGATGCAAATTTGGAACCGATCCCGTTAGACTATGGACACGAACATGGGGAAGATCTGCAGAATTCATTGTTCTCCAGACCCGCCGTCTCCGTGATGGATGGGCCATACCTACAAGCGCGCGCACTGCTACCACACTCGTATACACCAGATTCGGCCAGTGTTTACGAGGAGACAGAATTTCTTTGTGACGAAGACGATCAAATCCACAGGGCGCCAAAGCCAAGGTAACGACGACAACAAGTAAGCCAAAGGCAAAGGCAAAGTCGAAATGTCTTATGATGGCGTCAAAGGTATGGTCGGAATAGGATTATTTGAGCATAGGGTCATACTTGAGGGATTAGGAGCTTTCATGTTGGTGGCGATGATGAATCTGGACGGGTTGGGGGAGGACAAATGAAGTTCCTTAACATCGGTCGAGTCAATCCGAACAGGACATGTTGAATGTTGGAGTCGGGACAGGCACCAGTATTGGTGGTTGATGCTCCTCTCCTTTCCAAATCGATGAGGGCATGGAATAGAACAAGGTTCAAGCTCAAAGACTGCCGCTTTATCCGAGTCCTTGGAAGAGCAGGATGCCGCCCTGTGATTGTATATGAATGATCAGGCGCGAGGCCAACGTGCAGGATAAATCAACTACATTCTCATATCATCGTCATCCAAGGGATATCTGCAACAATGCATCGCCCCAACCACTCATCCATTAAATCATCACTCAGTTCACGGCATATATCACCTATGCTTTCTCTTATCTCATCCCCACAACATTTTTGGGAAGAGAACCATACTAAAAACAAACTGACAGGGATATCAACCAAAATTGATGAGAACCCTGCCCCCCTCACTCCGTCGCTAAATGGTATATGCATAAAGATTTCAAAATCATTCCATATCAGACATCACTCGCTTGCTTTCAAGCTTCCACAATGACATAGTCAAGAAAAGAACTCTCACCGTAGCAGGCCTCCAGCATCAGAGAAACTCAAATCATCCGGTCCACTGGGTTGGGGCCGTGTGGGCTCTTCTTCATCCACCTGGTGCGAAGGTAATCGACTACCTTTGGAGACTTTTCTGTTCTCGGCGGATCGCATCGGTGAACGACCAGGACTACTCGTTTTCCGGGGCGACACGGTCGACGTAGAGTGGATTTCGTCCTCTTCACGAATATGAGCATGTCGAGCCAGGATGCCACCAATATCGGATAGGAAAGCTTTGGAACCGTGTCTCGTTCCGGAATGGTGAGGCTGAGAGAATCGACGTGTAGCTTCATGGATGGATGCCTGACGAGATCGGGAAGCAGGAGACTCATTCGAGGGTTGATCAACAAGGCCACCAACGTCAAAGAATCCCATTTTACTTGGCGTGTCGGGCTCCACGTAATCAGGACGGGGGGCCGGTTCTTCCAGCTGAGATCTTAGATCGCGCAGTTTGATGTTGGTTGATGTGCTGCTCAGGCTATCAGTCGATTTCCTTCGACGATGTCGAGATGCTTCGGCAAAATTCCATTTCGAGTGAAATGTTGAGCCATATCCGTGTGGAGCGGACTCGAGATCGACGGAGGTATGATTTGGTATGGCGACTTCCGCCAGCCGGGGGAATTTGTCCAGTGTACTCCCGTGTCTCAAAGGAGCGGGTAGCGACACTCCAACGCTCTTCGCAAGGTCCTCGTCCGAGCCCCAATGGTGATGGGTCATGGACCTGGTTCGACTTCGGGTGGGTGTTCGTCCCATGGAACTCGAATCATCAAACGATGGGATTCTGAATTTGGCTTTCTTCACTCCCTTGTCACGGATAAAACTACCTATCGCAATCGCATTAGATACACCCACAGCCGCCAAGATTTCCAACGAGGCCAGTAACGATCGATATTGTTGTGAGGAGCGACGTGAGATAGTAGAAGGAATTCGATAGGCCGTAATGGCGATCAGGATGGTGGATAAGAGGAAGAGGAGGACGAGGGATATTTTCTTCGAAACTCGCATGGAGGATTGCCAGACGAGAGGGATGGGAAAGACGATCAGAACCACGTCGGTGACCATGTCGCAGACTCCCATCACCACTAGTTGGGCTAATCCTTCTCGGCATTTAGGGCCCGGATCTGGTACGACCTGCCAATAATGGGTGAAAGGTTGGCATTCGCCGAGTGTGCCGATGACGACTCCGAGATAGGTGATGATGAGGAAAGCGTATATCAATCGAAGTCCGACTTCGTACGACTTGGCCCAGGATTTCCCAATTAGGCGCTTGAGAAATTCGAGAACGGTGAGTTTTGCGACCCAGATAAAGGCTGCGTAGAAGATGCGCGAAGCCAGGACCAATTTGCTCCCAATCTCCCGATGACGAATCTCCTCGGACGAGAGTCCCTCAGTGTGCGTATTATTGGTTCCCCAAATCAGAACGACATGGACCAAGGCCATCCGAATCAAGAGGGGAATGATGCTATAGAACATGATCCAGTCTTCTCGAAACAGTCTTTCTGTGCGAATCCATCGCCCGAACAATCTAATCAATATCGTCGTCAAGGAGAATAGTGTGCACCACCATGACACGATCAACGTCGGATTCATGTCCAGTTTGGTTTGGAGACCCGGCGGATCCTCGTGGTACAGGCGCGACTCGAGCATTTTGAAGTCGGACGATTTGGGCCAGAGACTGGAAGGCTTCGTTCAGGTGAAGGTTTTCCAAATGGCATTCATAGCCTCGAAGGCGTATCGTTAGGGTGGGTGTCTCTTCTGACTACGGTAAAGGGCCATGGACATTGAGGTCGGTCGGCCGCGTTCGTAGGTCGGGTTGTCAGTTACTTCCTCCTCTTGTCATTACTGAATAACGAAGGAGCTGCCGAGGGAAGATCGAGAGATGGAACTGACGAGGAGTAGGGAAGAGTACAGATCGGACGAGCTATCAGAGGGAGTCAGTCAGATGAACAGGCTGGGTCTACCATGACGGACGCGCAGGGTAGAAGCCGACTTTCTTGAGGCTTGGGATGAACGGGGGTGAGGGCCATTGCGGTGGCGTGGTAACTGATAGAGGCGTATAGTATAGGTCAAGTGGGCTCGAGGACGTCCGTCAATGACACAGAGCCGCTATGCGATTGGAATTGTGGGACTGGAGGGTGTGGTTGTTTTTGGTTATCATGCCTGAACGAGCCTGTCGTGGGGCGTTCCCGGCGCTGGGGTTGGCAAACAAGGGTCGGACGAGGGAGACTGGCCGTTTGTGCCGTGAGCAGAGGAGGCCGGTTCGAGGAACTATCAGGCGTCACCAATGACGAACGAGAAAGAGTGCGAACGGGGCGGTGGGAATCGTGCATTGTCAGCGGGTAGGATGATAGAGCAGTTGCTATGAGTGGGATGGTGCCATCAACTGCCCACGCTCAAGATGTTAGCAAGGATGGTACGAGGGCTCGGGATCACAAAACTCTTGCTGTGACTGGGTCGCTGCCAATTGCTCGCTGCCGGACTCCAAGATAAGAGACTCCAAGATTCATCCCTCCCTCCTTCAGCTGGCTCCAGTGAGTCCGGGATAGGTGTCCAAATGGGTCAATGCAAATCTCCGCACCCTGGCATCACTTGGTGCTCTAGATTTCTAGATATGCCGAGTCGAGTCAGCACTTAGATAACCACAATCTGTTTTACGTGTAGAAAAAATGATGCGCTCAGAAAACAGTCGATTGTTTTTCTGGGCATCTTGTCTCGTGCCCATTTCTTGTCTGGTGGGCTTCCTCCCTTACCGAAAATAGGATCGTCCTTTCGCTTGTTTCCAGTGCTAAAGTCCCGTGGGAATTTCTTATGTGCAACGGCCCGAAGGCACATGCTCAGATTCTATCTTTGGAATTGCCTCGTGCTGCGCCGTACTCCGAGGGTCTCCCAGTCCTGTTCTCCCTCAAGTGACACCACTTGCTGCTTTTCGGTCCCATTATACAAGACTCGGTCCCAGTCCAAATAGCCCCCATATCTTTCGGTCTGAAGGGTTTCCTTAATTTCATTTCCGGACCTGATCCACCCACTGGTTCTTAAATACTTCGTCTTCTTCTGTAACTTCTATACTATCCGCCTCTAATATCTCTGTCACGTCAAGCTCAATGGCGCTGGGAGGAAGAGAAAATCTCGAGGGATCCGAAAAGCAAAGGTCAAACGTTCCTTCAGATCCCGCTCTTACTCCATTGGGCTCCAAGCATATCGGTCCGCAGAGTTCCAGCCCTCCTAATACTCCCCCTTGGTGACGGGACATGTGCTCAAAAAGGTGATGTTCTCCTTCAAAGGATGAAGAGGAATCTCCGCCAAACACACAAATCAGGCATTTGTAGAATCGTCGTTTCTTTTGGCTGGATGACAAGTGGGATTTGAACAGCAGCAGCGACCGAAAACGGAGCGTGTTTGCCTCGTATATTCGGTCGTCGAAGCGTGGTCGGCCACGTTCGTCTCGGTCGGCGGGTGTCGCAAACGGACATTTGCGACAATGGCACGACCATTCCATGTTCTTCATTGAGACTTGCACCGCCTTGTCATATATTCCCTGTTGAACATAGTACGCTCCCTTGCAAAATCCAGCCGCCGTCAGCGCGTCGAGCGATGAATGGGTTGACGCAGGGCTGATGGGCGGAGTCATGATCTGTGATCTGCGAAAGTCGTTCAGAGAGCCCGGGGAAGACGACATCATTGGTCGCGGAGACAAAGTCGGGGAGTGGTAATTGGATGAGGAGCTTCGAGCAATTGGAGGAGCCGATGTCGTGCTTTCTTTGGGCTGCTCTGAAGATGATGTGCGATGCAGATTCTTGAATGGATTCCACGATGGTTTCCGCGATCGCAATGGGCTGGTCGAAAGTGGTTCGGATTCTCGTGTCAGGTTACTACTCCGCTTCTTTCCTCCCTCGAGCTCCTTGAACTCTTTGGAATCTTTGGAATCTCTCGGAGATGGCTGGGCCACCGTAACTTCAGGCTCGGACTGGAGGCTGGACCGTTTCTGCTGGCGGAGGTACAGCTCATTGAGAATGGTGACCGCTCGTAGTCTGGCTTCGATGGCCGAGTCGATGCATGCCTCGAAATTGGTGACATTGTCATCCTTGCTGGCGAGAGTCAAGTGATGGAGGAAAGACGCCTGGACTTCGATGGTCAGACTCTGCAAGGCTCGATGAGCAATGTCTAGTGGGCTATTAGTAAAATGTCGCCCGGAAATCGGGGAAGGGACAGTGCTCACCGTCGCCCTGTTCGAAGTCTGAACCAAACCGTTGAATACCTTTGGCTGTAATCTTTTCAATCTCCTGGTGCCCTTCCTGGATTGATTCCTCGAGGGCGACACTTGGAGGTAAGGCACCCTTAGCCTTACGGCGTTCCTTGATGTTTTCGACAATGGTGCCTGCATCTCTGTAGGCCGTGATCAAGGCCGCTACCGCCCCGATTACCGCGATGCCGATCTCGGCGCCAGACATAATGAGAGGCCGAACTGCGAGAACAGGATCCAAGCGCAATTCCGTGAAGGGAGGGTTAACGGTGGAGGAACGTCATTGTTTGAGGCAGTGGGGTCCAGCGTCCATGCCACGAGCCACGAGCATGTTCATAGCATGTTGAAGGTCAAGGTCAAAATTGCGGAGGAACAAGAGACTTGGAAGATCTGTAAGGTTGAGGGAGATGAACTCGACGTCTTGATATAGGGAGATGAGAAGCCAGAGTACTTGCCTTCAGCAGGGCTGGTGTTTGAGCACTCATTCGAGACAGAATTGGCTTCCCAGTACGCTGCACCACAGTGCACCCGGCGGGAAGAGGGCATTGCGGAAAGGCGGCCAATAACGAGGGCATGTGGCGGCATGCAGGTAACTAGACCAGTGGCCTCTATTAAGGCGCAGCAATTGGAGCCAGCCTTTTTTCGCCCCGGCCTCTGTCGGTGGAGAAGCCAGTTGGCATTTCGGCACGATCAGAGTTTCGATCGGGCCCCTTGGAAACCAGCAAAAAAATCGACTGCCGGTCTGCCACTTGAAGAACGGTGGCCTTCCGGAAAGGGTCCAGGGCCAGGGCTCACGTTCCCGTTTCCCCCTGGCCCCAAGGGTGGGTTGCAATGCCAGTCATTTTCGCATCAATTCGATTAATCAAGGAGAAAAGGAGTGAGGCATTTACAGTACAACGAGCGCTGTCCCTTTTGTCCAATGTCTTGCGGTAGAGGCAAACAAGTTCTGGTCATCGACGGCACATTCTCTCGAGGCATACTCTGTACTCCAAGGCGAGCCCATCACCCACCAGCTGGTCTAGCTCCAAAGAGTCTCACTACCCTTCCCCCATTAGAATCCAGATTCCCCTCCTCAACCAAACCAGGCACCAGCTCACCACTATCTCTACTCTTGATAACGCCCCAAACCTCGGGAAATCCCGCTCGCATTGGCCCTCCCGCCTTTTGGCTTCCTGGAATGGCAAACCGAGGATTGGTGTGTAGAGCGAAGCCTTTAAGTAAGCCTTGTTGTATCAAACTCAGCACCACTGACTCAACTTCGTTCATCGTGGGCGACTCATCTGAGTGATCCACAGAGGCGACATGCTGGCCAATGTACTCATCGATGTATTGCCCAGAATCGATATCAAACCCCGTCTCGTTGATCGCTGCATCAATGTCGGCGAATTCGGGGTCGACATAATTTTCCACTGTAGGGATTACTTGGGACCTATATCCGTTGACCATTGTTCTTACTTTCTGCTTGCGCAATGCCCATGCAGCAGCATGAAGGACATAATGCAACCTCAGGAACGGCACTTTCTTCTCCTCACCCATGTAGCCGCTCAGAAGGAATGTCTTTCGAATGAGACTTCTCCAGACTATGATCTCACACCGGTCTCGCAGTTGAAAGAGGACGGATCTTTTCAAGAACCAGAGGCCCGATTCGCTTTCCAGGCCCAGATACTGATGAAAATACCCCAGATCGCCACTTTGGATGATCTTGCAAAGAGGCACAAACCTGGCTCCGATCTCGGTGGCTTCCGGACGTGAAAGGAGAGCGGCAGATGGAAAACGGCCCAAACAGAGATTGGCCGACATCAGGTAGATGAGGATTAACCTCCGATGTGTGATGGCTTGACGATGGCATTGCTCGTACGCCGTTTGGAGAACCCTTTGGGCCCGCCGAAAATGGTTGTTGGCGAAGTGATAGCGGCCTAGATAGTACAGGTACGTCACCCTTTGCGCGGCTGGATAGTACCACAGCGGCGGAGACTGCGCATCGATACTAGAGAACATCTGCTGTGCGTTCCGGAGCTTGCGACATTGTATGAGTAATTTGAGACAGGAATTCGCGGTGAGGTAGATGCCGACGCGTTTGTCGTCCGCTGAGGGTCTGGAGGTGCGTTGGACACCAGGGCTGCCGGCAAGACACTTGATGAACGCATCTCGGAGCACATTAGCGGCATCTTCAACAAAGCTGACTTTGCCTGGAGCGCCTTCTTGACCCTGCAATGCTGGTAGATGGCTGTCCCTTACCCAGGCAGGATTCCGGTCCAAATTCGTGGCGACCGCTGCCAGGGTCCGGGAGAAAGAGAGAACGATTGGGATCATGATAACTCCATATTTGGAATCTCCGAGAGCAGCGACACATTGGCTGCGAGTGCAATCAGTATGAATTCACTATAGGCAAGAAGTTTGAGCACCTGGTCAATTGTCTTATCTTGGAGGCTTTGGCCTGGTTGTCGGCAGTCGTGAAATCTCTGAGATAGCGAAAGTACTGTATGATGCTCTCGGAAAATGGGGAACTGAAAGTGCCGAACTCGTCCTGGGACAAATCTTTCTTGCATCGAGAAACAAGCTCACCGTCGCTGCCGGGAGGGTAATTATCGTTCAGTTCCCGATTCAGGTCCGCGTATGGTTTCTGACGCGCCGGAGAGAGACTTTCGAAATCGAGTTGAATGAGCTCGGTAATTCGTTGGCCATTTTTGGTTTGGATGCTGTCGACAATCTCTGTCAAGAATGAGTCCAATACTGAGGTGCTGGTTCCGAAAGGAGGCATATTGGAGGAAATGCTGTTGTCTGTCTGACTCGGGGTAGAGAGGAAGGCTAATGCTGGCAAAGTATGAGCTGTGGCGTCCACTTCGAGGATAAGGCACGCATTGAGTAATATATGAGGCTTTATTTTCGAACTTCTCCTTATGGTGAATCAAGCGAGGAGAATAGATCTACCAGTAAATGCAGAGACTCGGACTCGGATGAAATACGACATTGATTTGTGATTGGCCAGGATTTACTACATCTCCAGCTTTTACTATCAAGGGCACAAACGACTTGATATTGCAACACAGTTTGTCTTTCAATAATTCGTCGTATGGTCACGCAATTAGGACAGACTCCTTCTGGTCGCTGGGATAGAAACTCCCCCGTTGTTTCAGCTTGCGTTTAAATTGAAATCTCCATGACCTTGGACCTCATCCTCAGACAATGGGGGTAGCCTCATTTTGTCGTGCGCCAAGTCGGCCTACCCGTCAAATAGATACTTTGACGTGCTTTTTTCAGCCTCGGCGACATGCTGCTGACTTTCCTCCAAGGCGGCCTTGTCGACCAGCTCTTGCGGCCCTTTTCGACTGGGGGTTCTCTGTAGTGAACATCGGCTGCGCCACCTCGTGGATATAATCGTGATACGACACGAGAAGTAAGTGTTGCACTTCACTTACGGATGCAGACTCACTTCTCAGTCCCAAGGACCATCTTTTCTCTCTCGCTATGACGCGGCATGCTCCCTTTCTTACTGTGTTTTCGCACGTTTTCTTCTTTCCTCTTGATTGATTTGAGTTCTTCTGCTTTGATCTCTGCGGCCTTCTTGATGGTTTTAGGCAGATGTCGGTGTCGTTTAATTCGTCGGATCTCGGGCATATGGGCATATCTCCGCACTAAAGCTTGGTCATATTCCAGTTTTTGTCTCTGTCTTGCAGACTTGATGCCACTACGACTCGAGGCATGGACGCGCCATAGTCTGACATTCCCATCGTCTGACCCCGACAGAACATAGTTGTTGTCCGGGGTGAATCGCGCTGAAAATACTCGTTGCATTCGTTTAGTGTGGTAAACGTCTCTGGAATGCCCTCGGTCTCGGTTCCAAAACCGGACGGTACGATCATATGACGCACTCACCAACTCTTCTCCTGTCGGACTGAATTCAACATCCATGACTGCGGCCACGTGGTCCTTGAGGACATTCAGAGCTCTATCCAATTTCCGCATATCGAATATGTAGATATTATGGTCCTCGTTTGCCACAGCAAAGTTGAATGCTTCCATCGGATTCCAGGATATTGCATTGGATGCGAGTCGGAGGACCACTTTTGACAGAGGCGAGGCGGTTCGAAGGTCATGAAGTACAATTGCCCTATCCAGGGCAGCGGAAGCGATTATTGAGGTTTCGGTTTGGTTGAAAGACACGGCGGTGATGGTGTCGGTAGAAGTAGGCCATCGCAGCACTTGACTGGGTCCTGACGAAGGTCTCGATAGGTCGTAGATAGATATTAAACTCGAAGAAACGGCGAACGAGGGATGATCGCGGTGATGGGAAATATCGGTAAATGCCCCTTGTCCCAGATATGTTGCCAGGGGAGGCCCATTCTGCTCCCCATTATACGGATCCCATAGTTTGACGGTTTTGTCCGTGGCGCAAGACAGCAACTTTCGCTCCGGGGTCCAACACAGTCCTCTGACAACATTTTCATGAGCTCTAGAACTCCACACCTCTTCACGGCTGGTCAAATCCCATACTTTTACAACACCGTCTCCGCTGCCGCTGGCAAATCTTTCCAACGATCCCGGGTCTTTGGCCATGGAATAAACTCCATCCACGTGACCCTGACCTAGCTGTCCTACAAAAGGCGCAGCGAACATTCGCTCCATCTTGACTGCATTGAGTGCCCGTGTGTATTCTCTGGCACGTTCGAAAGGATGGTGGGCAGGGTCCAGGTTTCGAGGTTGTCGAAGAGCGCTGTCGCCCGGAGGCGCCGCGGGCCTGGTTAAGGACTTGATCTTCTGTCAAGAAGTCAGCTTCGGTAAAATCTTTCAACCTCTCGAAGGCCTTACCATGTTGCTAATGGCATGGAGTTGGGAGCGAAGAAAAGTAGTCGGCTTGAAATGAAGACCGAGAAACTTTTTTGTGGGGACGAACAGGAAACCTGCAATAAGAATTGGGGCGTTTGCAGGCCTCTGGCGTCATCCACGGTGCCTGGAGACTTGCAGACCGCGGTGGCTGAGGTTGCCCCCCTCGGCCTCGTCGTGTCTACGTCTCTCCAGTCCAGCCTTTTCCATAACTTTATAGTACATATCCCAACCTCAACACCCCTATCTGCGTGTACGACCACCATACCTCATCTATCTCCCTTTCCCTATCCACATGGCGCCGCCCCCTTCGAACAAGGCCAAGATCACCGAGGCCAAAAAACTGGCCAAGTCTGAGCCAACAAACGCAGAGAGCATCTATAAAGAGGTCCTATCAAAATCCCCCGGTTCCAATCAGGCCGCTCTTCAGGACTATGAAAATGCGCTGGCTGGGCTGGGCGAGCTCTACAGAGACCATAAGCGATCTGAAGATCTCGCCGAGCTGGTGAAGACAAGCAGGTCGACCTTGTCCTCATTTGCTAAAGCGAAGACAGCTAAGCTAGGTAATTTTATCAACTTGGAAACTGTGGGAATACGGCTGACCCGATAATCAGTCCGACAATTGCTCGACTTCTTCGCCGATATTCCAAACTCCTTAGAGATTCAGATCACTACGACCAAATCATGCATCGATTGGGCCAATTCTGAAAAGCGATCCTTTCTCCGTCAGAACCTCGAAACACGACTGGTTGGGCTGTATATGCAGAAACAATCATACTACGATGCTCTTACACTGATTAATGGTCTGCTGCGAGAGCTGAAGCGGCTTGACGACAAACTCGTCCTGGTAGAGGTCCAGCTGCTCGAATCGAGGGTCTACCACGCTCTCACCAACCAAGCCAAAGCAAGAGCTGCGTTGACCTCAGCGAGGACCTCTGCTGCTTCTGTTTACACCCCTCCACTTTTGCAAGCTGGATTGGACATGCAAAGTGGCATGCTTCACGCGGAGGACAAGGACTTCAATACGGCTTACTCATATTTCATCGAAGCGCTAGAAGGCTATCACGCACAGGATGACACAGTTCGAGCAACCTCGGCATTACAATACATGTTGTTGTGCAAGATTATGCTGAACCTTGTCGACGACGTCAATTCTCTCTTGTCTTCGAAGCAGGCACAAAAGTATGCCGGTACCAATCTGGAGGCTATGAAAGCAGTGGCAAGAGCGCATGCGAATCGATCCCTCGAAGAATATGAACAGGCACTGTCCAGCTATCGGTACGAGCTTGGCAGTGATGTTTTCATCCGAAATCATCTACGGCGGTTATATGATGCGATGCTGGAACAAAACCTGATCAAGGTAATTGAGCCATTCAGCCGGGTGGAAATTGACCACGTCGCAAAGATGGTTGGTCTTGACACGCAACAGGTGGAGAGGAAGCTATCGCAAATGATCTTGGATAAGGTCATCGTCGGTGTGTTGGATCAAGGAGAAGGGTGTTTGATTGTGTACGATGAGGTCGAGAGGGACGCTGGCTATGATGCAGCGCTGGAAACGATTGAAAAGCTCAGCAATGTCGTTGATGTGCTTTACACCAACCAGGCGGCCTTGTTAGAATAGAGGACGCATGGAGTTTTGGCATTTGATCCGAGCCACTGGTCATCTTTCCTGCAGCGATCAGCAGGGCGAGTTGATTAGAGTATCCCAAGCCTTCAGGCCAAATTCTAGACCAACATCCCATGTGCTCGGTACCAAAAAGATAGTGCATATTTTCGGAGTTGCAGGATTTGCTTTTTTGTTTCGCTTTTGCCGTTGTCCGTTGAAATGCAGCTTTGTCATTCGGCGCCGAATCCCCCCCCCCCCGCCACGCAACTCAGGCGCCAAAGACCTCATTCATCACGGGCTGTTTCCGGCCTGCGAGTGAGGTTGCGACAATTTGCTTCAGCTTTCAACTCTCCAAAACACTTGTTGGTTGTGAAATATTGTGTCCCGAACAGTCAGAACACCTCTCCATGATCACATTCTCTCTCTTTGCGCAGCGAAGAATCCGAATCAAGTCATAGTCGTTCCCAGCGCAACCCCGCCATCGCTCTTTCAAGCCGAGTCGCAGCTTGTTCAAACCCAACGTTCGTTCGACTCGTAACCCCCCAAACTTCTTATCCTGAGATTATTATTACACGAGGCCGTCAGGCCTAAGCTGGGCCGCAAGGATGGGTCAGAAGTGAGTCGACACTGACACACGGACACCGACTGTCTTGAAACTGTCGGCTTACCCTTTTTTTACCAGACAGTCCAAGTTATCACCGCAACAACTGGAGGAACTCCAGAAGTCAACGCATTTTGATAAAAAGGAACTCCAACAATGGTACAAAGGTATGAAATACCGGATGGACCTCTACTGCGCACACGGTTGAACATATCACCAGGGTTCTTGAAGGACTGCCCCTCGGGCATGTTGGCCAAGGAGGAGTTCCAAAAAATATATCGACAATTCTTCCCTTTTGGCGACCCGAATTCCTTCGCCGATTACGTTTTCAAGGTCTTTGATGCGGATAAGAGCGGGACCATTGATTTCAAGGAGTTCATATGCGCGCTTAGTGTGACTAGTCGGGGTAAAATGGAAGACAAATTGGACTGGGCGTTTCAACTCTATGATATCGATGGCGACGGAAAAATCAGCTATGACGAGATGCTAGCGATCGTGGAAGCTATCTACAAAATGGTAAGTCCCTATGCCAGCTTGGGGAGGATTTTGGCTGACAAACATACCTTAGGTGGGTTCCATGGTGAAACTTCCAGAAGACGAGGATACGCCGGAGAAAAGAGTAAGGAAAATATTTAGAATGATGGACAAGGACGAAAACGGCAGCCTTGATATGGCTGAATTCAAGGAGGGAAGCAAAAGGGATGAGACAATTGTTTCGGCCCTTTCGTTGTACGACGGACTGGTATGATTTGCCACATCTTTTCTTCAGGCCCTGGTGCGCATTTGGAACGCACCCATTAAGAAGGCGTCTGAGTTTTATGCCTTGGTTGAACAGACGGCCGTTTGTTGATGTCGGAGTGGATGTTGGAGTTGATTTGAAAAATCCGAGAAACAACGACAGGAGCGTTGACGGAGAAATCGAACCGGCGGACCTCCTTGCTAGGACGGTATGTGGATATCGCTATGGTGGACTTGTCCCAAGATCAGAACTATGATACGAACTTCATACATATTCATTTTTGGCAAAGAGATTCTCTAACCTATCCGATCATAATTCTGTTTGGGACGAACCTGAGAACGTTCGAAGTTCTGCCTTAGGAACATCCCTGAGATCCCCATGGGAACTCTCTGCTCCGTGAGTTCATGTATCCATCTCAGAGCCGAGAGAGCGTCTCTGATGGAAATGACGGCCATGCTGGGATCCACAACGAAGGGTGAAATATCTCGGAGTTACTGTCTCCAATATTGGACCATTGAATCTGAGTCGAACTATGAACTTCGTCATCAATTCAGCCGGTCAGAACCATATTCACGTCGATCACAGCAAGGACCATCCCTTGGCGAGAAAAATGTCTCTTTCAATCCTCGCTGGCTCAAGTATGAGTGTAACATCTCACGTCACAGCCTGTGGTGTGAGATGTTGTCTCAGCACGATCTTTGATAATAACGAGAGATTCTGTGGCTGGACCAATCCATCGCATAGTCCTGTGGAGGAGGAGGAAGTCAACCGTTCAAACTGTAGCATGGCAAGGCTGTATCCCGCGTGAACATGGGGCAGCTTAGCGGAGAAAGTTGAATTTTCACTAGTACTGATTCGGCCAAAACCGAGCTGTCTGAATGAAAAGCAGGTTCCCATCCAGCCCAACCCAACGAAGAGATACTTCTCTCCACGTTCAACACTGACCATAAAAACTATGTGGTGTCTTTTCAGCAGATGAAACTGACACTCATTGCCATCGCAGACCACAATAAACCTGTCACAGATCGAAAGCGGCTGCCGGGGTTATGATGAGTTGGAGGTGACGCGGTGCTTCTCCACGCAGACTCTGGCTCGGATCGTTCACACTATTTTGCATTTCTCCTACCCGCGAGAACAGTGCGACTGGAGGCAATAGCTGGTTTCACCCATGGCGCCTTTACTCTCCTCTACACTTTTATGCACTCTCCTCCTTCAGCAGGCGGCGGCTTTCTATCTCCCTGGAGTCGCGCCATCTTCCTACTCTGCCGGCGACCGAGTTCCTTTGACCGTCAATGCACTGACGCCTTCGATTTCACGGCATGACGAGCAAATCCATGCCGTGGTCGCCTACGACTACTATCACCCAGCCTTCCGCTTCTGCCGACCTGAAGAAGGGCCACAACGGGTTCGAGAGTCTCTCGGCAGCATCATCTTTGGAGATCGGATACAAACATCACCTTTCGAATTACGGATGGGACAGAATGAGACGTGCAAAGTCGCTTGCGAAGGCAGAAAATTTGACGACAAGGCTGCGACCTTCGTGAACTCCAGGATTGAGGAGGCATACAGTGTCAACCTGCTTGTCGACGGATTGCCCGCCGCGGAACTCAGGGAAGATCCACTCACCCACGAACGATTCTCCAGCCCCGGCTTTCCTCTGGGCAAAGTGAAAGAGGATGGGACCAAGATTTTACATAATCATTGGGACATCATCATTGACTACCACAAAGCTGGGATCCGAGGAATGAAATACCGTGTGGTTGGCGTCCTGGTTCAGCCACAGTCATATGCGGATACTAAATTTCTGGCGGATGGTAAGGCCGAGTGTGCTTTCAACTCCGGACCGGTCACGCTGCGTGAAGGACAGGAGACGTCGGTCACTTACACGTATAGCGTTTACTGGCGTCCATCCGACACAGCTTGGGCTACTCGATGGGACAAATATCTCCACATCATCGATCCCAAAATCCACTGGTTCTCTCTCATCAACTCCACCATTTTTGTCATCTTTTTGGTCGGTATGGTCAGTACCGTCTTGGTGAGGACCCTCCGCAAAGACATTGCCCGATACAATCGACTGGATAACATCAACCTTGACGATCTTTCGGGCACATCTGCTGTTGATGACGACATTCAAGAGGATTCGGGTTGGAAGCTGGTGCACGGCGACGTCTTTCGCAGCCCTCGTTATGCCCTTCTCTTGAGCGTGCTGCTCGGCAATGGCGCTCAACTCTTTGTCATGACTGCAGCAACGGTTGCATTTGCCATGCTAGGCTTCCTGTCACCGTCAAATCGTGGCTGGCTTACCTCAGTCAGCCTATTACTTTATAGTGTGTTCGGTTGCATTGGTGGCTATGTGTCCGCCCGCGCGTACAAGAGCTTTGGCGGGGAGAAGTGGAAACTCAACATCGCGTCGACCCCGGTCTTCATTCCCGGCATTGTGTTCAGCACATTCTTCCTTCTCAACCTCTTTGTCTGGGCCAAAGGATCAAGCGGGGCGGTTCCATTCACCACGATGGTGGCAATTATTGCAATTTGGTTCTTGATCAGCGTGCCTTTGAGTGTAGCGGGATCGTGGTACGGATTCCGGCAGCCGGCCATCGAAGCACCCACGCGGATCAACCAGATTCCTCGACAGATACCACCAGTCGCAACATCGCTCCGACCTTTGCCATCACTTCTTCTCACCGGGATTTTACCATTCTGCGCCATCTTCGTGGAGTTGTATTTCATCATGACATCGCTATGGACGAGTAAGATTTACTACATGTTTGGGTTTCTATTCATTTGCTATGGGTTGATGGTGTTGACATGCGCATGCACGACAATCTTGCTGGTCTACTTCCTGCTCTGCGCTGAAGACTACCGCTGGCAATGGAGGGCGTTCTGTGGGGCTGGAATGACGGGAGGTTATGTCTTTCTGAATGCTTTGGGATTCTGGGCGACTCGACTCACCTTTGGAGGACTGACGGGAGCCGTGCTTTACGTGGGATACTCTGCTCTCATCAGCTTCCTCATGTTTGTCCTCACAGGCATGTCCTTGCTGACCAATAATCAACAGTGGATAGCTGGCTGACTTTGAAAAATAGGCACGATTGGGTTTGGCGCATCCTACGCTTTTGTTCATCGGATCTACGGATCCATCAAAGTCGACTGAAATATTCCTGATGTAGATTTTCAAGAAGCTAATTGCAAGGATCGGAGTCACGGGAAAATGGAGGGAAAGCATTTGGAGGAAAAAGTGATGATACGACGGCGATTTTGTTCATCGAAGCATTTTGTGCAAAGTACTACTGGTACAGGCGTCATTTATTCTCTACGTCGATGACAGATTGCCAACTCTTCGGTGCAAATGCAAATGTCAAAACCTGATGGGCAGAGCCTATACAGAGGTATCTTGTGAAGTCAGTGGCAACCGAGAACTAGTCGTCTGGTGTCTTGAAATGGTGTTTCACGTTGTCAACCACACCACGAAATCGGTTGGAGATGGGGTGAGGATTTGAGTTAAGCGGCTCAAAATGAAACGGCCCGTCAACCGAAAGAAGATCAGCACGAGACAGGTGTGATCGTCAAAATATTTTTCATGTCGCGTATGCAGGGAATATGGGTGGTTGAGCCCGTATCATTTAACCCCCGGCAGTTTATGGGCAATGATGAATGTGGGGATCGTGTCTTTCCTCAACCAGACGGTATATTTGAATCTAGGAGCCGAAGTAGGCAAGTGAGTGGATGGGTGGACGGATTATGAGGATATTGAGTCAGCGAGACATGCAGTAAATGGAGAAGATGGGGCCGGTTGCGTAGTGCACAGATGAGCCGGAGAGGGCGGCTCTAGGTGGTAGTTGAACAGGTAGCATTCCGGCTAGGTACAGACTAGTAGTATACAGAAGAAATAGCCTTCTTGATATGAATATTGCAGTCCGGCAATGGTGCGGCTCAGCAGGATTAACCAGATCCTGATCTCTGGGTCAAATGCGCCGTATCAGCATGAATAGTGGCAGCTGCTGTCTCAGGGTATTCTGGTAACAGACCTGATCGTGTTGGTAGTACTCGGTTCGACCAGTCCGCAATTCTACAGAGGTGCACCTGTCAGGCCAAAAAGGAAACAACGACGTCATCGTGCGTTCACCCGCCAAAAAGCCACCTGCGCAGGACGCACCCACAAGAGAGGGCCGCCTCAGGACCAAGTCTGGAAGCCTCTCTTCTCTGGAGTCTTTACAATGCAACTGCGTTCATCCTCCAGAGGCCAGTCCAGTCCAGTTCAGCCCTGTTCGCGTTGGCCTCTTCCTTCTCAACGCTCTGGTTCTGGCACTGCTATCACTGACATTCTATCGCATCATCCTCCCTCCCTATTGCCAACTGCTGGTAGTTTACCACACCATCCACACCACATCAACGCCTTCCATCCTCCGTCCTTTAACCCTCATCCATCCTCGAACCGACCTCCAAACCTCCAGACGACGCCTAACATCCAGTCATTCCCTCCGCCGTCCACTTACAGGACTCGCCCTCCCTCGTTGGTGTCGCGGCTATATCAACACCCGAACTGCGTGCGCGCCCATTTGTCCTGACTTGATTGTGCTCAATCGCTCACTTCACCCACGGCCAAAGCCATCGTCGTGCAGTCTGTTGGAATTGGTCGCGGTACATTCGCGAGAGAGACTACCCGCATACACCCTGTCATTTCCCTCTTTCCGCCCGGTGCCCGGAAAGGAGCCATATTCTAGTGCCGTATATTATCAATCTACGCTTTGGGTTTTCACATTCTCTTTGACTACCAGGCCTGCCGACACCCGTCACCCTTCTCCTCCATGACTACCTTCCGATTGATTCCAGGTTGCAGACACCGAAGTTGGACGATCGAGTGTCTGCATCCACGATGAAGTCGACCAAGTCCTCGCGTGTCAGCCTCCCACACCGTGGCCGCTCCTCACGGACCGTCGAGAGCCATGGGTCCACCTCGCCAACCAGACCAGCACGGGCTGAAGATGATACTATGTCAGAAGCCAGAACGAGCCATGGCATATCTACTTCAGCCCCGCCTCTCGTCCACAGCCAGGTCACCAATGTCTGGGTACGAGAGTCTTCTGGTGGTATCGAAGCTATGCGACGCAAGATGAGTGCTGCTCTTGCCCATAAGCAACAAATGCGAGTCGCCGCGTCGCGAGCCTCTCCAGATGCCGCAAAACAAGGCGATCAATCAGAACCTCCGGCATCTCTTCTCCATACCGAGTCCAGTTCTGATGAATCCGTTAACACAGGCACTCTTTCAACAGATTCCGCAGCGACAGTCAAAGCAGCTTTTGACATGACACCTGGCGCTGTCCGGACACCCTCATATCCTTTTCCTCGCATGGCTATGAGACTCCGTCGTGGTATAAGCCAACGTTCAGGCCCATCGCACAAACCTTTCACCCTGCTGTCTCCGACCAACGAGCCGCTTCTTGGAACCGATAACCCGCTGCAGCCAAAGCTCCAGCCGGTCACATCCTCCTCGGATCTCAGGACACGTTTGGGCCAGACGCCCATGAGCCCCGGATTTCCCGAAGATCCTAATTTCCCTACCCCAGATCTATATGATCTGATCCTTATGTTAAACGCCGAACCGGGTCTGGACATGTGGTGGCCGAATGTGACGGAGATTCTCTCCGAGGTGTATGGCGCTGAACGGGCATCCCTGGCGGTTCCTGGTGACATCACCGATCTAGAAAATGTGCCATGGGCCCAGAAGGCTACCTACGACATATATGGTAGCGATGGAGTGCCTCCTTCCCAACCGGAGTCGCTGACTGCATCAGAGGTTGATTCCAGCTCCGTAGGAAGACGACCGGAACCTTTAAGTCGAATGCCGAGTGATGCTAGTACAATCCCGGTCCCTCGACCTCCTCTCCAGTCCAGACACTCGATTGCTGGCCCAGCGCCCGATTCCTCCATCCGTGGTGCACGGCAGAGACCTGCGGGGCCTGTCCGTGCCTATAGCACCGCGACCAAGGAACGGAATGAGGAGATTTCAATACCTTCGCCAATATTACCCCGGCCGACCAAACAGGCGGCCACTCCCCGGTCCGTATCTGCAGCTGAGTCGGACACGCTCATGTTTAAAGGACAGTTCAATTCTGCTGGCTCTGCACCTTCCAAACTTCGGTGTCATGTCCATCGTACAATTCAGCCGCTGGAAGCGGAACCAGACCCTTTGCTGGTCCGCACCGGAGTCTCGCCTCTCTTTGGGAAGAGGAAGCCCATTGTTTTAACAAGAGCATATTCGGAACATGCCCCAAAGCACCCGTCGAAGACAAAAGGCGGGGAGGATGATCGAAGTGTACCACCTACTCCATCTGGAGGAGTTGTTGATGACCGAAAGACTCCTAGACTCGAAGAGATTCAACCACCATCACGTCCTGTTTGCGCCTTTGATGAGTTTGAGCAACCGGAGCCCTCCCCGTGGTCGCAGAGTCCCTCGCCTTCACCCGCTGCACGTCCCGACCCAGCGGAGTCACCTTTCTTCGCACAACCAACTGCATCGATAGACGAGACCGCGTTTGAGCCAAATCCTCCCACATATAACTATGCCACCACGGCGAACCAGCCCTTAAGTGCAATTGGGGCCGATATGTCGAAGACTCTGATTCACATTCCATTGATACAGCCGGTTCTTACCAGAGGCACTCTGGCATCGAATTTACGGTTTCCAATAGCCATCCTCTCGTTTTTGTCCACACTCAATCCATATCCACGAAGTCTACGACGCTCACTGGAGGCCTTATTACCGCACCTGGCAAGCTCATTTTCTCTGGCTCAACAGCATACCTTGCTTCAAGATCACCTGCGCGGCAGCTCAGGAAGTCGTCATGGAGCAGCTTTCGGGCTCGGGGGGACCTTCTCGGACGAAGGTTCTGAACTGGAGTTGGTAGCAGAATTAAGCGGCCAAATCGCGCAAGATAAAGATAAACTGAGGGGATTCAACGTCCAAGAGGGTTCCAGCCCGGGAGCCTTGAAAGAAAGCCCGCCCAGTTCCGTGGCTAGCACACCGCTCATGGACCGTTTCGGCCTCAGTTCAGGACAGCCACCGACTCCAAGTCGATCGGAAATGATAGATGGTTACTTTTCGGTCCGGAGACAAAGAGCAAGTCAACCACCGCAAACTCCTGGCCCCCGCCCGACGAAAGATGATCCAGACCAAAAGAAACAAACCTCGGAAAAGCCACCCTCCAATGCCAAAGCAACGGGTAAAAAGTCTGCTGGCAGCGCTGGAAAGACACAACCCGATCCCCTGAGCCCAATGGCGATCCGAAGTGCTAGCACTACCTCTGAAGGCGAAATGGGTGATTATTCCTGGACGGCTACATCTTACGACCGAGCGGATCCGAACCTTCGGCGGCACCCTCAACGACGTGAAAGCCAGGGCAGAGATGATGGAGAAAGACCGCTGCCCGAGCTAATATCGTCTTTGATGTTGAATGCGGTACCACTCCAATTGTTCCTCGCCAAACCCGGAACTGGAGACTTGGTATGGACAAATCGCAAATTTGACGCGTTCCGGAGCCAGGGGGAGGGTCGTGTTCGGGATCCTTGGAAAAATGTTCATGCGGCAGACAGAAATGGTCTGGTGAAATTATGGAATGAGGCCCTCAGAACGGGAAGTCAGTTCACACACTACATCCGGGTGAAGAGATTCAACAGCGACAGTGATTTCAGGTGGTTTGTGTTCCGAACAAGCACTTTACTCAGCAGCAACGGTCGGCTCTTGTATTGGATTGGATCGTTTCTGGACGTGCATGAGCAGTATATGAAAAATCTAGAGGCGAGCGAAAGGGAAGCAATCATGGCTCGTGATACCAAAATTCGGGCGTTAGCGGACGCGATCCCCCAAATTTTATTCGAAGCTATCGAGGGAGACGGCATTGTGGCTGTCAATCAGCAGTGGCATTCATATTCGGGTCAGACTCTGGACGATGCTCGAGGACTAGGGTTTGCGAAACACGTTCACCGTGATGACCTGCACAAATGTGGTATTTTGTCTCCATCGGACGTGGCGGCGATTGCGAGATCATCAACGGCCAATCATCGGGCCGATACTGCCAATGAGTCGAGCAGAACCGTTGCGCCTCCTCTGCCTACCCAAAAGAACCTCTTCTCCCCCGATTTGACCTCACTGGACCGCATGATCAAGCAGGGTTCGGTGATGGTGGAAAAGGATGAGAATGGCCGCTTGTCCTATCTGACCGAGATTCGATTAAGGTCAAAGGGTGGGGAGTATCGATGGTTCCTGGTACGACTCGTCCGAGTCGACACGGGATCATGGCAGAGCCAAAGCGGACGTGCATCCTGGTACGGTACTTGTACCGACATCGAGACCCGTAAAGCCCTTGAACGAGAACTCAATCAGGCCAATGAGAAAGTCCATTCGGAAATGGAGTCCAAGACCAAATTCTTTGCCAATATGTCCCACGAGATTCGAACACCCCTGAACGGTATCCTCGGAAGTATGCCCTGGCTAGTTGAGTCGGAGCTGGACCATGATCAAAGGCGGACAGTCGACACCATCCAGAATAGCGCGAACAACCTCCGAGAGCTCGTGGACAATATTTTGGATGTGACCAAGGTTGAGGCCGGAAAGATGACGCTGCTTCCAAAATGGTTTCACGTTCGAACTCTCTGCGAAGAGGTGGTGGACACGGTGTCGTCAAGGGCTATCGAACGTGGCCTGGAACTAAACTATTCCCTTGAAGCAAACGTTCCTTCGATGGTAAAGGGCGATGCTTTCAGAGTGCGGCAAGTCCTCCTCAATCTCCTGGGCAATTCCGTCAAATTCACGGAGCAAGGCGAAGTGTACATGCGGTGCTCACTTCGAGAGGCTCCTCCAGCGAGTCCGAAACCAGAGGGCATGAACTCGGCTCTTCTTGCATTTGATGTCGTTGATACCGGGCGCGGATTCAATGCAAACGACTTCGAACGATTATTCAAGCAATTCGGCCAGGTTGGCGGAGCGAGCAATCATGAAGCAGGCTCCGGGTTGGGCCTTTTCCTCTCGAAACAACTGGTGGAAATGCATGGAGGTGAATTGTCTGTGAAAAGCAAAGCAGGTGAAGGTTCCACCTTCAGCTTTCACGTCAAGGTAGAGGTCGCCCCTCCCGGCTCCGAGATTAGCTCTCCTCCCATCATCGCAAGACCGGGGCGGCAGAGGTCTTTACAAGCCATATCTGGAAGTTTGCTCTCACGATCAAATCAGAAAGTGCCATCCGTCGCTTCCGCCCGAGGCGTGTTGCCATCGGAGGGGATTATTCAGAGTCCCGGACTGTCCAGATACGTCAGCCCTCCTGACCGTCGATCGCCTTCCGTGCCCTCACCGACGGTATCATCACCGGCAGTGGTCTCGCCACCTGTCCTACCTTCTGACAGATCTGGGTTGTCAATGCGATCGGATTCGGCCCAGATCCTAGGTACGTCAACCGTTTCTTCGCTAGTTCCTACTCCTGAATCGGTCCCATCCGGCGATATCAGCATCGCCACGAGCGATCGGCCAGTGTTGTCGGAGAAAGTCATGTCGGCACACCCTATCTTCCGACGGAGCAAAAGTGACAACGACGGCAGCGGTTTGGCCCCGGAAATGGCACATCCGCAGACGTACTCGATTATCATTATTTGCTCGGCTGAGCACGCGCGGGCCGCCATCAAGCAGCACATTGAGCATGTGATACCGTATCAGATTGCCGCGAATGTGACGACGATACCGAGTATTGGGGACTTCCTGACCCTCATGAATGGTCCCTCCTCGCCAACATTCACTCACATTGTCTTGGATATTCCCACCTCCGACGTTATGCTATTTATGAGACAGATGGCAACTTACACGCCCCCCGTGACTCCCGCTCTGGTGGTGATCACGGACCACTACCAGAAGCGTGACATCTTGGAAGACTTTACGATGCTGACCAGCAGGGGACGCAAAGCATATTTGATCCATAAACCTGTCAAGCCTTCGGTGTTTGCCATGATTTTTGACCCCGCGCAATTACGAAATTTGAGCAAGGATCGAGCACGAGAAGTTGCCCAGTCCAGCTCTGACGACTTTAAGCACATGGCAAAGCTGGTCAAGGACAAAGTCGGAGACAAGCAGTACCGGGTGTTGCTGGTGGAAGATAGTGACGTCAATCGGATGGTGATCCAACGATATCTCAAGAAGGTGGCGTTGGAGAATGAATGCGCCAAAGACGGCCAGCAGTGCGTGGAGATGGTGCAGGGCAAAGTGCCCGGATATTATTCCCTGATCATCTGTGATATTCAGATGCCGATCAAGAATGGGTACGAGGCCTGTACAGAAATCCGAGACTGGGAAAGCCGTCACGGGTACCGTCCTTCGCCTATCATGGCCTTGACAGCAAATGCCATGCCTGAAGAACGAGCCGCGGCAGCCAATGCGGGATTCACCGACTATCTAACCAAACCGGTCGATTTCAATGTGTTGGGGACCATGATGATGACGCTACTAGATCCAAGCGTACCACACGTGTTCCTACGTGATAGGCCTCTGGAATCTTGAGTCCCGTCGGGTAAAGATTGACAGTGGAAGAAAGGTGCAGCACGAACAGGAAGAGGTATGGCAGCCGAATAGGCCCGAAAGGTTGGGCAAATTTTTGCAGGATGTTTTATGAGAGCTGGCGTTCTAAATGTAATGATGGCTTTTTATGTCTGCATTGTTGCCGTCGACCACGACAGGCAGAACGGGCGAGGCTCCATTTTCATTTTCACGGAGGAGTGATGCATCAACCAAAAGGATTTGGGGGAAGGGGGTGTAAGGTAACAGGGGTACGACGATAATGCATTGGGATTGTGACATGAACATTGGGGAAAGAATGGGAAGGGGAGTTGTTTTTCTCGATACGTCCAACCAAAAAGGGGGGGGGTTTTCATGTTGATGAGAAATGATCCATCAATGGCACGGCATGGCATACCTGGGACAGAGTGAACTGGATGAAAATGGATTAGGACTGCTGTTTGCTGGCAAGGCGGTCTCTCAAACATGCACGGCCGGTAGGGTTGAGTCCAAGCTGGTGTCTATGGAGAAAGTTGAAGTTTGGCCGGGGGATGGGCATGGATGCATTGTAAAGTATAGCAACTAGAGGACTAGTACGTAATGTATGAATTGCTGAGAGTGAAATGAGTGGTATCGTCGTCATTTATCTTCTTCGATGCCTTCCCTCTATTGCCAGCGGTGATAGTTTATTGTCGAGGTCGTTGTGACAGAGCCTGCTCCCAGCTGAGTTTGAAATGCCAAGCCTTAGAACACCCCGAGGCGCCCATCAGCCCGTGGTGATAGGTGGTGTGGGAGTGGGCGATAGGCGGTGGGTAACCGAAGTCTGGAAGACTGGGACATACCCCCTCAACCTGCAGAGTTTTGCCTCCCACTGGCAGCCTCTCTCCCACTCACGGGCTGCCTTCCATCACCACCACCAACCACCGCGCTCGCCATCCGCTGGCTGCGCTCCTCTCAGTTGCCCTCAATCCAAAACCCTCCCACACAATCCATCCAATAGGCCAGGCGCCCATTTCAAAACATGCACAGCAAAATGCTTCACCTCAACGCTCTTCTTCATCCTCATCAAAGTAATTAACATTCTCTGTTTCAAAAGCCAGGCGCCTCTCGTTCTCGGTTCCCCTCAGCCTCCATCTTCCGTAATCTTTTACCGCCCACTCCTTGCTGCCGAGCTATCCCCCCCCCCCCAAAACAACCCACGTTCCACACCCTCAATCACAAACTCACCCACACCTACATCCACGCTTGACCTTTTCCTGACCGACCTTCTTGCTGCTTCAGCCTTTCGGTCAATCCAAACCCCTAGCTCCTCGATCCTCATTCCTCTATCCTCAAATCCTTGTCCGCAACCAGAGCGGGAAAAGGAAAAAAAAAACACCTCATGCCCATCGCCCAACCCTCTCCCGCCAACAAGCCTCAGAATTGAATCCACAATCTCCTCTGATCTTTCCATCCTCAATCTCTCCCTCTCCGAGGCTCTGCAAAGAGGAGAACCAAAAAAAAGAAAAGAAAAAAATAATAATGATCTCCTGTCCCTATTGGCTGCCTCCGAACCACCGCCCTCCGAAATCCCCCTGTTCACTACAATCACAATCATGCTCCGTACTCGCTCCTTGAACAGCCACTCCCGTCCGTCGTCTCGCTTCTAGATCCCGCGACTAAGGAATCTCAAGACATGGCAAAATGCCCTCGTGGATCCAATGATCGACCTCTGCCTCCTTTTTTTTTTCCCTCGCTGACTCGCCGCCAGCTGAGACTACTCATCCCACCCGCTGGCTTCATGCTGCCGCTTTGTCAAGGAGGGCCACTCTCCGCTCTCTTTGGTCCCTTTCCTCCAGCATTTTGCCTCGGTCTGCCGGGCGGAAGGTCACGGACGGAGCCGACCCTGCCTCGCCCGCTTCGTCACAATGGTCCTACCCTTCTGCTCATCCTGCTTTCAAAGCGGGGTCAGTGGCTCTCGATGACACCACGGTCTCCCTCGAATTGAAATCATATTGGCCCACCGTCAGGTAGGTGTGAGCTGGCAATCTGCCCCCTGCAACGAGAGTAGCGCCCGGATTTGCCTATAAAAGGATGTTCATCTGTCCCGGAGGTCCTCCCTCCTCCTTCTTCCTTTCTTATCACTCATCTTCAGAGTTTGACAAAGATCCCAAGTCCCTCAAGCCCCCCAGTCTCATTCAGCCCAGGCCCAACCACCCCTTAGTCCTGTCTTGACTTGTCTTTGACTATTCCTATCCCCATTGATTCATCTTGCTCATTGTCAGAATGGCCACCCACGTGTCTCGTCATCCCACCAGCTATGCTACCAATCATAAGGCCCTCCCCATCATCATGCCACCCAAGACCTCTTCCTACAGCTTGCCGGTCTCAAGAGTGGCCATATCACCCCCAGAGTTGTCCGACACCGGCACCACCTACGACGGAAGCCGTACATCGGCTGGCTCTTATTCCGCCAGATCCAGCAACTACGCCCCAAGCCACAGCAGTGGCGATTATGACTCTTGCAACTCTCAATCCGGCGTGGATGTCGTTGACATGCTTGCCGACAAAATGAACGGCGCCTTCGATCCCATTCGAATGGACCGATCACTGGCGAGCCAGGCGCAAACGTGAGTGCTCCAGCACGAATTGCGAGATAACGGCTAACGGCCAATAGATCTGGCCAACTCAATGCCACCCAACGGGAATTGCAAGAGTTGCAAGCCATGGCTCAACGAAGACTGAAAGGTGCCAGAGTCAATTTCGCAGAGGGCGTGGAAGCGGCACGAGAGGCCCGCAGAGATGTTGAATACACGTCCAAGAAAATCGCGTAAGTCACAAAAACAAGGCTCCGAGCCCCTTTCTCGGCTTGAGTAGCCGAACACGACTAAACTTTTCTTCCCAGAGCGATGAAAACCAAGGCTGAAAGGAAACACCCTGATGCGTATGCGAAAGCCAGTCGCAGCCGCCATGCTTGAAGTCCTTGAGCACAACGATTGACGAGTTTACGATTTTCCTTGATCTTCATCGCTGAACGAATTTCCTATCCGTCCAGGTTCTCCGGAGGCACTTTCTCTTTTCCCGTGCGGGTTGCAGGGGATGAATTTTCCAGCCAAAAGCATTTCCAGCCAAACCTTTGGACGACGTCTAATAGCAGCAAATCAGCTTTCATCATCAACATCGAACAATCATTCGTCGGGAAGGTCAAAGGCAGCCTTGGCAGCAGTCCGCCGGTTGTCGTTGACGTGGCAGTGATTTTAGGTTCCGCTCCACCCCACGGATTGGGCCAAGTTTCTTGCTGCTTTTGCCCCGCAGCCTGTGCAGGAGATGGCGTGCATGACGCCAGTCCATTTCTGCGCCAGAAATGACACTGCCGAATGGCACCGCAGCGATCGACTGTGCAGCGACCGACCCAGCAACCGGCGCGGGTGCCACACGAGCCCCATGCAGGTACGCTTACCATTTTCACTCGTTTGGTACGACTTCCCAGATGCGTTGATTGGGTGACAAGGCCCCCAGGCCACATTTCTGCTCGTTTGCAGCCCTCAGTCACAAGACCTTGAGATCTGCAGGTGCTGAAGCTGCAGATGGTGTGGAGATTTTGGTGCACTGGCTAAGCCACTTTGGGCTTTGGGCTTTTTTTTGGAGGTGTGAAGAAAGATGGGCGTGGGAAAGAGTTGGATGATGATTTGGACCTGGCAAGACCCGGTTCTGAATTTCCCTGGCGAGGACGCAGACGATTTCATTCGTTACCTTTGTCCTCCGTGGCTGGACTGGGAGGGGTCTTTTTGGTTGGCCGGCTTTCCCCCTTTTCTCCCTTTCCCATTTTGTATTTCCTATTCTACTTGAGTCCCAGGTACTTTCATCACAATAAAAGGAAAATTCCCATCTTGGCCGGCCTCGGCGTTTAATATCCAGGTAATGAGGAGATTTGTCAGGGGGGCTGGCTCTTCACGCTCCAGGTTATCCCTTGTAAAGGGGCTCTGTAGGGAGGGGTGTTGATGTCCCCCATGCCCTCTTAGGGATCATGTAGTGCGTGTTTAAAGGCTTTCACAGTGATGGGAGAGTAGATTGGTCCCCTAAACTTTACTGCAGTGCACCCTGTAGTGTCCCTGAGACGCACATTTCCAGGGCATTGTTTACTTATATCAAGACACCTTGTTCCTTGTGGTGCTCTCGTCCATAGCATGCTTATTCTTCGTGGGGTTTGGTGAAGACAATTCCCTACAGCGATTGTCTTTGAAGTTGTAACTTTAATTTGGGCGGAGCACAATCTTCGAACTTTCCTCCCTTCAATGTCCCTACCCAACTTGTCTTCCTCGTTCCTCTAATGGAATCTCGCCCATGCAGAGAGCCTTGATATCGACGACGCTCCCCTCCATTCTCAGCGGTTACCAAGAGCTCTTTCTTCTCGGCCCCGGCTGTTCCTGGTCTTCAACAATTGTTCTCAGTTTCAAATGAACATCGAGCTTCATCCTGGCTCAGTCTCAGGATCAACCTTACCAGCCTCATATCTCATCCTCCCAGGACCCTCGCTCCAGTTCCTTGCCCCAGTTCCTCGCCCCAGTTGGTTAGGTAGTCCATACTTCCTAGATCTGGAACTTCATTTCCACAGGCTGTCATGAACTCAGAGCAAATGCCCGGACCTCCTCGCTTGCTTTCCCATGCTCTTTTTCCTTTTGCCGCTACCTATTCTGACCTGGTTGAATCCTTTGGACCAAGAGTAGTGGACGATCTTTCTAGATTAGTACGGCTCGTTTGCTTTGCTTGAAAAGTCTCCATTCTCCCCTTCCCCCTTCGTCTTCCTCCTTCCTCTTTTTATGATCATGATGTTTCAAGTTGGCTCAGTAGTCGTGCTGAAGAAAAGACTTGTCGAACAGCTGCTAGCAGCTAGGCTCTCTGACTGGACTGATAGGTCTGGTCCGTCCTTGTGTTCTCCTCACTGGGGGCTTGGTGGCTTGCGTGAATATAGTGACTATCTGCAGGAACCTTCGGGGTCCTTGAGATGAGAGGAAAAGAGTAAGGACAAGGATCAGGGCAAAGGTGAGTGAACCTAGGATGGGATCGAGAGTTTGGTTGTCGACAAGAGGAGAAAGACAGTGAAGGAAATGAGGATAGAGGTAAAGAAAAACGAAAAGCGGAGATTGAAATTCTTACCTCATTGGAGCGAAGGACGCTGTAAAAACCATGAATACAGTAGTATGGATTGCATGAGGGCGGAGAGAATCGAGTATCACGGACTCGCACTTGTACACTATGCTGTGCTGTGCCGTGTTGCTATACTTGGCCCTGAGTTCGTCCCCTTTCCCTCAGTGTTCTATGTCTCGTGCATGGAGACGATCTTGATATCCTATTGTCCCGCATCCTTCTCTAGTTCATCGAAGTGGAGTTTGTCTCTTGGTCCTTTCACGCCCATCCACATATTCATGTCTGAAATACTGCTTTTCATTGGAACGAAGGGAAGCCATCATCAAGCATAAAGAAAAAGAAAAAGCTTCTTCCCATCATTTCCAACCCACATCATCCCTCACTCACCTCCTTGTCCTTGCCTCGGTTCCTTGCCCAAGGGTCAATCGAGACAAAGCCGGGTTTGAAGTACACTGTGTCGCCGTTTGCGTTGACTTTGCCACGTGCCCATTCCTCCAGGTCTGTACGCGTGTAGTATGTGTTGCTCACTGGCGACGTGAATACGTATGCCAGCGAGGTTGCGGTCGTTAAGGTAGTTTTGGAAGAAAGCGTGGGTGAGGACTGCGTCCGAAATTTGGTTGTGGATGAGGACTCGTTGGGAGAACTGTCTATGTTTGTGGCTGTGGTTTTGTCTGTTTGCTTGTTGGTGGTCGTGGCTGTGTTTGATTGTTGGAATGAGCTGTCTGCTTTAAGGTCAGAAACGGATTTGATGCAATAATGCAAGGGAGAGAAGTAGATGATAGATTATGTGGAGGAGTTGCCAGCGAATAACCGACGAGACGGAGATCCTTTTGTCAACACATGATGAATGTAACTCGCTTTGAGAAGCCAAGGTTTGCAGGAACGCGTATTTCTCAACTCCTCCCATATCGTCCTTCATCATAGACAAGCTTTCGTGTCTTTACGTGACAAGGAGATATCTTCATATTTGAGGACGGGGCTCGTCTACTCACCAGGCTGAGCTTTGGGACGTCGAGTGGAGAAGGAACTGAATCCCATTTCTTCTCGCATTGCCGCCTCGGCATCAAAGTCGAAAGATTCATCGTCGTCCATGTTGATAGACAATTACAGAGGCTGTTAGTGGGACCAGATGACGTGAAAATTGAGAAGCGAAGAAGAAGAGGCGAGATTGTGAAATGTCAGATGACGTTGTCTGACAGACATATTTCCATGCCTCGTGAGTTTTCCTGTCCTTATCTACTCGTCCTCTCACCCGTATTAGGATGTGATATGTAATAGTGGGACAGGTAGAGGTGAATCCTTTGCCAACGTTTACACGCCTCAGCCATCAATTCGGCCAAATTGCAATTTGCTGGTGCCTGCAACTTACGAATTCCCTCGGCGATTCAAAGACAGCCAACTCGCTCCTGGGCCAAGGTTTCGGATCATTCTTTTCAGGCCAAAGGTGGACTGAAGAGATCTCGCGGAAATATGGATTTATTGCAGTCACCGACTATTTGCCAAATCGAGACTATTCCAAGATTGTTCTATCAGGGTACGCCTCTGCCTCCCTTCCCGTCTGTATACGAACAAGAATATCTGTTGTAGTCATTTCGCTGCGACTTCAACATCTAACTTACAATCCCACAGCAGCGAAAGGATTCTATCAGTTCTCCAACCAAATGAGGCTTCCAGGTCAACAGAACTGACCAACAAAGACGCTGGCATGGAAGGATCGAAGCCTTCTCAGTCTATTGAGCTCAGGAGAATCGACATTGATGATGATTCCTTTGCCGATATTCTCCAACATTTACCAGATGTCTGGGATTGGATTCAAGCCGAACTGGAACAGGGCGCTGAGACACAACATCCTTTTTGAACAGACTCTCTGAAGGAAAGTCCGCAGCAGGCGAGGCGAAGGAGAGTTGGGAGCATGTACAAAAAATGGAACAGTCCCGGAATGAGAAATTGATGAAAGGGGAAGCCGCCACGAGGGAGACTGATGACGCCCGATCGTCCTGAGTCAAATAGCCGCAATCTTCGATTGTTGCTGCGCATGGTAGACAGCCTCAGCGATGATTGAAGTTGAGCTTGTTGTTTGGAGGACCGAGGGTATGCTCAAAATCAACTAGGGGTTCTGTTCAATGCATCAGCACGCATTAAATAGGAGTAATATATATGCGTTACCCCATGCTTATGACTTCTCTTCCACGCAGTATCTTTAAGTTTAAAATAGACTACGGGCCCTTCCGCCAATTCTAATTCTATTCTTAAGTTTAAAGCGCAGCTTACTTTATCAGCTTCACGTTTTGTCATTCGCAAGGACGTGCTTCTCGATTCATTCCGCTTCTTGGGACAAGTGAGCTCCTGCTCGAGGCAGCGATATCCAACGAGCATGGGAAGATCCCAGCATCATGCAGTGTATTTTTCAGAATAGGGTCTTCTCGCAAGGCTACTACCAACCTCTTCATGGGAACAACGTATGAGCTCGATTGCTACTTCATGTCACCATTTCATTCATCGAAATGATAATTCAAATAAATCACTGCCCATCGAGGAAACGTTGAGTTGACGACAGCCAGCACCAGGCATAGCTATGTCCAATCTCTCATTGTGGGACTGGAGTTCAGTTCGTCCGGGACGTCCTGATCCAGCGTCTCGTCCTTATCATCAACATATTGCGGAGTCTTTGATCGAGATGGGTGGACTCATGGCACCATGGTGCCTTGGTAGGACTTTGAATGACATTATCGGCGTTACTAGAGGATTCATGGAAGCCGCAACATCTGACGATGTGCAAGTTCTTACCCTTTTGGTCTGCAGGAGCTTCGGAGCCAGCCTGGCAATGGCTGTTGAGACCTGTCCCAAAGTATCCCAGTTATGCATTCGGGGTCATGAATCTGCCATTCTATCATTCATGAAAGCTTACTGTCGGATGTCGAAAAGGTGACTGCATGGCAGTTGGCGCAAAGTGATGCTGGAGTCCGATTCCTGGGCATTGCAGCTTGCCCGGAGATAATGGGCATGTGGGACGCTACCCAGGTCTTACATGAATTGATATGTGCGATTGCAGTGGACAAAAATACTACTCAGAACGACTTGGTGCCTCGAACAGCTCATGTGAGCGGTCGAATGTCGGCTGACAACTTCTGGGTTTACCGAAAATGCGGTTGGCTGATCAATGTTGTTTAGTGATGATCTCAGGATATCGGTGAACTCGCGAAATAGTTAGTCTATGGCACCCCCGGTCGATGGTGTCGTTGCGCTTGCACCAGCAGTGTGCCGCTCGGGTCGAGTAGGGGAGCAGGTCCGGAGGCTGCAGCCACAGTTAGCCATGCCGCCTAGATCGTGACTTTTTATCAAACGGAGTGTAGGGCAGCCTCCCGCAATCATTTACGAAAAACGTTGGAGTTCCGCATCTCTCAAGTAATGGTCAGATTACTCGAACCCTCCGGAGCGTGTCGGGAACTTGAAATTGACCTTTACGAACAAACCGCCAACATCAAGAACCTCATCATCAAAACAGTCTGCCAAGGCGCCCCCTGCCAAGGCACTAAGCTCCTGGCGAGAAGCAGGCTTTATATCCTGCTTCTCCCACTACATCATTGCTTGGCTCCACAACCGATCGAGTTGATATTACATAGGACTGTCAAGTCCATCAATCCCTCATTGAATCACATTTGCCCTTCTACTCCTTGGCATTCCCTGATATAGTCCCGGAATTTAAAGGGACGGTTCCGATCAGAGCGTTTGGCCAAGCGGAAATTCCGTCAGCCCTTCGTAAATTCTGAGGACCCAATGTACCGAGCATGTGTGGAAACACTTCCCTATGCTTGTTCACAAGTCACTGAGTAGCATTCATTCTCATCTCATGAACCAGCAGCTGCAGGACTGAAAACAGGATTCGCGCCCTGCTGTTACAACGGGCCTAGGGTTCCGGCCCCAGGGTTCCGGCCCCAGCTCTTTCTTCCCAAATTCGATGGCAGCGCCAGTTTTCGAGATCTACCGCCAGTCTAGTCTCTGGCTCGTGGTTGTCGTTATCACAATTACCCCCAAAATTTTACCCAAGAACGAGGTATGCTTAATTGGATCGTTCATACGTTGCCTGAGTGAGTGCATTGCTCAAGCGTTGATTCTTTCACTCCTTAACCTGTCAATCCGGGGCAGAGTGCAGCTGCTCTTCGGCTCTAGAGCCCGTTCTATTGTCACCAGCATTAGGAAACTACTTTCCGACTCTTGGAATCATTTCGCCGACCCCAATCTTCTCAATGTCGATGCTCTTCTTAGCGCCACCGCCTTACTCCGAGTGACATCAGCCTCCCAACTGGGTTACGTTCTCGCAACATGGACAAACTGTGTATTCTACGATCCTAGCGGGAGGGACGGACGTTGGGCACTGATCTTTTTGGGGGGGTGGAATGCATTCTAGGAGTTTTGATATGAGAGGATCGACCTTATGACATAATCACCTGTCTGGAGCCGTGTTCGGATAGGAGTGATGCATCATCTCCTAATCCGTTTGGGTAGATGGCAATACTCTTGCTCCAACGGATACCTTTGTGGGAGCCAAACTTCAATGGCGAGTGAAGCTCAATGAGCCTGGACTTTCCCTGACGCTTTCAATGCCGAGCTTCCCAACGTTGCTCTGGGGGTTTGCAAGATCCATTCTCGACAATCTATCCAATGCCCTTTTCGTCCGTTGCATCCGTGATCAGACAGCTCTTCTTGCCGAGCAAGAAGATGGTATCTACATAAAAGCCAATGGCAAAAACCTTTGGACCTGTACAGACGCCCGGTTTTGAGACACGTTGGAATTGTCTAATGTGACCGGAATAAGGCAGTCCGTTTCTCCTTCTTGACAGCATCCCTTTTTCAGTCATTATAATTGATGCCTCTCTGGATTGCTGTTTACAGTGTTGTCGAGCCTTATATCATCTCTTGATTTGCATAACAACTGTCAATCGACTTCGTCAACGGACCTGCTCTACGAAGACAGCTCATTTGTCCGACGAATACAGATACCCTCCAGATAGGAGACAAGACTCTCATGACGGTTTTCCTCGCTATACTCTTTGGTGAGGATATGCGAACTACGATGCCCCGAACCAAAGCATTCGTTTCTGTCAGATCTTATCGATGCGTCTCTAGCACTCTGGCACTGCCAAAACCGTCATGATTGACTCTTCTATTGCCAATACTAGTACAATGCACATCCGTCCCGTTGCTCATTCCGTTTCTGGGACAAATCTTTCCAAGGCTAGGGAACTGAGTTAGATGGGTTTGGAATTCTCATCGCAAGAGCTGACTGAAATTTTGGTTCTGTCTCGATGGGCACATTGAGACAGGTGGCTGTTGCCGCGTGCATCCGGTGACCGGTGGCGGTTTTCAAGCTGGAAACAAATTGTTAAACAGGTTCTTCGCAATTGACGCACTTTTGGGTGTCAATAATACCCTCAACGAAAACGGAACCGCTTCACCAGGACCACAAGTTGTCGCTAGTGCTGGCTGCATCCTCTTCAATTTCGTCACTGGCCTCGTCACTGACATGGTCATCATCACCGATATTTTCATAGTCCTCTTCGAAGACCCTATGCACCCAACGACTCTCTGTCAAGCTGTAGTACTCGTCTTCCTCCATCGCATCTAGCCATCTTTCAATTACAATCCACTCTGTACTCCTGACCACATCCAGTGACTGCATCCTCAAAATCAACGAGGGGCTGATTTTCCTCTCTCTGCTGCTTCAAACGGGGACACTTGGAGTTTATTGTGTCGAGACACACGCGGCAGGTCCTGGTGTTTTCGTACTCTTCCTCGTGAATCCATCGACGCCGAGGATTCCCTCATTGGAGGGTCTGGAATTCTGATCATCATTAGCGCAGCCTGGTTGCTCTTCCTCTTCCTCTTCATCATCATCGTCATCACCATACTCGCGTCGCATGGGCTCCTTGTCTTTGTCTTGGCCTTGCAGGAGAGCAGGAAGCTTGCAGGATTTCCAAAGAGGAACCGAGATTTACATTTCCCATCGACAATGCTAGTGAGCCTTTCCGTCGTCATCGACTAGGATGTTCATGTCTGTTAGATCGATATGCCAAAGAACAATTTCGTTCAGCTCATTCTTGTCACTTGGAAACATCTTGGGAAGCTTTATCTGGGGTCTCAGCAATATCCTTGGAGAGAACTGTGTCTCTTCAGGGGGGATTCTCATCATATATTCCAGCGTCAGAGACAATATCCCATTGTTCTTTGATGATAATCCCAAGACGCCCCTGAAGCCAGTTAGACATCGGCCCTGTGGAATATCTCGGTCACCACGATTGCCGACAAAGAAATGAAACGATACAAAGCTGCATGGGACGAAACGTTGCTTCTCGTCATCATGTTGTGCGATATCATGATTGGCATTATCGCCAGAAGCTTTGGAATCCACAGATAGATTGGCCATGTGCTCGATGATTGCAGAGATGTACTGAGGTAGGAAGGATATTTAACGCATCGGGATCTTGGATGCATTAAGTATCTTCTCTCAAATCCGGTTGTGGCTTCCGGTTGATGTTGCTCACGCCCTGAAATCTGTTTCTCGGCTTCCAGAACTGCGCCTGATATTCTGCAATGGTTTTGATTAGGTCCTCTTTCGCCTTGAATGACATCTTTCGCCACTGTCGGTACAGCGATTGTTCTGGCATCGGTTCCATGATAATCCTTTCAAAGCCCAGTATATTGTCATTTGAGTCGTCGAACGCGACCATCTGCGGAGCGGGATGATGGTGTTCTGCTGAATCCATCGGATGGTAGCAACTTCGCTCCTAGTTTTGTATTTTGGATCGAGGGGAGTGAGACGCACATTAGGCCGGGTTTCTTGTTGCTGGCACAAGGTTCGATGCGGTAGAGTTTGCTGAGTGCTCCTTTGAAGAAAGTGTTGATTTTGCACGAATCTTCTTTACTCACAGTACAAGTAGAAAGAAAGAGGCGACCCACAAACTTCACGAGACTGAGTGATACCTTGCGTCCGTCTATTTATGGGAAAATACCGAGGATGAACCAAACATGCTTCAAACTGCGCCACGATACCCGGAAAATGTATCATCACAATAATTTTTTTTTGTCACAAGAGACAGACCAGTCCATCAAATTCCAGCCAACATGCTGTTAATGAAGAAAGCTGTCGAGAGTTTCATCGACAGCATCCCAGGACTGCAAGCTTCGCGGTCTGATATTCAATAAGCATAAGCTGCACGGTGATGGAACCTTTGGAGTCGATATGCAATATGTCAGCTGTCTACTGGGCAAGCCCAGGTCTTCGAAGACTAAAGCGTTCTTGATAATATAGAAGGGGCCATTGCGAAGAGCTGCGTGTGCGATACTCAGAAGCATGCCGCCAGTGATTGTGTTCATGATTGAGCCATAAGCCGAGGGTTTTATAATCTGCCCTAAGAGGTGACAGGGATCGTGTTTCAATGCATGGCGAGGAAGCGTCGAGGCCCGAACTGGGGGAGGTACCTCGGCCCCCAGCAAAATTTGTAGGAACCCCTTTGTACCTTGCTTGGTCTTCTTGGGTCCGCCCGGGGCCGAGCATCTGGCGTGCTTGGGCTTGCGTCTGGCCTGCGAATTGTGCTGAGCGAGGCGCAGTCCAGGAGTAGACCACAGAACACAGATGCTGTCGATTTGATCAGAAACTGCAGCACTCGTTGCTGGCTGGATGCATCGACGATAACTCGACTCTGAGTGCGTCCTTCGGGACGTCACTCGAGGTTTCACGCAATCATGGGCGACAAAGATCGTTACGAACACCTGCCCATCCCTACCTATGAAGAGGCCACTTCCTCCCATCCTGTTTCATCACAATCGAGACTTGGACCGGAAGAGATCAGTGACGACGCTGAAAGGCAAGGTCTCCTCCGCCATGGCCTCAGCGGAAACTACCAACCGCCCACCGTCGAATCCGCACGCCCGAGCCTCGACTCGCTGGATGACATTGAACCCGATGGCGAAGACGACGTGCGAAGGGAGATGCAACAGATGGATGTCGAGGATCCTCAAAGTGACTCCGGCTCCAATCGATCCCTCTTGCGATACCGTCTATCCAAGCGCTTCTCCAGTTTTACCAATTCCTTCTCCTCCCTCACCCTCCCTTCCTTCCGTCAATACTTCTCCAACATATCATGGCCGCGGATCAACTACCAGCAACTCGATTCGAATCGCGTCGTCATAATAGGGCGACTTTTCGGTGTATTTTTGATTATGGGAGTCCTCTATGTCCTAATAGCATCAGACGTCTTGTCATTTACAAAGAACAGAATGGGCGTGGGTCAGATGTACGACCCAGAATCCATTCGGATATTCGTACAAAATCACATGAATGATCATGGACATATGCAGAAATATTTGGAGCACATATCTGACTTCCCCCATATCGCCGGGACCGAAGGCAGCTATGTTCTTGGAGAATGGGTCATGGAATTGTTCAAGGCGTCGGAGCTCGAAGACGTGAACATGGAGAGATTCGATGTCTACTTGAATTATCCCAAGAAAGATGGCCGGAGAGTGGCGATCGTGGAACCAGCGGATCTACAATGGGAAGCGAGGGTGGAGGAAGATCAAGAACAAGCCTTCGTCTTTCACGGCCATTCGAAAGCGGGAGATGTGACTGGACCCCTGGTGTACGCCAATTTCGGCTCAAGGGAAGACTTCCAGACTCTGGAGGACAATGGCGTTTCGGTAAAGGATGCCGTTGTTCTCGTCCGATATTACGGTACCGAAGGAGATCGGGCTTTGAAGGTAAAAGCCGCGGAACTCGCGGGGGCTGTTGGTTGCATCATTTACTCGGATCCGTCTCAAGATGGCTTCGTCCAAGGACCAACCTTTCCCAATGGACGATTCATGCCAGAAGATGGCGTTCAAAGAGGTGCCGTCAGTCTCATGTCCTGGGTCGTGGGAGATGTCCTTACCCCAGGATGGGCTTCCACTCCGGCAAACAAGGAGCGTCTTCGGCCCGAGGACAGTCCTGGTCTGAACAAGATACCGTCCATACCCCTTTCATGGAATGATGCAAAACACCTGCTGGAGGCAATCCGGGGGCATGGCAAACAGATGACGGACACTTGGCACGGGGCTCCCGAGACCGAATACTGGACTGGAAACCAGGACTCACCCAAGGTCAACCTCAAGAACTTCCAAGATGAGGAGACGAAACAGTCTATTTACAACGTCATTGGCAAAATCACCGGCTGGGAGCAGCCCCAGAAGAAAGTCATTGTTGGAAATCATCGTGACGCGTGGTGTACTGGTGCGGCTGATCCCGGCAGCGGAACTGCCGTGATGCTTGAAGTCATTCGAATCTTCGGTGAGCTGCGCAGGCTTGGTTGGCGTCCACTTCGCACCATTGAGTTTGCAAGCTGGGACGGAGAAGAGTACAACCTTATAGGCAGTACTGAGCATGTCGAGAGTCGCGAAGAAGAACTTCGCGAAAACGGTGTGGCATATCTCAATGTCGATGTTGGCGTCACCGGCATTGACTTCCACGCATCGGCCTCCCCCCTGTACGAACGAGTGCTCTTCCACGTCTTGGACCGTGTCGGTGATCCCTTCTCCGACCGCTCCATTCGTGATGTCTGGGACAAGAACAATAACCACATTGGAGGTCTGGGCGCAGGGAGCGATTTTGTCGCGTTCCAAGATATTGTGGGCACATCGTCTATCGACATGTTTTTCAAGGGCCAAAGATTCCCATATCATAGCTGTTACGACAACTTCGAATGGATGTCTAAATTCGGAGATCCGGAATGGAAATATCATAAGGCTATGGGTGAAATTTGGGCACTCCTTATCCTTGAGTTGGCCGACAGACCCATGCTCCCGTTCGACATGAATGCATATGCGAAGGCTGTTGTCAAGTACATCAACGACCTGGAGGCGTATGCCAAAGCTGCCCCCACGGCGAACGACCAGAACACCATAGACCTTACACTTTTGCGCAAGTCTTCCGATTTATTCACACGAGAAGCCCAATCTTTCCACCATTTCGACCAGGCCTGGCGCGATTTCGTGTTTGGCTCTGGAGGTTTTGAAAGCACGGCCATGGCAACCGCCCGCGTCGATCACAATGATCGTATGGCCCATTTTGAGACCAATCTTCTCGATCTCAGCGAAGGGGGAGGGCTAACGAATCGTACGCAGTTCAAGCACGTCATTTTCGCCCCTCAGGCTTGGTCGGGGTATGAGGACGCGGATTTCCCGGGGATCCGCGACGCAATTGATGCAGGGCAGTGGAGCGAGGCGCAACATCAAGTCGAGAAGGTCGCCGGAATTTTGGAGACCGCGGCAAAGAAGTTGACTGAATAAGTTCCAAAAAAAAAAAAAAAAAAGAGAGAGAGCAATTGCAGTGGATAAATTCCCGGGAAGAATTTGGATGATGATTCGGATATATTGATCTTCAAGATATTGGCGCTGAGATACAGAAATAGGCGTATCCGAGGTGTTGGGCGATAAACCAGGGTACTTCTGTTACAAGGAATTTCCAATTCAGGGTCAGGGGAACTCAAGCATGGCGAATGAGGATGTCTATCAATGCTAGCTGGTAAACGACCAACCGACCGACCGAGAGAGGGACAGTGAGCGATACGGACACAATCTTCTTTGTACTCATGTTCATGTTGATCTTGGAAACTTTTGAATTGAATATATGCTCTTTTCCATCGCCTATGTAAGCGTCGGCTCCAATGATTTTCACTCTAACGTTTCTCCCTCCTTCCATTTCCCTAAACACTGTGAACAACACACGAACGGACCAGAGCAGGACCAATACGGCATTAAAAGTCCTTCTTAAAGCTCTTGGCCAAGGTCCAGAAATTCTCCATCTTTGCACGACTCAAGATGTCCTTGGCTTGCGCGTCCGTCTCACAGACACGAGCGCCCAACCACTTGCGGAAGTTTCTCTGTTTGGACTCGCCCTTGAAGACCAGTTCGCACTTGTTCAAGCTGAGGTCCTTGAGCTTGCCGTTCTCGTCCTCGGCCTCGAGCCACTTGGCCAAAGCCTCACGATTGCCTTCCTCTACGCGACGCGGCGCTTCCATCTCCTGCCACCGGATCCGGTTTTGCATTAACTTGTCGTAGTTGCGGATCGAGTGTTCGCCGCCTTCGACCACGACGAGGTTCAGCTTCGGATGCATGATCACCACGCCCGTTAGCTTGTTCTGGTCGGCGTTGATCGAGACCTGGTACCGATGTTTGCCGTTCGCGAGGCTGTCGATCTTGTACACTCGCACGTGGATGCCCCGGGCGGCGTCTTCGGCTTGTTGTTGCTCGAGTTTCTCGTGTCGTTGCTCCTTGGTCAACTTGCGTCCTTTGTTCGTGTCCTCGTGCTTTTGTTGGCGTTCGGCGATTTCGCGGTTCACGCGTGCTTCGACGGCCGTGGGGTCTTTGACGGCTTCTTCACCCAGTACACGCATGAGATTGCCCTTTTTGACTTTGGGAGGTGGCGGCGGTTCAAGACCCAGGCGGATTTTGGCTTGTTCTTCCTTCCGGTCGGCCATACGTCGTTGACGGCGTAGTTTGGCTTGTTCCTTGGCAGTGAGGTACATAGGCTTCGGTGCTGGGTTGTTTTTCTCTTGAGGTGGCTCGATGAGAACGGGGTGTTGGATGTAGATTGTGATGATGGAATCCGGGGTGTCGATTTTCAGCTTGGAAGGATCTTCGATCACATCGTAGGATTTTCCATCCACCAGTCCTTCGTCCCACCACTCGATATCTGGAGGAGGCGGCACTAAGAAGGCTTTCTCCGTGTCCAAGTCTTCTTCCAGTCCGGCGTTTCTTCTCCGCTCGGCAATTCTCTTCTTGGTAGCTTCGAGTTGTGCCTGCATCCGCAGCGCGGCTGCCTGCTGCATATATTTACCCTTTTGATTGAAGACCAACTGTCTTGTCATTCGACCCTTGGCCGTAATATTACGTGATCCAAGGTTCGGATCAAAGTATGGGTCTGCTCTAAGCTCCTCCAACGATGGTCCTGACAGGTCCAATTGCGCCTTTGTGGGCACTGGAACTGGAGATTCGGTTCGTCGATTTCCCATCGCCGTGGCGAATTTGGGTTGAGATGTTCGACCTTTATTCTTTTGGGTGTCCGGTTGCGCATCAGCAAGCAGTGCAGGATGAATACCGATATCGAGACCTCCTCGTCCCTTGGGCAGGTCATCGCTGTAGACTGGTGGTGTATAACTCGGAGCTGACGGCGTCTTTTGTTGGCTGGACGCTGCTGATCGATTTGTCGCCGCAGCCACTCGGGCCTTCATCTGAGCAATCCTATCACTGGCGCTCGGCAGAGGAGTGGGTGATGCACTGGCTGGTGCAGGTGAACTTGTTGCCCCCGGTCTATTGGCCGCCATCCTAGCTTTCAATTCCTCTGCTTTCATTTTGGCCGCAGCTTTGGCCGCAGCGAGGATCTGATTCACGTCCGGCTTCGCGCTCGGCGCCGCGGAGGCCGGAGTCGTAGGACGAGGCGAGCCATTGTTGGATCTGGCTCGTTTCTGGCTCTCAAGATCATCGTCTTCCGGGTGTAGCCTTTTCAGCACATTGCTCGATCTGTCTGCCATTTTGAATGTGTAGAGGAAGACTCACTGGAAGCAAGACACCCACTCTTGCAGTTGCGTCCGAGGTTGCGCAAGAATATGGGGGAGGCGTCGATCTCAGGGAAGGAAATTGATAATGCTAATTCAAAAGGAAAAGAGCGGCGTGACCGTTGATGTTCATCTCCCTGCCACGCGGAGAAAATATCAGGCCAAGAAGCTGTTGAAGATTCTGCACGGTCAAACATGAAATTCGCCGTAGCTGCCACGGCGTCGGAGGTATACCCCGCCGTATGAAGGAATAAAGTTTCACCGAAGCCGCTAAAGAATCTCGCGGGACTCTCAGAAAGTGCGCAAAGAAAATTGGACGAACTTTTCGCCCCCTCTACAATTCTGCACTGTCAAGGGCCGTTGCTGTCAGGATATGGATTTGATGCGTAATGGCAGGATGTACCAAACCGCTGCCCTCTGCTACCGGGGGCCTTGCCTTTTCTCGACTACCGTCCGATGAGATCAGAAAGATCTCAGTAAAGCAAATTCATGTCACTCCGGCGTTGGATTCTATGTTTGGGCCCATTCCAGGTGGCGTACATGATCTGGCTTTGGGAGCTATACAGGTGCTAGATGCAAAGTGAGTCTATATGGCTGGTTCTCAAGCTTTCATGCTCACACTACGCAGTTGTTCAACATGTCGCATGAACGCAGTTCATTGCTCCGGCCATTGCGGACACATCGAGCTACCAATGCCTTGCTACCACCCACAGTACATCGACTCGACCCTGCGTCTTCTACGAGCAAAGTGCGCCTACTGCCACCGGTTCAAAGCCGCCGCTAACGTCGTCAATCAAACTGTCTGCGCATTGCGGTTATTGCAGTATGGGCTCGTCGAAGACTACCAGAAGGTTCAGGCCATGCATCTTGGCGGGGGGAAGCCTAAGGAAGCCGGCGTGGAACTTGTCGAAGACGTGGTCGAAGAAGAGGAAGAGGAAGAGGTCGAGGATCTAATAGACCGACGAACAAAAGCGACCAACAAAGCAATCAAGCGGGCACGTAAGAAAGGTCAGATTGATGCACAGGCTCTTATTCGCAATCCTGCGGCCGTTGCGGCTCGGAAGAGTGTCATTTCCGATTTTCTGAAAGAGGTACCAAATCTGAAAAAATGCGCCAACTGTGGAGGCGCCAATCAGACTTACAGAAAGGACCGCAATGTCAAGATCTTCAAAAGACCGCTGCCACTCAAACAGAAAGAAGCGATGCGTATGCTTGGGAAGGAGGCTCCGAATCCTCTGATATTTCTCCAATCCGAAAAGCGGCAGGGAGATGAGGCCAAAAAGCCGATAGTCAATGGGGTCCACAATGAGGACATGGAAATGTCCGAAGCCGATCGGTCGGAAGAATCAGAGGTCGACGGTGCGGAGGAAGAGATCGCAATGCGAAATGCGCTAGAGACAACGGCCGAATCAAAGAATGCAGAGATGGAGGACGAAGACGATGTGCAAGCATATATGACTCCGAATGAGGTCCATGCCGCACTGACTCTTCTCTTTGACCGAGAACAGGAAATCCTTTGCTTGATGTACACCTCCCAACCCGGTCGGAAGAACGTGATGGTGTCACCCGACATGTTTTTTATGACGGCTGTACTGGTTCCCCCCAACCGATATCGCCCTCTTTCCAGACAAGGCCCCAACCAAATGCTTGAGGCTCAAGCGAATGGCGTCCTCAATAGGATCATCAAGGCGGCCAATGACGTACGATATCTTCTCCGAGATATGAAGAGAGCCAAAACAGATAGCACCGTACGCCCTCGCAGCTTGAATGAGAGGATTCAAGCAACAATTGTCCTCCAAGAGACCATCAATGCCCTCATAGATTCTCCTCCCCCCACTTCGGGCAAGCCGGCCGATCAAGGGATCAAGCAAGTCTTAGAAAAGAAGGAAGGCCTCTTCCGAATGCATATGATGGGCAAGCGGGTGAACTTTGCCGCCCGCAGCGTCATCTCCCCTGACCCCAACATTGAGACGAATGAGATTGGTGTGCCTCTTGTCTTCGCGAGGAAGCTCACCTATCCCGAACCGGTCACAAGCCATAACTTTGAAGAACTGAGCCGGGCCGTGATCAATGGGATGGATAAGTATCCGGGAGCAGCTGCGATTGAGAATGAAAATGGCATGGTTCTCAGCCTCAAGCGCAAGACGCTGGAACAGCGCAAAGCCCTAGCAAAGCAACTGATGACCTCAACTGTCCCGGGGACTAAAGGAGAGAATGGCAAGAGGGTGTATCGACACCTTCAGACCGGCGACGTGGTCATAATGAACCGTCAACCGACATTACACAAACCTTCCATGATGGGTCACCGTGCACGAGTCCTGACCAATCAGAAAACGATTCGGATGCATTATGCGAATTGCAACACCTACAACGCCGATTTTGATGGGGATGAAATGAACATGCACTTCCCGCAAAATGAACTCGCCAGGACCGAAGCGCTCCAAATTGCGGACACTGATCATCAGTATCTCTCCGCCACGGCCGGAAAGCCTTTACGTGGTCTGATTCAGGATCATATCTCGATGGGTGTTCAATTCACGAGTCGAGATATCTTCTTCGATCGAGATCAGTACCAACAGTTACTCTACAGCTGTCTCAGGCCCGAGGACTACAACACAGTTTATGAGAAGATTCTCATGGTCGAACCCGCCGTCATCAAGCCAAAGATGCGCTGGACGGGTAAACAGGTTATTACGACCGTTTTGAAGAACATCACCCCCGATCGATTTCAAGGTATCAACCTCACCAGCAAATCGTCAACCTCTTCACAGCAATGGGGCGAAAAGACATCCAACGACGCTACGGAATGGGACGTGACCGGCGACACTGTCGCCTTCCGGGACACTGAACAAGTCGTGATTTTTCGAGATGGTGAACATCTGTGTGGGATCCTCGACAAAAGTCAACTGGGCCCCAGTCCGGGAGGTCTCGTTCACTCCGTCCATGAGCTTTATGGTCATATCACGGCGGGGAAGCTGCTGAGTATCCTCGGCCGATTACTGACACGATTTCTCAATGAACGCGCCTGGTCATGTGGAATGGATGATCTTTATTTGACCGAAAAGGGGGACCACCAACGACGTGAAGAGTTGAGCAAGGCCAAAGGGGTGGGCCTGGAAGTTTCGGCGGAATACGTTACCCTGAAAGTAGATGGCCGGGACCAAGCGAGCCAGCAGCTTCGAGATCGACTCGAAAATGTCCTTCGTAATGATGATCAACTCAATGGCTTGGATCAGCTCTACAACGCCAAGGTCAAATCAATAACGGATAATGTGTCCAAGTTGTGTCTCCCTGCTGGTCTGCGGAAACCCTTCCCGCGCAACCAAATGCAAGCCATGACCCTATCTGGTGCCAAAGGGTCCGGTGTCAATGCCAACTTGATCTCTTGTAATCTTGGACAGCAGGTTTTGGAAGGCCGGCGAGTGCCCACCATGGTCAGTGGCAAGACGCTACCCTCCTTCCGCGAATTTGAAACGGACCCTGCTGCTGGTGGATACGTCTCTGGCCGATTTTTGACCGGCATCAAGCCTCAAGAATATTTCTTTCACGCAATGTCGGGCCGAGAAGGGTTGATTGATACCGCGGTTAAAACGTCCAAGTCCGGCTATCTACAACGTTGTATCATCAAAGGCCTCGAAGGACTCCGCACCGAATACGATACTTCGGTTCGCGAAAGTTCCAACGGACGCATGATTCAATTCCTGTACGGAGAAGACGGCCTTGAAGTCACCCGACAGAGGCATTTGAAGGAATTCACTTTCCTGGCGGAAAACCACCAGTCCGTGGCTACATTGATGAAGGCAGAGGAAGTGCTCTTCAAGATCCCGAACCCGGGATTAGTCGCCGAGCAGAAAGCCATCCTCAAAGCGGTGAAGAAAGGAAAGGCCAAAGACCCGTTGACCGCTCGTTTTAGCCCGGCAAGCCATCTGGGGAGCACATCGGAATCCTTTGCCGGTGCTTTACAGGAATACATGAAGGACAATCCTGATCGGCTCATCAAGGAAAAGAAGACCAATCCCAACGGCATAGTCAACAGAAAGACTTTCCAATCGATCATGGACTTGAAGTACATGAAGTCCATTGTCGATGCGGGCGAAGCCGTCGGCGTGGTGGCCGCTCAATCAGTGGGCGAGCCGTCGACTCAGATGACCCTGAACACGTTCCACTTGGCCGGTCACTCGGCCAAGAACGTCACACTGGGGATTCCACGTCTACGAGAGATCGTCATGACGGCGAGCGCGAAAATTATGACACCGACCATGACTCTCAAGCCGATCGAAGAACTCACGGTTGAACAGGGCGAACGATTCGCCAAGAGTATCAGTCGCTTATCCCTGGCGCATGTCATTGACAGACTGACCGTCACGGAACGCGTCGGTGGCGGCAGTGGACACGAACGTGAGAAACTCTATGACATCCAGATCGAGTTATATGACCCTGAAGAATATGAGCAGGAGTATGCCATTCATCGCCACGACGTCCTTCATTGCTTGGAGGACAAGTTCTTGAAAAAATTAGACAAGATGATCAAGGATGAATTCAAACGAAAAGCACGGGAATCGTCGCATTCAGAGGTCACAGCAGCCGTCCCAGACGTCGGTGCTTCCGTTGGTGTGGTCGAGGAATTTCGACCACATAATCGAGGGGGCAGGACGGAGAGAGAAGGTGGTGAAGATGATATCGACGAAGACGCCGATCCGGAGGACGCAAAAGATGCAGCCGCGAGGCGCCGGCGGGAGGATACATACGATGAACCCGATGACGAGGAACGTGCCATGGCCAACGAGTCTGACGATGAAGCGATGAGTGAGGATGAGGACGGTGAAGCGAAGAGATCAAGAGGAGCTTCTCAGCCGGCGCAGAACCTCCGAGAGCTAGACCCGGACGACACCGAGAACCCGGATGATGCGGAAGATTCAGAAGCAGAGGCTCGACAGAACCAGCTCAAGGCGAACAACCCCCATCTGAAGAAGTTCAGTTTTGTCCGGAGCCAAGGAAAGTCCTGCCGCATTGTCCTCGGCTATGATTCCAACACGCCTAAGCTCCTTCTGCTACCGCTTCTGGAGAAGTGTGCACATGCCTCGGTGATTCAATCGATCCCGAATCTACGCGCCTGCGCATTGTTCATGGAGGATGTCCTCGGTCCAGATGGAAAACCGGTCATGCGAAACAATAAAGAGACCGGGGAACCCGAACCAGTCAAGGAACCCGTCATTACGACCGAAGGGGTGAATCTGCTGGCCATACGCGACTATCAGGATCAGATCTATCCCCATTCGATATATACGAACTCGGTGCACGATATGCTAAAGTATTACGGCGTCGAGGCCGCGCGGATGACCATCGTCAAGGAAATCGACGGTGTCTTCAAAGGCCACGGCATCTCGGTTGACTTGCGGCATCTGAACCTCATCGCCGATGCGATGACTCAATCTGGCTTTTACCAGCCCTTCAGCCGCCACGGTCTGGTGAAGGAAAGTGGCAGCGTGCTGGCGAAGATGAGCTTCGAGACCGTCATGGGCTTCCTCAGGGATGCGGTCCTGTTTGGAGAGAGTGATCCCTTACTCGGACCTAGTGCGAGAATTGTTGCCGGCAGAAGAGGAAATGTTGGCACGGGGGCTTTCGACGTCGTGATGCCTGTGCATTGACGGGATGAAAGGCTTGGAGGATTTCCGGATCGATCCGGTCTACAACGAAATTCATCATTAGACGCGGGTAAAAAGGAATTGGTCAGGGGTGCACCGTAAAACTCGACGTCTGGGTGAGCCAAAAGGCCAGCGAACATTGAATGAAATGAGATAACCACGAATGGGCCTTTGGACTTGATATGGGATATTCCCTATGAGCGGGTTACACTGCTTGTTGCATGTGAAGACCGTTCAAGGGAGCTAGCCTCATGATTTTGCCCAGAAAGCCCAAGTTCACCATTGAATAATTTAGTGTCCTTGGACTCTGACTCGTCGTCGACGATATTATACTTTCTTCACTGAGGACACCGGCTTCTGAGCTGACAAGTTGGTCGACGACACGAGCTGGCCCCCTAGACTGCGGTCTGTCAAAAAAGAGTTTTCTGGCCTAGCGTTTTTGTCCCCGATGCTCTGTCTTCTGTGGAATACTACTAAGCGAACTTGGGGGGAAGGTTGACAAGTCGCCAACGTGCTGTATGGTCGCAGAACTGGTGCGGTTTGAATTGTGAATCTTGTCATGTCCTGGTGGGGGAACAGGCCGTCCACGTGAGTTCCTGATCTCGGTTGGTACCTGAAAGTCAACGGTACCATTGCACATGCTTGCTTGCGAGGGGAGGCTAGGAGTGAGTCAATGTGTGCGTTGGATACTTCTTTGCTCTCTATATGGACTGGGTTTGAGTTTTGCGCGTGGCTATTTGAAAGAAATTGAACCGTTCCAGTCTCCGAAGTCAACTCTTGTTTTCGACAGGTCAAATTGGCCTTGACTTGATCGTCGATGAGGCTTTCGAGGAGGACTTCTAGCATCGTGAAGGGGCCCGAATCACGCCTGCCAAATTTGCAAACTCAAACTCTCAAACTGGTCGCCGTTCGAATAAGGAAGATGATATCCGGTGACAAATACGAGCTAAAGAAAATGCCCGGCAGGTTTAGTAGGGGGCAGCCAGCCTTCAACCGCGGCACCGAGGAATATTCCAGTGGTACAGGGAAGTCCTCCCTTCCAGCTCTTGACATGGTCTTCTGGAAACGTCCCCCTGATGATCAACGCGCGAGGAACATGGTTCAAGTCGAATGTGACACCTGGCAGTTAGATGGTAGTCGTGTCTTCAAATGACAGTCTGTCTAACCTATCTAATCGATTCTTCTTTGCCCGCAGCCTCTTCACCACATCGTTGTGCACTCCCCTCTTGCAGATCATGTCCCATGGTGCTTGAACTTCGGGTAGCAAGAATCCAAATAGAAGTGGGGTGGAGAGGAAAGAGGACGTGTCAGGGACGAGGTTGTAGGCAGTGCAGACACCCGGTGGAAAGGAAGGGAACTGAGACAGATGATTGTTGCAGAGAGCACGAACGTCGAATGGGTTATGGAGAAGGCCAGCTGCGCCTTCACGCTTCCCCGGGACTATACTGAGATGAGCAACAGAGGATTGTTTAGGGGATGTTCAGACGACTTGAAGACGGTTGAGACGACATTTCGCCTGATGCAAGGCTGACGGAAATCCTAAGATACCTGGCCTTTGCCTGGGAGACGCGGCGCACCCGACGGAATTAATCCGCTCAGAGAATCCTTCTCCCCAACTCTAATTTTACCCACTTCTATGGAGGGAACTGTCCCACCATTGTCTCTTCGCTCTCCCTTGTTCGTTGCTCTCTGCATATTTATGGTATTTTGCCTTTCGGGCCGTGTTCCGAGAATGGAGCATGCCAGTATCTAACACGGGACTCGGTGCGAACGTGCAGCGAGGTTGCTAGTCATTCGCCCTGTCTAATGTGGTGTGACAACCACTGCTATCGAACACGAGGAACCATCCGGTTCAATCGCAGCCACAACAGACAAGAGGAGGGTGTTTGCTCCGTGGCCATGGCAGCTGCGTTTGGCCGGTGTATCCAGGCACCACTAGGCCAACAACTGAGGAGCGCTCTTTTAACTCTTGGGCCGTGCTGGAAAAGGCTCGTATTCAGAAATGAGGTGCATTTATGCGACATCACAAGCAGAATCAGGCCGATGTTGCTACCTACGATCAATCATCTTTCGATCTACGGCATGATAGTGCAGGCATGGCCCAGAGTTGTCCCTTTGCGTGGACATGTATAGATGGTGATCAACCGAGCAAGCGACTCCCTTTGGTGCTTGATTCGCTCGAGGCCACGATGATCATATCATCAGTTCTCCATCCCATCTACAAATTTCTGGCTCAGCAGCGCCGCCACATGCCTGACCCGGGCACATACGCCACATACGCCACACGCCAAGCTGGGGCCCCCACTGAACTCGGTGAGGATAATTTCCCACCTCCAGAATTTCGAAGGTCCCAGCTTAACCTTGGATGAATGATTTGCGAAGTTTCTCTTTTCCTGGGGTTTGCCATTTTTATTCTCATTGGCTGTTGGCGTGCCAAAACCATCCGAACAGGGGTTAAGTAACTCCATTTAGGCAACCTCTGCGTCCCCAAAAGGTCAAACGTTTTCGGCCACGAAGAATGAATGGTCCCCTGGTCTTTGCTCTCAAGACACATCGTCCCTTGACTAAATTTTTCGTCTCCGACAAGTTTGCTTTCCTCGTCATCCTCGATATGGCCCGCAACCTCGTCCACCCAAACCCCCGGCATGCAGCTATTGCGGGGCTATTCCATTTCGGGCATGGATGTTCCTTCGAGCAGGAAAGGCCCACTCGAGGAAGGTTCCCTAGCATTGTTTGGCCAGAGCATTAGCTCTTTCATCTTGAAGCATGCTTTTGTACATTGTCCGTCTTCATGCCTTGTTACGGGGCTTCTCTACCCCAGATTGCACACTGCTCGCTTCTCACTCTGTCCGAACCACGCACTAGACCAACCTTCAAGCGAGTTCTTCAACATGGCCCCGACCATGTCTGGCCTTGGGGTCTCAACGTCTCACCAGCCGGGGTTCTTGCTGAGGCGTTTCTGTGACCAAAGGGGCCAGAGATCCCTGTCAGTATTTCCCCCCCCCAAAACTGAGAACTCTTCAAACCCATATCTTATCCATTGTTCCTCTTTGGAGGGGTCTGGCCTCGTCGCCATAATCTTTTCGTCTGGTCGGTCGACCATTGTCATCGTCGTCGTAACTCCCACCGCCGTCGACAGATCGAGACCACATGGGGTTGGACCGTGGTATGCAGGCGGTCGCCACCGCCGCGGTCTTTAACGCGTTTGCCCTGCTGTTCATCCTCATTCGTTGCGTCTCTCGCTTCACCATCATCAAACAGGTTGGGCCTGAGGACTACCTCATCATCTTTGCTCTGATTCTCTCAATTGGACTGACGGTGACCATTGTTCTCCGTAAGTACCGGCATCGCGCCACCCATGGAGAGGGGGGGAGTTTCAAGGGACTGACGCTGGCGGCTTTTAGAAGAGGAACACGGCTTGGGCCGCCATTCAGATACGGTCAGTGTGGAGGACAACGAGACATTATCCAAGGTCAGTGTCATCAGCAAAATATCGGAAATACCTCCGCTGACGGTGGGTAAAGCTCTTGTACGCCAGCATTATCATCTATAACCTGGGTCTCTTCGTTGTCAAAGACTCGATTCTCTACCAATATTTGCGGTTCTTTGTCCGGAGAAGCTATCGCATCGCGGCCTGGGGTTTGATGATATTTATCTCTGTGGCCGGCCTCGTCATGATCGTGACCTCCTGTGTTTCATGCCAGCCTGTCGCGTATTTCTGGGACAAAACCATCGAAGGAGGCCGTTGCATCAATCTGCTTGCTTTCTGGTTCAGTTTCTCAGCATTCAATATCGCCACCGATCTGGCGGTCTTGCTGCTTCCGATGCCTGTTTTGAAAAGCTTACGACTTCCCAGGAAGCAGAAGATGAGTTTGATTGCCGTTTTCGCCTTGGGCAGCTTGTATGTTGATCATGCCCGAGTCGACCGGAAGATGCATCATGACTAACGGGCAAAATAGTGGCTGTGTCACCGCCATCCTCCGCCTCCATGCCTTATACATCACGAGTGTGTCGACCGACCTAACCTACGACAACGTAGGGGCCGCCACCTGGTCAGCCGCTGAATTGAATGTCGGCATCATGTGCGCTTGCATCCCAGCTATGCGTCCCATCATCAGCCTCATCTTCCCCCGTTTTCTCTCAAGTACACAACGGGACAACATCTCAGATCCGTACCCGAGAGGCGCCTCTTATTATCGAAATGACAGCGTTGTGGAGCTGTCTCAGGTCGGGAAAGTTCACAGTGATGTCAGCCGAGATGACACCGTGAGCTTCGACACCACGCATGCTCCGAATACCATTCGAGTCAAGCAAGAATGGGCCATTTCGGAGCGCGAGCAGCCTTGATGCGCTGGTCCACGGCACCCCGTCATCGGCCAGCATCTGTCGACAGAATGAGATCGACTTGTACAACATGGTATAAAGACTTGGGGGAAAGAGATTCGGAAAAGCACATCGAAAAAGGTATCACATCTAGCAAAAGCCGAGGCGACCGGTGATAGCTCTGAAGTGTACGAAGACATGAACAGGAGGTAATGAAACAAGGGTACCGGGTCACGTGTGGTTAACAGAAAGGGGACCCATGGATTAGGATACCGGAGTGACGGCCGCTTGATGGAGGCTATCTGTTTTGTTTCGCATTGAGGTCGGTTTTATTGACTTGAATTTTCTCGGCTTCGGGGCTCAAAGCGACGGCGTCTTGTCACATTGGCTGTTTTCGCCACTGAGTTTGCATGTCGCACTGCGCGGGAGTAAAGATGTCAAAAGATGGCGTCCAGATTGGCGAAGGGATGTCAATGATGACCTCGGATATACATAGGAGCTCCGAAACAGGGAGTTTTGAGTTGATGTTTGACGAGTGGATAACGGGGCCAGTAGAATGTTCCGCCCTCACAAGTCCAATTTGTACCACTACCAGGATAAACTTGCATTTTGGGGGCACTTCCCTTCGAGACACTCTTGCTTCTCATCTCTCCGCCGCCGTCGATACCCATACAGATAACGGTCCAGAAAAGAAAAGAAAAGGATCTGGCCGCTAGTCGGAGTCTTGTTCGAGTCATTTGTCTGGATGGACTCTCGCCAATCTTGGTGTCTTCAGTGTCGATTTGCCTTCTCAAACGGATCGTGCCTCCATGAGCGATTGCCACGACAAGCATGACTCAGTCAAATCATTATTATTCGTCAAAGAGCCAGACCTACCTAGTGATATCGGCTACGGGCTCTCTCGTTGTTCCTTTAGCTCGATGACAAACTGGGGAGAAAGGCCCTCGCGACGAAAGACAGGCTCACCTAGATGTATGCTCTGTAAGAAGGGAAATCCTAGACTGTAGGGCAATCTCAATCGTGCAACCGCCAATCACGAATCGCCGATTCCGACTTGCAAGTCTTCTGGCCTTGTTTCTGCTGATGTAAACGACGTGACAAGCACGACGGTCGTACGCTCACACATCCAGGCACCAATTCTCTGATCAAGACTCTGCGTTACCACCCAAGATGAAAGACAGGACACAGCCTCGTGCGGATCAATTTGGCGACAAGATCCCACAGATGTGACGCAGCAGTTTGAAGCGAGCCTGGTAGGAGCGAGCTGTAACGGAAGATATCTCCGGGGGTAATTGTTCTCCTTTAGGTTGAGGGCCGCATCGTAAATCCCCTGTGGTCTCCCATTCCCATGACATCCTCACATTGAAGGACACTAGAAGTTATCGTTAGTCAGGGATTCCATCACCTCTCGTCTTTCCGTAGCTGTCAACGACAAACAATCATCGTGGTAACTTCCAAAAATGGTTCGACGTAGTTTGGAGACGTGAAACGCGCCAAGGGACCTTGAACGAAAGATGATGGGTTTGGCCATTATTCCAACGTCACAGCACCATCTTCTCCTCCAGGTATCACGATCTCCATTTCGGTGCTGTTTGTTTTGGCGCCAGCGCTGTCTAGCGGGAGCGTTATACCTAGTGAAACGCAAACTCATAAGCACTAATAGATCAGAGAGACCTGCAGCGATTGGGCCGTTGGCGCAGCATTCGGGGGACATTTTAAGTGCTTGGTTTCGTCTGTCCGCAGAATACACTTGTATCATGGACGACGTCACACCCCCAGTCCAGTATTTGCTGCCATCGGCTCATGAGAGCCACGCTGATGTTTGTTGGGCTTCTCTACAAGCGTTCAATGGATGGCACCTCAAACAAACAGTTTCTGCAGGGTCCACAAAGATGCTAGCTCAGCGTCCCTCTCCAACAGTAGAGATGACCAACTCAAGGAGATTCGGAAACATGTCCGGACGCATAAGACGACCAGGACCAAACACCAAATCACATATCAACATCGAGCGTTGACATGGTGGCAAAAAGAAAGCTTAAAGAGACTCGCTCCAGCGTTCGTCTGCATCGACCAATAGGGGGGGGGGGGGGGGGGGGGG